GTCACTCAGGGATCACTACGTGGACACTTTTACCAGCAACCAAATTTGGAAGATCTTGCCTGCTTCGCCAAACCTCGTACTCATCCTGATGGAGTAAAGATGGTTGGGTTATGTTGTCAGGACTACTTACGTTGTCAAACAACGTACTAGGCCTATAACTCGCAGAACAACCTATCAAGGGCGCTCGATAGGATAATACCATCCGCAAGGTCAGCCCGCAGGTTTTTAACAGTTCTCTGATGAAGGATATGATATCTAACCCCCACGTTTGCGGAACCAGCTAGCAGCAATGTACCGGTACATGGCGACATATCCAATCCTCCATTTATCAAGGCTGACTACTGCCGACGCAATACTATACCCAAACGCCGAGCGCTATCGCCGGAGAGCATCCGAGTGCCCCACACTTACCCATTGGCGGTTTTGCTGCAGCCGCTGCAACCACATGGGCAAGCTCGTTATTTCCAGGAAACAAGGAAGCAACGTACCGTACGGGACTGGCCGAATGATCGATCAACGCTTGTTTATTTTATGCGGGGTACAGGCATGCGACACGACTTGCATATATTGTCCACCACTAACGTCGAATTCGAAGCTGCCTGCATATGCTGTATCAGCCAACCTACGATGTACTTCTAGAAGTGGTGGCGTTGTGATCAAACTACAAGCCGCAAGCTCACAACTTCGACAGCATGGCGCTCCGTGGGCAGGGACACAAGATCACGAGGTCTAGCGGTTTGCATTCACTTCGAGATCAGAAACAACAGAAGCAAAGTAATATGGCATTTGTGCCCAAAAGACAAGAAGTGGGTATATCTCCACAGATTTTGGGTATAAGAGCATCGCGGTATGACGTCGCATGGCTACGTGTACACGTCTTGGTCCACTCGGAGCTTGCCTCATCACTTCGCTGAAGAAGAAGACACCCAACTGCACAACTCCACCACAAGACGAAACCGGAGAAGTGAAGCAAGATGATCAGCTGGAATATACCAATAGCACCTAAACGCTTCAAACACCAAGCCATGCAACTGGCTCGAAACAGTCGCTCTAGAAAAATTTCCGTCAACTTAGTTCAACAAGCTCCGTCTTTTACAGTGTCGATCGCCACTTGAACCCTGGGAATTAAGCGCTGCACGTTGATTTATATTCCCTTAGCGGCACTTGCGGCTATGGTGGTGATGCGATATGCACTATGCCGACACATCTTAGTAAGCCTTTTCGCTATCCTGACCTACCGACTACAAACATCGAATCATGAAGAGTATTAGTCCATGCTGCAGCTCGAACCGGATCAAGTCATTTGATCAACATTGCATTGAACATACCGCACGTCTGCAAGCCTCTTACTAGTCAGCAGCTCATGTGGCACGCTCATCTCGCATACTAGACATAGTCGACAACTGAAGCGACAGATAGCACTGTTCAACTTCAGGCTTGCATAAGCTTGCACATGCATATACGGTCTTACTCCGACTTCGTCAGACGACAGCTTTCTGCACTTTGATCATGCAGGACGCCGCATTCGCAAGATGAGCAGCTCACCGGAAGATCTCAAAGCTGACCTACAGTCGACTATCAGTTCATGCGCATTCCCGCAAGAAGTACCACGTTGTTCAGCATCCGATCCACTACAGGTTCGCATATCCACTGCATGCCAGCTGCCGGACAGTGGGACCCTACTTTGCGACGAGTTTGATAAAGCAATCTTGAGCAACCGCCACTTGCGCCTGCAGAAGATCGTCGGCAAAGCCTACATACAAGGGAAGAAGAAGCATGCAGCCTCGTCACATAGCGACTTGATGTTCAATCGTAGTACGGCGCCACGTGCGGAAGAAGCCATATGCACGTTTGTAGCCTCGCAGTCAAGGAACACAGTGGATACCTAATCCTTGAAACCGAGTCGAGCGCGCTTATTCTACAAATGACGGAGGTTTACTAATTTTGCAAGGTCTTTACGTAGAAGTTTCTACGCCCCACGGAAGCGAGGTACCGCCGTACCAGCGCTCTGATGCTCTTGCGAACGAGGAGCTCAGCTTACAATCATCTTCACCGATAAACGACAGCGATACAATCTGATGTGAATCAGTTTCCGAACCTTCTCTTATGGAATGAACGCCTACTTTCAGCCTCGTGCATGCTGCAACCTCCGCACCCGTACGTGCGACATGACATGCAAAGAGCCATAGATAGTGCAATCGGCCCTACTCCATGTCGTACAGCATCGTAAACGCAAGGCACACCATCATCTTCCGCTGCTAACCACTACTGCCATCACATGCATACTGTACTCGTGAGAGAAAAGCCTCGGAGAACTATCCGAGCAAATAGACTATCGTCAATGGCGCATCCCATCCTTCTCAGCTCTGCACCTGCCACTCCTCGCAGGGCAGTCGTACATGAACACGTACGTACATGGTGGTCGGCCCCGCAATCCTTTCCAAGGACTTTTCAGGCGATCATATCAGTAGCTCATGAACAGGCGAGCCATTCATGTGGTTGGGAAGACACATCACTGGCAATGTCTCGCATATGTTCTGCATACCTCCCATCCCACATCATCTCCGACGCCCAATGTTGTCCTCAAGCCAAATATTATGCCCCAAAAACACTATGAGCGCAACCCTCTTTTTACCCACTACATGCGTGTCTTGTGTGCAGCTACGCGCGGGCGGGAAAAGTAGGCAAGTTAGCACCAAGACACATACAGTTGGCAAAGGCGCGAAAGCAACGCTCGGACACTACGTATTGCGCGCATGCTGTGTAACATACATACACGGGATGAAGCGAAGGTAGCTGCGTAGCATGACTCGGTACATGTACAAGGCCAAAGCTGCAGCACTGCTCCGTAGTAATTCACGGTGATAGGTCCCAGAAATAGGAAGGAAGGAGGGAAGGCGCGAAGGATTAGGTAGAGCACAGCCGCAAAAGACCAGAGTTCGCGTCACACAGCACAGCCGCAGAACTACTGATTTTGATTTTGATCGATGCATTAATACGCATGTATTACGGTTGTGTAACGTTACTATGGTGATCGGATCGTGCCGCGAGGCTGCGTCTTGGATTTGCTTTTTGGGTTGCCAGCCTCAACCGCTGCTTTCGTGACCAAAATTGTCCGTCATCCGAATGCGCATCTAGAAAACACCGTCGGTAACTCGTATCTATGAGTAATCCCACGTCCCCTTCAGCGCAACTCGGCGCCCAAATTTCCCTGTTGCCTCACTTCTCTGAGCAAGAGCCAAAAGCCCAGTCCAGCCCATCCGCATCTCCCGCACGACCGGATAGTGGCTTTTGCTCTGCGGGGAACAATCAACCCACACTTCCGCTGCCCGCCAGAACCTCGCATCGGGCGCGCGCCTTGTTTCCCAACCCAATTGCCCTACCCGTCCGTTCGCTGCAAATAGAGCCAGCGAGCGCCCGTTCCGTTGACGCCACAGCGGTCCAGATCGACACAGGCTTTGCTCCGTTGCTTTTTCGTACAGACTAATCACATGTTCTCCGCACGTCAGCCATAGTCAACTCTACGCGCATTAGATCATGATGTAGTAACTGTTTGAAACAAACAAGATGCGGAGAAAGTGTATGGTAATATGTGGAGTGCGGGGTTAGGCGGGCGGAGGAGGAGAGAGCATGTGTTGGCAGATGCGACTGATCATTTTACGAGCTAAAACACTGCAAGTGCGGAAAGTAAGGAGGTTAGAACGGCAGCTAGCCACGTCAACGTGGCAGGCAGGTTTAGCTAGATGTCATTTTAATTTACCATGTTGCCGTGCCCATGCATGTGGCGTTGCGGCTCCGACGAAATGGTTCGAGGCAACGTAGCGTGTGCTCTCGAGGCGAAGATCGTGAACGGCAGCGTCGATCGGGCTGCCAGGCAAGCCGCTTCAACCCATCGCCCCTTTCCGCCAGTATCCTCTCCTGACGTGGAAAGATTTTTCATCACCGTGGCCAAAGCATACAGGGATCGAGAATTTGTATGTATGGAAATTTGACTTCCAAATTCGCGCAATCGTAGCGCTGAAGCCGTATGGTATCATTTCTAAATGTTTGTAGAGTGGTATCTTCCTGACAATTAACCTAGGTATCCCACGCCATGCCCTGCCCATAATCCGCGCCAAGGCAAAGAGGTGAACATTGCCTTATGCACACCCTCCTTCCTTACAAGACTAGCATGCAAGCCGGGCCGGCCCATGTATACAAGTGAAGAGAAAAAATTGCACCAAACCATGTCCTGCATTGAAGCGAAATTGATCGTCCCCCAACAAAGCCACAGGCCACTGCCGGAAGGAGGAGACGAAAAAAAGAAAACAAACGAACCGAAAACTCAACGGCCGACCGACCCATGCGAAAAACCCCGCACTGCAGGCTCGGCAATTGGAAAACAATGCTATGCAAAGCAGTTTTATGTTGTCGTAGCGTCGTTAAGAAACTGCTGACAAAGGAAACAACGGAAATACAGGTAGGCACTTTGTACAGGGTAATGACCGAGCAATGAAGCTCAAGAAGCAAGTCTATGGGATATCGCCAAGATGCAGTAACCAAGGTCAAAGTTTGCTCGCCGGCAAACCATCCTTGTTACTTCCCCATGGTTGAGATTGCGCCGAGGACCAATGAGAAAACAAAGTATTGGTTGAAGAAAGGGTATATGCTAGAAGAGAAGTGTAACAAAACGATCGATGTCCAACAGGACAGGTGATCAACGATAACTTTTGAGTGCCGAGGCCATGTTGTGGTTCGATGAATATTCGATAGCCGTCGGAAGCAAGCTTGCCAACAATGTTGTTGAGCAAGGATGCGGTGTTCTGTTTGAGGATAGTGTGCGGGATTATGTGCCGTGGCCCTCACGAGTAGAAGATGCCGAACCAGAATGCCGTAGGATACCAGAGTAGACGTCGTAGAGAATGGAAATGTATAGTACAATTGCAGCCGACGACTCAAGCTGAGTTGACGCGTGGGGGCGTCGTCAGCTGCAAACAGTGGCGTCATGTTACAAGCTCGCACTATCGCTCGAACGTGCTGGAGCGACTGATAGAGTCTAGGTCGGATTCGCGCGACTCGCTTCTCGCGCGTTGCAGCTCTTCCTTGCGCTTCCTACGCTCGCTGGGCGCTCGGCTTATCAAGCGCCTAACGAAGCTCCGGCTCGCTTTGGTGTTTGTGGGTTCTTGAAGCGGGCTAGTAGGTTCAATGGATGACCCGCAAGAAGCGCTGGCGGAAGGCTCGGGCGCATCGACTATGTCCTGTTTCTTGATCTTGCAGAAGAGGGTGGAGAACAAGTATTGCTCGCCGTTGCTATCGTAAAGCGGAAGGTGGCGATAGCCTTGCTGGATGCTGTTGAGCTTGGCCGTGAATGTAGCAAGAGGGGCGTGGTTCGTGGTTCGTGCATCGAGCGAGTTCCAAACCGTCCAGCGCACGAAGACGAGACTTGGGTACCTGGTGGTGACCGTCATGTCGATCTCGTTGCCGAACTCAGGGTTGTAGCCATTGCCTTCGACGATGCGTGTTCGTTTGCGTAGAGGGTTGCCGATACCAGAGTGGCCGTTGCGAGCTGATGCGTCTTGTCCACCAATTCCAGTAGCATTCGCGCCCATATCCTCAGCGCAGTACATTTCAAATTCAACATACGGGTTGATGTTTGCTTCTTGTCCAAGACCGCGGGGTCGTGGTAGCTGTTGAGCTGAGATGATTTGCACAGTAAACTTGACTTCTTTTTTGGGTGCCTTTCTGTAGCTAGTGGCTGGGGTCTCTGGGTCGAGGCGGAGCGCTGCTGGCTTCAGCACATAGCCAGTGCGGTCTTCACCACCAGCAAACATGGCTTCGTTCAACTGCTGACCGAGATCGTAAGTTTGCCAGTTCAGTGCAGCCATCTGGACGCCCCGACGCCAGAACTTGAGAGGATCGAAGTTGGATGAGTTGATTCGAAAGGCGTGAGGGTAGACGCGCATTAGGCAACGCATGTTGTGGGCCTCAAGCAAGTGCTTCTCGCGAGCTCCAGGCTTGGTGAGCTTCTCAAACGCGCGCTCGTTGATCGAGAAGACATGGTTGAACGTGTTCGCGTCGATGCTGCCAAAGTCGGTGAACTTGACTCCTCTTGTGTAGACACCAAGGTTGCCAAGCTCTTTCGTGATGTTGCTAGTCTTGGTCTTTTTCGGCTTGCGACGGTCGTCTACTACCTCTGCTGTCTCGGCAGTGGTTGCATTAGGGCTATCGCTATCTTCAGCTGAGCTTACAGCTGCAGAGGTGGGTAGCGTGTTGTTTGAAGTTCGTGGTGTTGCCCAAAACGATTGGGATCGTTCGGGTGGGCTCATTGAAGGTGGGCTAGAAAGAAGAGGCGAGTCTGGCACAAGCTTGTCGTTCAGCATCACAGGGCGCGACCAAGGAGAGCTGAAGCTGCGCTGTCTTCGTGAGGTAATCTCACCCATGAGAGCCCTGGTATCAATCTCATCACCAGCAGCACGCTTGACCTTGATGAGAATTCGGTGCTTCAGCTCCTCTGGTGTAGGTAGTGACTGCGACTCAAAGTCTAGCGGCTGGAGCACCAGCTTGTCGCCAAACTCCTGCATCATGATCTTGACCATGGCGGATTGTTGAATTGGAGAGCAGTGCACCTCCAGTGAGAGGATGACTGGATAAGGTGACTCTGTGAAGGCATACTTGTTGATGACCTTGATGGTGTCTTGGAACAGGATGCTCTTGGTCAAAGTTCGGCCGTGCATAACGACAGGGATGTTATCGGCGCCATCCCAACAGTCGATCTCAAGGCATCGGCAGCCCTTCTGGAGCGCAGTAATGTACGCCTCTGTGCTTGATTCGCCTGCGACCTGGCGGCCAAGCAGGTAAGTGTTGTGGGAGCTGGAGATGAAGTACTCGTTCAATGGCCGATTGAGTTCTTTCGGCTGGCCGACTGGCTTGAGGATAGAGTTGGAGGCAGATGTTAGGTAGGTCTGGAAAGCAGGGAAGTTCATGGCCAAGGGCAACGGAATGTCCCCACCTTCAATCGGAGTAGCAGGCATCCTGGGTCTTGTCGCGCGCGCAAACTTCTCGAAAGTGTTTGTCCAGTGTTCGAGGTCTTCATTCACGTCTACGCCTTGCTCCTGTCGCAGAAAGGTGAAGAAGGTGAACCTGTCCATCTCGATTTTCGAGCCAGACGTGTAAGTCTTGTAGATGGCCTTGATATCTTTGCGCTCCTTGAGGCGTCGGACGAAGTACAGAAATTGCTGTTGGTTGAGTTTTCCAGCGTCCAGAGTATCGGCTTTTGAGAAATAGGCGCGAAGTGTGGCTTCGGTGCAGTTGATGTGCAAGCTTCGGCACAGCTCAACAGTGCTTGGAAAGTCGAGAGACTCGTCGCCTTCGCCGCGCTTCTTCATTGCGCGTTGCCAGACAAGCTTTGCGCTTTTGTCGGCGAAGCCCAATAAGCCGGCCATGAGGTCGATACGGTTGCGTGACACAGACTCGAGTGTTTGAGTCCACATGTTGAAGATGCCGACGTCGGGCGCAATCAGGTGCATTGTTCGTATCCGGCCTTTGGAGCGAGTTGTGTCGGTGTATACGATGGTAAACCAGTAAGGTGCCCAGTTCTCGGATAGGCCGCACTCCTCACGGTAGTGCTTTGCTTCCGGACCTGAGCGGATTTCCTTGACATCATCGATGTAGAAGGCTTTTGAGGGCCGCGATGGATCCCAGAATACCTTGGCCGATTCCAGATCGAGGCGCAGGTTGATCTCCTTTTTCTCCTTCTTGGTAATCTTCCTCAAAACGGTGCCTTGCTCGAGGCGGGAGTTGCGTATTGGCGCGACAACTGCGGCATCTGGTATCGAGCTGAAGCTGGGGGTCGGGTTGGAGATGCCAAGGCCATGCATGGGCTCAAAGGGGTCTTCTACTGCTTCCTCCTCTTCAAAGGCGTCGAAGTCGGACATGCCAGTGTCGACATCGGCGGCAGTCCTGCTGTCGCTGCGACGGCGCATGATGACGGGGCCGGAGCTCTTGTCACGTAGTGCTGAAGTGTTGCCTCGGCGGAAGCGGCCTGGAATGTTTTGCGCGCCCCGGCTAACTCTGCGAATCAACCCCGGTCCCTTTCCAAGGGCCTCGGCCATAGCCGAAGGCGAGGATGTGGGCGGCGACTGAACCGGTGGTGGAGGAAGGAGCGACTCTGGCAGGGTGTAGGAGGGAATGGCGGGCAACGACGACGAGACGGGCACCATGCCTTCAGGAGTGGATTGCAGGGAGCCATTGAGGTACGAGGCCGTGAGGGCAGGACTGGCACGGGCGGGAATGTTGATGGCGCGGGCGTAGCTTGGCTGGGGTGAAGGCATGCGCGGTCGCGAGTAGACGTCGTGTAGCAGCGACATGGTCGTGGTAATGTCACGTACAATCAGGTGAAATCGGGGCGGGCTAGTAAATCTTCATGGCGCAGGCAATGCTGAGTGAGAAGGAGCGTAACGGTGAGCGGGCGCCACTGGATAATAAAAGCAGACAGGATCAACAGCCTGCTGGGTCCTGGTGGAAAAGCTCAAGCTAGGAGCTGCTTCGCATCGTGAGACTGACGGAATGCGTTTGGGCTATGACGAGTTGGGATTGGGAAGCGCGCGCTGCGCGAAGATGCAGACGCAGGTCAGCTGGGATTACTGGAGAATCTACTTGCATGCACGATGCATGGATAATTTGGGATTCTCGAGTACTCCGGAGCAGTCGTGGGGGTTGCAAGCGATTCGGCAGACCAGGGCGGGCGAAAATCAATCAGCGCGTGGATTCGATGCTGCAGGAAATGCGGAGAAGGGTGTGGTGAGGCAGCGTATCGTCAGCGTCGTCTATTTAGTCGTTGGTGGTGTGAGCGTGGGAGGGTTTGACGTGGACGAAATGTTTCTTTGTAATTGGTGGTGGTGCTGGATAGTGCGAGGAAGGAGTGGGCTGTAGGGCAGACGGAGTAGTATATGGGCAACGGCTGCGCTTGGCGGCCTTCTTTAATCCAGGAACAGACAAGGCGCACACCGAATTTTCAGCTAAATCTTACAAGCACACAATTATCCCTTGACTCCTAGTCATTCGGGCTTCCATCCGCCTCCGCTCAATTCGGGCTCCGAGGGCACTTCCCTGTTTGTCTCCTATCCTAGCGCTGGACAATGAGAGCCGCGACGCTGGTTAAGGCCCCACTGAGCAACGGTGTCCTGTATGACGCAGCCCATGGTTATCCTATGTACGGGGTCCGCCAATCATAGCCGGCGCACACTGAGCCGTTACCGTCCTGGCCTGAGAATCATCAGGCATCCAGGAAGCACCGAGGAAGCATATGCTGGAACAATGAACAAGAAAAGCGCATGCACTGCCCTGCTGTTTGTCCATTGCCGATTGCACTACATCAGGCCCATTCTCACCATGCCGTGCCTTCCGGCGAGGGCATGCAAGGCTCAGTCAGTAGCAGAAGCAACCCCCAAGGCCCTGATGTTGTTCGGTTCGTTGGCGTCGATCAATTCTTTGACTCACCGGTCCTATTGCGCTGGTCCTACGATGGCTCTGTTGCGAAACCTTGATGCGTACAGGCCTGCTTGATAGCATTGGCTATACCACAGGTCGTCATGTTTGCTACATGGTATCCGCATTGCCGACTGCGCGCCGCGTTGCTAGTCTCTGACTGGTCTCTCGCGACAATACGGTGTGTCCGAGTAACACGAAGCAACCAGTGTACTGCACTCTGCTCACCTACAGCACTCGGCAAGTAGCGGTCATGTGCAGACGAGTATCTATCAGACAGGCCATCCAGCGAGTCGCATCCGCCGAGCAGGCGCCCCATGTGTGGCGGTGACATCCCCCATCGCATCGTCTCACACGTGGCGCGCGGGCAAGTGAAACCCAAGTGCAAAGCCGGCACAACGGTACCACCATCATAGGCCGTCGCTGACGGTGCAAAGTCAGGGATCCGCCGTCGACTCACTCTAAGTTCCGTTGGCCCCTCAATTTGCTGCAGCCGACTCGGCTGCTTCACAATTGCAGCACGTACCGCTTTTCCACGCAGAATGGCGCGACAATGCTGTAGGCGTACGCCCAATGCTCGTATCCGCATCGCCCTACCCGCTGCGAGTCGCGTGATAGTCCCATAGCCGTACCTAAAGTTTCCACGCCTTCGAGAAGGAAGGATTCCTGCCCCTGACGCCTCACGCCAATCATGCCACCGCCCCCGCACATCAACCGTAGTGCCAACGTGCCGGGCTTTCCAGCTCATCCACAATGTCCATGTGACTTGCTGGCGGTGTGATGCATCTTTCTTCATTGTTGCGCTTTGTCCAATCGTTTCTTTGTTACTGCTGTATTTGGAGTGACCTCTCTCATGCCTTGACTGTGTCTCCAGCGCCGCATTCGGCCCTTGGGCATCAGCGACCTCTCGCAGCTAATCGGGCGCATAGCCGGTAGGCTCGCCGTTGTCAGTGAATGCCGTTCGCTAAGTAAGGATGGCCGGCACTGTGTTGTCACAAACTCATAGGGCTCGCCCGAAATAGCGCTGCACGTAGCCCCGCCTGCTCTGAGCCACGCTCGAAACATTTGCAATCGATGACATGCATGTACCCATCACCCCGTACGAAGGCGTCATGCCTGCACATATGCTGTCGCTATCTCTATGTACAGTTCTGCATTGAGCTTCCGCATTAAGCCTTTCCAGCTGCCCGCGGCTCCAGTCGTGCTGCAATGCCGTTCATTGTTTGATCAACGCGGGCGATCAGAATCTTATTCTGCGAACGAGCTGAACGACTCGGACTGCAACATGAGCTGCGCATCATATACAATTTGCACTAATGAAAACTTGTAGGCCCCATAAAAATGTTTGATTCGCTGATGGCCCAGTAGGTTGTACGCCGTTGGATTAGCCTACCACGGTACTGCGATGCGATATCGACGGGCAAGAAAAGCCGAAGTCATGTCCAAAGAAGAGTCGAAGCTTCCATCAAATCTCAGCTTCAGGTATCCCGCGTTCGCACTGAGACAGGCATCTAGGATGTACCCTGTCAACGTTTGTTAGGATCGACGAGGTGAAGTGCCCCGTCGTTGCTGGCTGGGATACCGCAGCCAGAGGAAGACCCTTTGGAAATTTCCGCTCAATCTGCGTGCGCTTGAGCTCGTTGATTTCCGTGCAAATACATGTTACTCCAGAGTGCGGGACGTTAACGTGTCACTAACACCCTTAAGGAGATGAGATCTGAACATGCGTTGTTCTGTAGAGATGCATGGGTCACCCACTGCTCGCCAGAAACTTTGAGCTCTAACATCTCATCGCCCTATTCGCTTTCGGTCAATCTCTCAACAAATCCGCGGAAGAGCAGTAGATTGGCGTTACAGGATCTTGATAATGGCGCAAAGATTCTTGGATCTGGTGCGTCGTAGCCTGCATCAGAAGCAAGTTCAGAGCCCACACTCGTACGCTACAGGGCTGACAGAGCTGACTGCACGGGATAGTGGCAGACACCTAGAAGACACATTCTCCGAGTACTTCGAAATCAACGGGGATGTCTTGAGTGCATGAACCTGCGTCCCTGGCAACGAGAGATTATCGTCGCTCTGCAACACAAATGCTCGCCAATTCTTCTCATCTTCATTGAGACTTCGCAAAGCGGTGGTTACCGGTCTCTCCGGACGAATGATGGCCACGCCAGAGGGACGCGTCGATATTGGTTCTCTAACACCCCTCTTCCGAGAAGGCAAAGAGGCGGAAATTGAGGACGAGCTAATGCGGCTCTGATCACCCTGACCGCGAGTGGCCTGTTGTGACCAGTTCATTGCAGCTTCATTGTTGTGTCTCTTGGCGGGGTAATCATGCAAGATACTGCTTCTGGGTTGAATGGCTGTATCGGAGTGGCTTGAACCATCGGAAATTGCGAGATACGTCTTCCAGGGTCCTTCATCGACGATTGCGTGGCCTGCCGAAAGCTCAACATTGACTGATTGCTCCCTATCAATATTCTCTTGACGCACATGTTCTATCTGGGATGGGACTGCCGAGCCTGGTTCGCAAAAAGGTTGTGTCTCACCGATCTGGTTGTCGTCCGACGCAGTACGACCACGGCTACCTGCAGCAGAATTGGAGCCACTGAAGGCGAGACGGAAAGCGCGCTCACCGCCATGAACATGGTGTGTGAGTCGGAAGTCATGTGTAGAGCTCACGTTCTGTCGCGAGGTCATCGTCGCAGGTTGACATTGCAGTCTACGCTGATCACCGATAACGCTCCCTTGTTCAGGAGCACCTGGATATAGACTAGCTACGTTGCGCCGAGCAGCACTATAGCGCTGAGGCTGCTCACCGGTCGACGGCGCACGGAAAGTAACAGAAGCTTTCCCAGAAGCATTAGTTGCTGCATGAAGCTGAAGGTTGACAGGTGACTTCGCTGAGCTTTGCTGTGCAAGAAGCTCTTCATGGTCGAAGAGCATTGGTTCGGAGGAAGCATTCGACTGCGCACATTGATCCAGGTGTGTAGTATAACTGTTTGTCATTGCATCTGTGCCAATTCGGATTCGAATATCGTCAACATTTTGGTGTGGGCCACTGCCTCCTAGCATGTAGGCAAGGGCGTTGTTTGCAAGGTGGTGGTCCTTGTCTCCGAATCCATTGTTGCCCTTCCGTCTTGGAGCTGCACTGCGTCCTCTCGTCGTTCTTCTGCGCTTGCCGATCTTGTTCTTCTCCCTGCTCGATAGGAATCGTAGACTGACCGGTTTTGATGGGTCGATGCCGACCCAATCTTGCTGTTTTAAAAGCCTCTTCCTATTCGCCTCCAGCACTTCCAGTTCCGTATCTATTTCAGAGGCCTTGTTTTTTCTGTCTTGCAAGTCTATCCGATGGTTAGTCTATCTTCGCTGCACTCGAGCAAGTGAGTAGCAAGTCATCACTACTACCTTTGTGGATGCGAATCTGGGTCTTTGAATTTGAAGGAGAATAACGTAAAAGAATCGCCGGAAGCTCTTCATGGGTTGTTGTTTCGTGGCGGTTTGTTGTAGACCGCCTCTTGTCTGGCGTGGGCTCACGCTGGGTTCTCTCACTTGGATGTTTTGCTCTATGCCCCGGGGGCCATACTGAGCCTGAGCCAAACGGAATTACCCCCCAAAGGCCGGACTCATCATTGTTGTGTAAACAGTTAGGTCGGAGAAAGGCGACATGTGAGTTAGTGGGATTGTGGAGCTGTGTGCGCGCTTTGGCAAAGTACGTTTTTTGCTGTTGGAGCACGCCTTTGTTGGCTTTCTTCGTGCGCTGCAGCGAGCCACCTGTCCAATTCATGTGTGGAACGTGTCCAGCTTTTTCTATAATTGCACGAGTCGAAGGAGAAAGATGCGTGAAGAGGTAGTGGGAAGAGGGTACACTTTGCGGATTGGAGCTGCTGCTTGTGCTTGCTTGCTGAAGATGGCAGCTCCTTCCTCATCTGCTTCTCTTTCCGCTCTACCCCTACAATTCAAAATTGCAACACAACTGCAGCATTTTACACTTCGTGTTTCGCACCCCACCCTTCACAGCACTGGTTCACCCATCTTCCTCGGTTATTTTCCAAGCTTAAATGTCCTCCGCGACTCATGCTCGGATCTGTTGTGCCGGCGGAAAAACAAAGACAGATGAAAGGGTCCAATTCGTTTGGTCGATCAGCGCCTCCATCACTTCCCGCCGCAAAAACAGTGGAGCGCCGGAGAGGTACCGAGACCCTGCGACGGGATCCTCGTGGGTGTGGGAAATCTTTTACGTTCATGGCGATAGGGTGTGGGAACGAGGACTTGAGGGATGCATCGCGCCGCTACACCATGGTCGACCAATACAGCAGGATATGCGAAGACCACCAGTTCTGTAGGACCGATTCTAGAGCTATCCACAACTCAAACTTTGGGGTTACATCTGGGGAAATCGTGGAGACGTGGAGAAGAATGGGTTTGACAACCACGACCCCATACCAACTCCACCACCGTTCCCAACCAGACTCCGTTCATCCGTCTCTTCAACTTTGAGGCCTAAACGCCGGTCGCGACAAGTGTGCTTCGTATATGGTGCTGTCTTCTCGGCAACTGCATCAGATCATTGCTTCTTGGAGCGTAGATTCCGGTCCTGAACGGGTCCTGCGGCATCTGAAAGCGCCCATGTACACAGGATGCACGACTTGACTGGTCGCTAGATGCAGTCTTCCAAACGGATCAGGCACCCGTGTTGCAATCCCACCCAAATCCCTCAATCTACGTCGACCTACCACCCGCACTCGTTTGGATCATCCTTTCTGAAGGGTTTGGAAAGTGGATTTTTGGGTTTTGTTTATGGTGCGACACACGCCAACCCATATTCACACCTGAAGCCTGGTCCTATAATGCGGGATGATGGCATACATGCTGCTGTAGTCCATACTGCAGCTGCGCCGCCAGTTGCGGTGTACCATCATGTACAGTTACGTCAAGCGCCACGGCCTGAGACTCTTGCTGTGGGTACTGGTTCTACTGGCGACCCACTACATGTAAGCTGGAGAGATATCGCTCAATGCACGCACCTACAATCGGAACGAGGGTCCATCGGTTGTTGCATTCGACATGTGAAAGGTAGCGATAAGGATTCCACCTATAGTATGGCAAATGTGTTTGGTTCCTGTTGAGGCGACTTCGTTCAGTTGGCTGGCTTCAATCTTTCTTACATGTGGTAATGGTAGACAAAGGCTAAGAGCCTAAGACGGATTGGCATGTCTGCCGAGATAGCCTGCGTTTGAGGCTCAAGTTGCCTCGTCTAGCTTCTGATGCTTGGCGAGAACTGTCGGCCGGCTTGTTCTCGCCGGAAACGAGGAGCTGTCGATCGGGGCTCGTGGTAAGCTTCAACAGGGACTCATCACCAAGGCCTACCCTAAGTCTCTGACTGAGGCTGTTCATTTGCGGGCGCCTTCAGCCGACTCAACTGGCCTATCCAAGGCGCCGAAGCGATATGCGAGCTAATCATAAATGACATCACTAGCGCAGAGGGCCTCAAAACTCAGCAACACCGTTCCACAGCAACACCAGCCGCGGCCGTCTACCACATGGCGCGCATGGGACGGCAGTAATCCGAGACCGCCAGAGATGCAGGAGACCCTGTACCGTGACTGTTATACCCACTCTTATTGTAACATTACCGGACTACGTGTCGAATGGGAATCGAGAAACATGCCACAATCTCTTACTACACGGCGGAAGCGCACGCCTGGGCACTCTCTACCGCTATCGAATTTGGTGTTGCAAATGTGTCGCTTGCTCTGAATCTGACCGAGTGACGCCATAGATCTACGCAATGCCATCCAACAGAAACGCGAGCCATACCCTTATCGCTCAGGGTCCGGCACATCGACGTAGAAGTGCATTGTACCTTGACGCTATACTTGCAGTACATGTTCGAGTAGTGTAGGAGGGGGCGAAGTAAAGACTACTGTATCTCTTCGGTATAAATGTCTCGGTATTCTTCGCACAAACCAACCATCTATCATTAACCCACCTCCACATACCCACATACCCACAGTTCTCTCCGCTTCTTTTGAGGGGTTACCTGGAGACTCGACCTGTCTATCGGGTTCGTACACTATAAAGGCTATCAGAATTCCAGCGTTTTCAGATTCTATCATATCACAGTCCAACAAACTCCTCGATTCGCAGCAAACAACACAAGCTGCAAACTTCTCCACTCGAAGATCAATCTTCAAATCTTTTCACCATGTCGGCACCTTCTCTCGCAGTCCCTTCGACTGGAAACCGCTTCGTGCGACGCCTCTCTTCCACTGAAGCTACTCGTGAGAACATCAAAATGGGCCCAACAGTCGTCGTCCCCCCACAACATCTCATGGCTCCATCAAAAGCATCAGAGATTGCCAGCGCCTTTGAGACTGCCAGACATCACCTTGACTCTACCGTGAGTCCTGGATCACCCGGCTACACTCCTCCTGAGACTTCAGTTACCGACAAATATGCTTTCGCCTTTGGTAAGTTAAGCCTCGTTATATCAGAGCAAATCTCATCTAACAAATCTCAGATATCGACGGTGTTCTTATCCGGGGTGGTCGACCAATTCCAGAAGCTGTTGAAGCCATGAAGATGCTCAACGGCGAGAACGAGTACGGTATTGTCGTGCCATACATCTTCGTCACAAACGGTGGTGGTAAGACTGAAGCCGAGCGTTGTGTGCAACTCAGCAAGCAAATGGAGATCGAAGTATCACCTGGACAATTCATCTGCGGACACACCCCTATGAGGGAGATGGCAGAGAAGTACAAGACTGTCCTCGTCGTTGGAGGCGAGGGCGAGAAGTGCCGCATCGTTGCTGAGGGCTACGGCTTCAAGGATGTGTAAGTTCAATCGCAATGCATTTTCCAGAAACATAGACTAACGGTTCTCAGTGTTACTCCAGGAGACATCATCAAAGACAACCAGGACACTACCCCATTCCGCAAGCTCACAGAAGAAGAATACAAGAATTCGCGAGCCCGAAACTTCGCTGAGGTCGAAATTGAGGCGATCTTCGTCTTCGCCGATTCTCGCGATTGGGCTTCGGATCAGCAGATCATCCTGGACCTGCTTATGTCGAAGAAGGGTCGTCTTGGAACACGATCTGCCAACTTCGACGAGGGACCACCAGTCTTCTTCTCACACAACGACGTCGTTTGGAGTGCTTCGCACGACCTTACTCGTATTGGTATGGGCGCCCTCCGTGTTTCACTCGAGGCCATGTTCAAAGCAGTCACTGGCCGAGAGCTGAAGACTACTGCATTTGGCAAGCCTCAGATCGGCACTTTCGAGTTTGCCACTCGACTTCTCAAGGAATGGCGAAGGGATACTCACCGTATCAACTCGCCTCCTTCAACTGTCTACTTTGTCGGTGACACACCGGAGTCCGACATCAGGGGCACTAACGAGTACAACGCGCACACCGACTCAGCAAATTGGTACTCTATCCTGGTGGAGACAGGCGTTTACCAACGCGGTACTACACCTCGCTTTGAGCCCAAGGCTATTGTGAGCAATGTCCTCGAAGCTGTGAGGCACGGTATGGAGCGCGAGTACAAGAGGGCTCTGCGAGAGAGCATGATGAACACTGGTGTGCTTGAGGAGTAGGAAAGATTTTGCCTTTTTTCTTTCTTTTCTCTTGATTTTCTGCATAGCATGGCGCATGGGTAGTACCTCATTTGATTTTATATCGCTGGCGATAATGGCCATAGATCATAGACTTTAGCTAGATCACACAATGGTAGACACGCAAACACAATACTATGATACCAGGCAGGCAGAATAGCCTTGTCACTTCAATTGCAATCTCCCAATCGTCGACCCTTTTCACTTTGATGAAGATCAGCATATGCTTCAAACGTGAGCGACATTTACTCTGATCAACTGCCGACGTTTGCACCATTAAGCAAGTCGATCCGGTCATATTCAGGCCATCTTCTCGCCTCCAAATGCCTCTCGTCGACGAATGCCAGCATCAGTGGCAGCATCGGTGGCAAATTCCGATGTCGACCATTCACACTCGAAATGATGAACGTACACAACGCCGCGTTACCCGGCATTTTCCATGCAGCACTCAACACCACGAAGCTTGTATTGCGAGCCGCCTTAGTCGGGCCGAGTAGCTCAAAGTCGCCGGTTTAGTGCGACCAACAACACTTACGATTACGACAGCCAACCACACCATCCATCAAATCAGCCAATGCCTCAGCTACGAAAACGGCCGAGAATACCCTTGTCGATGGGATCGCGATGAAGAGCAAGTGAGCTGTGGGCTGTGGGATTAAGGAAGGTGGATTGTGAGACTGAGGGAAGTTATTTGTGGGTTGAGAGGACACTTGTAAGAGTATCGATCGTGATAGATGTTGTTATCCTAGCGGCACGGTCTCCGCATCTGTAAGAGGAAGTTGCGTAGGCCTTGTTACGTCTTTTCATCGCGATTTCCTACTCTGGTTCCACTACAGCGTACTTACTGATACGACATTACGGCACATAGCGTGGACGCACTGTCTCCCTTGGCATGAATAACACATCCTCCAACGGCACCGCACAGCTGTTTGGACATGTTTCGTATTGATCGCGAGGCGACGTTGCAGTATGGGGCTCTATGTGGACCCTGATTGCGAAGCACGCGGTTGATCAAACATCCCACCATCCGCGCAATCTTATCGATTAGACGGAGTGGAACATGTCGGAAAGAATTCTGAAACCATCGATACAATCGGTTCCAAACTCTCAAGATTTGCGCGAAGACATTGACAAGTCTGCATTTGCGGCTTGAGTCATGGCCCCGGACCCCGCGAGTCGTCTGCTAACGGCTGACGATCTGGGGTGGCCTTGCGGGCTATGCTGGACGTGGGTGACGGGGATTGCCTTGTTCATTGTCCACACATGGAAGTTTGGGAATGGCTGGTTTACATGAGACCAGGGACCTTGATTGACGGCGATGTCTGACACTGGAGATCCCGTCTCTTTTGCATTCTCCTTCTGGCAGGTGAGCAGATTTCCGCTTCCCCACTGGATGAGGCGTTGTTTCAGCGGAACCGTAATGAAGCCAGGCGGCAGGCTGTTCGACCTACACCAATAGTTATACTGGTCCCTGCTATTGAGGTATGCACATGAGCGATCGCTAATGCTTAATGCCGATGCTCCGCTCGGCTTTACACGTATGTGCGATGCTGTGCGTAGTCCGTATGATGTGGTAAATTGGAACATGAGGATAATAGTCGTAACAAAATGAGTACACTTTGCATAAACTTTTGGTTAAGACGACGATATTTGTAAAGGTTTGTGTAAATCGTGGTAAGTGTCTTGCGTGTTTGATGCCTGCCTCGAATTCTGTTGGCGGTAATGCAAGCACTGTTTACTCACTTGCATTTTACTGACACACTTCAGCTTGAAGAGTGATCGCCTCACTATCTGGAGCACAGTGCAGCACTCGATGAGAAAGAGCAGGTTGTATTGGTATATCATAAAGGTCAAATGACAGCCAAAGGAGTGTGACATGTGACCGGGACTAATCGTGTTTGTTGAGCGACATACTAGTGAACGCTCGTATCTTTATTGGCTACCGTTCTCTTCAAATTCTTGTTCGGACCGCTCATTGTAAGCGTTGAGGCCGTAAAACCAGTCCAGCTTTTTGCGTATAGCCCCTTCCGTATAATCCACGGTGTCAGTGTTCTTTGGTCGGAACTTTGGTTCCATGGGGTCAATGAACATGGTGGTGTTATCGTAGCCCCATTTCTCAAGGTTCGTAACGTTGAAAGCAACCATCATGCTGCACACTGTTAGTATCGAAGGATGTGAGAAACGTTCACAAGATAACTTACTCATAATCTTCATGGATGAGATTGTGACAGTGAAACATGTACACCCCCTCCCATGGTGCGTACCTAGCTACAACGCGGACGGATTCGCCGGGGGCTATCCACACGACGTCTTTCTTACCCGCTGCCTCATATGGCATCACTGCATTACGACCGCCCGTACGAGACAGCACTTGGAAGTCAACGAGATGGATATGAACAGGATGCGAGGCATTACCACCTCCGTGTCTCAACTCCCAGATCTCATCCTCACCCAAGACAGGTTTTGTCAAGATGCGATTCTCGATATCCTCCCAACCGACTCCATCAATGAGCCACTTGCCGTCGATACGGGAGAAAGTGAAGTTCTTGGAGACGTTGGTCTGTGGTGGTGGAGGAATGTAGCGAAGGTCCGACGGAACAGGGTCGTTATTGGTGGAGTCTGTCACAGTATCGCCGACTACAAATCGCATGACACGATCAGTCGCCGCGTAATCGAGGTTTCCTGCCATGCCGCGCTCGTTGAGCATTGTGATGTTCTGGCCCTCCCAGTCGGCGAAGTCGACGACGATCTCGTAGCGTTCACCTTCAGCGATAGCGAAGCTATCCGTGTTTATTGGATGGGAGAAAAGTCCTGGCGGGTTGTTAGAAAAACTTTGAAAGGGCAATCCAACAAACATACCACCATCCGAGGCGATCATGTCGAAGCTCAGTGCCTCTTCGGTCTCATCTTCTTGCAAGTATAGATTGTACGAACGACTAACAGAACCGTCGAGGACGCGAAAACGATATTTGCGCGGCTCAACGTTCATGTACGGCCAAGGCTGACCGTTCACATGGATTACATCGCCCCAAAGCCCAGTGTTGTTATGCGTGTCGAAGAGAAGGGAGCCATCGGCAGCGTATTGTTTCGCGCTCAAAGCTAATGGGATATCGTAATCATCACATGGCAAGCCGAGGGCTTGTTCCTCCTCGTCCGTCAGAAGATAAAAGCCATAGAGACCCATATATACATTCTCGCCAGTTTGGCGCTCAGTGTGATCGTGATACCAGATAGATCGAGCGTTCTGTGCGTTCGGATAATAGTAGTCTTTGTATTGGCCAGGATGCGCATAATCGGCGGCCCAACCGTCGAAAGGTGCGCGATTATACTGTCCATGGACGTGGACAGTTGAGTTCGTTGGGCTGTTATTGGTAAAGCGAACCACCGCCTCTAAGAAATGATATCAGTGTCGACCCCATCGACTGGATCAGCTAGAAGCCTACCTCGGCCTTTTCTCATCATAAACGTTGGTCCCGGTGACAGCCCATCGTATGTGTATAGTGTGGTGGCTGCTAGATTAGGGTATATTTGTTGAGTGGCAGCCTTGACTTCAACCTCGTAGTAGTCGATAACGGCACCCGTGGTCTCATTAGTATATGTGCTACTCTTTGTCAGTGCTGAGAGTTATTCATGGTACTGTAGTACTTACAATTTCGATTCCTTCACTGGGGGTATAGGTAGAGGATATTGAAAAATCCATGTGTATTCTGGACTGTTCCATCTTTCCGACTTGTTATTCGGTGGGATTGTGTCGTATGGTGGCACGCTTGCCTTGGTAGGGAGTGTAATGAGGGACGATAGAGTCACACTGGCTAAAGGAGTGGCACGTATACTGTGTATCAAACAGCTAATGAAAAGAAAAGAAGGAAAGACCAATCGAGAAAACATATTGAGATGGAAACCCTATCAAGTTGAGACCACGTCCTCCCCGGCGTCTCGAGAGCTTTAAAGGGAGCTCGAGAAAACACTGTTTGCAGCTAAACTAATAATTTTTGTTGACGTAGTATATCAGAACCGGTCCGTTTGATGAGACATGGCCAGCTGATAGATCCTGCATGTTTAGCAGAACGAAGGACAGACGCAGGGACGGTTGTGGCTTACTTCCAGGTGTGTGGACCTGGATGTAGTGACTCTCCTAATAGAAACATGATCCACCATCTTGGGAAAGGAAAATCAAGAAGAGTTCGCCTCATCGAAGATGCATGTTTTGGCTGATAAAAGCCAAGAAAAAGAAACGTAAGGGGGATCTGCGACCAGTACGCGACCGAAATGTGGTGAGCACATCGGCGTCAACGGGTGTAGATGTGAGAAGATCAGCATGTAGTTATCTCTATTACTCAATAGATCAGGCGGCTGTGCAACTATAGCGTGGTGCGTGAGTTGATGTTGTGAACGGGAAGCTGCGATGATCCGTGGACCCTTCTCGTGTGCAGATGGCGTCTAGGCCCAAAACGAACACATCAATACTCTCTTTGGTTAAGCTTTCTCCTTACTCCACGGCCTTTCCTTGTGATAACCACACCCGGCACCAACGCATGCGCAAGACGTTGACACTACATGTGCACATGTACTCTTATCTCAGGCTAGACTCTGACGAAGCCTATGGTCATGATGTCAATCGCCATCTTGTGCCAGCCCCAGCCCATGTCCCTCAACAGCGTCGATTTAGATGCTGTGGCGCAGGCTAAGCGACGCTATGTATTCTCCATATCTCTCATCACCACAAAAAGCAGACTCGCATCTATTCTTGAGGTATAGCCTGAACACTAGCATCATGACGAGGCTGAAAGAAATGTTCCGAGTCATAGGTACCCCTTGGTAGGTCATGGCTGCCACACTCACACAGTGCTTTTGCTACGCACGGCTTCCGATACTGCGTTTTGTGTGGGCGCACGACATGCTCTGTACACGGGATTTGGGAGATTGCCACCACGGTCTGATGCAGTAGATCCATGGAACGGCAATCGATTATGGGAATCAAAAATATATGATCGTCAGATATCGATATTGCCCGTGTGTTGAACGTACACCATTATCCCGAGTCGGTCTATCGGTCCGAGCGATGACACTACTAGTCCCTGTGTTGAGTTGTTGAGAGAGCTGACTCAACAACGTTCACGAGCGCAATAACACGTACTCTTACAGGCTCAGTAAACATCGAAGGTCGATGATTGGTCATTTGCCAGCTGCACCAGTTGCTTCTGTGGCTCATGAACTGGTCGATATGTTATTTGGGTCCCACCGTCTGCCAAAATGGAAGAGGCAAATTGGAAAGTGTTTGAGTATAGCAAGCTTGAGGTGGTTACTGCTACTTGTTGCTGCACGTCAACAGGTCCTTAACTGAGCAGTCCTCCAGAGCATGTACGGAGATTATCCCCCACAACCAAGCACTATGGCTTGTCGGAATGCTTAGTAGCATCCGTAGTCTCCATCATAACCACCGTCATATCGATCGCCATACACCCCACCATAGTATCCGCCCCCGTAACCCCCAAATCCTTCGTCGTACTCTCTGTCGTAACCTCCACTAAAGCCCCCATACTCATCGAATGTGCTAGATCCTCCTTCAAATCCGGCACCGTATCTGCCATACCTCCAAAAAAAAAACATGCCACGTCCAAACCCTGTCTGCTATGCTCGCCCTCCCGATTCTATCTGGTCAAACTCATCCTCATATCCTTCGGGAAACCCCATACCATACCCTTCTCTCAAACCACGAGCACCATGGCCTGATTGGTGACCGCGAGTACGGGCTTCGCGGTATTCGGGGATAGGGCTGCGGGGGATCTCGCCGGTTGGAGTAGGCTGGCCTGGGAGCCAGTACTGTGCTGACCACCTTTTGCCACTCTCATCTTCCTAGTGGTGCGTCCATGGGCTTGAGTCAAATGGAGAGCAGTGGCCGGCTTGGTAAGCCCCGTTTAATATATGCTGCATATCGGGTTACATCGCTTCTCTGAGTGGTCTTTGGATAATGGTGCCTTTACTAAGTGTTAATGAATTGGAAAAGTTGTTCCAATTTACGATGTAGGAATTTGAGTTGATGAGAAGAGAAAGAATTTAAACTGGCTATCGGTTTTCACATAATGATACCGGCATTGGTGACTCGAGAACGTGCTGGCATGCTACTGATGAAGTAATGCTATGCGTTGTGTCAACTTCTACTCATGTTCAGTTTGGTATGCTGTTTGCACGATCAATTATATATTCATGAACTCGTCACCACCAAATATTAGCCGTCATCACAGCTATAATTCGATGTACGTTCATAGAAACTCATCGCCCACAACAAGCAGCAATTGTATACTTCAGCACAACAACGGGCATCACAGAGGACCAATTGAACTCAAGGCTACAAACTGCCCGCTTTCGAATCAACATATCAATATTGAGATGGTAAACCTCAAAAATCATTGAAGGTCATGAGTGCATTTCACAACCACAACATGTCGCGAGTCTACTCAGACAAGACCTCAGTAGTAGCTGTATCCGCCACGCCCACTATAACCTGCATGGCCTCCGAACAGCCCATAATCATCGTATCCATCGTGCCCTCCTCCAAAGTTATCATACCTGTCGTAGCCATATCTGCCATACCCTCTGAATACGCCCGGGAAGTCATCATATCCACTATACCCACCCATACCATCAGGATAGCCATCATAGTCATCGTAGCCTCTACAGCCCCTAGAAATGTCGCCATAATCGTCGTAATCCCCAAAAATATGGTCACCACGATAAGCGCCTTATTAATAACCTCTGCCGTATTTATAGAGGTACCAAGACATTCATTCCAATTCGCCTGCATGAAGCCGTGTTGTTCACCTTGGTTGTAACTGTGGTAGAACCCAACATCATACGTTTGTTAACATAACAGTAGGTAGTACGCAAGATTCGGGAGAGGAGTTTAGAGATGAAACCCAATTAGTATACACTCATGACCCGTCCTGCCATATGCGCTTTATGCGCTCTATGATCAAAGTCCAGCACTCCAGCTTCTTTGAAAGTTGGCTACCGTCCTCGGTTGCGAACAAAGTCTGTTGCAACGACATATCCCAAGAAGTAGCGATAGGTGCCGTCTTTCATATTTTCCTGATTAGTCGCATAATCGCAAGGGTTATTCGGGATATCTTGCTTGCATTCGCGATTACAGTGGCTGTTGCGAGGCAAGTTTTTGTTCTGTTTGCAAGTGGCAGAAAGTAGCGCAAATATTTGTAGTCGGAAGTGAGAAAGTAGTTGCCGTGGGAAATAAGAAGAAGATAATAAGAGCTTGCAAGCATGGACACCTTATATATATGCAACATCATGATAAAAGAGTGTTCGCTGATGACGAAGCTGAGATGTTGAAGGAGTGATAGACACAGCGGCCTTCCGGTATACAACGATACATGTACTTATAGACCATATGTTCTGTCCTTCTGGCAACACAGAGGCTTACCCGGCGTGAGTATTGAATGGATGTTGTGCATCGTGGTCGTTATTTGAGGCCTATCGCGCACTCGCTCGAAGGGGCTTCGCGGGCCACCACATGCTTTGTTGCTATCTATTCGCAGTGCTTGGCGTATCCAAGTGAATGCATAAGTACACTTGCTTTGTTCAGCGTATTTGTTATCCACGTCCGCTTCATTCTTGCCGCAGCAATCGTACCCATACATTCCTCCTGTGTCTTCTCTTGATGCCTTAGAGTTGTCTAGAATACCCATGCTTGCAATATCCCCTTCATGACCATCCATGTGGAGAAACAGTCCCAAAATTAAGCAAAGACTATCCATACAAAAAACAGGTTTGCTGCAAGTACGACACGCGTCGCTTTGAATCTTGGTTTTGAGGCTGTAAAGCATCCCGCGCGATCGTTGCAATGAGAACGCAAGCCTTGCCGTCGGCCTCATGACCAAATGGAAACCATTCCCGGGCGGAAAAAACGAGAAGCTCGATTCCACGCGTGGTTGCCGCAGTTATCCATGTCCCGTTGGTGCAGGCGGGTCTATACGGTCCGAATATAAAGGCCCGAGGCGGCTGATCTGTCCTGCGATCTCGACCGTGGAGTCGCAATACATGTAATCTCTCGTGATACTGCGATCGAAGGTTGTGGGTTCATCATACCGAATGGCGGTTGGGATTCTAACAACGATAGTAAGCAAGATAGTACTTGATGTTGGGCAATCTTCCTTGACTTCATCCTGGTGAACAAGGTACTATGTCAGCGCGACCGAACTGTCGGCTCAGCATGACGCTTGAAGGTTGTCGATCCTGAGGCCTTGCCCATTGTTGCGGGCAAAGTGATTTGCTTCAATACATGCCATTTGCGGACTATCTCCGTGGTTGCATACCTACAGCCTCTCCCGGGACATCTAGTCGAGAAAATTGCAGCGAACGTTTAATTTGACCACACCAAGAGTGTGCTTTTATGAGCAGGCTTTGTGTATCTTGTTTTCCTTCTACTATTTACCCGAAGATAGACGGAGACTCCACATTCACCGACGAAGATAACCGTATGTCGTCATCAGGTCCTCTGCCATCAACAATGACAACGCCCAGTCGCTCTACTTCCGACATTGTAGATCGCACATCGCATAACTTGATCAAGCCTTGGAGCACTGTGAGTGGTGAGTCGATAGGATAATACAACGAGAAGTCGGTGAGAGGATTGACCACACCCTCCCACACCACTCCAACGCTGTATTGCGGGGTCACACATGGTGCGGCTCTGATGTGGGGACGTAAAAACTACTCGTCGATGCATATCCATTGTCGTTCTGGTATGGAAAATACCGAGGTAGTTGTGAAGCGGCTGCGAGTCGGCATGCACTAATTTTGTAAACGGTACCCTAGCGTAGTGTACTTCTAGACTGTCGCGCTTGAAGGAATGTCGATGTTTCCATGGCGTTCGCGTGTTTCCAGGTGTCTGTCCCTAAAGAAGCAGCGGAAAGCAGAGGGTACCTAACCGGATGAGGTTAGGGTGCGGTACAAATCCCAGCGATGGCAGCCCAACCGCCGCTGACGTAGTTCCCTCTATCGTCATCTTGACTTTTCGATTTCCCAGCACTTTTCACGTGCAAACTTAGTTGGCGTTCCTGAAACACATCTCCGCCGTTCCTGGACGATCCTGAACCACGTTTAGCTTATAAATCGTGCAGAATGTGGAGTGAGAAGTGGACCTGATTCGCTACCATCGTCGAATTGACTTTCTCCATACGAGAAACCGACGACGACGCAATTCCTAGGCCATGACGGAGGGGGTCGTCATGCCGCGAATGCAGTAGCACTAGCAGTGGTTCGAACCAAACTTCTCAATTATGGCGTGAGAAGCCGGATGCAAGGTAGGCGGTGAAAGAACGGCAGGCGTGCGGCCACGTGCATCGTGGTTTGTATGTTAGTAGCTGACATAGTTCAGCGAGTCGAATTGGATAGCTTACGCTAATGGCTTTCGCGATATGTCGGGCGCTTCGTGAAGTGGAGGCGAGCGTCGATACGACATACCGTATGCTGTCATATCGAAATTCGCGAAACACCATTGGTTACTCATCATTACCTCAACTGCACGCACTAATTTACCAATCATGTTTGGAGCCTTGGAGTGGGCCATCTTGCTTATTGTATCTTCACCGAACCTAGGGCACGGGTAATAGAGCGCCATGCAACAAATGGAGAGAAGTAGGTACCGTTCTAACGTACGAGCGTATGCATGTGTCGACTAAGGCGGAGGAAGGAGCAAATGCAAGCTTCAAACAATCGATTCCATATGGTTTCCTGATCTGCATGAGCGGCAGACACGTGATCTGTACTCTTCTCGAAGGTCCACGAGTAAGAGATGACAACTGCAACACCCTCTCAGTCTCGAGATTTCCCTGGCTCTCCCAATAGATACATACAGCGCACTCTGCATCACCTCCGCCAGCACGTGCCATCAAAATGCCACGACCGTCGCGCACCACTCATTCACTCATTCACAGCATTATCGATGCACGGAACCTCGCAAACAGCCGATGCCGAATCCCTGCATAACTCTTGACCCACACACATGGCATTTATTCGGCATCTCGGATCCGTGAAGGAAGGGGCACGGGGCACAAGCCTACCACACCACACCAACCAACGGCGCTCGCATCCAAAGACGCAGGGAAGCCGAACCAAAAACGAAATAACACGGCGATAAGGAAGACCCTGTTTCTGTGGAAATCCATTGAGATCTTGAGCGGGCTGTGCAAAAATAGCATGCGTTGTCAAACTAGACTTAGATCAGTTTTTGTCATTATCAACATTTTCAGGGCTATGAAATTACGATTGAGATGATACGAGTTACTGTTGTGTTGGCCGTGTTCGGCATAGCGACCTAGCGCTCCAAACCACAACAACCCAACACCATGCACAACGTGTATGCACACTCCCGCAAAACAAGAAACATGCGCAACATTGAATCAACGGTTCCCCTCTATCCAGCATCTTTCCCAAAAGACCCCTTTCAGCCAAGATCACCACCCGGCACACTTCACTTAATCCAGCAACACGTTATGATGATCCTTGGACTGGCTGCGGGGCCACTACAAGCCAACAAGTTAACAGCGAGTAAGTATCTTGGCATATCTCCGTTCTAACATAGCCGTAAACAATTAAGATATGACGATCCTTCCAATCTTCCAAGGATGCCTCTTTGCTCGACAGTTTTACGCGACCGCCAAACGCCGAATGATCACCATCAGAAAATCTCAGGTGATGGCAGTGGTGTGTTGGCGATGATCAGACATTGCCCCAACGGCCCGTCTAAACCTGCTTTCTTCCCTCTTTCTGATCGCGATCAACCCGTCTCTTTGGGCATGATGGTAAGTGCCGCTGGAAGCGAAGCGACAGGTGCAACACGCAACTGCAGCTATAGCGTAGCGTAGCGTACACGCCTTACAGTAGCACCATGGAAGTGTGTAAAGCGAAAGTGGATTGGAAAATGAAGAAGATTCAGGGTCCGCTCGCACGGCGCACTATATGCGTTGGTCGACTTTAGTAACGTGGAGTGATGTGGGGAATGATTTGTTCGTGCTGGATGCATTGGGAAAGCACGAAGAGGGAGGAAAGTCACGTTAGCGGTTAGTTGCGACTCATACGTACACGGTGTACATTCACACACACCATGCCCGCTCTTTTTCCGGCGACTAGCAGGTGACTGGGTGTTTCAAAAAGGCGAATGCGGCCGTGCTGGATACGGGGTGATTTTTTTGATGGGGCGAAGAATGGGGAAGGTCCTGTTCGGGTAGGTCGGCATCTCGCGTGGTACTATCTGGACGCGGCGGAGGGAGAAGGATGAGGATGTGGTGGCAGTGTTGGATCGCAAGATGGAGTTGTCAGTATTATGATGTGCATGATGACGGAAGTGTAAGCATTGCAAAGCAATCACGAAGACATAATAGGTTGACAGGCTACCGGCACGATTTGATGTAAGATGATGTGATATGACTGAGTTGAATTGCTAGCTACATGAGAAAAGACCCGTCATCTGTCCAGCTCAACACCACGGGTGGAGCGCTTACAGTGAAGCTATGGACAGGCGAGATGCTATACGTATATACTTTCGGGGGGAAAACGTATTTGGATATTTGATAAAAGCGACTGGTGCCACGCTCCAGCACTTGGAGGTAATGGAAGAAGAAGAATGTTTGAGTTCGTGTTTGCAAGAACGACCGTTCCATCCGTCTCCGTCTATGTTGTGTTCGATTCGAGTGCTAGTTTTTGTATTTGTTATAGTGATGAAGAACGCCGTTGATGCTCCGTGCCGTGAGGGTAATATGATTCCAGAAATGTTCAACAAAAAGAAGGACGTAAGAGTAACTAATTCTCGCGGTGCCGTGTTCGAGTAGAAGTTCTTGAGTGGTCGTGTGTTTGTTGGTGGCGTGAGAGTCAACCCCCACCAACAGAAGTAGCCCGGCCAGGAGAGTAGTCTCCCCTTCGACGAGCTTCCTCGCGAATGTACTTCTCAACGTGCTTGTCGGCCTCTGCTCGGCTCACACCAGCGGTAAGATAACCGCCGGCGTCTTCTTCGAGTTCCAGAGGAGTGACTACTCCAGGACTGGCTAGAGGCTCTAGACGTGGACTGGTCGGTTTTGGTCCAAAGCCCCTGTGTTGGCGGGTAGTGTTGGCGAGAAGTTGTTGCTGGTAGAGGTACATCTGTCTCTGAACCTCGTACTGTCTGTTGGATGATCGAGGTGATGCGGGCGAGTTGGGACTGTCAGGACCGGCAACGGGTGTGTTTGCTTGACTTGAACCTTGAGACGAAGCGTAGTTTGCTGGGTGGAAGCGGGGCAGGGAAGGGAGCCTCAAGTGCGCAGCAGGTCCGTTGTTGCTAGGTTGTCGTGGGTTCAGAGCTGGTCGACGTCGAGCCTGGGAGGGAATATCGAGAGGCTGTGATCTGGGGGAGAGAGGTGAGCTGATAGCAGGCATGCTGCGGTCGGCTGCTCGAGAAGACATGTTTTGGTGTGAGGTATCGGATCTAAAGATGACTCGCGAAAGGGAAGGCGAAGTCGGCGGAGATCGCATATGACGTGTGGCGAGGAAACCTCGAGTGTACTTTGGGGAATGAAGGGTACAGCTCCGGTGAGGCTGTTATATGAACTTCTCTCGAATGATAGTGAGGAGAGAAATGATTGAAAGATAAAGTACCGTGCTTCCGAGCAGTAACGCACAGAGCAGCGGCGGTGTCTAATATATCTAGCAGCGGGAGGGTCCAGCAAGGCTTGCGTCTTGGTGGCAGGCCTCGGGGATGGTAGCCGATCTTATTGGAAAGGTACAGCGATGATCTTCCGCTTGAAGGCGCACTGTCGTGCGGTAATCGTTCCTGAGAGGGTAACGACTTGATGCACGGCTCAAGTGGACCCCGTTTCAATGTGGTGGAAGCACAAGCGCTTGTTACTGGCAGCACACCAAGCCGGTGTCTATCAGTTGCAACAGGTGGCTGCGGGCCGGTTATGGCGGAGTACAGATGGCGCGTGTGTTTTCCCGAAACTTGGGTCCACAATCAGAGTAAGCTGGAGTGCGTCGGCTAGTCTGAGGTTGGCGCAGATGATTGAGAATTGTTGCTGGAACGGGATGGCTAATCTAACGAGTGAGTGGGAACGAGCGGTACAAAGCCTCCTTTACATACGAGGGGAGGACAAGGCCGTAGCAACAAGGCGCGCCATATTTGCAGGCGCTATCATCTCGTCATTTAACTTCGCAGGCCTTGGTTTCGCTCTTTGGGCGGGGCGCTCCTTTCCTGCCTCGCTAACCATGCGAATCGTCCAACACGCCTACTTGTGCAGCATATCCATTATGACGCAGTGCAGTGTACCGGCACCTTTCTAAGACCGAACACGTGCCAGCGTTAGCATTCCCGGCGCTAAACGCGTGGTGTGAACACAGCATTGCAAACTTCCATCAATTGCCCTGCAGCTGGACCATCGTGTGATAAGGTACCGTTGCATCTGCAGCAGAGCCCTGCGGTAGGTTGCAGAAATGTCTTTTTTATTTTTCACATGAGGCTTCGCGCGCATGCTCCCTCAAAGTGCGGTCTGTTAAGACAAAATGGTAGCGCGCGTACAAGACATGACACCACCACCGCACTGTGGCAGCAGCGCCAAGTTGATTCGACCTTGTGCAGCGCCCAACAACTGCGGCATTCTTCATAAACAACTATGCGGATATTGGGCTGAATGGAACGACGACAACTGATCGTGATCCACTATGCGTCTTTTTCGTTGTCTATCCCGAAGTTAACCCTAACGTCGCCGAAAAATATATAGGCGATAGTGTTTGGAGGGAGAGCCGCTCGCACGGTACAAACAAAGCTGCACAATCCCAAATTATCCAACATGGCAGAAATACCGCCTGAGCGGACAGCCGCCGAAGCCGCTCCTTCACGCAATTCTTCCATCATGTACTGCGCGCTGACCGATGACGCCCATACAGAAACCTTAATGTATGTGGCCTTTGCTAGAGGGCTCCGGCTATCTTCGCCGGACTACAATGCCGTCACGAAGCTCTGTCTCTCGGGCACAAGGAAAAAGAGCCTAGCGCAGCGACCAAAAGGGTTGTCTAATCATTTCATTCATGCATGAAGTTGCAATGAGGAAAGTAGTACATCCAGCCACGGCAAAAGTTGCACCACCTGGTAAATCTCCCGTGTGCGGCGGAAGTCTATGAAGCACTGCAGCCGCCGGAGGAGCTCGGGCAAATCGAGTTGGCACACGCATTAGCATAGGGGTAGGCAAAAACAATGGAAACTGAGGCTTGATGTGGAACACCGAGGCAATTAAATCAACGGCAAAGAAAGACCGCTTTGAGAAGGTGACAAGTGGTGAAGTCACCGGCGAAATATCTCGGTCACTTGTGCTATTTGCAGAAGGCCAGTCGTGCCGTGAAATTGTTTGATTTGTTGATTGGTGTCTGTCGCTGCAAGCCTTTCTCAATATCATCTCGCGCCTAGCTTCTCCAATGCGCGCGCGCCTTGTTCCTCCCACTCCGCCTTTGATATCCACATGTTCTCTTTGTCGGCCATTATGTTCGCAAGCACAGCTCCACCGAGGAACACCATGTGCCTTCGCCGTGGCGGGTCTTCGATGCGAACCTTGAATTTCTGTCTCGGTATTAGCACTGCTTAGCCAGACGTGTAGATGTGTACCTACGTTGAGTCGCTCCGGATTTCCGCCCAGAACCTTGGTGAGCCATAGCTGCTTGAGCTCCTTCTCCAGCCGACTTGGCAGACCCGGGTACATGCTGCTACCACCACTGAGCACAATGGCCTTGTATAAACTGCTCCTGACATCGACGTCGGCAGCTTGAATCGTGTTGAACAGGAACTCGGCGATACCGGGCTGCTCAACGTCGACAAGATGCGGCTGGAACAGACACTCGGGAGCCTCAAAACGCTCGCTGCCCACGCGAATAACCCGGCCATCCGGTAGAGTGTAGGACTCTACCAGGACGGTTGTGTCTTCGCTAAGGCGCTGGTCCAACTCAAGGTCATATGAGACGTAGCAGAGCTTCTCCTTGATTTGACGGACAGTCTCGAAGTCGGCAGTTCGGTTGAGAGCGTAGCCTCTCCGTAGCAGGAGGGCGATGAGGTTACGGGTCACGTCGCGTCCGGCAACATCGAGACGGCGTGTAAGGTGGTTGAGGACGGTACTCTCGTATACAGGAACGATATGCGTGACACCGTCTCCGGAGTCGACAACTACACCGGACGATAATCCTTGCGCATATAAGGCTAGGACAGCCTGGATTGCCACGTATACACCCCCGAAGCCGTAGCGTTCAAACATGACTTCACACATGGTTTCGCGGTTCTTGAGCGGGTTCATCGGCGGCTCAGTGAGCAGGATCTTGCGGCCGGTAGGGTCGAGGTTCATCTTGTCGTAGAAGGTGTAGTCCCAGACATGTTGCATGTCATCCCATCGCTTGACGATACCATTCTCCATCTATTGTGCGAGAAAGCGTTAGCTCGACGATGAATCGCAGAGATCTTGATGGTGCACATACAGGGTACGTGATCTGAAGCATTGAGCGCGCTGCCGCTGCTTCATCACCGCACATTATGTCCTTGAGCTGGATGTCACCGCCATCTCGCTCTTCGGTTCGCAGGATGGGTCGGCCGACTATTGAAGGAAATTGGTGGTCGGGGAAGTTCTAAAGAGTAGTTTATTAGCCTTTGACATGTCATATCTGTCGCCTTCTATACAACATACCTGTCCGGCGTAACCCGCCTTGAGGAAACCGGTACCGCCATCGAGAACTAGTTGAAGAGTAAGTAGAGCTTCGAATACAGGTGAAGAAGCTGCGCATACCAATGGGAGCTTCAGCCATGCTGTACAAAGCTCAAAAGGGTTGTTGAGGCTGAAGGAGTGGATGTTGGAAGCTGACCGTAGCTCGGTGTTGCGTGCCTTGAGGTTGACGACGTTGGCGGGGCGCATGGTTGGCCAGGGGTCCGTGAGCACTCAAACAGGCAATGCAAATGCTCCCTCTACGACTTGAGTCGTGAACGTCTTTTCATGAACCTCAATCGTGATGCAAGTACCGCAATTTGCAAAGATTGGAAGAAAAAGAGTATAGCGCTATATATGTGATATGCTACATCTTCTAGGCACTGCCGGTCCAGTGTACGCGAAATATGTCTCTATTGCCTCTGGTTCATACGTGTAATACTTGAAATCACTGCATTCTTAGAGCTGTAGTTATACCAGCAGTTTGGTACATTTTCTGTACACTTGTTGTTCAGAATCAAGATACTTGTGGTCACCCACTTGATGCCACTTGCATGGTCACCCACCTGAGAAGCCGCGACTTGCGCATCGCTTAATGCATGGTCCGAGCGCCAACTGCCCACTTCAATATCGTCTTGTGCCAACACGAACTTTCTCTTCAGCCAGTTCAACTAACAGCAGGTCAAGATGCCTTTCGTAAGTACACCCTGAATTGCTCCCGCCATGCACCCATCTATTCCATTGCCATGACGGCAACCCGCTTCGACGAAAGTCGAGTGGAGTCTTTGCGAGATGCTTCGAATGCGGGTTTGAAGCGCCAATCGCTGACTCTGTCAAAAGTCCAAGCTCCAGAAGAACGACGCCTACTTCTCGCGGTACCAAGTCAAGTACAAGCGCCGCAGGCAGGGAAAGAGTACGTATCCAAGAACCGTTCAAATCGCGACAGAATCTAACAATCCGCAGCCGACTACTATGCCCGTAAGCGGTTGATTACCCAGGCCAAGAACAAGTACAATGCGCCCAAGTACCGCCTCGTCGTCCGTTTCACCAACAAGGACATCATCTGCCAAATCGTCCACTCCGAGATTGGCGGTGACAAGGTCTTCTGCGCTGCTTAGTATGTCCCACGCGACTCGCTTCAGTATGGTCATGTCTAACAGGTTTATAGTGCCCACGAGCTGAAGGCTTACGGCATCACCCACGGTCTTACCAACTGGTCTTCTGCATACGCCACCGGTCTGCTCCTGGCTCGCCGTGTTCTCAAGAAGCTCGAGCTTGACGAGGCCTTCACCGGTGTTGAGGAGGCTGATGGTGAGTTCACTCTCACCGAGGCCGCCGAGGTTGACGGCGAGGAGCGCCGCCCATTCAAGGTCTTCTTGGATGTCGGTCTCACCCGTACCTCCACCGGTGCCCGTGTCTTCGGTGCCATGAAGGGCTGCTCCGACGGTGGTGTCTTCGTTCCCCACTCCGAGAACCGTTTCCCCGGATACGACATGGAAGGCAAGGAGCTCGACGCCGAGACCCTCCGCAAGTACATCTTCGGTGGTCACGTCGCTGAGTACATGGAGACTCTCGCCGACGACGACGAGGAGCGCTACAAGTCTCAGTTCAGCGGCTACATCGACGACGACATCGAGGCTGACGGCCTTGAGGAGCTTTACCAGGACGCACACAAGCAGATCCGTGAAGACCCCTGGAAGAAGGAGGACGGTGATGCTCCCAAGAAGTCCAAGGACGAGTGGAAGGCCGAGTCCAAGAAGTACAGGAGCAACAAGCTCACCAAGGCCGAGAAGGAGGAGCGTGTCAAGGCCAAGATCGCCGAGATCACTGCTTAAGCTGTTGCTTTCTCTTCTTCATACTTTGTTCTATCATAACAAAAGCACGGCTCTGGCGTCTGGGGATGACATGGGAAGGATGCCTGCCATGGCAGGATACAAGTACTGTACTTAGCCTCACGACCTCAATGAGATGATGAGACGGCACGCCGCGATTGGCTACTACAAGCAAGATACCCCACCAAACAAATGTGCCCTTCCTGTTCAAAGTGTGTGAAGTTTCCTGAAATAGCAACACGTGATACACCCATGTGGACCGGTAGCGGCCGACACCACAGTGACGTGCTGTCGCGGGTTTGACCATAGTTGAGAGACAAGCACGGCTTCCTATTCATGTGCTATAATAACGGTCAGCTGTTTCAGCGACAGCGGTAGCACCTGTGAGGGACACTGTGTCGTCGGCGCTTAAGTCAGCGCGGTGCATCAGCCTGACAAAGAGCGAGGCATGTGGAGATATGCCGATTTAGGATGTTTCGAAGGAATATTGAATACAAGTATAGAGGCAATCCTCGCCGTCGATCATGATGTTCGGCAGCATCTGAAGACGTGACATCGCTTGGTGTGGAGAGGAGAAGGAGACCCGAAGCAATCAGCCGACACCTTTCGTCATCGCCCGGCTCCCACAGCTTGTAGTGCACGTTCGCCCATAACATCGCATCGGCCGAGTATCGCACAGAGCAACTCTCAGAAATCGCGCAGCAATTTGGCTTGAGCGCATCGAGTCGTTGAAGTCGCATCCAGAACGTGGAAAGGGTCCATTCTTGGAGGCTTTGCATCATTTCCAATCGGCGGATTCCCGCAGAAGCCAGAAACCCCGCTGACTTCCGGTCGCCTCACTGAGGCTGTTTGCAACCCTGACGCATGGCGAGACCCCTATATACGCAATGACAGCCATTCAGACACCCGTCGATACTGCGTCGGCCATGGAAGACATTCACGGAGTCGATGTATCGTGGCTGCACCACTCAACTAGAGGTAAGTGAGGCCCGCTTACCCTGGGTGGAGACGTCTCGGCTTTGCGGCGCAACCCTGAGCTCTCAGAGCTGTACTAACATATTGCGCCTGAGTAGACCATCATCACCGCCAGCAGGCCCCCTCGTCGCCAGGCCTGAGTAGAGATGCGCCTCCCAAGACATCGTCACATGGTGGACTACCCACCAGGCCCCGCCACGACGAGCAGCAAATTCATGAGCCGACACCGGCGACGACGAGACCCGCATCACCGCCGCGACCGCCCCCAGCTGGAGCTACACCATCAAGCGCAACGCCTCCCCAGAAGATACCGCCAAAACGTCCAGCACTGCTTAGCCGAGGCAGTACTGATAAGAATGTCAGCGGAACAACGCCACCCGAATCAAAGAACAACTCGCGACGCAACTCGTGGATGAATAGCATCAGCTCAAAGTTCTCGTCGCAAAACTCGCCCGCACAAACGACACACACCCAGGCCCAGGGATCACCCGCTGCTGCCAATGGCGCGACCAATACTGCCCCCTCGGCCAACGGCGCCCTGAACGGCATACAAGCGGCGTCGGGAGGCAGCAATGGCGCCGCTGAGCCCTACGTCCCGCAACAGCCCAAGAGTTCGTTTGTCGGAAACGTGCTGCGACGCCTGTCATCGGGAACACAAGTTGGCACCGCTGGCAAGGTCTATCCAAACGGAGGCATGTGCCCACGAAAGGTCATGAACGTCGACCCCAACCGCGAGCGATGCCTAGTCCCTGAACTGGATCAGAACAAGTTGCGCAAGGTCGCATTTTGCGTAGATGTTGAGATTGCTGGAGGACCCAAGTACAAGGACGATGCGGAAACAGACGATAAAAAGGCGAAGCGCAAGGACAAGAAGTTGAAGGAGCGCGGCGAGGGCGAGGCACTGAAGAACCCGGAAGCCGTGGCGGAAGAGAAGGATAAGGATGGTGTCGTCGCCATCGCTCAAGAAGTCGTCGGCAACGATTCCGAGCCAAACCCTGAGGGCACAGTCTTGGACGAGGACAAACAGGAGCCAAGTAGGAAGAAAGAGAAGAAGAAGCGATCCGAAGCTGAGCGCAAAGAGCGGAAAGAGAAGAAACGTAAGAAGGCCGAAGAGAACGGTACAATCCCCATGGAATTTACCAGAGACGATGACAGCGCCAGCGCTGAAGGAGTACCTGCTCCTACTGGGGCGCCGACTCCTCGCGCTCAGGATCGCCCAACCATTGACCCACTGCGCATCTACCGAAGATGTTGCCAACTTCGCGAGTCTCCCATTCTCAAACGCATCAGTGACCAGCTTGCGGCGCCACGAGCGTGTTCCGTTGTTCAACCGGGCGTTGTCACCTGTCTGGATCTGACAGGGTCGAGGTTGCAACTGGCTGACGTCTTGACCCTGTCAGATTGGCTCGCCATTGTACCTGTCAAGAAGCTATTCTTGGAAGACGCGGACCTGAACGACGAGAAGATCAGGGTCATACTCGCAGGTCTCCTGGCCGCCAAGGTTCCGGAGCCCCCTAAACAACGCGACCAGTCCAACGACGGAACCCAGGACGGACTGTGCCAGCAAGGCTCATGCGCAGTCAAGAAGCTGGTTCTCAAGAACAACCCGAAGATTACAGCTGAAGGCTGGAAACATATCGCTCTGTTTCTCTACATGTGCAAATCCATAATGGCAATCGACGTGTCAATGATACCGTTCCCAAAGTCTCGACCGCAGGTGGCTTCTCCACCTACTAACAGCACGCAAGCACCGTCTCCCACCAAGGATAGCAGGTCGGGAGATGTGGCTGAGATCTTCTCCAAGGCCATCTCCGAACGACTGGGCGGTTCAGAGCTTCAAGAATTAGCCATGGCTGAATGCAACCTGACCTCCTCGAGCATCAGGAAAATCATCGACGGCTGCGTCATCAGCGGCATCCAACGTCTGAGTCTTGCGACGAACGATATTGACGCTGAAGGCCTCGAACATGTTCTACATTACTTGCGCTCTGGTGTGTGCCAGGGAATTGATCTTGGAGGGAATGACTTACGATCATTGATGGGCAAGATCTGCGACAGCATTAAGCACTGCAACAACAGCCCACTTTGGGCACTGTGCTTGCAAGATACCGGCCTCACCCCAGAAGCACTCAAGACACTCATACCAACTCTAATCTCCCTACCGTCGTTCAGATTCCTGGACCTCTCGCATAACAGGGGTCTCTTCATGGGCCAGACTTCACTTTCCCTCCTTAGGAAATACATGCCTCAATTTAAGGAGCTGAAGCGGATACATCTCGTGAATGTCGACATGAAGCCCGAAGATGCAATCGCTATCGCAGAGATTCTACCGGACTGTCCTCACATCGCGCACATCAACATTCTTGAGAACCCCGAGATAACGCGTGTCGCGACCTCGACAGATGAGGAGACACAAGAAGAAGCTGCTGCGTTATATGCGTCGCTGACTTTAGCAGCCAAGCTGTCCAAGTCGCTCATATGTGTCGACGTGGACATACCGGCTCCGGAACAAGGCGAAGTTATAAAAGCACTTGCGAAGCAAGTCGTGGCGTACTGCTTGCGCAACATTGAATCCATCAACGAAGTGCCAGAGCTTCAAGCAGCACCAAAACAAGTTGAGGTTCCGGATATTCTGATGCGTCTTGTTGGTCCCGAAGACACTGGTTATGAAGAGAATGACAATGCGTCCAATGCTGCAGACAATGACTACATTGTTGGCGGCACAGGCATTGCTAAAGCGCTCAGTTACTGCCTTTCTCACAAGGAAACCGATCTTCGCAGGGTGTCAGTTCCAGTCAGTGGTACCTCTACTCCCAGAAGTCGAAGCAGGGTACCAGTGCTTGAGGAACCGAGCAAGGCCAGAGCCATGTCTAAGGATCTTCTTGAGACTGCGCGGAACACGCGAAACAGAATCCAGCCTGCACTGATCAGAGAGGCGAAGGGTGGTAATGACCTGAATTACCGTATGTCTCACAATCTTGTTGTATTGTCGATATGGCTAACCTGTTGATAGGTCGTTTGCTTTTCCTAGATCAAACACTTCAAGGCATGATTCAACGCTTCGAAGACGAATACCCAGAAACACGTCTTCAACCATCCGATGCAGCTTCTACAACAAGCTCTAAACTCAGCAGCTCACCACCTACCTCCGCTGTACCGACACTCGAGAACAGTGTGTCAACAGACTTCACGGCAGCTGAATCCGATGAGGACGAACCTTCTACCCTACGCTCACGCCACAACTCCGACGTCTCTCTCGCATCACGCCACATGTCCCTCGAAGAAGGACGTCTCCACCGATTCGGCCATCGCGTACGCACCGGTCTTCTCAACCCGTCTCGCCCCACGACTCCTGACGTTTCCGAAAACCATGTCTCCTTCATCTCGGGTACGGCAGACGACCAAGGTCTTCCAGAACACCTTCTTGCCATGCGTGCATACTTCCAGAATCACAGCGGTGACGAGATGAGGCATATGATTGAGGGTAAAGGCTGGGAACAGGCTTTTAACAGTGTCGTGGAGAACGCCGAAGAGCTGAGGAACCTTGAAAGGGATGACCCGCAACAATTCAAGATGTTTAAAGAGAGCCAGATTGCGGCGTTGAAGAATCGTAACCCGGATATTTTTGCGCCTGGAGAGAAAGAGAGGACGTGTGGTGAGGGGCACAATGGAAATGATTTTGCTATTGAGGACTAGTTATGGGATGCGGCGTTGAGGAAGAGCTCACAGGAGGGTTGGGGTTTATTGGCAAATGGGATCGGTATGATCTTTCCACCGTTGACTTGGGCTTAAAGGCTGGGGCGCTGGAGCGCACTCACCGGCTCAAGTGTTCATTCTTTATATATTTGTAACTGACAGTTACGCTGGCTAGCACATCGCCTTGCATGGCATGTTGATTCAATTATGATTCCTATTCACAACACTTATATCACGGACAGCTACAATACGTCACATCTGTTCCCTGTTTTTTCTTCCTGTTTCCTTTCTTGTTTATCTGTCACATGTTCTCCATATCATTATCCAAACCGGCAATAAGATGTTCAAATGTGCCCGCCGGCTCTCCTGCTCTTTTACTATAATCCAAAAACAGTGCCACCAAATTTCATGGTTTCTTTCCTGTCTTCTCTCGTTTCGCACCCCATCAAAATCGGATTATAAAGGTCCATATGACAACCAAAAAGATCATTCTAGTCTTTTCATGATCTTTGTAGGTTAATCAAATAAGAGATGCAGAGACTTGTGTGGAAAACAGCATCATAAGGGCTAGCGGAGACTCTGTCACGGTTAATTGAGTTGCTCGTCAAAATGGCAACGGAGTGTGGGGAACTTCGCTGGCTCAACCTAGCCATGCACATATGAAGCAACTCTCGAGTTAACTGAAAGAAGTTGTCCACGCCTCCTTCACCCAATTGCTTCCAAACCTACTACATCAGAAGCCTATGTTGTGGGAGTAATCCCGAAAGGCTACACGAACCTGCGAATGCAGTGGGACTACTTTCTGCTCTTCTAAAAACACAATGTTCTCCTAGGATATCAGTAGACTTCCTTGTTGATCTATCCTACCTCTGTGTGTTGGCGCAAGGTGTATATAAATCTTCCGTCGTCAGTACTTCTCTACCTTTTCCATCTCGCAACATCTTCAGTGAATGACTAGGATACGCTATCAAGACAAAAAACGGTCTTGATGAATGTTCTGCGTCGCTCTGGTCGCTCTTTTCTTTATAAAACATCAAACCAGATAGCTGGATTTGTATGATTCGACATTCCGAGCGAATACATCTTGCAACCAAAAGAATGCTATAGCACTGTTCTCTGTTTTAGCTTGCGCATTCGACGTTGAAAACATGGTCATCCCTCTGTATACTAAGTGGCGGCACTACTACGGTCACGAGAGAGTGTCTAGATACCCTTTTACCATCTACTATCTTTCAGATAGTAGAGAGTCAGTCAACTCCAAAACCGTAGATATTTGACGCCATGAACTGTTTCTTTGAGATCTCGCAAGCTTTTATGTCCCTAAAATTAGACCCCACATTGCTATGAGACGTTGTCAAAGTCCAGCATATATTTTCAAGCTTGCTATTCATCTACAGATTTGAAGTCTGCTTTTACCTGGGGCGCGGTCTTTCTGCTATGCTTAGCGGGATATATAAGCTTGTTTCCCTACACTCTCTTCTCTCAGGCTCCAAACAACTCATTCTTTTCTTTTGCAACGAAAAGAGCTCCGCCACAACCCACGGAGTTCGGTTCCTGTTGGCACTTTCCTTGTACTAAACCAGTGTTTAAGCAGCGGAAAAAAATGCTGATGGAATAATCATGTGCTTGGAAGTGACCAAAAGCCTATTAATATCACCAGCTTTGACGACTACAACGGAATTTTTGGGGTAGAAGGATGATACCCGGCTCCATCGTGCCAGATACATGCGCACATAAATTTCATAGGAAGAGAAGAGACTGAAGTGTATTACTATCACCACCATTACTACTGCGCCTATTCAAGCCCGAATTGACCTCAATATTTGAGTATGCAGAATAAATGAAGTGTATTACTGCGAGTCCATCATCTAATCGTGCGATGGTAGCTCCATATACTGACCTCGGTGTACTGCCATGTTGCTTTCGGGATGCTCGGTAGGAGTCAGTGGGACTATCGAGCTTCTACTTGCTATATCTTGGCAGGCGTATGTACTGTTGCCATGTCCGATATACCCTTAGCCGACGTCCGATTCGTTAACCACCTTGTGTTCCGCGTCCATCCATTTGTAGATGCTATCACCCAACACACAATCAGTTAAACTCTCCACAATATAAGCCAAGATGCTAAAGGTGAATCCCGTGTCTTTTTGCTTGTTCATTTGATCCACATGTTCCTGGTATCGCTCATGTATATCTTCCAGATGCGCCAAATCAGATCCTAGACCTGATACCATCTGACGCGACACTTGCCTAGGCAGTGGATGTTCAGCCATCAAGTCGAGGATAGAATTCCCCGCTTTTTTTTATGTTTGCGTATAGCTCGCTTGTAGTTGTCGCGTAAGTGGTCTGGATACGTTTAGGTTGCGTACGCGCATCATGGGTCGAAGTAGCGACATTGTGATGTGAGTCGGTTATCGTTCGTATTCGAGTAGAAGGAAGATAGTTATGGATTTATGAGATGAATGTGAAGAATTTTGACGCTGTTAGGCAGCAAGACCATACGTTCCATTCGTTCAAGTCACCAGGACCCCTTCCGATTCTTGCCTTAGTGTACTACGGTTCCAGGCCAAAAGACTCCACCAACCTTGAACGCCGGACGGGACCTGCACCATTCATCCCAACCCCAGCCTCGACAAATTGAAAGACACGAACCATGAAGACGTCGAGGTTTGGAAATTTCGACCAACCAAAGGGTATTATGAAGAAGGGGTCGGGTGGTGGTGGTGGTAGCGATGGCCTAGGGGAGGAAGTTTTGGCCGAAATTGAGTGTATATATCATTTGCATACACGAACTAGGGCGCCGTGTTGGAGAGCGAACATACAGATGTACAGCCCAGAGTCAGGCCTAGGAAGGAGGCATATATTCAACGAAAGGTATGGCATGCATCGAAAGAGCAAGAGAAGAGCAAGAGAAGAGCAAGAGAAGAGCAAGAGAAGAGCAAGAGAAGAGCAAGAGAAGAGCAAGAGAAGAGCAAGAGAAGAGCAAGAGAAGAGCAAGAGAAGAGCAAGAGAAGAGCAAGAGAAGAGCAAGAGCATATCGTAGCCAAGGGAGGCAACGCAACGCCAAACCAACAGCGTCTTCATTTCATCACCACCCTCCAATATCTACTACTACTACCACCACCACCAAAATCGTGTACATGCTTTATAAGGATATCATAGCTCGAGCAAATCACATGCCTATCAACACTTCATCTAAAAGATAACGGCAAGCGAATGACGTGAAATAATGCTGGAAAGATGCTTATGTGACGTATAACTCAACGACCATCATATACAAAAATAAGAAACCACCGGGACCCGCCCAAGCAGCAGTACGATGCGTGAGTGGATAACCAGTGGAAGTGAGAAAAGTAACTTCACTCCACTCCATTATACACATATCCAGCTCTTTCTTCAGCGAGAACAGAGTCTACAAGAAGGGTAGTACTACACCCTTTCTCATCGGACTTCCTCTGCCATCGACAGTGCTGCCTTCGGCGCTGTATCCGGAATCGCGATCGACGTCATCGTTGTCAAAGTCGATGTCGAAATCGGGTTCCTTTTCTTCCTCGGCCTCTTCATCATTATCGCCGTCCCAGGCTTTCTGCGTCGCACCACGCGAGTTCCATCGCAGCGTGCGGCTGATGCTGTCGAACCACTCGGTGGGTTGCGAGAGCACGGTAGGGAATGGGTACTGGGAAGCGGCGATGGTGACGTGGTCGCCTTGACGGAGTTCGACGCGGCCCTTGCCGTCGAAGGCGCAATAAGCGGTAGCGCGGGACTTGAGAGGTACCGCGATACGGAGAAGCATACTGTCGTTGAGGAGCATGGGGCGGAAGGAGAGAGTGTGGGGGCAGATGGGTGTCAAGAGGATGGCGGGAATGTCTGGGTGCACGAGGGAGCCGCCTGCAGAGAGCGAGTATGCTGTTGAACCAGTAGGCGTGGAGAAGATGACGCCGTCTGCTTGTACGACGGTAAGCAGGTTGTTGTCGCCGTACAGCTCGAGGTTCGAGACGTAGGGTGATGGGCCGCGGTCGATGACAAGCTCATTGAGTACCTCGAATTGTTCGGCTTCGATATGCTGAGGCGATCCTTGAGCAACATTCTTCTGGTAGCGGTATACTGTGCAAGTGAAGCGCATACGCAGATTTACACGCATGCCAGTCTCGCACATAATCTTGTCGAGCGCTGGCCTGTATTGTGCGAATTCGAAGTTTGTCAAGAAACCAAGACTGCCGAGCGAGAAGGACAGAATCGGCGGCACAATGCGCTGGAAGAGCCAAGAGGTGAACAACACGGTACCGTCTCCACCAAGAGTAAGAACAAGGTCGAAGATCTCTGGGGTTTCCCAGCAAAGATCCGGCGTCCACCAGCGAAGCATGTTTTCATAGCGTTTGTCCTTGGCCAACAAAGAGGCCGCATCGAAGCGCTTCGACTTCCGTAGCTTGTGATCTACGTAGACGTTCACTCCTACATCTGATCCGTAGCGCGAGGTCGTCATGAGCCATTCCGCTAACTCGCGCGTGAGGTATACAAGGTTGTTGTCGCGAGCCTTGGTGACAATCATGACGTTGCGCACCGTCATCTTAATGGGTCGGCGCTGCAGCTGCTTCGAGACCTCGCGGACACTGTTCGCGGTCTGCATAAGTCTTGAATGCGATATCGTGTCATCGTCAGACATCTCTTCCATGACCTTTCCTAGGTTGACAGCCTTGTCGAACTTCTTGTGGAAGAAGCATGGTGATGCGAGCGCAGCCATCTTGCTTGCAGAAAGGTCTGCCGAGTGCAGTTCGAGCTCTGAAAGTGCCTTTGCGAGTTGCGAATGGGTGATGCTCTTTGACCGCGCATTCTTCTCATTGTTTCCTGAGCCCTCCATCATGAGAGTATCCATGGATTGTGACGCCGACGAAGGCGGGGGCCGAGACTGCAACGCCTTAAGAAGAGTCTGGCGGGGTATCGCGGAGTCTATCGATTGTGCGTTCTTGCGGTGCTTCCGAACGCGACTCTCACCAAAAGACGGGATGCGCGGGAGGACGGAGAGATTCTCGATGGAGGAGGAAGTGCTGATAGCGGTGGGGTTTTCGTTGCGGGAGGATTCGTCCGATGTCAGACTGGCTGGTTGTTGTGTTACAGCGGGCGTACCGCCAATTTCTTTGGTTACTACCGATGCATTATACGGCGCGTCCTGGGGGCAGTGGACGCTGGTCTGCGGAGGCTGTGGAGACTCTGGGCAGGTGGGATTATTAAATGAGGCATCGGCAGCGACGGGGTTAAGGTCACGGTCGGAGAAACTCGAGTTGGCCGCCTGTGGGGACAGGAGCGGGTGAACCTTGGCCGGACTAAACGGCTCCCCATTCTTGAATGTCGCCGATAACATCGTAGCTTGATTATGTGTTATTGATCGAGCGCCCGATAATCGCGCTTAGTCTTTGGCGGTGGCTGGTTGTGGACCTTGGCGAATACGATATTAATCGACGTCTTTGTTCGGCTGTGGCGGCAAAATATGTACAGCGAAAGATGAACGTAGCCAGACGGTTCGGTCGAAGGTAATAAATGCTCCAGGCAAAATGAAAAAGGAGACACAAAGGAAGCGATGGATCGTACTACTGCATGGGTGCGAGTCGTAAGGTTAGGTATGTGGTAGCTGCTAACGGTGATGGGCGATGTTACGACCAGCGAATCCGTGTAACCGGTCGTTGAAGGTAAAGATTATGTTGAAGGAAGAGCCCGGCTCGACCTGGTTAAATAAATATAAAAAAGACGTGTGAAGTGTACACGACTCTATGTCGTGTGGCCGAAAGAGCGAAGGCGCAAGTAGGGGAAAGACAGTGGTGCAACTTGAGGCAGGTGTTAGGCACGATGCGAGACCTACTATATCCAGTCCGCATCTGCAAGACGTCTCTGCCACCGCTATTCTGGAGCATTGCCACATCACGATCCAATGCGCCAGCCTCAAACGAAGGGTACCGCCCACCTGTAGCGGCTAGCCCGCCGTGAACGTTGTGACACTTCGCGTGTCACAAACTCGTGGGTCCACGCCGGAGCATCTACCAAACATAGAACGAAGCTTCATTCTAATCCGCGATCGTGACACAGATTACAACGGCCTAGGCGGCCCAGAAGTTCCTTTCAGCCTGTCTTCCAAGGCACGCTCCACCACATGGTCACTACGCTCGACTGTCAGGATCCTTCGATGACCCTGAGCGTTCATGGTCGAGAAGCGCTCGCTCATGGGAAAGTCTCACTCATCGGTTCATACCGACACCCTCCGCGTTTGATCCACACTTCGTTTAGAAAAGCCACAACGGGTACCATGATTAAGGGTAAACCGTATTCGAGATTCAGTATGAATCGCATCGCCGCAAAAGTTATGCCATGTGCCCGCTGGACTAGCAGAGATGTCCCCAGCGACGAAACAACCCAAATATGGACTAGTCCTCCTGTAACCATAACTCTCTGCTTCGAACTTGCACCTGGTGCAGGAGAAGTTTAGGCGAGACAGTTTGCTCCTCGCCAAAGCGACACACTTACTAGGCGAATGAGTATTGCATGAAATCGCTGCCGTTAGTACCGATGGCCCACAGACCTCATACGCCACGCATGGCTGTTACATGGAGTTGAGATATGGCAAGCGTTTACGGCAAATGTCGCATCGAACATAGAGTGAAGTGGGCTCATACTCGCTACCGAGATAGTTGCAATGCCCGTCTCCACGTCGTTTCCGTCCATTCACAGCGGGTAACTGTGTGTTTGCCTTCAGGCTCAAGTTGAATGCTGAAACTCGCGCATGTCACTGGTCTACCCATGTGCCATTTCTCCTCAGGGGCCACCCGAAAGCTTCCGACAGCTTCAACTGCCGGAGCATTGTTGCGCAATGGCAGCTTGGGGATGCGGTCCGAAGCGCAAGAAGTAAACAGGCGCCTGCGACTATCTCGTGGCTGTCTTGGCTGCGTTTCTAGCATGGATCGAGAATGTATATGAAGTACAGCACTCGTACTATAACAGTGACTATAGTGAAGAGGGTCAGTATCGAACAATGCGTTGCGCGAGGAAAGTGGAATCGTGATGTAAGAATGGGTATGTGGCGATCAACCTGTCTATCAAACAGAAGTTGTCTAGAAGGATAGAAGTTGGCGAGCAAATCGTGCCTTTGGCGCATATAGCTGGAGCGTGATTTGAAATATTGTTGAGTGGATGTACATGACTTTACAGTCTTTTGGTATTCATCACATATCGTGGTATCTAGTGAAGTCGTAACGAAAAGAAATTCGACAAGCCAGACACTTATTGGAGAGCCTTGCGAGCGAAGGTAGGCAGGACAAAAGCGGCCTCGTGGATCTCCTTGCTGTAGTACCTGCAAAGTTGCTCCTCCTCTTCGGTGGACCAGCTGCGAAGGGGCTTCTTGAGGTCGCGGTTGGCGTCCTTGCTGCAGACCATGAAGCCGATTTGGCCGGAGGGGTAGGTGGGGATAGTGGTGTAACCGTATTCGACGTTGGGGAAGACCTCCTTGCAAGCCTTCTTGAGGTTGACAATGAGGGGCATGTGAAGCCATTGGTTCTCGGCTATATGAAAATGTTAGCCAATGACCAAAGCAGCACCTTCCCGGCGCATGAAGGTCTTCGAAAAGTGAATCTTTTACGATTGGATAAGGAGAGGGCTTACAACCTTGGGTGGTAATGACACCGCCTTCACGGAGGGCACCGTTAAGCAGCTCGAAGTATGACTTCTGGAAAAGAGCTTCAGCGGGACCCTCTGGGTCGCTGGAGTCGGTGATGATGACGTCGAATTCGCCCTTCTTGTCCTCGAGGAACTTGAAGCCGTCACCAACGATGGTGGTGGTCTTGGGGTGCTCGAAGCCGACGGACATGCCGGGGAGGTATTGCTTGGAGAGACGGATGACAGCCTCGTCAATGTCGCAGAGGGTGGCCTCCTTGACACAGTCGTGCTTGACAACCTCGCGGAGGACACCACCGTCACCACCGCCGATGACCAAAACCTTCTCAGGGTTGGGGTGGGCGTTCATGGCAAGGTGAGTGATCATCTCCTGGTAGCTACTCTATCGTCAGCCATTGTTCGTGTCTCCCCCAATTGCGGTGTGACATACGAGAACTCGTCGCGCTCGGTGCATTGAATGACGTTGTCGAGAACAAGGACAGTGCCGTAGTTGGTGGACTCGAAGATGAGAACGTCCTGGTACTTGCTCTTCTCGTGATGAAGAACCTCCTTGACCTGGAGGGTCATGGCCTGGCCGGGCCACATGCCGGAGATCTCGCGGAACCAGCCATCTACACCCCGAATCGTTAGTAATTGACATTTGACAGAGCGGGGTGTTCAATTGATTCGTGATTCTTGCAGAATGCGACTTCACTTACCCTTGATGGTGGGGTGTTCAATGGCAGGCATCTTGAAAGATTTGTGGGTGGAAAAAGATGGGTAGAGTAGAGGACGTGATCGTTTACGGAAGTAAACAGAAGATTGACAGAGCTGTCGCCGGATATATATGGAGACCTTCAGGTTTGCGGAGTTTTTCCTTGTGTTTGCGTTGGGCACAATTTTCTAGGTCTATGCACGTCACTGGTCGCGCGCGCCGTACCTGCCCCGCCATCCCCCACCATCATCCTGGGAAGGTCCAGCCGCAAGGCATCTATATTGGGTAGCATTATTTCCACACTGCCAGACCGTGATCCACACTTCACGACCGACATTCGACATCTCTTTCCTGTGCAGTTGCCGCGGACAGCCGGTGTAGTTTCAAAGCCGATCTGATGTAGAGGGTGGCTTGAGGAGTGCTGCCTGATAACGAGGGCGGCCGTATGCCTGATACTAACACGCAAATGGATGCAGATTGCGTGTATGAAGAACATAAAGAGATGGTGTGCCATGAGTGCAAAGGGATCAATGAAAATTGTCAATACTACTGAATCTCTTCTAAAAACTATTTGAGAAACATAACCATGACCGAAGCTGTCCCGAAACAAAACTCCGCTCAGGACGAGCGCAATTCGGTAGAGCAGATTGTCGCGACGAAAGCATATGAAAAGAACCCTGAGCTACTGCCGTGGTATACCAAAGAGCTTGAGGAGCCGAGTTCCGCAACGAGAGATCTTTTTGAGAAATACAGCAAGATACCACCGGCGAATGTAATCACTCATATCAAACGTGTGAGAGATGACGCGTTTATGGTTGTAAGTTTGGGTGGCCGTTGGGCAAAAAACACGCAGCTGTACTGACAATGTGATAGTTCCCGTACCCGTGCCTCGGAAACTGGGGCTTCTTGAACTTTTCGATTGGGGTGAACCCAGCCTACCAGGAAGTCCTCAACCGGATCAAGAACGGGGAGCAGTTCCTCGACCTGGGGTGCTGTATGGGCCAAGACATCCGCAAGCTCGTGCATGATGGTGCCCCCTCCAAACATACGTACGCGTCCGATCTCAAAAAGGATTTCTGGGGCTTCGGGTATGACATGTTTTTGGACAAGTCAACTCTACAGACGCAGTTCATCGATGCCGATATCTTCGATGTCGACTCTGAGTTGAAGCAGATAGATGGCAAGATCGACATCATCAATGCCGCCTCGTTCTTTCACCTGTTCGACTGGGACGGGCAGATGAAGGCAGCCAAGCGTGTCGTTCAGTTGTTAAAGCCAATGCCTGGAAGCCTCATTGTTGGAAGACAAGGCGGTAAGCCTGAAGCTGGCAGTTTTGCACATATCAAGAAGGAAATGACTGCTTTCTGGCATAACCCTGAGTCCTGGGCAAAGATGTGGAAGCAGGTCGGGGAGGAGACGGGAACAGTATGGAAGGCTGAAGCTGTGCTTGGCGCCGAAGACCTATCAAAGAGGATGAAGACCAACCTTGTGCCTGCTGGTACGAGATTCATGACCTTTACTGTTCGTAGGGTGTAGAAGACTTGCTCGAGGAAGGAGTACCAAATATTGATAGAAAACGGAACTGAATAATTTAGCCATTGCTTCTCATGTGTTTCTGAAGTCGGATCTGTACAGTTTCCGTACATACGTTGTTATGGCATTGTGGCTGCTATATGGGGATATGCGGAGCAGCAGCCAATAAACGTTGCCCAGGGTCCGAGCAAGGAAGCCAAACTCAATCTGGCTTCAACACCACCATTGCATCTTCAATCCAGAGCCCATTGAAGCGAAACATTGCAGTCGCTCAATATACAAATTCACCCCATAAACACTGTAACCATGGATCCCTACTCGCCCGAAGGAGGTCAGTTGAACCACCAGCCACACCAGCTCGTAGCCCCGCTAACGCCCATCCAGAGCTCATAAACATCCACTCGGCCTTCCACGCCGGCGCCTACCAGCAAGTCCTCGACTTCGACACTTCGAATTTCTCCTCATCGAATGCGCTCCCCGTTCGCGTCCTTAAACTCCGCAGCCAAATCGCGCTTGGCCAAGCACAAGCTGTCTCCAGCGAACTCGCATCCGAGAAAACACCAGATCTGGTCGCAGTGAAGCTCCTCGCCGACTATGAGCAAGGCAAAGACGTAGTGAGCCAGGCAAAGAAGCTGGCAGAGCAACATGGTCAGGAAAACTTGGTGGTGCAGCTTTGCGTGGGCATGATATTGGAGAGGGCAGGCGAGACGGAGGCCGCGCTTGATGTGTTGAGCAAGCACCAAGGCAGTTTGGACGCGTATGTCATACAAACTCCTCCACATGGACCTTATTGTGGGACAATCAGCGGCTAACACATAGGCAGTGTTGCACTCATCGTGCAAATCCACCTCCAACAAAACCGCACAGATCTCGCCACAAAAGAGGCTCAGCGCGCACGGAAATGGGCACAAGATAGTCTGCTAGTCAACATCGCCGAGAGTTGGGTCGGCATGCGAGAGGTATGTCCTTCAGTATACGATTATGAATGATTTGACCTACCACTAACACCACATCCAGGGCGGCGAAAAGTACCAATCTGCTTTCTACGTCTTCGAAGAACTAGCCACAACCGCCCAGTCCACCTCCCCACACTCCCTCGTCGCACAGGCCGTATCGGAAATACACCTCGGCCGCCTGCCAGAAGCTGAAGCCGCTCTAAAGCAAGCGCTTTCCATCGATGGCACCTCCGCCGATACGCTCGCCAATCTCATCGTTCTCAACACGCTGCTTGGCAAGAAGGAAGAGACCGAGCAATTGAAGTCACAACTACAATCCTCGGCCCCACAGCACAGAGCTGTTGCAGACTGGGCGACCAAGAAGGAAGAGTTCGCGAAGGCGGCCGCGAAATACACGCCGAAGTTCGAAGTTGCTTCATAGGAGGAGCACTCCTCTGCGCATTGGGCATCAACGGGAGTAGTGCATGGGTGAGCTGAATGCTGAGGGGGATGCTGCGAAAGTTGAACCCAAGATCAGACCTGGGGGAACAACAGTCGATAGCGCTACCAAGAATGAGCGGGATACCAAGCTTGCGCAATTGGGTACAATGAATGTGGAGGCTTATCTGGAAGAGCAATACCTGGGGGCTGTCGAGGCCTGGGCCTGGGACAGCGACAAGAGCAGCGAGGAGTATCTGTGGTTGCAAACGGTGCCCAAGAGACACAGTACGTGGCACGATTGATAGACTACGAATCCATGACATTGCAAACATGTGGCCCTAAACGTATACCTCATGATGGAAGTGAGAGTCCGGAACCAAGATTGGACGCTTGTCGGTCTCTATAGTGCATCAAGATTCGTCGAGACCACACAAGGCTTAAGATGGTATAAGGAGCACTGTGAAGTCTTCTCGAACACCGTGTAAGTTCTAGAGACTCCTACTACTAGTGTTACCAATGCATCTATCTAGAGCTGGAGGCTCCAAACCCCCATCATCAACGGGCACCAAGTATCCCGCTGCAGGTATCTACCTTTACTACGGCACTTCTTACACCCGAAAACGCCACACGTTATGTTGTATGGCTGGCCCTACAGGCCGCCTGCAATCATCTTGCAGTTGGGAGATTACCATTTCAACAAGCGTGTGACCAGCCTTGACGAACTTGCATGCATGCATGCAGACGGGAGTCAACTTCCTCCTGACAGCCAGCTCGTGCGCAAGCTTCAAGCAGGGGTTTGATCGACACGCCACGCGCATTTAGCGGTAGATCACCCACGGCACCGGATCTGATGGAATTTCACTACTACTACTACTACTACTACTACTTCTTCTTCCATTACAGTAGCGTTGAACGTGCTGTCAGTTTCCTTCTTCAGCAGTCAAGATGCATGAAAGCGCGTAGAGGCACCATCCCTCCTTGATAATCCACAAAGATTCATGTTATACGTTGCCGTAGCTGACACGTCAAATGCGTGAGAAAGGGTGCATGCTGCAACTCCAACTGTCTAGTGGCGCCGGGAGCTGATACATCCGGGACTCAAGTAGACCATCATGGAACGAAGCTTAGCTAGGCCCGCCAGCCAATGCGGGACGCAGTCTTCTCCATCGGTCTGCGCTTTCGAGCCTACCATGCCCGTTGCGGTAACATGGATGGCTGATTTTCGAACAGATTCGGTATCCTCTCGAGTGCGGGCTGGGTGAGGGTCCTGCATGGCGCTTTGGAGATGTTGCGGCGTGAGAGTGCGCGTTCGGCGGCACCCGTATGAGAAGGGTCTTTGCGATGCCGCGCCGCAAATTTGCCTTACAGGCGTATAATGTGGACATGGGATATTTGATACCTTTGCTTTGACGCTGAACTCGCGCATACGTTCGTTCGTTATCCTTCTTTGTACATTTTCTCGACTACATTCCTCTTATCCCCGAAATCTCCGCTCCCGTCCGCTTTCGGAACAGCCGGGTCAGAAAGCACTTCGTCATGCCTGGTGTCAAGACAGACGTCGACAGCGTCGACAGCGCGTTCGACGTACAAACACCAATTCTCGAAAACATGGTTGTAGGAGTGCCGCCAGTGTTCGAAGGGCTCACGAAGCAGCTCGACAAGATTGTTGAACAGCCACTGCTCGGTCCGAAAACCAAGTTCCCTACAGGTTAGGAAACCCATTGCAGTTCTGGGCTGCGACTGTGTGTTGACCAGCTGTATAGCTACATTTGCGTTTGCGCGTAAGGATGTGTCAGGCAGGCGGTTACCACAGGCTATCGCCCACCGAGGGTACAAGGCCAAGTTCCCTGAGAACACTATGGGCGCGTTCAAAGGAGCAGTCGAAGTAGGCGCAGAAGGTCTGGAGACCGATATACATCTGACGAAGGATGGAGTAGTTGTATTGTCCCATGTGAGTCTATCAATGGCCCCCACACCGATCGTAGACTGATTCTTGTGTAGGACAAGGACCTGAAGAGATGCTTCGGCAGGGACGAGAAGGTTATAGACTGCGACTACGAGTTCATAAGTAAGCTGAGAACGCTGAAAGAACCCCATGAATCGATGCCTCGTCTTGCAGATTTGCTCGAGTATCTTGCGCAACCTGGGTTGGAAGATATTTGGGTCTTGCTCGATATCAAGGCATGTGATCTTGATTATGCTGTTCAAGCAAACGCTAACACGGTACAGCTTGATAACAACGCCGACGATGTGATGCGCCTGATTGGTGACACAATCCGGAGTGTACCTCCATCGCCATCTAGATCATGGCAGAAGCGTATCGTCCTTGGATGCTGGGCGGCCAAGTACCTTCCGCTATGCTCACGGTATCTGCCCGGTTTCCCCATCTCGCACATTGGCTTCTCAACACTCATTGCATCATATTTCTTTACTGTACCAAACGTCTCTTTCAACATGGCACAGGCCATCCTCATGACGCCATGGGGTCGACTGTTTATACGGAGAGCTCAGAGCGACGGTCGGCCCGTGTACGCATGGACGGTGAACGAGGAGAGCCGGATGCGATGGGATATACGGCACGGCCTTGACGGCGTCGTGACCGATGACCCGAAGCTATTTCTGGAGGTTAGGAAGTCATGGCACGAGGGAACGAAGGACGGTGTGACAATGATGACATGGCTGGACGTGCTGCGGGTCAACTTCTTCTGCCTGATATACACGGTCTTGTTCCAGTGTATGTTTGGATTCCAGCGTAAGTCGCTAGTTAAGATAAGAGAGGAGGAGGAGCAATAGATCACGCAGTACTATCAAATATCAACATGTTTGAACATGAGTCATGTAAAGAGCGTGGCGATTGTCCACACCTCCCATGGTGGATTGAAGGGCGGTGGTGTTAAGGAAGAGCTATGACGGTAGGGTCCAAACATTTGGCGACCCGACGCGTGCACCCCGCCCAAAGCGCGTTCGCATCCCACCACGTCGCTGATCAACACCACAATGCCTAGGTACGCCTGCGTATATACCAGAATGCGCTCACGTATTGTAGCTAATCTGTCTCAGAGAAATAATAACACTGCAGGCCGGCCAATGCGGCAACAGCGTTGGACAGCAGTTCTGGCAGCAGCTCTGTCAAGAACACGGTATTAATCGCGATGGAAACCTCGAGGATTTCGCGACAGAGGGCGGTGACCGCAAAGACGTATTCTTCTACCAATCAGACGATACTCGCTATATTCCACGAGCCATTCTTTTAGATCTCGAGCCCAGAGTCCTCAACTCCATCCAATCGAGCGCCTACAAGAACATCTACAATCCCGAAAACTTCTACATACACAAGGATGGTACTGGCGCGGGAAACAACTGGGGCATGGGCTATAGTATGGGCGAGCAGGTACACGAGGATATCTTGGATATGATCGATCGCGAGGCAGACGGCTCAGATTCGCTTGAGGGCTTCATGATGCTTCACTCAATCGCTGGCGGTACTGGATCAGGTCTCGGCTCATACATGCTCGAACGACTGAACGACAGATTCCCAAAGAAGCTCATTCAGACATATAGTGTCTTTCCTAACACACAGGACGGCGACATCGTGGTCCAGCCATACAACAGTTTACTGAGTATGAGGCGATTGACGCAGAATGCAGACTCAGTGGTGAGTCGACCCCTAGTGGCATTTCCATATCCATGTACTGACTCCCCAGGTTGTCCTAGATAACGGAGCCCTGACAAGGATTGCCGCAGACCGACTGCACGTTATGAACCCGTCGTTTGAGCAGACCAACCAGTTGGTATCCACCGTCATGTCCGCCAGTACCACGACCCTTCGTTACCCCGGATACATGCACAACGACCTCGTCGGCATCGTCGCATCGCTCATTCCCACACCACGCTGTCACTTCCTCATGACTTCATATACCCCCTTCTCCGGTGAGAACGTAGAGCAGGCTAAGACTGTTCGCAAGACAACCGTCTTGGATGTCATGAGACGACTGTTGCAGCCTAAGAACCGCATGGTCTCCACGAACCCTACCAAGAAGAGCTGCTACATGTCTATCTTGAACATCATCCAGGGAGAAGCTGATCCTTCAGATGTACGTCTCTGCACATTGCTCACTTGAATTCAGCTCATTGACTACGCAGGTACACAAATCGCTTATGCGCATTCGTGAACGACGCCTCGCTACCTTTATACCTTGGGGCCCCGCCTCCATTCAAGTCGCATTGACCAAGAAGTCGCCCTACGTGACCTCGTCACACCGAGTTTCTGGACTTATGCTCGCAAATCATACCGGTATCGCCACACTCTTCAAGCGCATAGTCGCACAGTACTCTACACTCCGAAAACGTAACGCATTCCTCGAGAGCTACAAACGCGAAGTGCCCTTCAAAGACGGTCTCGGCGAGTTCGACGAAGCCAAGGAAGTCGTCCAAGATCTGATAGCGGAATATGAAGAGGCCGAGAATGCCGACTACCTGACTAAAGAGACAGCGCCGCCCGTGGGTGAATCCGATGATCAGAGAGTTGGCTAGAAGCCACCTGAGCGATATTTTAATTTACATCGGCGTCATTGGACGGTGTAGTGGAGTCAAGGGTACTCAACTTTGAGGTCTATTTTGCGGCGTTTGCGGATATGCAGCGACGGTCACCGATCTCCATTGATTCTAGAAGTCCTTTGCCTTCTTACGCAAGTCGTTGTTCAGTTCATAGCCACCATGGCGAGAAATATTGCGGGCATTGCAGTTTCCGTGAAGGCAGACCTCCCTGATGAAGGCATCGAGAGTTTTGTATGGTAGCGAGCGCAAGATGATCGAACTACCAAGGTTTATCAATACCCGTCTATCCAAAGGCATAATTTCGCACACTACATGCTCATAGGGCTGGCAACAAATGGAACTTGGTGCCGTGACGAGTAAGCTGGTTTGTGACTGTTATTTCCCTGATCCTTTCTCGCTGTCTTGAATCACTTCCGTGGGATGACTACAGGTTAGTGCGCTGAATACCAAGAGTGAGCGAATGCTTGCCCTTCCGCTTGAATGTATAAATCGAGCACATAGTCTCTTCATGCTTTCCACAGACTACCTTTGTAGCAAGCCAACTGTTTCTCTAAATTTGTGACCCCATTAACTCAACCAACGGCGAACACCTTTAGCACCTCAAACCAACACCTCGAAGACACCTGGAGTTAACTATTAAGATGCTCCCATCAGCTCTCCGCTCCATGACCAAACGGCGAGCCGCTGGTAGCCCAACACCCTTCGCCCTCTCCACACAAACTCGCACCCTCTACTTCTGCGGTCCTAAGCCCGGCGACCACGATCCGGATCTTCCCATATCGCAACATTACCACGCGCGATACCGAACAACAGGCTCAGACGGAAATCTCATCGCAGAGTCACCGCTCACAACTCCTGCCCTCCCCACTCCTTCTGCTCAGCCTGCCACTTCAAGGATCTCCGTCACTCACATAGCGTCTCTACCAGAGCGCCACACCATGCCCTCTACCAACAAGCTGGAGACCGCTAGTAAAGCCATCAGACAGCTAGAGGCGACAACTCACGATATAACGACTTACAATACCGCTACAGTTATCATCAGGGAGGAGATTGCTAGGCTGGAAGTTGTGCTTAGGAGGGGAGAAGTGGAGGGTAAGCATTGGCAGGAGCTGCAAAGGGTTAGGGATGATATCGAGGGTTTGAAGAGCGTGTCTGAGAGGATGGAGCGGAGGATGTAGTGGTGGCAAGGGAGGATTACAGACTTCTGAATATATCTAGTGCGGCGTTCATGTCTACGATGCGTCTGTGTTCTAGAGAGACGGTTCATATGCTAGTCTTCAAGGAAGGAATCCTAACACCAGCATTCATGCCTCAGTCGGACCGCGGCAGTCGCCCTTTGGAACTACTCGAAATTGCAAAACTATGAGTGGTATATAGCATATTTCTCACATTTCTCCTCCCACGCTAAAGTCCATCAAGCCTGGCTTCTTTCTCCCGTCTCTCCGCACCACGGCTTACGCCCCATTTTTGTAGTTCAACCCACCAGCCTTGACGTCAAACTCGATCAAATCGTCCAACCCACACACTCGGAACAATTCCCTAGGTCCATGTCTCTTTCCGTCTTTCTCTACACTCTCGACATGCCCTGCCTTCATCTGCTGGATCGCCTTCCTGACAGCTGGATATACAACCTCGCATGCCAACAAGGGGAAGATGGCGAGTTTGTAGCCCATCTGCTTGCACTCATCAACAGTGAAATCCGGGGATACACCACCAGGAACACTGTTGAAAAGACAAGGGGTAGGGGCCAAATCAGCACATATACTCTTCGCATCTTCAGCAGTCGTAACACCTTCAAGGAACGCCATATCTGCGCCTTGAGCGACAGCAGCACGGAGACGACGTAAAGCCTCATCATACCCAAAACCCTGTAACGCGTCTGTCCTGGCGATAATCACAATATCGCCGCCAGACTCTTCTCTCGCTAACCTCGCAGCCCGGATCCTGGCTTCGAATTCGTCCATGTCGACGAGTTGCTTGCCGTTTAGGTGACCGCAGCGCTTGCTCACGATTTGGTCTTCTAGATGCAGACCCGCGACGCCGGCACGGATGTAGGATGTTACTGTTCGGCCGACCATTACGGGGCCGCCGTAGCCTGTATCGGCGTCGGCGATTAGGGGCGTGCTAGGGGATATGGAGGCCAGCATTGTGGCGTTTTGGAGCATGTCGTTCAAGGTTGCTATGCCCATGTCGGCGGTGCCTAGACGGGACATTGTTGTTCCTGCGCCAGTCTGGGGATGGGAGTTAGTCTGGACCGTTGTGTGATATTATCGCATCATGCTGAAGATGATGTGGAAAGACATACCATGTATAAACAGTCCACGCCTTCTTGAAGGGCTATCCTCGCGGTAAAGCCATCGTACACACCAGGACAGGAAAGGAACTTGTCCGGATCCGCCAACATGCTCCTCAGTTTCTCGACCGCTGTCATCCTTCTTTCGGGTGCTTTGATGGATCCCATGTTTCCCTTCTCTTCTTTGCTCTTGAGAATATCAATGGACAACGAGGACTAAACTCTTCTCAGTGTATGACACGTCCTATTCTTTCTCAGTGGCAAGCTGCGCCAAGTTCAATCCGTTTAAATAGTACAGTGTCCTCGTAAAGCACCTAGATAACAGGGACAAACATTTGGCGGCCTCACTTTTGCCCGCTGAGTATCGGCGTCTTGCGTATACACTGTGGCGGGCCGCAACAAGTAAGGCTGCTTCCACGAATGATGTGCCAGATCCGGTAGTGATAGTTACCTATCCGTCGCGACTAGGAGGCCTGTCAAACCGAAAAGAGACCGGAGATTTTCAAAAAGTATAGTGTAATTACCAACCGGAACAAACTCCCACACCTTATATAGAATCCAATAGCTAAATCTGAATAAGTACCCAAGCAAAAACAATAGTAACCACACCCTCATGGAGGAAAAAACTACGCCGCATACCTACGTCCGTCTAACCCCCATCTTCTCGGCCAAGTTCTCCGGAGGATCTGATTTGTGAGAAGGATCTGTTTTGCGATGGCAAACTAAGTTTGGTAGAACGTTTACCAGCCGTACACAAATCAGAATTATGAAAACACCCACTCACGTCATAAAGGCAAAGAGATGCATAAACACCAAGGAAGAGTTGTTGTGGTGACACCCCGCAATGCCCTGTTCCTCCTGCTGACGTAGTGTCATGTGCCGATATTCGCCGGCAGTTTGACCGGTAGAAGCGCCTCACTCGTCCCGTCTCACTGGTCAGACAATTGCAGGGCTCGTGTTCGCCGATATCTTGGTCGGCTTGTAGTAGGCGGGAGGCGATATCGTATGAAAAGATGAAGGATGTGATGCCCCGTTCGGTATACTGGCCGATGCCGAAGTCCTGGGTAGGCGAGCGCATGGGGGTGATGAGGGGGTAGACTAGGATTTAAAGTGAGCTGGTGGCCGGCATGATGTTCTTCTGGTGTTGTAATCCGAATTCTCTTTCCACTTCCACACGCCTTCAGGATCGAGCACCTAGTGCACAAGGCAGCGCTAATGGCCATCAAGGTCGGGTTGCTGACAGCACTGCAGACAATGATGAACAGGTTCTTTTGGCGCAAGAATCATCATACCCTCGTTCCCACTGGGAAGCAGACCCTCTGTTTTTATATACGCATATGGAACCGTCTCAATCGAATTCGGCGATCTTTCGGTTCGTGTCGGCACAATTGAACACCATCTAGCTCCTAGGCGTCGCAGCCATCCCAAGGTGCAGCTTGTATCGATTTGATCAAGAAACTTTCCGATCTCGCGATCACTTCTCGCCGTATCCGTCACGTGGTCGACGAATCCTCGCCACCACAGTCTCGCATTCAGAGATTTGACATTGGTGGCGCATAGCATACAGGATCAACCTCTTTTGAAAAATTGGGAAGATTGTTTGCAAGCGCGGAGTCTTCCCATGGTATTGCGTATCTGAGTAGGTATACGGCATCTGAACGCTTCATTTCCTGCTCCAGGCAAGAAACCGTAGTCGTCACTCTTCCATCGCATCCATGTCATTCTCTCACGCGGATACCGAACACTGAACGCCTAGCCATAGGTATACCCCATATTTGGTGCAACTCCAGGTCCTGGTGCTGTCATCATTGGATTCATAGGCCCGACCGGTACATTGGGCATATCAGCATTCGAAAACTCAAAGCCTGCCGCCCAGTCGTAATCCGGGAATTGATCGAGCATTGGTGGTACACCGTAATCTGGACCCTCCCATGCATCGAAGCTCATTACAGACGGATCCGGCTGCATTTGGGGGTTGACCAAGCTGGGGTCGAATTTGGTTACTGGAAGTTGTTGTCTCATCGAGGGATCCAACGGTTGTTGATGCTGTTGATGTTGATGTTGTTGTTGTTGTTGGTGCTGTTGTTGTTGTTGGTGCTGTTGTTGTGACGGGTATTCTTGGCATGCTTGTTAGTTTCGGGCCAAACAAAGTTGATGGTAAGATGCTTACGAGGTGCGTTCTGTTGAGCGTTGTCATTAGAAAGAAGCGCCGCTTCGTCGCCGTACGGATTTTGCATGTTGCCGAATTCCTCTCGCCAATACCAGAACATGTCATAGCTGATACTCATGCTCAATCGCGTCCTCAGCCTCAAATATAGCGATTCCACACGACCGTCCTTCTTCCGGAACACCTTGTCGCTACCCCACAAGTCCTTCATAATGTGCGCAGTTCGGATGTGGATATCCCCTGGCTGTATAGAGACATTCTTGAGGAAATCATAAGCTTGTGAGAAGGCTCGTTCGCCAGCAAGTACATCCAAATGTTGAGCGAGCGGACTCCGAACAAGTCTGAGAATGGTAAACCCGGCCAGGGTAATAGTTCGGTCAATGAACGACTGCGAGACGGAAGGTAAGTGGATCTTTTGTGTCGTTTGCATAGTCGCCGCGGATTGGATGACTGAGATGCATAGAGAATAAAATCTTGAAAGCCCCTCTGCATCCGGCCCGGGGCTCGTGGGGTGAGCGAAGAAATGGAACGCCATCACATGTATACGTGCGCAGCTAAGTTGCAGGGCATCTACTTGGTTAGTTGAGATTGCAAAGGAGTCTGATCAGACTTACCGAGTTCACTTGGAGAAGATGGAGCCAGGCTAAGGAGTTGCGAGTCGAATATACCAATCAACGACCGTAGTACCCGAACATCGCAGTGAATGGACTGAAGATTGGTTTTTCCCATAGCCACCATAGCACGCATGAGGATGATGTAGACTTTGTGCAGGAACTGCAGATCAGACGGGAGGTATGGAACCATGTCTTCTCGGTCTTGCTCATCACCATCGAAGAACGACTCAGCAAGAGGTGGTATGCCTTCGACGCAACTCGTTCTGGATATGGTTAGCGCAATCTATAGTAATGTATTTGAAGACCTTACCTTATGGAAACGATGACGCAACACAGCCAAAGTCTGGCGCGTTGCACCTTCAGCGACTGATCCTTCTCCAGTGGGGTTCTAGCAAAATCCTGGCCTACGCCGGCTATGTGTAGACCAATCTGCGTTGCTAGATGTACTGCCGAACCGCACATGAGATGTGTGGTATCTTTGTACATTGAGTTGGTTGGCAGTCGCCAAGTGCAAAGGATTAGAAGACCTTGAATGATGGGGACTTGTGAGGTACGTAAAGCCATCGAAGAGAATGCGAGTTGGGTAATGGGCTGACTCGTTCTCTCAAGAACTTCATGTTCAGAATAGCGTCGCGATCCCGTGACCACGATAGTCCAAAATAGGAAGGGCGATTGGTCGTAATAGTCGTTGGGTCCTATTGAAGGGTCCAAGATAGGAAATAGCGGATGGTATTGTGTGAAGAAACTACGATTCAATCAGTATACATTGAGATATTTCCTGCGTCAACTTACATGGTGAAGCAGTCGTCGATCCGTTTCGAATCGAGCAAGTAGCCGTCTATCACGCGCGGCACCGTGCCATGATGATCGGAACCTTTTCGTGTTGGTGGCCTCGAGTCAAAAGCTGGAGACATGGAATCTGATGCATCGGTCCTTCCAGAGGGATCCGAATATGTGCCTGAAGCATGCTCAAGCGGCGTGTAATTCTGCATATCGACGGTTGGTGATGCCGTCGAGTGAGGGTAGTTTGGATCGCCAGGATTCTGCCCTTGTCTCATATTCCATCGCAACTCTTCCAGCTCTCGTCGCATCTCTGCTTTTGTTTGGCGCAGGTTCCTGGTTGATGTGGGAAGGATGCGGCATTCCAGGCCCATTTTCTTACAGCGCCCGCATGGGTCATGCGGTACTTTGTGCTGCTCGACATCACATCGAATCTGTCAGATATATTGTCAGCAATCCATCAAAACCATTGTCAGACGTTGTCGCGTCCCATTGAGGCGGGGAAGTACCTTTTGCTGGCGGCATTCGACACATGCTTTCCGTCGTGGAGTGGTCATGCTGGCCTGATTCATCTAGTAGGTATCCACAGGTAGTTGGCGAGCCGCAAGCATAGACTACTGTAGTATTCCGCGTCTCAATCGGCGAAAAAAGGCATATAAGAAGGTATGTGTTAGGAACTTCGCCATAAGCTGAAGAACCACAATCGCGATTAGCACCTACGTCGTCATCAAGGCTTGTTGCAGCGGTGCGAATCGGATGGCGGGGGAATGGGACCGAACAAAGGACCGATGGTGATCCTTTTCTCAGCAAACAGGTCTCAAAGTTTTTTTCTCAGCTTCCCTTGGGTTCTCGCCCTGTGCTAAATGATTCTCTTAATAATGTGCCATGCTAGGCCAAGCTCGTGCGCAATGAGGCTAACAGGCTTTGTTGTCTGTGTGGAATGGCCTGCAAATCGACGACACGCGATTTTCACCCGTGCACGACCCACCGACTACGCTAAGCCCATTCGGTTAGGATGTTTTGCGTAATGCTGTCCGAGCACTGCACCACTTGCATGGGTGGCCGCCATGCCATGTCGAGTGAACGCATCTCTTACACTGTCACCCAGACATTGCATCTGTTGAGCACTCAAGCTTTTTGTGATCTCCGTGGCGCAGCCGTTTTGCCACACCTTGTCGGATACGGACACGGCGGGCCTTCTCTTCGCCGCTCCCCTCATCCGCAACCAACACCTCACTTCGTCCGCCCTCAAACGTGTTTGGTGGGTCGAGTCAATGCAGTCGTACCTGATCCTCATCTTGGATGAGACGACTTGCCTCGATACGGCTTAGCAGTTATAAACGTCCTCAGTAGCTTCACTTCGCGCGCGGGCACTATCCATCCGGTGTCGACAGCTCTGCTTAGCGATTAGAGTTCGTACGAAGCCACTTGCCCAGGTATTCGACACTCGGCATTTAACGTGTTGCGCCACATCGATACGAATGCGACGAGTTATGCTGTGCCCATGACTTTGCGTCTGTGGCTTCAGCCGCGTGAATCAGCTTCAAAAGCAATGAACGACAGCGGGACTTACTGACTCTAGCACACTCACACGTGGACTTTGCAAGCTCATAGCTCCTGCCTTGGCCGCCTGCGTTTCCCAATGATCGTCCAACACATGACCGCTGTGCGCCAGCCGCTTGCTCAGAAAGGCAAAAGCTGCATCACTATCATAACCAGCTCATGATACCCGTCTAGCTGTCCAAAACAGCTCACAACTTCACCGACTCTAAGCGCGTACATGGTTCCCCTGATCCTGGCTATCCTCATTATTCCCGCACACACACTTCTTCCTTCCTTCCTTCCATACCTTCTAGCTCAGGGTCTCTCCGCAAGCCACATCGCCTCCGTAGGCAAGTCAAGCGTCCCAGGACCCTCCCATCCCCCACCAGCTCCGCGGAAGTTACACATGCAGTGCAGATCGCAACGGACTTGCAGATCAGCCTCACCAAGCCGAATCTCATGTTACAGATAGCCAATAAGCGCGTGATGCGACCATCTACTGCGTGTTGTGTACCAAGATTTAGCGGCACGCGATTGTGAAGACGGGAGCATGTGCGGGGATTCTGGGGAGGATTCTCGGAACAGGAAGTATCCATCCTAGATGCATTAGATCAAAGCACAGCCCGTGTGGTGAAGAAGCTCGGGCGGGTACTGCTCACGTTGCATCTAAGCATGCAAGAAGAGCTGTATCCCGAGCATGGATGCAGCTTGCGACTACGGAGATTTCCCGTGATGCTATCTAGCCACGTCTTTTTCCTTCCTTTTTCGGGGCGGACACACGGAAGTCGGAGGATCGATCGAATCCACAATGTAGGGAACGATACAGTTTGCTTTTCCCCCAGGTCTGGGCTCACTACTTTGCCGTTCCTGGAGCCGTCGTGTGCGTGCCGGAGAGAGGCGAGAGTCCTGTCGACCGAGGAGAAACATAGATACCCACAATATCTCCCCTGTAGTAGGAAAGTACCGCAGGCGAATGCAAATAGTTCTTCAGAACGTGTTCCAGTTTGCCTTCTACCAAGTTTATGGCACACCAGGGATGGTGGACATCTCCGCATGCGCTGTCGTCCGAGCGTATAGATGTATCAGCTGCCACAGATGTACCTGGCGGAAGGTGCGCTTGCTGCTTATCCGGTGGCTCGACCGACCTTCCACAACACGAAAAAAGGGAGTCCAACACCAGCATGTAGATGACTTGGAGAGTGTTCCACTCGTTCAACGCCGCTGACTTCAGACCCCACTGGATCAACTCGCAAATGGGACTGCCACATCCAGCCAAGGAACGAAAGAACATCAATAGCTCTGTTCGAATGACAGGCAGTACGTAATATCAAGAGCCTCGAAGCCATGGGCATGCATCCATCGGAAAGCCACCCAAGGCTCAACTCTTACAAGCAAAAAGAGCCATTAGGCAATCACTAAGCATATCGGCCTGGACCAAGGAGAACGGGGAGCTCATTCATGAGCTGATCACCTCGATGGGCTGAGAAGTACCAACGGAACACATGGTAAAGGATCATAAAAGACGTCAAGAGACAGAAGATATCATCTCACGGCCCAACAATGGAAACGCAGGTTATTGATCGTAACAGATTTGTTCATCGATATCAATCAAAATCGTCGCAACGCTATGGTATAAGAATACAGTATAAAAAAGAGAAAAGTTGAACAACTTCATGACAGTAAGCATCCAGCAAAAAGTGTCCTGTTCATCCATCCCATCATCTCAATCAAGCAGTCATCCCCACGCTCTAAACTCACTTCTTCCCCTTCCTCTCATATCGTCTCCTCTTTACATCCTAAGTCCCCTCCTCATCTTCCTCGCCTTAGCAGCACCAGCAGCAGCAACATCCGCTGGTCCGCCATCAGGGTTCGTAACAGCACCGGCAAAGCCAACGAGGCTGTTGAACTGATCCGCCAAAGCCTTGTTCCTGGTTCCACCCTTAACAGCCGCGGCGGCACTCTCACAAGTGGCAACAGCTGCGTCGTTTGCCTCGCAGACGTTGGTCAGCTGGTTGCAGAGCGCGTTGGTGATGATGTCTGGGTTGAGGGCTTCGCTTTGACCTCCACGGGCGAGAGGGTCGGCGATCTGGAAGGTGAATTCGTCGGCTGCGCGTCCGTTCTCGCCGGCTTGGAAGGTGATTGTTGGGGTGCAGAGGCCGAAGTCTTCGCCTCCGGCACCAGCTGCTCCTCCAGCTGCGTTGCCGGCACCGGCACCGGCACCAGCACCGGCACCAGCATCGGCACCGGCGTTGGCGTTGTTACCATTTCCTGCTGCGGCGTCTTGCTGGTTGTTGTTCTGGTTGTTGGCGTTGTTACCAGCATTGTTGTTTCCATTTTGTTGGTTGTTGTTCTGGTTACCGTTCTGGTTGTTTGCTGCGTTGTCATTACAAGCGTTGGCGTTGTTGTTCTGGTTGTCAGCTGCGTTGTCGTTACCGGCATTGGCATTGGCATTGTTGTTCTGGTTGTTGTTGTTACCGGTAGCAGCGCCCTGCTGGTTGTTGGCATTTCCAGCGTTGTTGTTGTTGTTGTTGTTGTTACCAGCGGTAGCGTTACCAGCATTGTTGTTACTGTTGTTGCCAGCATTGCCAGCATTGCCATTCGCAGCATTGCCGTTGTTAGCAGCGTTGCCATTACCAGCAACCGCCTGGTTTCCACCTTGAGCAGCACCACCCGCAGCGGCACCACCAGCAGCCGCCTGGCTCACGACAAGGTCACCGAGACCAGCCTGGTCCATGAGATCAAACACACTCAGGCCATCGGCGGCAAGAGGAGAAGCAGCACTGCTCTTGCTAAGGGCCGCAGCATCACCGTTGACATCAACATCAGGGTCGATAAGAGGGGTGATACCACGGAGCTCAGGAGTGACAGGGAGCGAAGCATCGCCACAGACATTCTGGACGTTGCCGTTGGCGAAGGGGTTGGTGTTCTTCTCTGCGGTAACCATACCAATAGCAGCAGTCAGGGCATCGGCACCTCCACCGAGTTCGGTGAAGATCTGGTCAGCACGGACGAGCTGTTTTGCTTGTCAGTCAAGAACTGGGGGAAGTGGAGTGGAGGTTCAAGTGGAGAACACATACCTTATCGCAAGAGTTTGCTCCACCGAGAAGGTCAGAGATGGCCGCGCCGGCGACAGTAGCAGCGGCACCGGCATCACCACCCTGAACACTGCTGATAGCACTGATGGGGACTTGCTCCTGACCGAAACGGGCCTCAACGTAGGCGATCATCGCCGCGATCATGAAAGTCTTGGAAACCATGTTTGCTGAATGTGTGATTTGGAATTGACCGAGGAAAAAAACGAAGTTGTAATGCGTTAAACGTTAATGGGTATAAATGAGAGGCTAGCTCTTGAAAGTGAGTAGTAATAGGGTAGAAGTTAAAAGTAGCCGACCTGGGCGAAAGAATGGAAAAACTGCTGAAAAGCGAAAGGAAGAGTTTTGCTGGATGCTACTGTTGACTTGCTGTTGTCGAAGTTGCTGGCCTTTGAAATGTGGGCGAGGTGTACCCGATTTATATATCGCATTTTCATGTCTCTCATCTTTCCCCAAGGAACATACCTTCAAGCGCCATAGCTGGGTCGACGCCACCAAGGGTCACTTACACGTCTCAACCATGCGCCCAAGACCTGTATCCAGCCTTCTGTCCGTCGCCCAGAACACAGCGGGCTCTAGCAAACGTTATGGAAAAATGACTGAGGGGTGTTCTTGCCAAGGCGTCATGCGCTCTTTGGCGTGCTGGAACGTCTGATTGCCGGGCTGCGACTTCGCTACGCCTTAACATCCGTCTCCTAAGGCTCCCGTGCGGGGCATCGATTCAAGGTACTGACGTTGCCGATGCCTGATGTTGGGGGTGTTGTGACAGCCTCAGTCGCGGTGGGGTTTCATGTGACTTTGCGACACGGAGCTACGCCTATAGCCGCCGTTAACAAACGTCGCTTGACGGCGCTGATCATCAATGCGTTCTATCTTGAACTTCCATTTGAACTCTCAAAGACCTTTTGCGATGCATGAACAAACAACGAGATTCGCGGGCAGAAACGCAATGCGAGGAAAATGCACGTAGTGGTGGATATTGGACGGTGATATTGGGAAAGAAGACGCGGCCCTGTCTGGCGCCAAATGCGATCAAAACAACCAGCTCAAAACACCAAGAAAATGCGCAAAATTTGAAAGATGAGTCGGGTAGATTCGTAATGCCTTCTGTCAACCGAAGTGGGCAATAGGGAGGCGACTGTTCAAGCCGCGCGTGTTACTCCTGGTCATTGCGACCAGTTTCGCATCTGGGCAGGCAACATCGAAGTCCCAAGCCCAGCATTCCGCGAGTCCATGTAAATGATTCTCTTCGACCTGGCCATGGATGCCTATAACGCCACACTATATACTCACTACGTCCTATCCAGCTTCCTCCGCAATAGCCTAGTCCGCTTCATGAGCTTCTTGTACTTGTGCTTCTTCATCTTGAGCTTTCGTTGCCTCTTTACACTAATCATGTACATGCCATATCTTCGCCGCGCAACGTGCTCCCGGAATGTGCTTGGCCGGCTCTCTTCCGAAGGCAGCGGGACTTCAGTTATGCGCTGATTGATGCTGGCGGAGAGACCTTCGGCAGAGTAGGACTCGGCCTCAGTCGCGCTCGCGAGTGAATCATACGGCTGGGGTGCCGCAGGTGGTTGGAAGGGAACGAGGCGGGCAGCCCAGTCCTCGACACTTTCTTTTGTGGGCTGAACATCGAGGTGGTAAACCACCTGTTCTGATTGTATTGCGTCGGCTCGTTGCTCCTCTTGTGCGTCTATCTCGGCGTGTATGCGATTCAGGAAGCCACTAAGGATATTCTTGGTGGCTTCCATTCTTTGGACATCGTTTGCCCGGTTCACATCGAAGAAGGCGTCAAACTCAGCCGTCGACGTGGAGTTGGGGAAGGAGCGTGAAATGGAGATGGGGCGGTGGAGGCCAAAGAAGGCGGATAGTTTGACATCTAGTTTCATGTCAGTACATGTATGACCGCATTTCCCCTCGCCGTGTCTTACCATCTTCCCGGAGGTGGTTTGTTGGTGGTACAAAGGGCACGTTGTTGCCTGTGGTAGCCGTCGAGGGCTCCTTCAGCTTCTTCGTCTCCCTGGACCTCTTCCCTGCACCCTGAAGCTCTGCAGTGGCATTCTGATCTAACTCGGTGGGCTTTTTCTTGCTATTCGGAGGGGTTGATGGCTTCGAGGACGAGTAGCGCCGCTGGTGACTGGGTCGGAAGGGTTGTTGCGGCGCCGTGCTGGTGCTCAGCGCAGAGCGGGCGCAGCGGGTGAAGACGAAGGAAGTCGCTGGCGCAGCAGAGAATACGTTTGCAGAGCGGGCGGCTCTGCCAACAGCAGGCGAGAACATGGCCAGCTGTGTGGAGGGGTATCGGGGTATGACGATAGTGTTGATGAGGCTCAAGTCGGCCGGCTATCAGGACTTGCTGCAGGTCACCGCGCGCCGATGTTTTCCCGAATGGCACTAGTACTGGCACATGTCACGCCAGCCTGCATGTCACGAGCACGTCGCAACCCAGACACCAAGTCGGAAGAGGCGGTTGACAGTACGGTGAGTGCATTCACTCCGGTCTCATGACGACATGTTGGTTAGTGGCTTGGACTGTTCTCTTTTGTTTATTCCATACTTGTCTGTTGTTCAGACAACACTGTGACATTCGACGCGCCCCCTCTGGTGCTTGTTATCCGCAATATGGACTAGGTACAACTCTGCTCGTAATAGAGCACTATTCTCACCCCCTACACCATTCCCTCGTTCCTTTGTATGCCTGCCCGGGTAGCTACGGCTCTCTGTTAACAACCACGGCGAATATCAACCACCTGGATATATCTTGTCCTACTACAATCACTCGACATGTAGTGCAAAGCCAACAGCCCCCTCGCGCCCAAGGCCGTCTCGCAACGTCATATCCGGAGTCAAGTAGTCACCGCCCTTGTAAGCCCGGTATGGAATAGGCGCGGTGCTACCCAGATTTTGCATCCTTTCGCGTACCTCGGTAGCCAGAAGATCAAAGCCCGCTTCATCGAGTGAATCTGCTTGGAATACTACGATTGGACGCAGCACCTGGAATCCCGGATAATGCAGTACCCCGTGGTGGATAGGGAAAAGAATATCGTCAATGGGGCCTTGGTAGCCCCGCGCGGAGTAGGCCGATTCCTGGCCTCCCAATGTTGTTACTAACATTGCCCGCTTCCCTTCGAGACATCTCCGACCCCGACTAGTCTGTTGCTTCTGGTCGGGCTGCCTTATGTTGTATGCAAGGCCGCCTGTAAAGACCCGATCGATCCAGCCCTTGAGGATTGCTGGAAAGCCGAACCACCAGATAGGGAATACGAAGATGACAGTGTCTGCCCAAAGAATCTTGGTTTGCTCCGTCTTTACATCTTCTGTCAGGCTGTCGGAAGCATAACTTGAAGAGGAGGCTGTGGTGATCTTTAGCCGGGCATCCGTTGCTAGATCAGTGAAGTCGTCCCGGTCGACATGTGATTTCCATTTCATGCGATAGAGATCAGAGGTTTGGGTCTCATGGCCTTGTTGTTCCAACTCGTCGCGGATGAGTTTGTGCAAGCTGCAGATCAGAGAACGCGGCTCTGGATGGGAGAGAACAAGAAGAACCTTCATAGTAGAGAATTTGAGGATGAATGTGATGATTGATGAAGACTACATTCTTGTATCTCTTAAGTAGACGTAGATATCAAAGTGCAAAATCCTAAGTTTGTCAGCGATCATCTATATCTGGGTACCTAGGCAAAGCGGAGTGAGTAACAACAGCCGATTCCGGGCTGTTGAGACAATCTTGGAAGCGATGAAATAGATCGCGGCCCGTTTCCTCAGCTGGAGGCTGGAACATATATAAGACGGTGGGCACTTGACACCGCACTGGAAACATAGTACGGAGAAAGTAACTGCTTCTGTACAAACACGCAGACGCTGAGATTACTAATTACTTCATCTATCTCAGACTCATGACGAAGCGGTTTTGACGTGATGATACGGAACGAGTTAACATAGATACTCTTTGCGTTATAGCAAGTACGCTATCTTCCTCTCACATGCCATCTTATCCCTTCCTCCCTAGAGCTGGCGAGCAAGGGATTCCCCATCCTCCCTATTTCACTTCGCACACCCACCTTCTACTCACCCCTTCAACATTCAAAGTATAACCCCACAAATGCAAACCCCCCTCCCCGCAAGCGCCCGGCACCCACCTTGGTTCCAATACACAGCACTACATGTCTATTTAGGCATCTTAGTCCATGTCTGCATATATCCACTCACCATACTTTTCCCCTCAATCAACGCCACAAGTCCCAAGCCAAGCCCCCGGACTCAGCCACATGCACCTTGAGGAAGGGATAGACCCTCCTCAAATTATGAAACTTCGCGAGTCAACGACCGCTGAGCGGAAGGAAACGGCACGGACCGAAAGGCAACCGACTTGTTAGGTCTCGAGTCGACCACGCCGCAACCGCGCATGCATAGCGGCGTTGGGACCCTGCGGGATTGCGGCATTACTATACATCTAACACTACTGACCTTTTTGGCGTCCTTCGCTTGGGGGGAAGCTGGGTAAATAGAGGGTAAATATCATGCAAGTTGCTGCAGGTCTTTCCTTTGTGAATATGAAGCTGGATAAGTGGATATGCAAACAATGCGGAAAACGGAGCATTCGAATATGTAGATTCTTGCAGGTTGGGTAGGTTAGTTTGTGATAGTAGACTGCTGCAGCAAGATACAGTTGGCTGGCATCTCCAATGCACGTCAAATGCCATATAGTATACTCTCGTACATGCATTATCTTACCCCAATCTGTGACCCTGCTGCTCTCAACGAGCTACTAGGCAAGACATCCACGTAGGTACACAACGCCCATTGGGCCGCTAGCTATCCAACTGTATCTTTCAACAGTCCAGGTTCCGAGACATGCTCATCTCCTCAGATCTGCATACGCTATCAATCTACAAATATGCGGGTCCGCTTACTAGAACCAAAAAAAAAAGACGAAAAAGAAAAAGACCAAGATCAAGACTAGAATCAAGACCAAGAAATTATGTCGTGAGATCGTCGTGTATTGGCGAAGATGAAGAAGTGGAGAAAGGGATATCGGGGGTATAAAATGGAATGGGCCGTGGAAGTCGTCTCTCCTCGTCCACTAAAAGTCCGTTGTTACTCCGGTCCCGCCAGGTGGACTATCCAGTTCTAGGGCAGGTGGGTCGATGGCGCGGGTGAGTGTGCGCCCTGGCTTTTCGCTTGGGCGAGCGAGCGCTCTTCCCGGCTGAGTGTGTAAGACCACAACAATGGCTCTGCGCAAGGCGCCCATCTGTAATTATTATAGTATCAGAGCATTGAGGTTGCGCTGGACAATCATGTCTTGTACAGATGCCATGGTGATCTTGAGCAAATTCGTGTCGGTCGCGTTTGTGTAGTGGACGTAGACCTCCTTCTTGGGCTGCCGTACGAGGTTGCGGAATTTGTTTGCGAAAAACTCTTTGCCCGCCTCGACATCTCTATCTCCGCCCGTGTAGTCGGAGAAGGTCCTCCTGATCGGGCTCATGCCGCCTGCTATCTTCTCGGTAAAGAGATCGATCTTGTTGAGGAAGAGGATCAGGGCCGACTTTTCGAAGTACTTGGAATTGGATATGGATTCGAACAGCATTAGAGCTTCGTGCATTTGGTTCTGGTTATGTTAGTGCATGCAGGGTTCAACGTTGAAGAAGTAAACTTACGCCATTCCTGTCTTCTACTAGCACGTGGTCGTACCCGCTGATGGCCACGAGGAAGAGCACGACTTGCACGTTGTCGAAGACGTGAATCCACTTCTTTCGCTCTGAGCGCTGACCACCCACATCAACCATCTTGTATGTCAGGTTACCCAGCTCGAAAATGGTCTCGGAGATACCAGTTGTTCGTAATCGGGTGCGCAGGATGTCCTGGTCGGTGGGGAGGAAGTCCTTTTGGAACAGACGGTCGATGTTCTGGAAGAAGCTGGGATTGTTAGTCGGGAGAATAGCAGAGTACACTGTGAGTGACGTACTAGTTCAAGTTGTCGTGCAGCGCATACTGGTTGCCCTTTAGTATGGTGAGCTGCACGCCTTTGTCTGCCCAAAGGGAATTAAAGGCAGTGTAGAACTCTTCGGGCATGGGCTCCTCAGTGCCAATGTCGGGGGCAGAGTTGACCATCTCGGAATACCGCTGTCGTCTGTTAGCACTTGCCTTGGACAAGCCATGGCGCTGAACGTACAATGTTGTCGTCGTCCTCAAAGTCTATGTCGTCTTCATGCATGGCGGCATAGATGGTCTGGAAGGCCGAGACCAAGTTATTGAAGATGGTGGCCCGCCATGTCTTGCGCTCGAGGCTCTGGAATCCGCCTGCGTTGATGATGCGCATCTGCTTCAGGACCGTCGACTTGCCACTCTCACCGGCACCTGCGCTCTTGTCTCAGTCAAGCTGTATCACCGGGGGTCCTCATTGACATGCATACCGAGTAGCAGCAGCTTCACCTCGCGCTCAGCGCGCTTGCGGTCTCCTCGGAGATTCTTTTCGATTTCGGCATTCTTCCTCGACTCCGGGTCGGTGGCAGAGGGTTTTCGTCCGAAGCACATTATTGCCGGTGCCATGTAATGGCAAAGAGAGACGTGGTAGAGAAGGCTCGAGGCAGCTGTGATGGGGAGGAGGAAGTCGCGACACGCTAGAGAAGAGCTACAAGCATGCACCGAGTACAGTAGTGAGGTTGCAGGCGAGGCCTACAAAGGTGTCAGTCGAGGCCTTAGCGGGCGTGACTCGCGCATGTAATTGGAATCAAGGAGGGTGACGCTACCGGATGTTGGGAGGGGGTGCAGTCAACTGGTCTTGTAGAGGGTGCTAGTTAGGGCAACTAAGGTGCGCGACAGAACGAGGGACGAAGAAGCAAAAAGTCTATGATAATGAACAGGCACAGCAAACGACACTATGCAGCACTAACAAGCTAACAAGACGACAGAACAGCCGGGACGGTATGGGACTGGTCTAAGAAATAACGTGCCCAGATGCTTTGCCGAAGAATCCCTGATCTGCACCGTTCGCGGACCCAGCTGGACGGGCAGGGTGATATTAAATGTCTTTCCCGCGACACGGCAGCCAAGGGCAGGTTGAGCGTGCGCAGGCCCGACGCGTTCGGATGTCCATCCTGCTTTGGGCTGCGATCTGCAGCAGCAACGTGATGGTCGACGCGAAAGCCACGAGACGCCAACTTGGCGTGACGATCGATTCCCGCTGCATTAGGTCTATTATCCGGGCTAGGAAGCCTGCAGCCGTTGCATTGAAACATGACTAGAATTTCTCTCCCCAACCTGATGCTTCGGACCTCTACCGGTGCCTCAGCGTTTCACTCGTCTGCGGTAGGGGGGGCCGCCGATATTGTACGTTGCTAGCCAGGGCCACCAGCCGAGTACAACATAACTAACTAGCCGTTTCTACCGGCTGCTCGTGCTCTGCAACGCCAACTCTGGCCTGCTTCCTCCACTCCACCCCCAAATCCTTCCTTCTTCCATGTCGACTTGGACGCAGAAGCTGCAGGGCAGGCGAGTAGATGCCTAGGTAGAAACCTGAACTATGTTTCAGGCACTGGGTGGCGGCTCTTTCCGCAACCATACCTCCGAAAGTGGACCCACCCCAACCCTCCAAATGCTTGTCCAAGACACCATCCTTCGGCCTTTCTTTCCACCTTGTCTGTGATTCGTGCCTCTGCAGTACGGCTCTATTCGCCTCAACTCGTCAGGCTCACCTCAAGGTAACATTCTCTAACCCCCACTCACATGCTTCAACCGGCCGTTCCCCCATGCGCAGGTGGATAAATAGTCAGGAGCCCCCTAATTGACCCACTCCAACACATTCCATTCACGAGCCTCACCAAAACCACCGTGAACTAGCCCCGTTCCAACCATCATCAAAGGGGCGGTCCGTGTTTTGCGCGGGTATTCGGGAGCCTGGGTGGCTGCAACGACCATGTCCCACCTGAAATCGACTCGATGAAGATCAAAATGTGCCCTCTGCACGCCTGCCACGACGAACGCAATCGGCTGTGGCCCATCTCAAGCCGAGGTGACCGTCACACAGTAAACGTCGAATGGGAATTCGACCCGTCTTCCTGGTTTGACAGGCGAGCTTCATGACGCACCTTTTGCTTTTTGTGCCCAGCTCAGTAACCGAGGCTTAGGCCGTGTCTTGCCACCAGCTCTGTCAGCATTTTTTGTTTTCTTTGAGGGGAAGTCATCGTATTTTGAGTCAGCCATGGTGTTATCTCCCGTGTTAGGTTCCACATGCAGCTTGGCGGGTTGTGAAGACGACGAGGAAAAGCCTTGGGGGAGACTGCACGTCTTGATCTTCCTCAAGTCACGTCACACTTTACCAGTCGGCATTCTGTGATTTCCTCATCTTGACCATGCATGCTTGACAACACTCGATACGTACGTCTAAGACTTACTATTACTACTAGATTCTCGAGACGGAGTGTACATGATAATGCTCTCTATAATCGTCCATTGGTTGCTTCAGAAAACAGTTAGAATCTTGGTTCGTCTTTCTCAGCGTCATCCATTAATCCGCATTTTGTCCGACAATCACATCTCCTCGCTCTCTTCCAACTGTCGTCTCGTCTCGTCTTTGGTTGTTTGACTATCCGCTCTCTCCTAGATGGCTGTCACTTATTCCTATCTTCAGCATCTCAATGATTCGAAATCCTACCTTCTCCTTTGAGCGTTCATGGATGCTTTTATCAAATGCATGATCACGATTGGATATGTCCTTGGGGTCGCTGTGCTAGCGCGAGTGGGGGTGAAGGTAGCGCTCACACACTCTGCTGGCACGTGACTTTCCAGGTCATACCTCATCTGGGTATGAGAATGTGTCCTTTGATCGTCGCTTCACCGTGAGGTTATATGTCTTGATTAGGTCATGTATATCAATATCACTTTCACCAACTCGCTTATGTGTCGAGAGCACCTACATGCATTGTTGCCCTGACGTCGAGCGCGGCCGCCCTCTATTCTCTATCCACAAACACCGTGCCAGCTCCACCTCACCAACAACAAGACCGTGCCCCAGCCTTGCGAACTGAGCCCTCTCAAGCTCTTGCAATCTTATAACGTCCATTGTAAGTCATACACCTCACTCATGACACTCGACTACGCGTTGCGCAGTGGCCATCTCACTCAAATTGAACGTTCGAACGTGGCTGCCGGATTAGCTCACATCAACAACAGGATGCAACAGTCTCGCCCGTCGAGCTCGCAAGGTACGGTACTCGTGATTCGTAGCGCGGTAACCTCTAGCTGAACTTTGCGTCTAGCGATACCTCCAACGATGGCGTCTACGCAGTCGTACAGCGGCCCACTTTCCCTCGGACACTCCAAGTATGCTGATCCACAGCGGAGGAAAGCAGCGCTGGCCGCATCCGCATCTGTCGCTGCTGTTATCACTGCCGATACCGCCATGGCCACCAAGGAGCAAATCGCCGCCTTGAAGACCGGTCATGCCGCCCTCAATGTAGCTCAACACAACGCTGATGCGCAGCTCGCCATATCTCAGGGTAATGCCTTGAAGGAAGAAGTCGCCAAGCATGCCAAAAAATTCTCCAGGACTGTATCATCCACTGTCACCAACACGCGCCGACTGCTAGAGCTGATCCGTGAGGCGTCGCCAGATGCGACCAACCCGACTATCGATGACCTATGGGATGAGTTGGAACAACTATTTGCTGCTGCAAACGAGGCAAAGGAAGCGCTGCCCGAATTCCTCGAGAAGCAGCGCGACAACATGAGCCTGTACCACAGCTCAATGGTGAACGAGGCCATCAAGGACACGCAAGATGAACTCAATATCCAGCACAAGAAGGTCAGTGACATACCGAGTACTCTTCGTATCTTTGAGGCATCAACTAACACCATATACCGCACAGGTCAACATCCAGCACAACCTGATACTTGAGCACCAAGAAGCTTTTCTTGCGCACAAGGAGCATACTTCCGGCAAGCTGAAGGAGCTTGAAGGTCTCCAGGAGCGCATCTCACGTCTGACACTCGAGAAGGGCAACTTCCGCACGGAGATCGACAAGTACGTGCAGCTGTTAGAGGAGGAGCGCTCAATGAGAGCTGAAGATCTCCGCAAAGTTGCCGATCTAGAGAAGGAGCTTGAGGCTCTTGTAGACTCTAAGAAGCAGCTTCTCGTTGAGATCGACACCCTGCGCAAAGCTCTCCAGGACTTCCAAGCTAAGATGAAATCTTCCGAGCAGGAGACAACCGATCGATTCACCGCCCAGCTGAAGTCGACTGCCGAGCTGTTGGCAAAGGAGACCCAGAAAACCACAGCTCTCAACACTATGATCAGCCAGCTGAAGGGCGGCGAGAGCACTGCCAGACTCGATGCCGATAAGGCGAAGAAGGAGAACAAAGCGCTGAACGAGAGGTACAGCAACCAGGCGGCTGAGCATGCAAAAGCCTTTGCGGCAAGTAACCATGCTACAAAAAATCTAGTGCAAATGATGCTAATGTGTTCGCAGAAACTCAACGAGCAAACCAAGCAAATCGAAGGTCTGAAGACCGACCTCGAACGTCGCCAAGAGGAGAATGCCGAGCTGAAACAGAGTCTCACCAAGCTTGCCGACCTTGAAGAACAGATTACTCGGCTCAACCGAGTGAAGTGGACTCTGTCCGAACAAGTCAACAGTCTCAGCACTGAGTTGGATGCTAGCAAGAAGGAGGCAAGTAAGGCCGACACCAAGGTGGAGGGTCTTCTGAAGAAAGTTGAAGGTCTGGACCAGGAGGTTGAACAGCTGGAATCGGCTCACAACCAGCTTCTTAGCAAGATGAAAGAGAACAGGATGGCTGTCCAGACCTCCGAACTTCTCAAGAATGAGAACACCAAACTCAAGACGATGATCGACGAGCTCGAGACCTCCAAGAGCACTTCACTCGTCTTGTGTGGCTCTTCGTCTTCAAAGGATGAGAAGGCAGCGTGTGATCAGGAGGACAGGATTACGGACCTCGAAAACGCTCTACATGAGTGGACTAATCTTGCCAAGGTGAGCAGCCGAACGGCAGGCTATTATCAACTCTTGCTGACCTACAATACAGCGCTCTTACAAGGAGTACAAGGACATGCTACCCACCTACAAGAAGGCCGATCAGTACCGTCAGGAAGTCATCGAAAGGGACGGGACTATCAAGAACTTGAAGCTCGAGCTTGCTGAAGCCAAAGTCTCCAAGGCTAATGGCGTGGGTGGTGCTGGTAATGATGTCCGTTACTGGAAGCAGAAGTATGAGACCCTTCTGCTCGCCGTTGATAAATAGGTGTGAGTGCGCTTCAGGCTTACTGAAAACGCGGATGACGAGCTTGCAACGGCCAATGGGCGTTTCGAAGAGCTTTATGAAGATGGTCTTTGAAGTACCATCAATGCATAGCTGCTACACGAACGAGATAATGGCACGATAGGATCCAGATTTGTACAATAAAAATGTGTCCTGAACATCTTCGCTATGCTTCCTATCAAAATACTTGTAGCTTACAACAAGTCTATAACTACACAGTACACCTTAAGGGTTGAGTACAACTTAGAAAAATGAGCTCACTCGTCTAGTATCCGAAACGTTTACCTGACCTCTCCCAACTCAAGAATCGTTATTAACTTGCCTTTCACATCCTTTCGCTTTCAAGATCTTTCTGCTCCTTCACTCAGAATCAGTGATGAGTTTGAGACAGGCATACTCAAAGATCAAATATCATCGATACCGCTATAAGAATAACGAATCACTCGAGCGCTTAGTTGCTACCAGTTTCTCGACTAACATATCGTGTAGAACTCATACCTTGTATAGGACGATATATCTCGTACGTAATATATCTACCACAGATGCAAACGACAGGATAATCCCCAATTGAAAGATCAGCCCGTATATTGTAAGGTAACTCATTTCCAGGGAAAATTTCTGCCTCAACCATCCGAAGACCACGATACAGAACCTCGCAGACGATACAGCCAGCTTTCGAACACCAAAATGTTGTGAAAACGGTAACGTAATGCATAGTGTTGACATGGGAAGGCGTTTCGCAATCGATTCCATTATTCTGAAGCATATCGCACTTAGTGAGAACTTTCTTCCGTACAGTGGCAGCACGTTCGTTGCTTCGTTTTAACCCCGGTTCAGCGTTCCAAATCTCTAGATCATGCTGTTAGTGTCTGCTGGCAAAACATCTTAAACAAAACAACTTGCGGAAAGCTGAATTCTCATGAACAGATATGTCTTTGAAGCCTGACACCTTCTATGCACATGATGTCAATGACCGCCGTCAGCAACGATCTGGATGACAGACCGGACGTATTTACGATCGCGTCGGGCCTATGAAATGAGGACAATTATTCCGGGGTTAACAAGATTTTGTCTCACGATCAAAATGATAAAACAGAAGGAATGAGCGGATGAGGGCAAAATGGGAAGTGAGTGCAGAGTGAATGCACAATATGAGGCGGGGGCTGACGCCATGTGACTAGCGCGCTTATTTGCGTCGACCATCCTTGCTCTCTCATCCATCTACTTACCTCTTCTAACCCGCCCTAAAGAGTTGTCAATGTTATATTTTGCTCTCAAGGTTTTTGAAAGCTGCAACATATGGCGTCGATGAAGTATACTTCAATACAACTCATGATGTCTTTCATCGCACTTTCGCTGGCCAACATGTCAACCCCGTATTGTAGGTCCAATCTCATAACCTCATGCGGTCAGCTTATATGCCCAACATTTCGCCCTATGTATGGGCCGAGGGAAAGATCTGGGTGAGTATAAAACGACAATGACTGCCGGTATCTGTTTAGATCGCAGCCCCATCAAATCCGCACCGTTAGAACAGTCCACTACTTTCGACTCGACTCTAAGCTTCGTACAAATCACATCAGCCCCCAGCATGAGCAACCGAGCCACATTTCTGGAAACTGCAAAGGGAGAGTTCCGTGTTCGCGATGCTGATTTAGTAGAGCCTGGCCAAGGCGAAGTACTCGTCAAGGTACAATATCACCATCTCAGTATGTACGTTTGACATGAAGTTCTCGACTAACTGTTCAAGGTCCACGCTTGCGCCATACAACCAGCAGATGCAAAATGTGCAAAGCTCTCGATAATGCCTGTAGAGTATCCTGCAGTCCTTGGCAGTCCCGTTGCAGGTACCGTAGAGGCTGTTGGGACTGGTGTGAGCAACGTCACCGTTGGAGAGCGGATAGTATGCGGCACAAAGATCTTCTCGCATAAGAAGGCCAAATACGGTGGACTGCAGCGCTTCACCGTCGTTGATGAGTCTGAAGTTGTTGAAGTAAGTAGGCTGAGCCTGATTAGGTTATTTTGTTATTAAAAATCATGACAGATTGGCGACATGGAGTTCACCAAGGCTGTAACTCTGGCTTCTTACACACCTCCAGGAGCCCTCTTCGGCTCATCAACACTAAACATGCATCGTCCCACTATACCAGCCTCACCACTGCCCGCGAATGAGCAGGGGAAGAAGATTCTTATCTGGGGAGGATCGTCCGCTATGGGCTCTCTCTCAATCTCCTACGCGAAGGCAGCTGGGTACACGGTCATCAGCACAAGCTCACCCCACAACTTTGGTCTTCTTCGCGACTGCGGTGCAGACCATATCTTCGACCACAGCGACCCAGCAACTGTTGGTGCAATCCGCGATCTCTTCCCCATTCACTACTGGTTTGACACCATCGCCCTCAAGGCCTCGTTGTCCACTCTCATCAAGATACTCGCACCAGTAGGCGAGCCAGTTACAAAGGCAAACATCCTTACTTTACTGCCTCCGATTATGACGGGTATGAAGGCCGAGGACTTCCCCGAAGGAATTACGGCGCAATTTCATCGTTTCTCTACGCATGCACCGGAGAATGCAGAGTGGCACGACCACTTCCTCGCGCGTGGCGGGTTTCTAGAAAAAGCTATCAAGAGTGGGGTATTGAAAGGTGTTCCTGCTGAAGTGATCGGTGGCTTAGATCATGTCGCTGAAGGTGTTGAGAAAGTGCATAACGGAGTCAGCGGGAAGAAGATTGTTATCCAGCCATGGGTGTGATGATCGAACAATGCAGAAACTGATACACGGAAAGAACATTTCGGGAAGCTGACAGGAAAACAGAAAGAGAGGAAGAGACAAAACAGGACTGGATCGCAGAATAACAAGCTCCATAACATACACGATAGTCTTCCCTTAAAGCCTCGGATGTGGAGGAATAGCCACGGAGCATTTTCTTCCGATTGGAATCTCCCCGCAATTTTATTAGTATTAGGCACACCTTTGAGAATGCCAAGTGCTCTAACCTTAACCCCCACCAATCGCATATTGATACTCAGTGTGTTCGTCAAAGTATGCCATGCAATTGAGACATCGGGCGTAGAGAGAGGAAAAAGGGAGGTGTTTGTTGCGTGCACGATGCAATGACGTCCGTTTTCATGCCTTCGGATGTGCCTTACTCGTTGCGAGATAGCGCTTCGACTGCCGTACTTGGCATCTGTCAACTTGAAACAGGTTCCTCTTCCCCTTCCTCGCGACCCCTTCCTCGCGTTTTATCGAATTCGTGTCCATTGCTGCCAAATATCCCAACGGCAAAGTCTGCGCGCTGGGGATGCTAGTCATAACTGAACGGCATAACTGCGGTCGTCCCCGTGGCTTCCCATCCCTTACCATTCTCTCGGCGCAGCTGACATGGTGATGCAAGGCGTCGATTTAATCTCGCGCCGCCACAGGGATTCCTTGGGATTGCGAATTCTCCGCCAGTACACGTTCGCGGTGGCGCATCGGGCACGTGGCCAGTTTGGTACAACGTTCGCACATTCTTGCGATGTATACACGGCATTCTCCATGTTTCGCATATCTATGAAACCTTGTCATGTCGCGTGGCAGTGGCTATGGCCAACACTGATCCATATGTCAAACCATCGCTTAGAGAACTGTTTCTGTTTCTTCTTACAACGGGCCTAAATAACGGGGAACTTGTGCGTCAGCCCACGCCATGTGAGCCTCACGAGCTAGCTTCTATTCTATCTAGCAAACACGGCCTTCCCCAGGATCCACCGGAATTCACAGCTGTTATCGTGCGACGGCGCCCGGGGCTTGACCTCTACCGGGATAGTGGTTCCACCAATCGTCCTTCTAGATGGGACTCATTTCAAAACCTCCGAGTCTGGAATGTCAAAGAAATTGATGCTGGCTGGGCTGTGATCAGTACTAACAACAGGAAAGCCGTGTAATCCTTGCACGGGGATGTGCAAAGTTGATCTAACTGTGCCGCTTCGCACTTTACGGCGCTTCTTGTTTGTCGTTCCTTCTCTTCACCACCCCGGTCATCCAGTACAGAGTGCCGGTGGCATTCGTTCGTTCGTTCTTTAAACTTTGTAGGTCTGCGACTACATCACACTCTTTTCGGTTTTTCTTCATTTCGCTTCTATGCCGCAGCACGTTCCGATCGTTGGGTAAAAGATGATCTCCCGTCGAAACCACGATGATTCGGGTCACCACTACGTGGACCCCTCGCTTCAGCTGAACATTGGACTGTGGACACTCTTCGCTGGCGCAGCACTCTTTCTCGCTTTACGTATATGGATCAAGATTACTCGTCGCCACGGTCTCTGGTGGGATGACCACATCCTCCTCGTCTCAATAGTAGGACACCTCTCCCGCATACGTAATGTCTTGTCTGACCGTGTTACAGGTCATACTAGCTGTCAACAACGCCATAATAACCACCGAGTTCGCCACAGGCTATGTGGCCGACAAATGGGACGATCGCATGCACATACTTATAAACATCACTTCCTGTGGAACCCTGATCAACCAGTCGCTTACGAAAACTGCCTTCGCTGTCACTTTGCTCAAGTTGACAAAGAACTGGGCCCAATGGATACTATGGTTCATCATCGGCAGTATGAATGCTTACATGGTGGCCAAGGTTGTCCTACAATGGGCGAAAATCTGCGAGAAACCATCCTACGACGTCTGGTACCGCCTTGACTTTTGCCTCAACTCGAAGTTCAGGGAAGACTTCAAAGAAGGTGGCAATGTTTACAACATCATTATGGACTTTGTGCTCGCTGTCTTCCCCTGGGCCATCACGTGGAACCTCGATATGCGCAGAGTAGAAAAGATTGGGCTTTGCGTGGCCATGAGTCTGGTGCGTCTACTTTCGTCCGCCCTTGAATTCCAATCACTGACTTTCGAACAGGGAATGCTCGTTGCCATCGTATCCGCTGTACGTACAGGTTGGAAAGATGAGGGAAATGAAAAGGACGAGTGGTACTTTTGGCGTAACGCCCACTCCAACATCTGGTATTCCTCTGAAATCGTCGGCACCATTATCGTTCAGTGTATACCCGTCTTGAGACCTCTCTTGCGGGATATCAAGACGTCTCTCACATCAAAGAAGCTGGCATCCACTGCAGAAGGAACACAGCGACGCAGCCGGTACGTTCTTACTTGGTACTCTCGCCACCGCAAAATTACTAACATCACATAGAGTCCCATCTCTCTTCGGTTTCGGTTTCGGTCCTGGGCCAACTATCGGCACTAAATCCACACACAAAGCGCACATCTACTCCAATGGGCGAACCACCGTTGATACCAAGAGCGAGGAGTACTCCGACTCGTGGGATACTCAGGGTATCTACCAGAAGAGAGAATTTGAATTGACTACCATGGAGGTCAAAGCGCAAAAGAACAATGAAATGGTGTAAATGTTAATAGATAAAGCCTTTATCTACGGGCCTTGAATATCGGCTAGAATAGAGAATGGAGACGCTTCGCTGCGAACAATCCCTGCGCCATATACGACTCTCTAGTGATGTTAACAATAAATTCCTTGCTGTCTATATCGTGAGCGGGTAGTGATACTTCATGATTGAGTCAAGGGTCTATGCCATCTGCTAAAGACTAGTATGCCCAGAGGATGATCATAATTTTGGTAACCTCGAGACTGTGATCTCAACCACAACGGGAACAAGAGCAACGCGCTTGAGGTAGCGATTAAATCGTGCGATCGGATCTTTCCATACCCATTCATTCACCCCATCTCTGCAACCAAATCTCTCACACCCACTTCATGAGGAAGAAGCCGCCTGTGGGGCATGCATGGAAGATGGGATGATACTTCAACAGCATTAGCGAACTAATAATGTTGTTGTAAAAGCTCGCCAGACAAATGCCAGATGACATGTCGTATCCTGACTTACTTACTCTCGTCCTTCGTACCAGCTCGAGATAGAAGCTAGTCTCCGCGCATATCAGTCTTCTAATCTCAAGACACAGGAAACAACATATGAGAACACACTGAATCATATGGGTATCATCTCGACTGGCTCTTCATTACACTCTCCTTTTATCCTTCTTACAATTCCTACAGCTCATCTCCTTGATCATCTAATACTCCTCACCAGCTCCCTCAAATCTCCACCCTCAACCCACTTCTCCTCCCCACCACCTCCAACGCCCAATCCACCACCGCCTCCCCCACTGACGCCCCACCCCTCACCTACATCACCTACCACCCTCGCCGGCTGACCACCGACGACCGACCCCGACGCGATGACCATATTCGGTGGCACAACAGTGTGCGGCAGTATTTTGACGTTTTCTTTGATGATGGCAAAGGCACCGATACTGCAGTGTTGACCGATATGCACATGTGAGGAGATGGAAATAGCCTGAATAGTCGAATTGGGTCCTGAATAATCCGTTTAGTATAGCACATCCATGGGCATCTTAAGCTTGAAGCAACGACAACAGATTAGAGGAGAGATGACAACATACCAACGAAAACGTTATCGCCAATCTTCATAGGATAGTAATGCACCTGGCCCCGACTAATTCGACTTGGTGGCTTGATCACGCTCCCCTGGCTAATCACCGTACAACGTCCGATACTGATGCTAGTGGGTGTTACGTCTTTCCCTGATGAAGATGGTGCGGATCGCGTGGGGTGAAGGTCCCCGCGCAATTGCACGTCAGCCATGATGACGGTGCGACCTCCGAGTGTGATGTTGGCTGTCCCGGTGATGGCGCTCCGTCTGGAAACTTTGTTGCCGGAGTCCTGTGAGAGGTGTTAACGACGGAGGAGAAATAAGACCCTCTATTGGAACGGGAAAATGAGAGAGGCGGTGATGACGAAGAGCAACGGATGTATGGTATTCTTATGCGTGGTGATTGTTTACGGGGGGAAAACATACAGTCTCGATGTATTCCCCTTTAGGTGCGGCTTTTCGCGCCGCTGGTCGTGACATTTTGGCGACCAATACTGTCTTATTCTTTGCTGTAACCGCTTTTCCACTTGAACTTGATAATGAGCGAGCTATATGGATGGTAAAGCGACCGTGGTCGTAGTGAAAGGACAATTGAGAGCGGAAGGTGTAAGCGACCCAAGCTCCAAAATCAGCCAATCAACGCGTCGCGTGTTCTTCTGTGCATGCTCGCAGCAGGTACTTGCGAACGACGCTTCTTACACCTCATTCTTCGCTAAAATCGAGTTTACAAACAAGAGGAGTGATTATCACGGGCCTAGAATGTAGGTTCTAGTCCTTAGTCGTCGCAATTAGTCAACGTGCAGTCCACCACGCCTACCGCATGCTCGGGCAATTCTGCATTCTCGCGCATACAAAGCCCATACGTTCCATATACGCAAAGTAACGAATATCGAGTCTCTAAGCATCCATCTCTCATCCTATCCCATCCCTTCGTCATCCTACTCACTCAATTCCCTCAATCTCCGCGCTATCCTACCCAATCCGCCTCCGCGCCCCATTGCCACGCAACCTTTCGGCCCTACCCAGACCCACGATGGAATATTAAGGAACACCAAGCCGGGCTCTCAATCCAGGAACAGCGCGGTCCTCCATCAGGCCTTGACCTTGACCCTGACCCTGACCCTGTTCCCCACCATGCAAGAGCTATTTCAATCCCATGATCAACATTCTAATCCGGAGAAGACTCCGATATACATGCGGCACTGACGTCACCCAGATCGACCATCCGAGCGCATCCGCAGGCGTCCGTGAGACAATCGTGAAGCCTTGCAATGCGACTACTCGGACACGTGTTGCCGATTGGAACTGACTAGTTGGCTTAGTTTGATCTACACACGAGCGGTCTTTATTCTATGTTAGTTTCGTCCACGACGATCTGGGTTAGGCGAATGAGGCTGTAAGGCTTATGCTGGCATGGAGGCGGTAACGGAGTGATTGGCTGATGTAAGGGAAGGAGGTTCGTCGGGATACACGTGCAGCGGAGTTTGGGTCCGCGGTTCATTGCTTCGAGATACAAGATTTGAAAATGGAAGAAGCGTCTATCTGACGGATAGTTCATCTGGACTGTCGTTGCCTAGTTGGGTTCCAGATCTGGTGTCTGTTCAGGTGGCTTTTGGCTATGTTTAGGCCCAAACGGCGTCGCCGCGCTGCAGTAAAAAGATCTGGTTCGAGAACAACGCCAGACGCCATAGTTGTCAGCTTCCCGCTAGCGAGACGGTGGTGTCAACGTTTGGGGAGCGTGCACGTAGTATAGAGCGTATCAGGGGAAATCGTTGCTGAAGCACCAGTGACACGTCACGAAGAGATTAAGCGTAGAAGAGGCGTGCAAGGAGTGATGTTTTTTATTCGTCTGAAGCAACTTTCTCCTAGCTGCGTGATCAAAATTGACTTTTTGACCCATTGTCCCTTGTGCGCCACGAATATCCTATACCCAAATCCCAAGTCATCGCAAGGATTGTTCGTAGCATCATCTCTTAGTGGAGTACAACCCCCGCCGCTTGAGCCGCCATTACTTACCAGCAATGCGACTCCGTAGATGGCACCATTTATACAAAAAGTTCTTCGTAAAGGTCTGAAAGATCCAGAATAGAGTGATGCGCCACGCATCCTGTACAAAACGCCGAAAGTAAGAGAAAGAAAGAGCAGCATTGATAACGATGTCTCCAAAAGGGAATAGGCGTTATCGTTACTGTACGTACCCGAGATATCATTCGTATCGGGATAACGTGTTCCTGAAAAACGCGCAACTGCAAGTATCGCTGAGCAACAAAAGCAGTGCAGTCAATCCAAAGCAAGGAAATAAGCTGTACAAGAAGACCGGTTGGAGGCATGATGCTGTGGTCGTCGCTTGGAGATATCGTTGTAGAGTCCGACAGCTGAAGGAAGTATAGTACTGTACAGGTCCAGAACAGACGAATATTTACTGTATATGCAGCGAGTTTTCTGCACGTTGGCTGATGTGGTGGGCGTGCGATTCGAGTGCGCGGGCTTGAATATGCGTGACTACAGCACTATTAGCAAGTATTATGAACGCTTCTAGGTGATCCACTTACCAGGCCAAACGGCGGCCTTCGACAGCATGTAGGCCGTCACCATCAGCAACTTCGTACCATAACCGCAATGCCCAAGGCTGGAAAGACCACCAAGCATCGGAATGTTGTTTGAAGAGATGTCGTAAGCCAGCTTCATATCGGCGTGATGAAGGATGTCAGAAATCTTCTGTAGCAGCTTAATGTCCTCCTCTTCAAGTAGTACAACGGCCGGCACGCTCGAGAAGTCAATCTCGTCCCTACCAAGCACACCCATGTGACGACCAACGCGATCTTGAACAGTTGCAACCCATTCAGCAAGGACCTGGGCGCAATCGAAAGTACACAACGCAGATGAGTTGGGTAATTCTCGAGCTGTGAAGTCGGCGTACGAAGCACCCAGTTTGTCTGCCATGGAAAGCGAGTCAGCAGCGTAGAAAGCTGCCTTACGAAGGTGTCGTTCGCGCTTGGAAGATTGTGAGTTGGAGAAGCTGTTTGTTGCATGCCCCGGGCTGATGTGATCCTGTGACCCCATCTGGCCGGGAGAACCTCCGTTGATATCCATTGATGCAAATCCCTCCGGTGTCCCGTCAGCTTGGCCAATGATATCGATACCTCTCGCCAGCTCATTTGCCATACCGTCGAAGTCACGTTGCCATAAAAGCTCTTTCGCGCGGCCAAGGTTTACAAAGAGTCTGACATAGGCCAAGTCCAGTAGTGGTATGCAGTCGGCAGAAAGAGGACCAAAAGGGCTCGGGCGCTCGATGCTGTGGTTCGGGTTTGCCCTCCAGGCAACTTGCCAGGCCTTGAGAGCAGGCTCTACTTGGGCATGCATGGCCTCAGTTTCCTGTGCCTTCCATAGACGTCCGTTGTGCCTGTTCCTGGTCTCCCAAATGTAGACGTGCATGGCGTTGATTAGCACATAGCAACCGAATGTGCTGGGTCGGATATCGCTCTCAGAAGGTCCGTTCATTGGCTGACCGCCTGCGAAAGCTTGTGGGTAAGAGTTTCGCATTCGCGATGTGGTGTTCCGTGAACTAGCTTCGAGAAGGTACGTCATGGCCGAAATGAAAGACAACCCGCGAGTCTGCGCAATCATCGGTCCTCCCATGGCCACCCACGTTTGAGGGTTGTCAACAGACCATAAATCCTCTTCACATGGGAGATCTAAATGTATCTCCGAGTTCAATATACGTGGCGAGTGCGCGTAGGCGGAAACAAGCAGGCTCGACATGGAGAAGATGGCAAAGTAGGTTCTCTTGCGCTCTTCTATCTTCTTCCATTGAATCCATTGAGCGTGCTCGTCCACACTATCGGCATTCTGGTCGTACTGTGAAGGCGATCCATCTGACATATCCAGATTGTCGCTATTGGTATGATTGGGTGGACTAGAAGAAGTTTGCTCTGGAGCTGTTGGTTTGTCCAATCCAGCAGCTTTCGCAAGGCTTACGAGCGCCGCACAATGAGTGCTCGCAACCTCGGCGGCCTGTCGATCGCCACAATTGTGGCCGAAGATGAGGTTGAGTAACATGGCCTGCACTAACCAGAGTGGTGGTTTGTTGATGTGGTCGTTGGCAGCGTTGGATCCATTGACGGCGGAAAGGCCAGCTTTGCGGCGCTCATCAAGGTAGAATAAAATCAATTTTTTGGCAGCCTCGAAGAGTTCTTTTGCGACGTTTTGCTCGAATTCGTACAAAGCTCCAATGGCCGCCATTGCAAGGATTAGACATCCACCGCCGCCGACCATTGTATCCTGGTTGTAACTTCCGGCTGAGCGAAGTTGATATGTGTATGCTGGAGTATCAAAGGAAAGTGTAGGAATGTGCAGGAAAGGCAGGTGGGGGTGGAAATAGTGGATGTACGCATTGACGTAGCGCTGGATGTCGACGGTGCTCGGGAGTATACCAGTCTGTGTTGAAGACTTTACGGAGCCGTTTGACAAAGGCGAGCTAATGGCGGGTTGGGAGAATCTCCGTTGAGCTCCGTGACCGTACCCCATAGCTTGAGTCAAGTTGGACATCATAGCCTGCCTCGTAGAGTCTGTAATGGTTTCAGTGGAAAACGATGAGACAGAACTGTTCCTTGCGCTACCGTTGATGGAGGAAGATGATATGCTGTGGGCATCAGAAGCGAATGTCATGGGCGTCTGAAAATACTGATTCGGCATACCGGGTATACCAGCTGAAGGGCTCATGGCCACTAAAGGAGGTGGTGTAGAAGAATAAAAGTCATTCTGAGCGCCATGGTTTCCGAGCTCTTGCGGGGTGTTGTTGTCCATCATGAGCTCGGGAAAGACGGGGGCCATGGCATCGAGTGTGAACGCAGTTGGGTTGATGGTGGTGTGGGTGACTAGAGGATTATGCCACATGGCTGCCGAGTTTGGCTGACTTGAGCCATCTAGCATCATGTCGTTGAAACCACCCTGGCTCGCAGTGCTTATCGCTGATGGTGAAGAGCCGTCAAGAGCTGACTCGTTGGCGCCAGTAAAGACCATGGAGCTGTCGATACCCATGCCCCAACCGAAATCGTCTTCCTCGATGGGATTATTCCCTGCGAAAGGGTTGGCGAATTGCTTGAAGGGCGATTGTGGGAGTGCAATACCTCCATTGAAGTGATGCAACTGATTCGGGTTGATGGTGGAAGCCGCCGACGATCCGAAGAACTTCTCAAGCTCATGGTCATCTGGCCCAGCCATTCCTGGAATGGGAGCTGTGCGAAGACCGCCACCCATAGCGAATCCTATATGCGTGTCAAGCCTTGGTAGACCTGAATGCTGGCCATGGTTGCCGACAGCAGTCGACATGCCTCTGTAGTCGAATTGACTTATGCCTGATAGACTTGAATGTTGTGAATGGCCGGGGTGGCCTCCCCTGCCGCCAGCTATCGAAGTTCCGTGTGTGGCAAGGAAGCTGTTGAGGGCGCTCGGGTCGATGTGACTGATGGTATTGGCACGCGGCCTCATGACATTGACATTGCCCTTGGCACCGCCGGCATTGCTCGATACTGAGTTCTTGCGTACTCGGGCAGTCGAGTTAGGCGGGAGACCGGTCGTGCTTTCTCTACGTCCGTTCCGTGGTCGTGTGTTGGTCGCGCCCTGCTGGTGGAGCTTCTGCTGGTGGCGTAAGAGGAGGTCGCGTCGCGCAAAGCATCTCGTGCATTGGGGGCACTCGAACGGCTTCTCTTTTGTATGGGATCGCTCGTGTCGCTTCAAATGCTCTAGTCGCGCAAATGACCGCGTGCATGTCGCGCAGACGTGAGGCCGTGGCTTGTCGTTCTTGGGTGGAGGGAAGGACTGGACGGTGGGCGATGTTTCGGGCTTTGCGGTTGATACTGAAGCTGCGATTAGCGATTGCCATTAGCTATCGTGGTGTTGTTTGGTCTTCGCTCCTACTCACAATTGCTCGTGTTGCCTGAGCCGTTGGAGTCGTCGCCCGGCGAGTTCGCGGGGCCAGGCAGGCTCGTGCTTTCTACTTTGGCCATGATCATGTATGGTGTTGGTAATACCCCAACCAACGTCTGCAACAATACAATCGCCTTTACCAAGCTTGCAGATGAGCCAATAGACGGACCGGAAGGTGCACCCGGCCTCGAAGTACCTGACAGCAAGCTGTTGGTGCTACCGGGGACGAACTCGTTGTAGCTTGCGGAGCCGACAAGCTCTCTGGGTGAAGAAAGGATGTATGGATACAAAGAGGCTACCAATACATACAAATACGTCAGCGGGTGATGCCACATGATGGGACAGAAGAGTGAAGACAGTACCTTGTACGGGCCTCTAATACGGAACGAGCGTTTATGAGCTGGTTAACGCAGCGTGTCGGATGCGCAGCTCGTAGTAATGGGATATTAAGATGGAATTGGGGCTTTGGATGACAATGCTAATCTACAGCAAAGGCCAATTGCCAGGTGCGGGAGAGCTTGGTTGATGGTGGGCAAGTTGAGGATACTGCAAGGCCTCGCAACAAGAGCAAGCCTATGCTGAGTGAAGGAAGGAGCCAGGGGAATAGACGGGTGATTTGTTTGGATCGGTCGGTACATAGGTCGGCGTACGTACGTGTTCAACCGCTGGTCCCGGTGTGTGTAGAGCCAGTGCGGGAAGCTTGTGGTAAGCAGTGGCAGTGGCAGTGGCAGCTGGTGGAGCTGGTTGAGCACGAGGGTCCAGCCTTGATGTAAGCGTCTGTACCAGCGGTGCTGCTGGAGGCGCCGGCGGCTTTTTGCTGGTACGGCCCAAAAGGCTAGATTACAGCGCAGACACAACCTTCGGTCCCGGGCAGAGCAATTGGGCGACGGCGCAACGATTGGTCGGAGACGCAGAGCAAGGCCGAGTCTGGGGAATCGGGCACGGGCCAAGGTTTGGGGGACGAGAGCTAATAACAGTAAACGGGCAAGCAGAGTCAGCAAGTATACAAAAGCAAGTCGCTCTTTGACAAGCTGTGGCGATGGCTGTTGGGGGTGTCGAGAACAGGCACGACGAAGGCGGCGTTATAGCATTGTAAGCAGCTCCCCAGACTTCACGGCTCGTAAAGCTTTGGAGCTAGGCGGCGAGTGTGTCATGCAACTGGCCAGCGCCCCAGGTCGTTCGACGGGCCTGCAAGCACCAGGGTCTCTAGGAAAGTGGATACTCCAGCAAACGGCCATTCTGGCGCAGGGGTCTCGTCCGGAGTACTTCCGCTACTCTACCCTCGCCTCTACATGCTCGTCTGAAGAGGCAGCGATGCGCGTCTGCGATCACCAGCGTTGCCTGCAAGACTCTTCGCGGCTTGGCTGCAGCGACTGCGCCAGGGGCCCACTCTTATGGCCTCGGCTCTGTATCAACTCATCTTCTCTACTCTACACACATCACCTACTTTATTAGTGGAATCTGCCTCAACTCTGAAGCCGCTGCATTTATAACGCGCTCTGGACAAGGGCCGGCTTCATTTCGCCTGGCGGGGGTAGAGTATCGAGCTCCAATGGCCTGCTGGTTCCATATTAATTAGCAAAAGACAATACCGTCGCTACTCGTTCCTGAAGATTGCACGGGTCTAGGCACGACCCTGCTCTGGCTTCCGACATGGAGTTTCAAGACTCTGTCACAGAAACAGATGAACAATGATGGTGCTGCCAAATGCTCGCCCAACAATGGGGCTCGCATACACGACCCATGTATCTGCGGCCGTCAAGCGCCTAGCGATACGTGTAAGAACGGGCGACTACGGACAGCACGCTACGGCAACGCCAGCATTCTACTCAGCAGCACCGGGCTACTTGAATTGCTTTTGCACACTCGGGTAGCTGCTTGCGCTGACATCGGTGAGGGTGGCAACGCCTGCAAACTTCCCCAGGAAATTCAAGGTTGAGCCTGCAGAGCTTGGACGGCGGCAGCAAAGGAGGCTAGCTGCTTCGGGATCTGGGGTAAACAGCTAGCGTACGCGCTAGGCCATGGCATGGGTCGCCTAAGAAGCCATCCACACATAGCGCCGCATGACCACGGCTTGCAGAGTTCCCATCGCCGTCTTTCTGGCCCTTGTCTATGCTGCTCGACCCGCACACCTATCACCGGCACACAGCGTTGATCTCGCCTTCTTTCGCCTGCTGTTGAATACATACGCTTACTGCAAGAACTGGTACCGCAATGTCGCGAACCACACTCATGCTCATCGTAGCTCGCGAGCAACAGCAGCGCATGCTGAATGAGCCGGTGGCAGTAGAGACAAACTCTCTCACGCCCTGGCCTTGTACTATTGCGCAGTCACGGTGGGTATGCTACTGCACCTGACCTTCGGCAATCCAGCACCCTGACCTTCTCGGTATGTCGCGCCCGCCATACAGCGTACGCCGCACTCGTCCTGCTATGCGCACTGGAGCGACCACGACGCATGATGGCGTTGTCAGGCTGCTATCGCACTTTCGGCCATCTGCTATTCTCGCTTCGGCTTAAACCTCCAGCTACCTCACCAGTCGGGTCTGCATTGCCACATTCAAACTTCGGCTATGACCACCCTACTATCTCGCACTTCGGATGCTGTAACAAATCTTAGCCAGTGACGTTGCGCTTTGTGGCAATGGAAGATCGGCCGTCGTTGTGCATAAGCACCAGCAAAGCTCGTGGCAGATCTACAAGCGAACGTCCACCTGGTGGATCAATCCTTCAGCGAAACCAAAGCCATCTACGTCAATCGAAGCATTGTAGAAGAATTGTCGAACTACCAGAAGCTGTTGCATGCATTGTCGACCTCTCACTGCTGATCGTGGCTAATTTCGTTGCTGTGCCACTTGAAATCGTCACCATGAAGGATGGGAATGCATTTGTCAACGCACATGCCATCCGATCTGCGCGATCCCGGTTCTTGCCTATCGTTTGACATTTTAAGAGATCGGTCGCCAAATGCAAAGTTTGCTGATCGATAAAATCCCCGGAAACAACATTCGCACAGCTCTCATGTCGCCTCGGGCCGGCAAATCCAGGGCATTCTGCCCATGAGAACGAGAACGAGACCGAAGGCATACGAGTCACAGGGTTGGTGCGGAACAACGAATACATCGTCATGCGGTAGCTTTTTAATGTACTATCTTTACTGTGGCTGTGATATGTTCGCATCTATAAGTGCAACATGGATCTCTACCCTGGGGACATCATTCTCGCAGCTACGCAACGACGACACGTTTGACTGGGCGTACAGGCATGACGTGCGTCCTTTGTACAACCATCGGGACGAGTCTACAGCGCAACTCACAAACACGATGCCGACCGAGACGGAAGCACATGCAGATACTTGATGACGAACGTCTGCTTCTTCCCGTTCGCTTCAAGTGACAGCCCGCTCGAACCGATGACCCACGCTAACTCAATGAGGCTATCCCGGCGCACTCCCCCAGACACTTGCCCCTCGTACTTCATCTCGAGGTCTGCGAACCGCCAGCACTGTTGCGCCCTGCAGCTCCACCTATCACACTCCTGCATCTGCGAGGCATGAGCCGTCTCCCGTCACCATTCGTACAGGGAGCTGTTCGGAGTAACAAGAGCGAAAGCTGGGTCTGGAAGCACCATAAACACAAATTCACAACAGATCAGCGTGCATGCAACGCAAAAGCATGGTGTTCCACTCTAACTACATGCACCGTTACAACATAGTGGAGAAAAATCAGCCCCCCTGTTTCCACCTTGGACTTGCTGCCCTCTCTTGTTCTAGTTTTCGTTTCGCTTCTGGCAATCGCTGGCGACACCCAAATCACCCCACATCATAGCAGTCGTTCGAGGCTTGATGTTGAGCGCCCAAATATAACGCAATATTGCTGACGCCCAGCCCTTTACCCACTACACATCACCAGGAGAAGCTAGATCTGGTGGATTTTGACGCGCGATTGCAGCGACGCTAAGGTCGCAGTAGTCTGCGTCTCACGTGTACGCTTGGTACGTACCTCGCCGCTTCTTACGACCCACTGCCGCTTCGCGACTGGACCTTTGTACCTTGGACTCTAGACGCAACTCATGGGTTAGACTCAATCCTATCCGCTCTGTTCGCAGATAATACGAAATCGATAGCATCGACGTCATGCGCCAAGTAGGCGTACTCATAACGATACGATCCTGTAGGAATGTGCAGTACTTTTTACACCCAGTGGAAGCCTAGGAGAACCTACCGCTTACCTTTCATCGCTATTCTCCGATAGGTCAAAGTTAGAGCTCTTCCGCGGTAGCCGATACAACGTCCTAAGTCCGCGAGTTGTTGTGCTTGTGACACTTCCACTTCTAGTAAGCTTTCGGCCTTTCACTCACCCGGTTCCGGGATGCGTCTTCAACCTTCAATATTAGGCATTGAGGTAAAAGCTGAGAAACCACTCTTCGGCTGGTATGGGGCGTCTATCCACGTTCGGGCGTATGGGTGGCTGTTCCTGTAAGTTCACATTCGCTACACCATGCAGATGGAGCAAATGTCAGCGGGGTTCGCCGCAAGCTATCCCTTGAAAAAAAGCCACTCAAGATTATAGGGTCTATCCTAGTATGACATTCCCGACCATGTGGCTTGACATGCTCTTTCTATTCTTTTGCGCCCATTCCCTGTCATCATATTCACACATCCCTGATCTATACGCAGCTGGGTTTTAACTTTGCGTTTGATAGCTGCAATTATTTCCGGTCGCTTCATACTTCAACCAAGAACTCAGTTTGCCTCACGTACATGTACCTTTCTATCATATCGGCAATACGCTTCACATCCCGCATCCCAACACCCCACGCCCGCCGGGAAAAACCCTTTCCCTCCGCGCCCCAGAAAATCTCCACACAGTATCCACCCATCTATACCAGGAAAAGAAGCCCATTGCTCAACAGCGGCAGATGAACAGGTTTACTAGTATTCCGCGAACCCACTAAGTGGATCTATCATGGCGACCATGTAACCTCATGGCGTGGTATTCCGCGCCTCTGTCACAAACGGCAATTCGTCTCGTCGCCCATAGCTACTCCGAGTATTTCCACTAAAACATACATCTTAAGTTTGTGGCAATTCGAAGAAGAGAGACATCCCGAACAGATGTTCGATTTGCGGCTTACCGTTCATAGCTCCTGCAGGCTGCTGTATGACTTGCATGGCGTTACGCAGCTGCTGACGCAACATCAAACCCTCTTTCGCACTGATTTCAAGTTTCACACGACCGGTATCTGATATGCATGCGAGAATGTGTATACCGATGTTCGGGCGAGACATAGGGTTTCGATCTCGGGTGTGCAGGTATACCTGATTGATCGAGCCGGGTGGCAGGTGATGGTATGACGGCATGGCTTAGAAGCGGAAGTGGCCGCACTTATCACATACTGAGTTGCCACACTCACCGTTCTGGATGCCCTTTGCAGCTTATCATAGATTTCTCTGCGGAAGGGCGAACTGACCGAGAAGCATGACCAATGTCAATGGCCTTGACGACGCGGTACCATCCTCAACGGGTAGTGTAAAGTTCTCAAGTATGTACATGATGATGAATATACAAAAACGAAGGTATCTCTTGCTTCATATCGCTCATATCTTTCTATGCGGTTTCGTCCCAATCTTCTCTTTATTCTATCATTACGTGCACAGTCTCTCGAATGGAGCGTGACATGGACACATATATCCGATGTTTTGAAATCCATGCTTTTCTGTATTTCCTACGCTCCATGACTTTATTCCGCGTCTTCTCCTAGTTTCCCACGGCAAGTTATTCGCGGCTATGCTGACTTGACAGCAATGCCTTTGTGTATGAATTCGTCGTTGGGCACCTTTCCTCTCCTAGTATCATACTTTTACCTATGCTTTTCTTCCAAGAGACTATAACAAGCGTCCATAGCTTTCGGTGCTGTCCCGCGCTCCAAAATAATGTTTCCACTCTCCCATGTTGTCTCGCTGCGTGTGTGGACACCACACTTCTAGCCTTTGAAAAGCTCAGTACCTACAATTTCGAACATGAGCGAATAGAGACTTTCAATCTCTTCGTTCTCCCTTTGTCTCTTTACAAAACAGAAAAGCCATAGCTGATGCACTCTTGCCCCCAGACAAAAAAACTTATACCGGATAAACACATGTAGACGACCGGTCTGTCTCTACATATCACTACGTGCCCCCAGAAGACTCATTTCCGTTGTTCAAAAATCCAAGGTGCAGATGGCATCTCTTTGAGTCGTTCAAGATATAAACAAATCCATCATTTCGCTTCTTCCTTTCTGCGACCACAGCATGTATGGGTAGCACATCAAAAAACTTCGACGGCATGCATACATGACTTTGGAAAGAAGGAGTGGTTCAACAAATACATGACTACCCAATTTCCTCTCATTTTCCAATGCGCGTTGGCCTGTTGACACGTCATTTCGGAAGCAGCGACTGCATGCATATGTGCATTTCTTCTGCAACTATTCGAAGCCCTGATCATACATTTTCTCCATGACTATGTATCTACGACTGGGGACTCATATCTCAAACACGCCACCCATCCCCACTCTAACATCCACGAAATCCGGTCTCCACCCCTTATATTGTACAAGCCCCCTCTTGACCTCCCTAACCCTCTCAAGCCTCCTCTTGGCCTCCTCTTCCTGCGCCTGCCTAAATGCATCTTCATCGATTTCAAACTCATCCAAACTACCCAGACTCTCTTGTCTCGGCTTCGGCTTACTCGCCGCGTCGCTTCGTCGATGCGCGGGGTTCTGGCCGGTGAAAGCTGAGATGCCGGATTGGATGACGTCCTGGAAGGAGGAGTGTGTGCGGTTGGGGAGGGCTTGACGGGATGGCGCTCCAGAGAGGTCGATGTCGTCAAAGCTGTTGGCGCTGTTGTAGGGGTGCGAGGCGTCTGCTTGGTCGTCAATGGGAGGTTGCATATCGCGGCGACGGTCGCGCCATACGCCGCGGCGGAGTTCAAAGTTCTCTTCTTCTAGTTCGCGCACTTTGGCGAGGAGGCGGTCACGCTCTTCGTCTAGGAGCTCTTGCACGCTGGAGTCTTCGATAGAGCCGAGGTCCGCCTTGCGACGACGCTGCTCTGCTTCTCGGAGACGTGCGTTTTCGTTGCTGAGGCCTGTTATGCGGGTTCGTAGTTCTGTTGCTTCTCGCTCAATTTTCTTGTGCTCTTGTATGCGCGTCTGATTCCGGGAGTCGTTGTCGCGATGTAGCTGTGTGAGGGTTTCGATCTTCTTCTCCAGCAACTCAGCGCGTGAGACTGAGTCCGAGGCCTTGCGGTTCGCTGTGCCCAACTCAGCCTCTAGTTGTGCAATGCGCGTCTGCGCAGAGTCACGATCTGAGCCGTCCTTCTCTGCCTGATCCCCAGCCTTGTCTAGGCTCGCCTTGAGATCCTGTAGCTCGGTCTTTGTTGAGCTAGCCTCTTGTTCTGCCTTTTGTACTGCGGATTCCAGGCTCGAAACCTTTGACTGAAGCTCGTTGTTCTTGTTGGTCTGTTCTGACAGCTGCCTGTTGACGTTGGATATTTCCAGCTCGAGTGACTCGATAGTCGCAGACTTTGAAGCGACTTGCGCGTTCAAGTCGTCGATAGATGCGCTCTGACTGGGCGATGCGGTCGATGTACGGCGGATGGACTTGTTGCTTTGCGATTGCGCCTGTGCGAGTTGTCTCTTCAGCGATTCAACTTCGGCTTTCTGCGCTGCATGTCAGTATCCTGTCCCACATCTCAAGTTCTTCCAAGGTGCATACCAGCTTGTCAGCCTCCTTGCCTTTCTCGACCGCGAGTGCAACGTCTCCTCTGCTTTCTCGTAGCTCCTCTAATTCTTCCTCGCCCTTCTTCCGTCTGTTCTGGTTTTCTTCGACCTCGCTTGCCAGTCTTTTGTTCTCCTTCTCGAGCTCCTCAATCTTCTGTGCTTGTTCCCGGTAGACCTCGCTTGTAACCCCTCCTCCCGGCGACAAAGGTCCACCAGCAGCCCCCGAACGGTAGAAAGACTCAGATCGCTGTCGCGACTCAACAGCGACTGAAGGCTTGCGGCCGTGTGATGACTTGGGTACAGCGAGCTCCGACGGCTCGTCATCGTCCTCCTCTGGCGGCGGCGCTGCGCTTGTAGCTTCTACGGGTTCTGGCGCGACTTGTTCGGGCTGGTCTTCGGTAGTTGTCGCTTCAGCAGGGACTTCGGTGGAGGCTTCAGCTTCGGCGGGTGCCTCAGTCTTGTCTTCCTTCTTCTTTCCAGCGCCCGCCTTCTTTGTCTTCTTCTTTAATTGTTCGTACTATTGCACACGTGTTAACTTGTTTTCCATTCCTGGGAGTGATCCCATTGTAACTTCGACAACGAAGGGAAACCATATCCAACTGCAACTGAGCAATGGTAACCGTCTCGGAGAGTAGTAGAACGTGTAGGGAAAGACCTACGCGTTTCTTCGCCGCTGCGATCTTCTCTGCCTTCTCTTTCTCTTCGTCCGCCATGTTGCTTCGCGATCGTGTTTATCGGGTTGAGGGTTCGGAGGTAGCAGTGGAGCCGTTGTATAGCTGTTGCGGGGAGCTCGAGGACTCGGTGATGCCAACTTGCCCGCATTGCGGAAGCGCGCTAACACAGACTCGGACTAGTCACATTTCGATTCACTCGATGTCGACGAACAACCACAGCACTATGTCTCCATGATGAGAACGTGATGCTGTTGTTGGAGAAATCTTGATAGATGAGATCATGTGCTTATAGTAGACTATGCATAGAAGTCTATGGTTACCTGAGTTAAATCTGAAATGGCTTACTGAGATACTTACAATGGATATGCAAGATGGATACAAAGATCTTTGAATTACATAGTCCGACATTTTAAGACCACGAAGAAACTCCATTTTCGAGAGGTCACATTCCATTCCACCCTAGAAATCTGTCATAGTCGAGTGCGTACCAGCTGTCTACCATACCGCCTTTCAGTACTCCTCTCTCCACGATACATCAAACAATCGCAACTCACACACATCACCATCGCCCCTAGCAACGCTCGGCCAAACATCAATCTTGCACAGCCTTATCGACTCCCTTGCTTCCAGCAAGCAAAACGCCCTCCACATGAACTACGTATCCCGCCTCCAGAATCTGAAACACCAGCCTGTCTCGCTTGACTCGTACCTGCATACGTCGCAAGCCGCATCTCTACCTTGACTCAGCTCACTACGTACCATAATGTAGACAAATTAACGATCGTCAGTGCAGCCGTTGGCCCTGCATACCCTGCTGCACGAACGGCTCGACCCAAGATATTAAACGGAAAACGGGCGTGCATAATACCGGTGATACTATAATGAACTCCGATCCTTCTCATACAACGATGATCGCGCGGAGGTTTCAGCATGACGGAGACCACGCAATAGCAGTTGCATGACTAAGGGGGGAGCGGCTGCTTCGGTTCTAAACGGTCAGGTGGGTGACAAAAAAAGTGCGGGATATGCAGGTGCGGCGGCTCGCTCGGGGCAGATAGATGAACCTTCTCACTTTCTCGTCCCGCTGTCACATGGTGTCGATTTGATTAGAAAGATGGGGCCAATGCGCGATAACGGATCCCCACGAGCTGATGGCCAGTTCTCTACTTGGGGTTGGGGAAGACTGATAGCAGATAGTGGTAGACAGGCATGTTGGCGTCAGACACATATTGCAACGGCTCAAGCAAGCGATGGATGAAGCGAGATTTGCCCTGATACAAACGAACGGGCTACTTCGATAGAATTGGTAGAATAGTGAGTCACGGGAGGCACAAGAACATGGCAAGAGAAGATCTGTGTGATTCAGAGTTTGATTGTTTTTCAAGATTGCAGCCATTCGTCCAGCTCAATCCACATTCTACCCTTTCAAAAGCTCAGGGTACAGATTGCTCAACGAGATTTGCCTCCATATTCAAAGCACATGTCCCACCATCCCAGCTTACTACAGCATACGGTGATGTATGTACTGCTTCATAATAACGACTGTCAAGAAAATAGAGAAAAGAGTGCTGTCGTGCCGTGTCTGCCAAAGAGCTGTATCGACGCCTCTGAGAGAGCGTGTAGATGGCATAAACAAGTGTATGCCCTCCCATAGAGTTTAAGTAAAGGAGATAAAAACACGGTCGGTGCATGTGTACCGCCGTAGGAGAAACCAGTCAAAGTAATCCAGATGATGTCCCATTTCCATGCAGAGATGCAAATAACAGGATTCCTAGGTACCCATCCTCCCAGTACTCATAGTAGAAAAGATGTTGTTCAATGAGAGTAAGAAAAAGTCTGGTTCGCGTATGCATCGCAGGTTGGTAATGCGCCATTAAAAATCATCGCTTATAAACTCCGTGGTCATGCGAGAGAAAAGAGGTGATGTTTGTGCTCAATGAAGCACAGCCATAATGTCATATGAACAAAACACAGCTACTTGAAAGCAAACTGCAAGTCGTTGGATTGAGGCAAAGGCCAAATATGTGCAAGTCGTGACAATGATGATGGCACTTCAGGTCTTCGACGGGGAAGAGTCTCTGGTGTGCTGGAAGAACTTCTTCAGTCTGCTTCCAATGTTCTTCTTCTTCTTGTCCTTAGTGGGCTCGCGGTGTTCTGATTGTGGACGCTGCTCGATAGAAAGCTTGCTCCGTTCGCTGAAGGAAGACGAGGAGGTCCCCATCAGCCTTGACAGGCTAGCAATACTGGAGCGCTTGCGACGGCGTGACTCCATCTCACTGGGATCAGAAGACAAAGATGACGTGCGGTCACCGAACCGACGAGGACTAGGAAGCGGAAAAGCATTCTGCATTGCGCTAGTCATCGTCGACCTAGACGAAGTTAGAGACGGAACCTCCGTAGACATGCGAACTTCAGGTCCAGGCTCGCCAAAACGAGGAGAAGGCATCACAGGGTAATCCGTCATCGAGGAAGCCGCGGTGCCTCCACGGCCAGTATCGAACGAGATCTGACTAGATCGGCAATCTGGCGATGAAAACGAAGAGGTGACGGTGTCGGGTGTCATCAGACTCTGCTCACCCAGCGGAAGAGACAAGTTCATGACGGGCTGGTGATGCTTTGGCGAATCTTCGATGGGCTGAGCGGTAACGGTGGAGTCGGAAGAATGTGTGAGCGATGATGTTCGGGGCTCCTCGTGATCTTCGACGACCTCAACAGGCTCTGATGCTTGTGTTTGCTGATGTGTGTTCTTAGTCGACTCAACAGGTGGAACTGCCCGAGGGGACAATGGCTCTGATGATTCAACTTCGTTTTGCTTCGCAGTACGCTTGATGCCGAGGCCGTCGTTGAAGTTCCAGTTGATAGCAGTTCCTACCTGCTTCGCATCTGTCTCAACAACTGATATCTTCGGCTCTTCAGCGTCTGCAACAGCAGGCTCCGCCTTCGCACTCTTTGCTGGAAGAGCAAGAGTTAGACCGTCGTCTTCCGGTTCCTCCTCTTCGAACACGTCAGCCATGGGAGAAGCGTTGGCAATTGCTGACGGTCGGTGCTCAAACGGCACCAATTCGGGCGCACTCTCGGTCCTCCGATGTGAGGGTGCGACACCACCAGCACTGTGCATGGCTCGTCTATGTGCCGAAAAGCCCCGCTGGTGGTTCCGAGGGCTGGTGCCGTTAGGGGTGTTGAAAGGTCCGAGTGCTGCATCAAGGTCGATAACTGGGCTCATAATATCAGAATCGACACGCTTCAGCTCACGTGGCTGCCAAGAGGCATAGTTGGTGTCGATCTTTGGCAAGGGAACAGCATTCTCGCTCGGGGAGACGATAGTGACGGTGGTGTCATCGTCAAAGTTGGGCTCAAAGTCCATCTCCTCGGACTCATCGGAGTCTTCGGAATCCATAACAGCATTTGGTGGTGGTGTGGGGGACCTTGCCTTCCCCTTCTTGCTGTGCTTACCCTTCCTGGTGATGATCGAGTTTGCCCAAGTCTTGACCTTCCTGGGTTTGCGACCGCTTTTGCGCGAAGCTGCTTTCGGCTTCTCAGAGGCTTCTACTGGCTGGTCGTCTTTGGTGGGTGATACGAGTGGTGTGTCGAAAGATTTAGAGAGCGCTGGATCAGAAGCGCTGGTAGGAAGGGTGGGGACCGAGTTATCGCTGCGGCGAGGATCCTTTTGGAAGAGACTCCTTCGCTTAGCCTGGACTTTCGGAATGGGCGCAGTTGGCGATATGGGCGAAATAGCGGACATGGGTCGCTTACGTTCCTGGACCTCGCCATTCAGACGGCTGCCCATGAACTGGTCCAACACTTTTCCGGCTGTGCTTGGTCGGTCCTCGTCTCCAATCGTGTTTAGTGGTGTTGGGCGTCCTGGTCGAACAGGCGCCGGGCTGGTACTACTAACAATGGAGGAAAGGCTGTTTGCGGCTGAGTGCCCTCTGAGGGTAGAGATTTCGGTCTCGGAAGAGATGGTTGAGAGAGGACGGATGGTCTCGATTCTATCGGAGAACGTAACCCGAGCCCTTGACGGTGGTCGCGCATTCGAATCGTCCTCTGCGCTGTTTTCGCGTAGTGATGGTTGCGAGACAGATCTGTTGAACTTGTGGCCGAATGCGAATTGGTTGCCTTCAGAGGGTGTGTTGGGCGCGCTGCCAGTCCGTGGTGGAGCAGGTGGATTCATAATAGAGGTCAGGTCGTGAGAGGAGATGGCACCCGAGCGACGGTGAGCGTGTCCGCGACGGCCTGCTGGAGGACCAGGACGTAGTGTCGAGCTTGGTACGGGAAGAGCATCCTCTCCCTTTGTCGGACTGCTGCTCATCAACGCGGTACCGCCTGGTCGCACATCACCGCCAATGAATTCGCTTCCACCCCTCCTGTGGCCATGTGTCGGCTTTGAGGGAGATACCGGTACAGGTAGCGTTGCTGGCGACTGCGGTGGTGATGATTCGGCGGCTGGCTTGGCTGGTCCTGCAGGATTGAAGGAGAAGTCTGGCAAAGCGTTGATTGATTTCTGTCTGTGGTGCGGCATGGAGCCTCGACGGCCAGTTGGATAGGCTTGCAGCGACATTGGCCGCGAGGTAATCGGTGTGGGTTCTGAGGAGGCAGTATCTGGCCCTCGCATGGGGAAGGAGAATTCCGGGTTGGGGATGAGCTCAATGGGGCCGGCATTGGAGTGTTGTCGACGCTGGTAGAGCGGTGAGCCGATACCAGACTGCGACTGTGTAGCCCGGTGTCGGGGTAAGGCAATTTCGGCCATTGTGAGTTTATTAGCTGCCCTGGCGGACGCAGCGATCTGCGACGATGGGGCTTGACGAGATTAGGGATGGTACCGCCAACGGACGCGCAGCACAATGCTTGGTCTGCGAGCTAGACTGGCTGCGTGTATTCCAGGGACAGCTTGCCGGAACCGGGAGGACAGAGAAGTGGTTGGACGGGTGGTGGTCGAGGTGCTACAGGTGTGAGCACGGCGGGCGTGAGACGAAACAAGCGCTGTCGAGGTACAAGAGCTGACGCGATTACTATGGAACAGAACAGTCAGCACGCGCAAAAGCAGATTGCAGGACGGTCCGAGAGGTTGTGCGAGGCAGTTGGTGTGCGTACAATATAGGTCGAGGTAGTGCTGGGCGCGGGATGGCAAGTCGGTAGGCTGCCGTGGGCGTAGTCGGAGTGAGTGAAGCCAGTACACCCACGATTAAGGAATGACAGGAGAAATGAGCGGACAGATGCCTAGAGTCGCCTCAATTAGTGTGAGTAACGACAATGGGCTCCAGAATGGGGTTCGACAGGGCGCGACGGGGACGACGGCGAGGTGGTGACGGTGAATTGGCGGAGGTAGGTGAGAGACGAGCACCAGGGCAACAGTCGCTTTTGTCAGTCGTTCCTTCCCAGGCAGGCTCCACGCTAGCACGGGCCACCACACCGCGCAGGGATCCCCGGTTCGTGGCTTTACCCATGCTAATCGCTGTCTCCCTCGTAATTTCACGCCTGATCCACACGATGCCAGGACGCGCTGCCAGGTACCAGCGATGGACGGTACCTACGCAATTGCTTTTTTACACATGGCACAATGCCATCGCACCAAGTTTTACGGCACTGCCCAGATGGAGTGATGCAAACAGAGCCGTTGACCTCTCATGGTTGCAGCTGTCTACCGCCTCACATGGCGAGACTCCGGATGGCAAGCCAACCCACTCCAACTCTCTGCACAACCATGATGTAGCAATGCCCCTCGGCTAGCCAATGCCTGCCGATAGTCAACTAACGTCGGCCGATGCCTGCTTAGTCCCGTGTAGTTTGGCAGTTCCCACTCAGTTCCAAGTATCCAACACTACATGCACAGCGTCACATCCCTAGCAACAGCAAGATACAATTTCTTTAAAAGTGTGCGTAACAACTACTTGTCATTGCGTGGCATCTCCGTGAATGCGGCTCTGTTGTTGCCATTGCTGCCGTCGCTGCCGTGAAGAATCTGCTCGCTGCAGGCATCGCTCAAGTTATCAATCCTTACGCGCTGCAAGACCCCTCGCCATTGAGGCGGTTGCACGCGATATGCATCTTCTTCGCTCTGCTTGTCCATCTTCTCCCAGCGCGTCTTGGCTACATGCCGCCAGCCGACCCCTCTCCATTAACAGGATGCGTTCCCGCGACCAACCATCGGGCAGCGCGGCTAACAATCAAATCGCCGCCATGCTGCTCCCGCTGCATGTACCGTTACTGGCACTACCTGCCCACGCGTCAGTCTCTTGCTATCCGAACCTCCCGACAAGTTCACGCATCCTCGGCCTCGAGACATGAAGGATGAGCACTGAATGTTTCACAGCACCCGTTCGAGGTGGGGCTGCGCATCCCGGCACATGTATGGCCAAGCGTGGATTTGATATGCAATTCGGACCAATTGACTAAACTACACCCGTTTGATCCCAGCTATGCAGGGGCAACGACGCCCTCGCTATTCCCCTTTGGAACCATCACGGAAGCTCGTCCTCGCCACCATAAATAGGATATGATAGACGAAATGCGGAGAAGCGGGATGGCAGAGGCAAACTGCAAGGGCTGTTCGCCATCTGACGTCCATATCTTGCTGATGAGGAAGGTCGAGCGCAAGAGAATCGGACAATCCTCTTCCACGATACTGATTTGGTCAAGAGGCAAACCATAAACCGGGACCAGGCCTTGCTGCAGGACGACCGACAGTCCTCTTCGAGTATGAGAAGATAACAGGGCAGATAGACACTTAGTCCTACTACAACCATGCGGTGCACACGACTTTCGTTCCATCACTGATGGGGCCGGCATCTGTCCTCCGGGAGCGCATCAAGTTCAAAACCATGCCTGTCTCAAACCGCCACGACAGGTCCTACAGACTGGCATTTGTACCACATGGCCCTGAGTCTCACTCGTCCCGGTCGCCTTCAGATGAGACTTTTGTAATGCTCCATTGCATTCGGGTCAGGGCAATTACAGTCAATATATCCCTGCATGCGCGACGCATTGCTGCCCCATACGACGCAATCACACTGCAACTTTTTGCGCCTTCTAGTAAACGTTCCGTTTGCGCACTGCACGTGGAGACGACAACGTATTGCTTCGCACGCTCAAAGGTTTGTGCGATCTGGACATGCTCGGCCTTTTCATTGAAGCTCCTTCCTCATTGCATCGCTTCCGATCAAGCAAATGCGCCGATTCATTTCGTGATATCCTCCGACGTCATTAACATGGAGTACCATGTCTCCCGCTGTCTGCATCATCTCGAATGATCTCCAGGGTCCATCTCTCATCGGCGCAATGCGCCGAGCTACGTCCCGCAATTGAAAAAACTCGACTTTATTTTTCTTGATCCACTACTTCCTCCCGTTTGTAGACAGAAAATATTGTTTGCCAAGTCCTCCGAGATTGAGTGTGTTTACGAGGATATGATGATAGCAATCTTGAAACTAGTCCGAGAACTACCAACCATCGCGCCGCTAGGTACTAACAACCCGATCTGTGGAGCGCAGTACACGCAACGGCTGCCCTTGTGACGTCCATCTCAACGCTGGTCCAGCGCCGTCAAACTTTCGATCGATCTTGTTTTTCGATCGAGACTAGCGGTGTGAGAAAAAGAACTCGTACCACAGAGTCTATATGCTCATCGTGGGGTACAGAACCCGACAACACCATCTTACAGCCCGGGACCGCAACTTTACTTTTTCCCAAGAACTTTACTCGCAGTCGTTTGGTATTATTCTGGGACTTTGCATTTGCGCAAGCACGAACACTGTATACGAGCTTCGTCCTTGCACAGCCACAATGCTGCTCCACATGCTGCAAACGTCTCCGTGCCAGCCCATTGGTTTCCAAGCGCCAAACCACCTGCGTCCAAATCTTCCGCTGGCGCCCGCCAACGCGTCGTTACTTATCAGTGTCAGTAGCATCGTCAACAACGGTTTCTATGACGCGCAGCTACCAAACTTGGTTCAGGGGCAGTGTCGCGCTGTCCGATGTGGAATGGAATGAGTGACGGGTGTCACTTCACCCGGGCATGGAATTTTTTCTAGGATTCTCCGGTTCTTGGAAGTATTGTCTACGCTGGCCAGGTTGCGAGGCGTACGGTGACCCAAAATTGCGAATTTCGTTTCAAGTCTGTTTTGATCCTCAGGAAGGACGAAATTGGCAATCTCCGGCTTGCATTTTGTCCCCCTTGCCAAATGGGGACTGCGCAATGAGCATTGTTGGCACTACAGCCAATGACAGGCCCGCAGCCACGACTGCGCCTCCCCTGCTTGAATACCACCTGACGGCCTCACAGACAAACTTCATACCCGAGCGATGCGAGCACTATTTCTTTCTTCTGAGCAATCGTCATAGTGACTTCAAGGACAGTCACTGGCTTGACGTGGCCTGGACAACAAGGCAATGAGTACGTCTGGGAGATTGCGTTGCTAGGTGGGCCGGGTAATTTGCTCGCTGTACGCGAATGCGCTCACCCAGCGACGTGTACACAGCGAAGGAGCGCCACCTGGATCCGCAGAGCCGCACAACACGAGATGCTTTCAGCCAACCACTCGCATTCCCAACGGAAGAGAGTTCTTCATGCTGTAAACCACTCAGCTGATTGTCTAAGGCGACTCCAAATGTCGTTCGTTGCCTCCCGCTCGCTTCCGACTGTTCGCTGGTGCAAAGTCTAGGCCGCCATCTTCCCCAGACGAACCAGATGCTCCAACCCCACACCCAACTATCACATCTGAAACCATCGCCTGTGTGCCGGCAGTTCCAGATGCAGAGAAAAGCATGGCTCGATATCTTCAGACCACTACTTGTCAGACGGCGAGCGGATCTCAACGATCGCTACCAAAAGGTCTGGACAATGTCAGCATGCGCGCTGTTTCCTTGAGCTTTACTCGCCTACCAAGAGCCGTGGCCAGATCTCGATGCAGCTCATCTCTCAACTTCAGTTACTACCAAAATGCTCAACTGCCCCTCTTTCGCTAACGGATACTGCAAAGAGCTGATCTAGAGAGCTGTCACGGCTGGCTAAGCACCGCCGGACGCAGCGCCATCTCGCGATAACATTCGCAGCCCTCCACCCCCGCAACGGAGTGCCCGTCGCCTCTTGATCTATCGTCACCCAGACGCCACATCAGGTGAGCACATGCCTGCACACGGTTAGGAAGGGAACACTCAGCACTGCATGTTAGTACTGCTGAGCAGCTCACACCACACGCCTCTTTCAGGATGGGTCTGCGATAAGCTGGTTGTTGAACTTGACTATACAAGCGAATGAATCTTGTCACCTAAAAATTATACAAGGGCACAGCAAGCTACCGGGATCCGCACGATCAGTCAGCACCACGTTTCGTACTACTCTTGTCCGAAGTCAATCTTGCTTCACAACGCTCTTCTGCAGGCTGACGAGCTGCAGGAATGCATGCTGATCTCACGTGCCACGTGTACGATGAAGGATCTCATCATGCACATCAGACGTAAGGGCTGTCTACTCGAATAAGCTGATAGGCTGGCGTTGAAAGTCGTTCTGTACAAACATGTCGACATTGTCGATACTGCAGCTCGCTTTAGTGCATGCAAGACACGATCCTTTTTCTTCTATGGAGGGTTGGTCAGAGCCTTCATTGGATCCTTTGGCCCCTTGCATCAACTACGCTCAGACGGAAACCAATGGTGACCAGGCTCGTCAATTGTCGCCTGGACACTAAGGAACCGCACACTGCTCAAGCGCTCCCGGATACCGAAGCGGGTCACAGCGGTTGAGGTCGGGCTACAAGAGACTTTTGCTACGAGTGAGAGGCTTCGTTCGTCTGCATGTGAAAAGCCAGCGTCAACACGTGTTTGCGGCATGGACACGACGGATCTTGAACTTGGTACAGCGATACCAATCCACTTTACCAGCTAACAGCAATCACACTTCAAATCGTCTGTAAGCATGTTATGCTTCATTCGGTTTCATCACGGCGATATTGCCTAGTGGGTGTACTGCACTTGAACATAACTGGCAGGCCTTCTTGTTGCCGTAGCGCTGGGATTGGACTCGCTTGCCATTTTTCATCGGTCCAAAGAAGCAGACATGCGGCACGGCAGACCTAGTCTCTATCGATAAGGCGAACTCGTGGTTATACTTCCTGATCGGTGAATATTGAAGTCCACGGGACCTGTTCCTGGGACCGGGCGTTCCGCCACCAACTTCGAGTTCGTCGCTGAGCTTAGAGACGATGGGTATCTGCATGGGATGAGCTGCTCCACATTTCCAACGCCTAGCTGTCAACCTTGGAGGCGCTAACGCATCTCGACATACATTCACCAAACTGGCAATGACACTAGGGCGTGCTTCCATATGCGGACAGATCAAGAATCAAATCGCGCACTTGAGAGAATGGCGCCTTGTCACCATCCACCATGAGTTCGTTTGAGCGGATATGCACTGATCCAATGTACTACTGAGACTCACTACCAAGCGAGAACACCAAGTTCTTCAAAACCAAAGCTGTAAACTGGTAAAGAGCAGTTCAGCTCTTATCACATGCATACATCAAAGCGTCTACTGATTGGACCAACTACTCTTTCCGGGCCTCGACACCTGCGCGATTAAGAAAAGAGACTCCATCACTTGGATGTCGCTTGGGTGAACGGCTTCCTTCCCAAGCGCTTGCTTCCGCTAGGTCCGCGCGTCTACTCAACACATCCTGTTCCCGGCTGCCGTCGAAATGGGACTAAAGACGATGGGATTTCCTAGATTGTGATAGTCTATCGTGACGACTTGGCGGCTGGTGGTACACGCGTCACTGTCGTCGATGTGGCCTGACATTGCGCCGATGACAAGAATGGCGTCTCTAAACAATTAGAGGATAATTCCTGTGTGGTGTCATTGAGTTCCTTGACTAAGCGACTCTACAGTGATGGATACTTGACAGAACTGCAATGTGAAAAGTTTAGGTCTTGTGTACAACTAGGCCACTAACACTCCAGCTGGCAAAACTACCAGTCAAGCTGTTTCTATAGGACTGGACTGATGTACGCATAATTTTTTTTGGGAATACTCTCCATCCATCATCTCACAAGTCTCGAGAACTCGAGACCGATAGACCAATAGATCAGAAGATACATTCTAGATACAAGCTCACACTTTCCTCGAACTTCATATGGTCATGAAATTCGCACACCCCACACGTTTCTTGAATCTTCCCCTTTGACCGTAGTTTTCGCTCAGTCCTCATCCATTCTCCTCCGGTTACATTTCACTCTTCATCTACTACTCATCCTCTCCCGATCTGATTGCTAAATCCTACTGCGGCTTACCACATCCTTGACAAACTATCAATCACTCCCCCTTTGTCGCCCAAATTATCTTGCAACCACATTCCTTACATGGTCCTTTGGTAGCGGTCATCACGTTTCCGTTCTTGTCTTTTTCTCCTTCGTCCACGTGGTGGATGCCCGTGTCGGTTTGGATGTAGGCGGAGTAAGTAGGAGTAGATGCGCCACTGCTGTATGCGGTTGGTGGTTGCAGCGAAGGTGTTGAAGTAGAAGTGAGAGTAGACGTGGAGGTAACAACAGTGGGTTTATCTGAGGTTTTGGCACCGAAGTCTAGAGTTGAGAAGAATGTTGCGGAGGGGTTAGGTTGGCTTTGGGTGGACATGATGCTTTCGAATGTTGATGGTGCGACATGGAGATTGTAAGTTCCTGCAGTGTGTTGGGTCCAAACAAGGCTTGATTGGAAATATGGAACAGTGAATGCATAGTACTATCGTTTGGAGACCAAGTTACGTTGGATGTGCGCACTGCTTTCACTTGAGTAACCTGACGGATTCTACAGAGATGACAACCTTTTCCCTGCGAAGCTGGCAGAAAGAAGACAGGACAATGCAAGGCACAAAGTAAGTAAGGACTAGATACCATCGCAACAACGACTCAGCTTATACACCCCTCCAAGTGATATATTGAACCAGAGCAAAGTTAGATGGCTGCGAAGCCAGCATGCTGATGAATACACAGATTATGATTGAGCGTGTTCTTCGTTACACGTTACACGTATACTCTTACGAATCCTCTAGAGTATCAGAAACCCGACTAGCATACACCATAATCTGCCTACAACATTCCTTCCTATTGGATCAAAAACGATTTGCAACGCGATACATGGCCCTATTATCTCATTCCTTCGTTCATTGCGTACTCTCAATTAGGGAACCGACATTCGTAACACTCGACACTAGATTCAGATGAGGTAGGTAGAGGGAGAGGAGTGTCACAGTGCCAGCAGTGGCCGGAAGATGTAGTGTCGTTTTCGCTGTCGATGTCAGAGTCTTCGTCATCAGAGACGTAAGGGATGAGGAGGTCGGTCTCAGGGTCCTCGCTCTGCTCCTTCTGACATGATACGTTTTGTTTGGTATTGGCTCCTCGTGTGTTTGGAGGTTCGGATTTGGTGGACATTAGAGGGAGGAATGAGTTAGCGCGTGTGTAAGACGGGTGTGATGTGGAAGGCTAACTGATTTGGAGATGGAAATGGCGAGAGTCAGAAAGGTTTATGTAGGTGTGATTCGTGATGGACTTGTGTCTTCACACTGAGAAGTATTACGTCTTCACGTATGCTGCCAACCACGTATACATTAATGATTTGCGCAACAAGTTAGTCTGCCCAAATAAGACTTCGTCGTGGCACTACGCGCTATCACCCTGAGTTGGGGACAACCTGTGTCGGTCACCAGAATATGAGAAGTGAATGTACGTTTGGGGTACTCATTTTCGATGACTGAAGTTGCTGCCTCAATCCATTTCCCCAACGCAGTAAAGTGCACGGTGAATAGGCTGATTTATACATAGCACGGAATCTCCAAATCCCTCCTCTTCCATATCCAATCCCACTGCGAAGGCCTCCACCAAACATTGCTCACGCAGAACACAAAACAACTAGGACACTTAAGAAACACCTGAAGGCCTCCAAAGACTCTGGTATCAAATCCGAACGAATCACTATGACCAACTTCACCGAACTCACGGATGAGAAGAGTAAGACCGGAGCAAGCACACCACCCCAACTACCACCTCAACATGTCGGGATTGACAACATCGACGTCCTTCAGCCAATATGCAAGAGATGTGACAACCAGTTGCTAGCAGCGAATCTTGGGAAGGGCGGAGCGTCTTTGAAATGTAAGGGGTGCGGCATATTGAGCGTATCTGAACATTACATGCGTGTCACACAGAAGAAGATGTGAGGAGATAGCAGTCAGTGTGTGATTAGCAACACACGAGGAGTTAGTTGGTGAATAAACCCCAATAAATGTACACATGAAATGTGGTGGCTGGAGAGATCTAAGTCTTATATTCGACATGTATGATTGTCTTTTCGTCGTGAGAACCGCATCTTCATAAGTCTTTTGATCCTGGAACGGCGAAGTAACCCATAAAGATGTCCGTAGTTCCCTACTGGGCTGTTGCCTTCGTTCAGTCATTAATCACCCAATGCGGAACCCCATTCCAATTTCCCATTTCAATTTCCTCCAGCTCTCTGCCCATGGGTGATTTTCGGAGTTCATCTCGCATTCTAGATATTGTCGTTTCATCAAGGCTGGAACCCCATTCTGCCTTCCCGACTTCTTGCCTCCTTCTCGTCTTCTCTTCGGTGAAGTCTGCTACAATATCCTGAGGCAAATCCATTTTTTGATTGACCATGGACTCTACCACTTCGAACCAGTACCCTCTAGCAATGCGTCGTCCCGCGTCTTCATCTTCTTTTTCCATTTGAAGTAGGTCCACATAACCATGTACGAGTTCGTTCCTGGTAATAGATTTGGAACCTCCAAGATGATCATATATGTCTGGTAGATGACGGTCAAGAAGCGCCCAAAAAGTATTATAGCCGCCAAATTGATCGAAGTAAGGGTCGCTTAGGCAAGGCAACGCTAGTTCACTGTAGTCTCGGAAGGTAATGCCTCGTGTGTTATGTCTCGGGCACACCTGGTCCATGAGGAGAGTCATCTCTTCGACCAGACGTGAAGGAGTAGAAAGTCGAATAACGCAGCGGCATAACAAGTATCGATGAACGATATTATGTATGGGCTCCCATTTCATCGTGAGCCTATGGCAGACCAAATCGATACGTGGCAAAATTTCGCCATCATGTCTTTGAAAGAAATGACTAATTTTAGCGGATGCGTCCGAGGTGTGAGATTGGCTCTGCACTTTTGGGCGTCGTGACGCAACTTGGTAGTCGCGGTAAGAGTCTTGGTTGAAGATTACAGTATCGTTCGGTTCGAAAGGGAGATAATCAGGCTCTACCCAACGGACTGCGAGCTTACAAGAATGACTGGAGACGAATGTTAGTAATCAATCATAATTTGAAAGCAGAGGAGTTCCCACCAGTACTTGAAAGGAGATGTGGGAGTATTGTTGCGCCTAGGTTTGAAGCAACGCATGCATCGATTGCGAGGTGGACCTTGCCAGGCGCCCATAATGAAAGAGAGCTTGACAGCTCGATCGCGTTTTATAATATGTGACCAATTCTCGCGAGAAACCTCATGCCTTTCGTTCCATTCCCAGAGCACAATGTGACCTTGCTGAACTTGTGGCAGTCCAGGAAGCTTTTTTGATTCATATTTGATCATTAGAAGGGCATAGAAAGCCTGAACATGTTAACTTTGAGTTTCACGCACTGGGCATATTTGTATCAAGCCAAGGCCTTGACAAAAGAGGAGAATTTACCTCTGGAGTCGTGCAGAGTTCCACTGGTAGGAAATATTCCGCGCCTAGTCCATCATCAACCTTGAGCTGACGTTCCGGCGCACCAGTTTCCCATGTAAATCCAAGCTCCTTAGGTCTATTCCTCATCTGATAGAATACTTTCTCCAAGCAATTCACCTTCTGCCTGTAAAAAGGTCTGTCGATCTCCTCCCGGAGCCGTTCGAATGCCTTTCGCTGTCCTTCGCCGTATATCAGCGGCATAGGAGTGTCGAAGATTCCCAGTAAAGCATATGCTGCGTCTTCTTCGCGCTTCGTTTGTCGTTTGGCTGCCCACGACATGCGTTCGTCAACACTGAAAAGAGACAAAGGTCTTCCTCTAAGGGCTGTGGTGGCAATTCCAGTTATCTCAGAGATGATTGGCTCTAGTAATCGCTTATCACCAAGCTGCCGTCCCTCTCTAGAGAAGAACTCAACTGATGTTGGGGCGATAAGTTCTTGGAGCGTCCAACCACGAGTAAACCATTTGCTTCTCTTGAATTTTGGCTCCCATATCTGGGAGAATTCGTCATCCCTAACGGAACTGTCGACTGATACATCAGATAAGTATACATAGCATCTAGCGGCACCCCGATACCAGCGAAACATGGAGTTGATAGCTTCTGAAAGCTCTGCGCTACTTGATTTGTTGATGCAACAGGTGTCCACCCAGAAGAATTGGAGGTTGTCATGCTTAGCTCGATTTGCACAGAAGTCAAGCTTGCGATAACCAGCCTTGCTCTTGCCAGTACCTTTCTTCAAGTCTTTGAATGTAACTTCTTCGTCATCTGCTCCCCAGGTATGCGAAAGAATCGCATATTGTGGGAGATCTTTGCCACTGAATCCGACAAGGCTGAGTGCGCCGTCATTCTTGAGCTGGAGAAGGCGCATGAGGTGAGAACCGTTAGCGAGTTCTAGCTGAAGTCCTTGGAATAAAAGTAAACAAGAAGTGTACAGGTTGTGTAGTCAAAGAAGTGTAATTGTGCGTATGCAAGGACTCTCACACTGTGAGTTCTGGGATGGATGGAGGGACAGGCAGAAGCGACGAGGCTGAGGTTCAGCGATCGGACATCACGTGGTAGGACAAGTACTCTTATGTTAACTCTTAAGTGAAATTTCCCACTCGAAAGCGACACCAATAGCAGTTAATCGCCTGAACTGCGGAAGACGTAGCTCATTTGGCTTTACCTAATACGTAGGGTGGGAATGCTAAGACTGCGCTTTACGAACAGTATTGAATCGTGTTGCAGCTACTATTGGGGTGAAGCCGGGTTCGCTATCGACTGTACACATGATATACGGTGACTAGAGAGATCCAAGTCTCGTGTTCGATTTATATGATTGTGTTTCGTCGTGAGAACGCATCTTCATGAGTCCCGCAGTTCAGCAACGGCGAAGTAGCCTTTACTTTCTACAACACCCCTATCTTTGACGACGGCGGTGTATTTGACTACCCATTGCGGCTCTACATCGCCCTTGAGCCCGTCTTCATTTCCGTTTCCTGCCAACACACCCGAACCGTCTTCCCCCGATCCAAGTATTTGCCGTAGTGTCCCGCGCGGTAAGATGTTGGTGCAATCGTTATGTGTCAGCAGCTCGATTTGCTGTTGCTTCGCATACAGTATCAATGGTTTGGGTACAACACAGCAGTCCCTGACGTTGATCTGATTCACACTTGGTTTTATCTTTGTTTGTTCCAGAAACTTGGTCAAGCGCGCGACGCCGAATTCCGCAATTCCGAGTTTTGACACGAGGCCTTCTGCGTGAAGTTTCTCGAGCGAGCGCCATGTTATTACCATGGTTTCTATGTCTTCTGGTGGTGCGCCGGCATCGTCACAGTCGCCCGTAGTGTTCTCGGAGGTCGATTGTGTTGCGGATGGAGGCGAGGGCGGGTCGTCGTCATCAAGATCAGAATCCTCATCGTCGGCGTCGAAGGACACTCCTGGGAAGCTCACGATGAGGAGGTCTATGGATGATGTTCCCAATTCTTTCAGCACTAGTTCTATCGCTTCTCGTGTTTGTGCGCAGCGTCGGTCTGTGGGTATGTTGGGGAGGTAGAATAGTTTGACTGTGATGTCGTAGGATTCTCGGGGTTCAGTAAGAGGTGAGGGCGTGTGCGTGGGAATATACAGGGCGGAGTCGGTCTTGGTGGTCCATGTTGTGTAGTTGGTTTTTGAGGGTGGTGGAGAAGTTTGGTGGGCGGCGAAGTTTGCGCGGAGGGAGGAGGTAAGTTCGGTGTTTGATTTCTCGAAAAAGGGTCGTCTTATTACGGAAGGACCACCGGACATGGTATTCCTGGGTTGTTAGGTAGGGTCTTGGGTGGTTTGAGGAAAACATACGAGGTAGACAGTACGAGCTTCATGACGACGATTGGTTGGATCAAATGGCTGAAAGACTACGTAAGATAGAAGACTTCTGACCAAGGTCTGTTGTATGTATCCTAGGTGGTGACTCTTCGGGGTTATTCGAGTCGCGAGATAAAGAGACAGTGAACGTTTGTCAGCGGGTGGGTCGTCCGAGGAAAGCAGGCGCGTCGGGTTTACAGTAGCGTAGACAGTCTAGATCGCAAAGTCGGAGAGAACACAAAGGCAGAATTAGAGCTACTTGCGCATAAAGCCCGTTTGGTATCTACAAATTTGGATGGTGATAGCGGGGAGTATGAGGGCGCATTGACGTCTCAAAGTCGCGGGGCTGGCCTGTGACCGCCGATCGCCGAACTTAACATCTTTCCCCAGTGCACCAGGCACGACGCTACTGGCATCTTCTCCTCACACGACACCATGACGATCAAGTAAGAGCGCTGTAATAACACTGCCTATAGTTGAACGTCTTCACTAACAGCACTAGATACCTCATCTTGCTGTCCCGGCAGGGTAAAGTGGTTGGTCCCTCACCCTAGAATCCAAAGTCCCTTGCTGAAGCTCGTAGCGTCTGGCCAAGTGGTTCACAACACTCGCCCCCAAAGACAAGGCCAAGATTGTCAAAGACGTCTCGCAACTCGTCCTCGCCCGCCGCACGCGCATGTGCAACTTTCTAGAGTACAAAGGTCAGTGGGTCTGGCAGGGGTAATAGCTTCGCTAGCTCACACATTCTCCTAGACACCAAGATTGTATATCGCCGATACGCTTCGCTCTTCTTCATCGCCGGCTGCGACTCGACTGACAATGAGCTCATCACGCTCGAAATCGTCCACCGCTACGTCGAGCAGATGGACAAGTACTACGGCAACGTCTGCGAGCTTGACATCATCTTCAACTTCCAAAAGGCTTACTTCATCCTTGACGAGTTACTGCTTGCGGGTGAGATGCAAGAGAGCAGCAAGAAGAACGTGTTACGGTGTATAGGACAGCAAGACAGCCTCGAAGATATGGAGGTGAGTGAAGTGTGATGACTTTCGGGTCCGCTTCGCCGCACACCCATAGCACCAGCTGGCTGACGCGCCGTGTCGTCAGGCTGAGGACGATATCGTTACCAAGATTATGTAAAACGTGTACCGAACGCACTATTACACACATCATCTTCTGGTCCTCTGTCACCGACCGTCCCAAGACCCTTCACTGACCGCGCCTGATGGCTTCCAGGATGCGGATGACTTCAAAGGCCGACTTAAAGAGGGCGGCATTTTATGAGACCCGATCCGGTATCCGAATACCAACATACATTGTACGGCGTCATTGGAGTATGGAGGGTAGGCGCTCAGGTTGGCACTACGGCAAACAGTCGTCCGTTGCGACACGGTTCATACGGTTCATACGGTTCATGCTAAAGATCTTCTCAAGGGCAGGCGTCAGAGCAAAACGATATCACACGGCGCAGGGAGTCGGATCATCTGGAGAACGCACTACCTGCCATCCTGCCATGTAGAGCGGATGGCGGTAGCTGTACTCTATCTACTACAATTCAAACACCTCGGACTGGCGGGCTTGCTCGACACAGCTAGGTTTGACACAAGCGGTTCATGGGCTCGAACGTGATTACACATCATGATATCGAGACTTCACCCTTGATAGACTTGATCACTCTCTGTTGTTTTCTTTTTCCTTATGCTGGCTTACTTACCTCATCCATCTAGCTACAGGTCTCCACACCCGCCTAGGCATTGCGCACCTGCACTCCGTGACAGCAATTGGTTCGGATCAGCGTTTGATCCTTCATCCAGAACCTTGACATGCATACATCAAATGATACGTTGCCGAATTCATCTGGATTCATTGCCAGGCAGCTCCCTGTCCTCCTTCATGTGCTCGAACAACGTCAGATGACATGCCCTGCGTACCAAACATACTCAACAGCTAACATCAGCGCTTAACACCAGTCGCCTGTCGCCAGCTGCCCATTCGCTCTTATCGGCAGCTGTTGTTGGTTGAGGGCTTGATTTCGCATCGACCAATCAGGAAGGATGACCCGACACACATGCCGCTGTTAGCTCGGCGACACCGCCAAGCTGACCTTCTCCGCAATCGCGACCACGTCGTAAGAGCGACACCGACATCTCACACCACATCTACGCCAAAGCCATACATATGTCCACTGCCTGCTAGACGACTGTCTGGCCGAACAACAGTACCCTCTCCTCTCTGCAGCCAGCCTAGAGTCGTGTTTACTCGTTGTATCGGTTCGCGCAGGCTACCCCCTCCCGACCAACCCATCACCCACGCAGCAGCTACAGTGCGCTGAACTGTTACATCATCTCACACATTTCGGATCATACGCGACATAACTTCTAGAAAGTACTCATCAGAAAGGAGCCCATATCAAGCGCAATGAAGGTACGTAGTCGATGCGATAAGGCTGGAGTGATGACGCAGCTAACCCGGTGGGACCGCAGTACCTCGATTTGTGCGCCCTCCACGAGGTCAACCTCGCCCTCAACTTCGATACCCAAGACACATCAATTATTGGTGGATGCGATCTATGGACCATAAAAGCAGCGGGAAGTGACAAGAAGTTATACAAGCGCATCGAGAGGACGCTCGAGGAGCGACACAAGGACCTGCTATCAGCGGTTGCGGGGCTCTCTGAGCAGTCTGCCGCTCAGTTCGCAGACCAGCTCGACATCTCCAGGGACACACCATTCGGCACCTTCAGTGAAGCCGCGAACCGCCATACCTTTGCATATCTCATTGCCACACTCAACGCAACCCACATCGATTACGATTTCGCCAACACACTGAACCCCGATGAGTTCCGTCGCGAGACCATACAAAGCTTTATGCATAAGATTGATACGACGATGTATTATCTCCGCCCCCAAGTCTACTCTGCAGGACTACCAGCAGGCGCAGTCACACCGCTTGGCTCGCCGATTTGGAGTCCGCGGAGTTGGGACCTCCTTGACAGCGAGATGGAGATGTCAAACTGCGAATACTATGCGTGGGAGCCGTCGGATGACCCATTTGCTGATGATGGTGCTATTTGGAGTCACCACTTTTTCCTCTACAACAAGGAGCGCAAACGCGTTGCATACTTCTACCTCCGCGGGGTGTCTGCTCTGTCGAACTCGCCCAGTGTGGCTATGTCGCTCATGTCAAAGTTCAAAGCATCGAAATTCGAGTCAAGCGCCAACGCAGGTAGTAGGAAGCGCGCTGAATACTGGCTCGGAGATCGTGCTAGGAAGGGACTCGAGGCATACGGAGACAGTGACGAGCTCGACAACATGGTCATCGATCACCCCGGCGATGTCGTCGACGCAGAACAACAGCGGTATCTACCAGCCAGGGAGATGAGCATGGATGCTGAGTACTACGAGAGTGACGATGACAGCGATGTTGAGTCACTAGTCGACCGGGAGAGGGCTGTGAGTAAGATACGGTCGATGAGCGAGTGTGCCATGGAGAGGATGGAGGTTTGAGCTCCCTCCATCTTCGTTGGCCGCCACCTCGAACCAGGTGGGTTGATGGCACTCAACATGCCAGGTGACTCGCAACGAGGCAATTTTCCTACGTGTTTTGCATGCGGCATTCAAGGCGTTCTGTGGAGTTTACTGTTTGTTTACAGTTGTCTGGCATCTCTTCACCGGCTCGTGAGAAGACGACCATGACTGACACAAGGCGTTACGGTCGGTGGGAGCGACGCGTGATAACGTCCTTGTTGCATATCGTCTGAGTCTTGAGATACCCCTGTTTGTATTCTTTACTGTTCAACTGTTCTAGTCTGCTACTGTTTGCGTATTTGATCGAAGAATTGGGTGATGGATCACTATGAACGACGGGATGAAAGGATCATTTGACGAAGGTGTGTACATGATGTCGCAATTCTAATAGTAACTACTATGTTTATCAATTATATGTGCAATACTCCGCAAGTCTATTTTGCTCTCTAAATCAAGTAATATGAGGAAAATACTGCAGCCAGTTAGGGACAACAAAAACCGACGCCTCCAGATACATCAAGTTGATGAAGCTTTCCGCAATCAAGTATACTCTTGCTACCACATATACCACGCCTACAGCTGGCAGAAGAAACATTAAAAGGGATGTCAACAGAAAGCGGCCAAGAGACATGTCGTACTCGCGCTCGATCTTCCACGAGCGAAAGATGAAGATGACACATACACCAATAGGGCCAGAGGCAGCCAGTGATATAGCAGATATCTTCCAGAGATACTCTTCAATTTTGGTCTTGAAGATTGTATGCCAGGCAGCCAAATGGACGCCGCCGTATAAGAAACCGGCAATTGCTAGCGTGGCGACGATGATAACGCCTGAGAGAGTCTCGATTCTGGGTATGTCGCCTACACGGTCGACGAGCATGCGTTCATTGCAGTCTGCGAGGTACTCTTTCGGACTACGAGCGTCGGTAGACTCATCATCGTAAGTGACGAGGGACCAACCGTATTTGGTCAAACCCTTGCTAGCTAGCAGCCAACAGTATTGATCCGTTTCGCTGAGGACTAATTTGTGAATATACGTCCTTCGCAACGAAGGCTTCCGTTTGACTGCTTGGGGAGTATCGTCGTGTTTGGCACAAGGTCCCAAGTATTGGAAACAACCGAATGTGCGATGTGATATTGGTTCAACCATGATGCTTCCGGGCGGCAACGGACCAGGAGTATACTCCTGGCCGTGCGGGTGCTTATAATAAGCATCCATCCAAGAGGAGGTTGCTTTTTGCTTCGGTTTGCGCGCGACATCGGCCTCACGTTCTGGGCACTGGAGAGTAACCTCTTCTGAAGAGATATCTGGCAGTGGGGACTGGGACCAATCTGGGACCAACCTAAGGCAAGGATGAGAGCGTCGCGACTTTCGGGAAGAACGAGAGTACGAACAAAGAGCCATAAAACCTGCGAGCTCCATCATGTTTTCTGCATTAATAAGTGTGGGGCTTTCGACGTCGAGAGGTTTCTTCCACCACAACATGAATATAAGCAGCGCGCATATGCAGTGTGCCAGTGTGTTCAGCTCGAGAAGAGAGAAACCTGTGTCGGCATACCATCTTGCACAGCACTGAGCGCAGAACCATATAGCTTGGCAGCATACGATTGTCTTTGCAATGTTGCTGGCTTTACTCTTGTCTTGGATTTCCTCCAAAGACAAATCTGGGAGTAGATCCGGTTCGTGTTGTAGCAGACGTTTGAAGCCGTCTAGGTTCAAGATCATTCGATTGCGGTTATGACTGAGAAATTTCTGTTGGCATTTACGTGTGTCGATCGCGAATCCACCCATGAGGGCATAGAAGGAATGCGTTCTCGTCCAGGGATGTCTTTGACGCTGCTTATTAGGTGCATCGAGTTGTTGAAATCTTCAAAGATTAGTAGCTGGCGACAATAATCCCCTGACAAAAATTTGAGACTTACTGTTCACTCTCGCTTGTGCCCTTTTCCTCAACTTCGAGTTTCTTCCTCCACGTCAAGGTGGAGATACTCCAGAATGACGGTTCTTTCTGGCCGTAGACCTCCCTGACGTACCCGCCAAGTGCGGAAGCTTCTCTATACTGACAAAAGGCAGCTAATGCCACCTGTTCTCTCCGTTAAATTTGTGGACTACATTTGCTGGATATAGGAGAATGAAAACATACCAGTTCCGGCGCGAGCATTGCGGTGAACAGCCACGCCACCTTGCGCCATGTTGCTTCGGAAGCCTTTCGGTACTTTGGAATATTCAGGTGGACTGCTGTCCATACACATAGGGTCAAGGTGATCAGGCATGAGGTGAGAATACTTGATGTGCCTCGCACGTATGGCTCGGCCTTCCAGCTGTAGAACGTCGCATTAGCAGGAGGCGTGTACATTGTGACCAAAAGGACATATTAGATTGATGTGGCTCTTCAGACCTTGCATGGCTGAGGTTGGGGTCTTTGAATTTAAGAGACGGGAGGAAGGCGACCATGCTGAAGTTGAAAACACTGGGCTTCGCGCTTCGAGAACACAGCCTCAGCCACATGAGCCTCAAGACTGAATGATTGGCCCCAACGGCGAAAAGAAGACGCTTACGCTATGTGTCATCGTCTCCGTGTGCGCCTACGAGGTGGGCTGTTGAAGAAAGTAGAATTGAGCCGCAGTGCGTTACATTGCCAACGTGACACTCTTGCGTCCAGGCTAATGGATTGTCGAATCCCGTGGGCTTTGTCGACAGGCTGTGACGCGATACTAAGGCTTCTTCGTCAACGTGCCTCGAGCATACAAGAGAACAATGATTCGTAAACATACGAAGGAGAATGAAACGTATATTGAACGTAAGACGGCATTCGGAATTGATGAATGTTATGTCACGTTAATGTGACCGGTCTACCTCTCTGGACCACATGTCGATAGCAAGGCAGCAATAAGCAGTCCTGTAGTCACGGCTCTGGCTGTTTGAGACAAGGTCATTAATTCGCTCTCGAAGTGAGGCGGAGGCTGAGGTGGAAGGAGAGGTGTCGTGAGCGGACGTATAGACCAGCCTAAGCGATAGCGTGCCCCACTTCCTGCGATCAGAAGGGGGCAGTTGCACTCAGCCGTCGCAGTACTTCTTATCCATAACCTAAGTTCTTGGATCTCGCAGCGCATCGAGGGTCTGAATTAAGGAATATTGTGCTCGGAGAAGCCTGCAACACTTGGACTCCAAAGATCACATCTCGAGAGCGTTGAAGCCAGCTAGATTAAGGACGTGAACGTATGCGCATGGTACGAAAACAGTCTTCAATTTGTAGTGCTTTATGTTTCCAGAGGTTATCAAGACCAATGTCTACTTCTTAGCAGCCCGCAAGATTGACTGGGGATATAATACAAGGCTAGAAGAGAAGACGAGCATGTGCCGCCGTCATCGTACCTAGGTACCTAGGTAACTTGAGTCACCTTCGCCCTCGCATACATCCAGGACAGATGCATCATCATCGGAGAAATCTTATTCAAAAGCACGAGCACGAAGTACCCCTCGTGGATTTCAGAGCACCTGAAACACATCGGGTAGTATTTTGTTCTTTTGTTTTTAGTAGGTTTTTAAAGTATATAAAAAAAGAGAATGATTAACTTCTAGAAGAAAACTTTATACGAAAGCCCACCGTCCGCCAGTACTCATAAGAGCTCACATTCAATCTTTTACTATGATTCAATCTGACCAGCTTGGAAGGAACGGTTATGGTTGGACACCCGTCTGATGTTTAGCCAGTTCGCAACACATCCCACTAGTTTATGTCTTTCTGATGCACCGGAAGGAAACAGAGGGAACAAGTGTAATTTATTTTTTTAGGCGAGATCTAAGGGAAGAGTAAAAATCCAACTTGAGGATATGGGGGATTTCGGAAAAGTCGAAACATGCATGGTCTGTGAAGACTTTTCGATAAATTGGAGACAGGGCAGAGTTGTGAAGAGCTGTGTATGAGGTGAATACAATTTTATAGATGAGAGAGCACCGGGTAGCAGAAGAAACATGCATGGTATTTCCATGCCTTTGGAATGCCAGCGCAAGAGAAACAAAAACGTATAGATTGAGAGAGGCCTTTTTGGAGGCAAAGACAGCCATATGTATGCCACTATGGGTCCGTTAAAAAATAGTGGAGGTGGTTCATGTAACTTTCCGTTACCATTTTTGACAAAGTCCCTCTTTGAGATATAGTAGAAAGTGAAATTAGGAAGAAGCCAGGAGCAAGGCGGCTTATATATGACTAGCATGGCGAGGCTTCAGGCGCCCATGTATATGAAGCTCTCGTTTTCAGTTGCATAATCTACGATGGCAGAGGTTTTGTTGTGCAATTCCAAGGCGAGAGAACGACATATTCGAGTTGTGGTATGTTGTTCGTCAAAAGAGATTCTCGCTGCTCATGTAGTATTCCCCCGGGTCTTCGGGAGACAGGCACATGGGAAAAGTATCTGGTGTTTTTGGAAACATAAGAAGGCTGCGTGATAGAGAAGAAGAAGAGGAGACGTCGAACGGGAGACTCCTCTATAGCAAGTATGTCCATTTGTTTTGGTAGGTACAGATGGGCATAACTGATAACAGATGATGCAGTGTTTAGTTGCGCAGTCTGAGGATGGGCAAAGAACCTGTTTGGTAATGGCAGTTCGGAAGAAGGGAGGCACATCCATATAGCCAATTTAAATTTTTAGAAGGAGCAAAAACGTAAAGACTGTCATGTATAGACTTTGAAAATCGAGGCGAGCTCGTCAATGAAGGGGAAGAGGAGGAACGGTACGAGCAGCTATGTATACATACAGGCGGGTCAGAGCGCCGAGGCAAACACTATATCATGACGCCTACGCCGTCACACCAAGCAAAACATCATCTCAACCACGTTAGCGCCAAAGGAACTAATATTTTCAATGTGTTTGTATTTCTTGATATATACTGAGATAGTCAAACAAAGTGAACAAAAAAAGCAGGACGCCAGGTCGAACAAAGTCAACCAACTCCCATCAAAAAGGTCTTGGAACAGAATGCTACTTGGAAACAGAGGCCAAATCTATCCCAATAACGTTGCCCGCGCTGGGTCGTTGCATTACATCGATCCGACCAACCCAAGAGGGTGTAAATGTTGAAGCGGAAAGAACACACGAAACTCTAGCAAAGCACTCTTACAAGATGAGAGCACCGCCGAAGAGCGAGGAGGCGAGGACAACGGCACCGCAGACGAGGGGAGCGAAGCTGAACTCGGGGCGGATAGAAGCAGCGGCACCAGCAGAGCCGGAAGCACTAGCGCCACCGGTGGAGCTGGGAACGACACCGCCGGAGGTGACAGCACCGTCACCAGCACCGGCAAGGTTGGTCTCGGAAGAACCAGCCTGCTGGGAGCCAGAGCCAGAAAGTCCAGGACCGTCACCAGCACCCTTCTTGAAAAGGTCGTTGGCACCGGAGGGAACAGCGGGGAGCTCGTCGCTCTTCATGGTAACATCCCAGCTTTTGGACTGGTCGGGGCAAGTGGAGGCCTGGCCGTTGGACTTGTAGCCACCGTCGCCGGTAGGGTTCTTGGTGGAAGAGAAAGCCTCCTTGAGGGCCTTGAAGTCATCGCGCTCGGTGACGGAGTCACCGTTGATCTCAACAAGTCCGTAGTTGGAGTCTTCCTGGGAGTATTCATAGACGAGACCTCCGGAGTAGACGCCGGTCATGTCGGTGCTGTAGAGAGACTTGACCTCCTCGAACTTTCGGGTTCCCTTGTTGCAGCCGTATTCGGACAGGCTGGCGGCGTTAGCTGGGAATGATGCAACGTACAGATAGAAAACTTACAAGATGGGGATGCTGTAGTTGTCGAACTTCTTAACCTTCTGGTCCCAACCAGAGACGGTGTAGGAAGACGGGTCGCACCAGGAGTAGTCGTTGAAACCGAAGAAGTCGCTGCGGGCGGCATCGTCACCACAGTTCATGTAGTCAGCCATCTCGTAGCGGTTGCTCTCAACATCAGCGGCGGAGTAACCGACAGGAACCTTGCGGAGACCACGAGCGTTCATGTAGGACTTAATGTCACGGGTGACAGCCTTGACGTAAGGAGCACAGTTGGTGGTCTTTTCGTCGTTGATGACCTCGTTGGCAGAGAAGAACAGCAGTGTGTTGTCGTACTTTGCGAACATCTCGACGGTAGCGAAGATGCTCTGTAAGTAGACCTTGTTGTACGACTTCTGGGGGTCGGCTCGGTTGATGGAGTACTTGGGGGTGTTGAGGTCGAGAGCAAGGTAGATTCCGGCATCGGCGAGGAGACCCATGCAGGTGTCATGGTTGGCGCTGTTGTCGACAGTGTAGATGCGGACGGTGTTGATACCGAGCTCCTTGAACTTCTCAATGTCGCGCTTGCAGCCCGCCTCGTCGGCAATGGGGTCCTTTGCATCGGAAGCGCCACCGGGTTGGTAGTCAACACCACGGATGTAGAAACGCTCGTTGCCAGCAAAGAAAGCTGGGTCATGTCAGTAACGGTCAATTGTTGGCATGTGCGTTGTTGAACATACCGTTTCCCTTAACAGTGACGGGGGTGATGGCGCGCTTCTGAACGGCCGCAGTAGGAGTCGCGGCAGCGGAGGCCGCAAGAACGGCGGCAATGGCGAAGGTCTTCATGATGATCGTGTGTGAGTTGATGATAATTACGGTTGGCGATTGAGCGATTGTTGTGAGCGGCTGTTATAAGCGACTGTCGGGTCGTAAGGTAAACAAAAATAATACTCTCTAGTGAAGAAAGCAACTGCCGTGAAACGAGTGGACGAAGTTGCGATTAGAAAAAGGTATGCAAGAAGCACTTGGTTCGTGAGATGAAGAAGAAAGGCCAATCCAAGATTCAAGGGAAAACAAGCAGGTTAAGCACTGTTGAAAGAGGGAGGCGACGCGTCCAATTTCTTAGTGGAAAGCGGCTTCCTGTTCTGATTCGCCCTCACCCCGGTGGGGATCGCTCCTGCACCGCCTGGGCTGGAGGCAAGCAGCGCCAACCCCTGAACAAGCCGCACCAAGCCCACATCCAAGGAGCTGCCAACACCCACCAGCCCACATACAAGCCTAGCTAAGAAGGATGGCTCGTCGTGGCGATCATGCTTGGATGCACCGCAGTGAAGGTCGCTGAAACACGCGTCTGCCGTCAATCACTCACTGTGTCTGTCGTGCAGACACTGGCGATCTGTATCAAACGGTTCAACGCATGCCTTTGCCCCCATGTTGCGCAGTCTTATTGCCGAAATGACGGCCCACGGCTAAGATTGGATTCATGACGACATGTGGGTGCATTGTGTAACTGCTGCAGCACGGCTGGCTGGCACATCGCTGGTTGCTTCCGAAACGGCGATATCTGCCCACGGTTTCTTGTGAAACGAAGTAGTCGGTCCGGACTCTTGCACCCTCTTGACATCATGCCGCTAATCCTGCTCGAGTTTTCTTTGATCGTATTCCGACGAATCAGCATGCTTCGTATTTGAGATGCTGGCGCTGGGAACGCTGTGTTTTCTCCTCGAGCTAGTTCGCCATCGTATTATTAGAGCATCGGTCAACCTCCTCAACACGACGTATCCGGCCATCACACGTAAGAACAACTAGGAAACACCTCTTTCGGCAGTCGGACCTTTCACTGCCCTGCCATCAGCTTTATTCATAGTACTTGCGCACCTGCGCGAGCTTGTTGATAGTACTTGCGCCAGTGGGATCTAGGGTATCTAGAAGACCATTAGTGGTTCAGCCTCAACATGTTGGGAACGCGGTCTTTATTTTACGAGTTTTTTGCCATCATACAAATTAGCGCTAATACCTATTCTCTGCCGACTCCCGTTTATACACATACGTTGCTGCGGAGTGTAGCTCCGGAGATCATTACTAATAATAAGAAAAGGAAGAAGAAGAAAGTCATCCACTTCCCCATACAGATACAGAACCATAGTTCCAACATGATATCACATCCCGTCCTCTTAGATCATTACAGGGCTCTTGCTCCCAAGATGCTCTTAATTTTTCCTCAATCCAAAGTACAATCCAAGTACCAGCGCAATGACGCACAAGATCAGGACAATCGTCAGGAGGATCCACCACTTGAGCCTTCTCGCGCGCCTGGCAGACTTGATGCCCTCGTCCAACTGCTTGTTTGCATTCTCGGTATCGTCCTTGACCTGCACAGTTTGCTCCTCGGTTCGTTGGATGATGGGCTCTTGGTAGATGACCTGCTCGTTGAGCTGGGTGAAGAGGAGGGCAAGCTCGCCCATGGTCTTCTCGATGCGCTGGATGTCGTTGTGACGGGCGCGGACGGCGCCAAGAACACTCGAGGCTTGGCCGCTACGGTTGGACTTGAGCTGTTGAAGTTGTTAGTGACATGTCCTTCGGTTGCAAGTGGTTGTGTAGTCCTGCCAACTTACAGCTTGTGTGAAGATGCCCTCGTCGCCCAGGTCCGAGTTTGCGATCTCATTGACCTCGGCATCCGTCGCATCCGGGTTGATGATGCGGTACTGGCGCCCGACGGCCTCGCGATACCTTCTGGAGTATTCTGCCTCCTCTTTTTGGAAGTCTTCAAGCTGCGTCTTGAATGTCTTCTTCAGCGCCTCAACCTGTGTCCGCTTCATCTTGTCATTGGGGTCGCGCACGGCATCTCGCTCTAGAAACTTGATCTCGTCCTTGATTTGCGTGTTCCTGATCTGTGTGTTGGTTACGATGCTCTCGAGTTCGGCGGTTGAGCGGTTGTCGGGCGATGACAGCATGCGCTGGTGAACGCTCGCGATGGCTTGGATGTCCGAGGTGAGTTGGCCGATGCGCTGCTTTGCGCCTTCGATGCGCGCAAAGAAGTTATCGCGAGGGAGAGGCTGTGGTCCTGGTGCCTCCATGCCGGGGTTTGCGCCATACACACCCGTATCGTTCATTGGCACGTCGGTGTGGGGAACGTTCTGCTGCTGCGTGTTCGATGGGCTCAGCGCGCCGGCTTGCGAATATGCCGACGGCTGCGAGTAGTTGGAGTCGCCATGACGTTGGAGCGGCGCTGGAGGGTTGAGCTGTTGTTGCGGCTCGTCATACTGTTTGGTCGCGTCAGTCTTGTTAATTCAGGCTGCGCGGTTGCGACTGCTTACTCCTCCGCCATAAGGGTTGGATGAGCCATAGCCGGTGCCCCCATATGGGTTTGATTGACCGCTATACCCTTCCTCGGCCTGGCCATACGGGTTCCCGCCGTATTGCTGGTAGTTTTGCGACATGTTTGGTGTTGGCTGGGATGGATTGACAACGTTGGAGCGATGGTTTCGGAATGCCGCAGTGGAGCTGGAGCTTGGAGAACAGCCGCGGAAGCTACGGAATCCTGCGCTGACTGACGGACGTGAGCGCGGAGAGCAACCCAACAATTGTTCCGTGCAACAAGGCTACCGACGGTAAAATGAACAGCAGATGCTTGTGCTTGGGGTCTGGCAGTGCTCAAAATCGATTAATTGCAGCTTGCCACAACCTTGTTGTGATGTGGGTTGGGAGGGAAATTAAAATGAGACCCTGTTGAATCAGCCCAGCTCTGAGCCGCGAAGACAAACGTCACCAATGGGACGAGAACGGGCAAAGCAAGCCCTTAGCCATTGTTAGCGAAGATCGCGTGTCCGTAGCGTGCACTCCCGCGAGGCGCAGCATCATCGTCTCCATCACCATCATACTCCGCCATACTCCGCGGTAAGGCAGCGGAGTTTTGAGGAACCTCATTGTGTACTTTCATTCTTCCAATATTGTGTGCTGTTCGCGCCATTGACCTTTGAGCACAAGTACGAGGCTTCAGAGTATCTAGTCCTAGATCTTGTCGCCCAAGGGCAATGTCCCGAAAGAGGCAATGTCCGATGTGATTTATCGACTGCCGCGCTCAGCGTACGTTCAATGGCCATGTTCGAATAGTGACACTCAGAGGCGGCCATTGTGCGAAGTTGCAAGCATGACTGCGCCCACAAGGATCCTGTAATGTCAGCGCTTGCAACCCATGCCTACATTGTAAGGCATCTCCTCGCAAATACAACCCTTTTCGTCAGCCATCAGAGTTTTCGCGCAGCGATCTCTCTCTGTTGTAGGCTCCAAGCCTTACATTCACTATTGTACCTAGGTATATGGCAGAACACTTCGTACTCGATTGGCGACCAATGAATTCTCCAGTCACTCTGATGTTAAGAAATTGAAAATAAGCACGGTAAAGAATTTGTACTCTATCGCGAGAGTGGACACTGTCTTGCGAGTTTATGCCAACTCCAATATTCACATCCAGAACATCGTGTCCCTCAGACACGCATCCCATGGATTGTGCCACGGCTTTCCATCAATCATCACATCCTTGAACTTGTAGAAGTCAGCTTCGACCTCCCCAAACACATACCTCCTCAGCCCAAGTACGATTTCCTTTCGATGATCAGCCTCTGTTGCTTTCTTGTCCTTGAAGAAAGCCTTCTCCTCTTCCTTTCCATTGAACGTAGAATCTTTCGGGTAAAGCAAATCAAGACGTGTGTTGTAGTGATCCACTAGGCGCTGCTTCTCTGACTTGAGAGCTGCTTCAAGGTTATCTGCGCCTGCGACGTCTTCGGTCTTGACAAAGTACCGACGCATGTAAGTGCGGACACGTTCGCACAAACGATCAGAGTAGTAGGTAGGCGACGCATAGGATACACCGATAGTTCCGCGGACGTAAGAGAAGCAGATAGCGTGAGTCTAGAACGAGTTAATCATAGTTCAGAAGAAGGGAGACAGATAGGATCTTACCAAATCGCGCAACTTCTCTAGATCCATGTCCTTGACCCCAGCTTCCAGGACGAAGTAATGAGTAGGCTTGGCCGTTCCTTTGATAGCAGAATGAGACTGCAGGAAGAAATCTTGGTAATAGGGAGAAGTGACCAGTTGATCCACGAAGAGGCCAGGCTTGGTGTTGTAGTTGCCAAACGTGTCGCGATCGGGGTAATGTAGCTTGTCCTGATGTGAGCCCCTCTCAGGGTCTGGCCCTTTCTTCGACATTGGGAAGAAGCGAGTGTGGTGGCGCTTTGTGACTATTACGGCAGTGATGTCCACTTTGGAAGTCGTGCCATACTTCTCCGCCAACTTGCTGTAAGCGTCGCGGATGGCTTGCAATTCCTTTGTCTTAACCTGTTCGTACTGAGTCGCACTGACACCATCTCTGAAGTACAGGATGTTCCTAGGCAATGATCGCTTCTCGTTGAGACGAACCCAGTCCTCGAGACGCTCGGTAACCATCGCCTCTACTTCTTGAATGATCTGTACAGTCAGTTGAGCAGTCAATCAAAGACAAGAGAGAGAAGACTTTACCTCTCGATCAGTAATCTGATCATACCTCACATGGCCCTTATCGTCTTTGACCTCCTTCTCAATTCGCTGTAAGCGTGCAGAACCAAGGCATCTGCCCGCTGAATAATCCACGGATCCGACCATGGATGCGATAGATGGACAGCCGCTGAATGCACTTGGTCCAGCATGAACGACATCAGCACCAAGCACCATGATATCGCCCTGCGACAAATACGACCGGACACTCCCTACCGAATGCGTAAAGCCGCCCAGCTTTAGATTGACCTCCATCATAACGTTGGTGATGTATTCTCTGAAAAGCCTGTCTTTCCCGCTCCAGTCTCTGCTCACAAGACAGACCGATTGCAAACCATATGTCCTCTCGGCTAGAGTTTTGAAGAGTGAGTATATGCCTACGCTCGACTTCTCTAACATAAGTACGACTAGGTCGTATCCGTTGTTTTTGGCAGTTTGTAGAGCAGCCTCTAGGTCACCTTGTTCGAGGTTTTGGAGATCGATGGCAGGTTGCATGCCGATACTGGTGGTGGTAAGTCCACATCTGTTCAGCTGACGCTTGAACTCATTAGAGTACGTTGTGACTGAATATTTGTCCGGAGCGAATTGCTGCTGTTTGCTGGCATAGCCCTGATATTTCTGGCCATATTTATCCTGAAGCGTTACTGGCGGTTCTCTTTTGATGCGAAGGAAGCCGAACTTGAAAGACTTTGGCTTGGTAGAGAAGAAGGCAGAATTTTCAGGAACCTTCCAACGAGATCCACCGTCCGCTTTAAGTGTGACCGGAATGGTTTCGTCTCTACGCGATATGGAAGTGTCGCCTCCTCTGCCGAGACTACCTGTTCTGCCGAGATTGCTAGGGTTGCTGGCGTTTGGGAGGGCCTTGTAGCAAGGGCGTGGATAATCAAGTATTTGACAAGGAACTTGCATCATGGCGGGAACAAGTTGAATCGGTACATTATCATCCTTTCCCTATCAAACAAGATTAGTTCGTCCGCAACTCGGAATGTCGTGCACTTACGATGCTCCCAAATTGAGCGTTCGTGACGCTTTGCTGGTCGAATCCTAGGTTAAAAAGTCCTTCCTTTTCGATGAGGGCTCGGCTGGCGTCTGGGCCTTTCGCAGCCTCTTTGACCATCCCGCTCGTGGACTTCTCTGGAACTGGCCGTCGGTAGATCTGCCAGGGAAGAATCAATAGTTGCTCCTGTGCATACCATATAGGCTCTTTCTCCGTCCCACAGTTGATAGCTTTTCGCTTGGGATCGGCTGAATGATCGAACGCTTCGGATGGTTAGTCTCTATTGAGCCGAAATCCAGCGTACTTACTATTTCTGAGATAGTTCACAACCGTGATGTAATCTTCTGCCTTCTTGTAAGATCCGTCGGCATCTTTGGCAAACGTGCCATCGGCATTCTTTACACGCTTCTGGAATGTCAGGTCTTCAATGGGAGAGCCGATGAAGTTGACCTGTTTGGTGCGACTACTCTTACTGTTGAGCCTGTCGTAGTCTGCCTCTTCACTTGGAATCCTCCGTCTCTCAGTTACGACATACACTCGTAGACCCTCGAGGTTGTCTTCTTGGTGACCATCAAAAGTATCGCCATCATCAAGGAACGTGCTGACTAAGATGGGCTTATAGAATGCGCTGGTCGCGAGGTTGAAGTTGAGGATGAGGCATCCCGTGCCGGGTTTGACCGTATAGTAATAGCCACGTACGATTTCAAGAGACTTGGACGCTCGTTTTTCTGACGAAAAGAGCTGCGACCTCGCGCTTTTGACGAAGAACTTGTTGGCAGCGTGACGATAAAGCTTGCTATCATCGAAAGTCTTCGATATGACAAGATTCAGGCACCGAGATATGATATCAAAGTTCTGTTTCTCATACTGAGGATTTGCGTGCGAGTACTCTTGGAGGGCCCTAGTGTCGATCTTTCTTACGAGCTCAAAGTGAAGATCGAGAGTACTGTTTCCATCTTGGAGTGACATGTTCCAGAGGCCAGTAGATTCCTTGTCACCACTGATAGGTTCCTCCAAGATGTGTCGATGAAGGTCCTCCCATGCGACGATGGAGTCGTAGTTGTTTGTGGCGAATGCACTCCGATGAGACTTCAGGAAGTCCCAAGATTCGATGGCCTTCTGGTAAACTAACTTCGTTCTCCGCTTATCTTTGCTTCCAATGTTGTCGATCTTGTACTCGTAGAGAATGCCTGCTGCAACAGAGTACTCAAAGTGATTCGTGAGTACTCTGCTCTCTGGGTTAAGGTTAACAAAGTTCTGACGTGTCAGATGAGCGGGTGATTCCATCACACTTAGAGCCTCTTCAGTACCCTTCAATGTATCTGGAAGTTTCCATTGTCTACCCTCGCCACGCGGCGTTGTGTCATTGGAATCCAACTTCTTGTAGGTAGGATAGGTTAGCTCACCAGTGAATGTCGCTAGGGGGGTTATACTTGTCCTTCCAGCATAATTTCCGCGGTTACCTCCACGTTGATTAGTGCCGGAACCTCGTCCAAATGTACCTCGATCTGATGCTGCTGTGTTCTGAGCGAAGCTGTTGAGTGGTAAGTTTGGTCGCCAAGACGGTGCATTGATTGCAAGGCTGCTGAAACCAGCGCTCAGAGTATTCATCGAACCAGGACCTTGCCAACCGCTGGCACCGCTCCGAGCACCATCGCCTCGTGTCTCAAAGGCTAAGTGTGTATTGGGTTGCATGGGTACTCCAGTTCGACCTGTGTTTTGCCGAGGCGCTTGATTGGTAGCCAAACCATTTCCTACCCGTTGAAGTGAAGTAATGTGCGCATTTGCTTCCGCAGTCATGTTGATCTCCATGATTCTCTCCCAAAGAAAGGTTGGAAATCTCGGCCGGCCTCGTGTACAGGCTAAAAGGCTGTGGCTGAAGTCGCCGCATCTCTCACATGGTCTCGTTGCTTGGTACCTGTCGACGATCCCTGTGAAGTTCAGCCGATTCATTTGTTGGATGTCATCCTGCGATGGTCTTCGTGATGCATTGGGTCCTCCTGCTCCACTACGTCCGCCTCGTCTGCCACTGCCATCCCTAACACGTCCAGGGTTGTCAGACATGGCTGGGATGCTCTGATGATCGAGTATCTGTTGAAGTAAGCAGCAATGAAGAACTCCGAATCATGTTAATGAAGTGAAAGGAGGACGTGAGAACGAAACATTCATAGATATAACCTTTCTTGTACCCTTGACAAACATATCCTCGATTTGCCATCCTTACCGTGATTTACACCAGCAATCTTGCTTTCCGTACAACATATATTTTGTTATCGTTAGGAAGCGACCTCAAACCCACAGGTAACAACATCTTTATCAAACTTTATAGACAATTTGTGGTTCTAGAGCTAATTCACGTGCGGCTTCCAGTGATATGCTAACTCGATCAGGCCCTCACGAATTCCGCTTTGTGTATACGATCTGATGCTCGTAGTGCCCCTCGGTGGAATTGCTGCTTAGATCAAGCTGTTTCGCAGCAAGTAGCACTACTTTCCGCGGGTGAGTGTCTCGCATAGTCCCTCCATTGATGGTGAGTACTCAAGAAATCATGAGTGGTGTGTACTGCGCGAAGTAGTTGCCCAAAAGTGCAGTGTGGATGGGAAGGAAGGAGGGGTGGCACCGAGAGGTTCCCCCTTGTTTGACGACACTAGTAGTATTTGGTAAACGTATTACCCCATCTGGTGACCTTCTTCCACCGAGCCACCTAGGCACTCTGATGCAAGTTACCAATATTCGCAATAGGATTTAGTTATTTAGAAGATAGTCACTTTAAATTTCGAAATCATGCTACATGGTATACCAAGTATCGAGATCAAATATAGCTGATAATCGCCCAATGTCCATGACCCCAATGTCACTCCGGAACCTTTTCAACCACCAGCCAGAGTACACAATCGCAATATATTAGACACCAAGGAAACCCAATCCCACTCATCACCCCAATACTCTCCTCCAATTACCCGTCTCCCACCTTAACCATCCCTCTCATTCGGAAATGGCCTGCGTGTACTCTTCCGCCCACCCAACAAATGCGCAAACTCCGGCGCCACAAATCCCCTATTACTCCCCCCACTCCCTCCTACTGGCACCGATACTGTATACTTACTGCACTCTCCATTCCCTCCATAACTGATATGCTGCCCATACGCATCAACCGTCGGCCTACCCATCGGTCCATTGAACATCGGCGTGTTATAGTTGACTCCCATACCCCTAGCTTGCAACAGGCCCCTAGACCTCTTCTCAGCATCCTCTTTGTCTTTGATCTTTTGCAGACGCGCTTCTTCGCGCTTCCGCACGACTTCCGCGTCGCGGTGAATAGCGCCACCAATGATGCCGTTCTTGGTCAGAGGAGCGCTGATAGAAGGCAGGTTCGAAGCACCGCGGATATAGTTATCGTCGATATCGCCGCGGACTTCCAGACCAGTTGTTTCACCAGTCAACATACCCATTGCTTGGGGTAGCATTCCCATCGGCATACCCAGTTTGGGTTTTCCGTACCAAAAGGGCTCGATGCTGAGGTGTTGAGCGCGCGCTTTTTGAAGGAGTTTGTCGGCGTCGAAACGCTCTTCCCAAGAGAGGAGGGTGAGGTCGCGGAAGGCGTGGCGGAAGGAGCGGGATGCGGTTGCAAAGTCGCTGTTTCTGGGGCAGAGTTCGCCGTTGTAGGGGAGTTCTGGGGTTGGGATTGGTTTGGTGACGAGGGAGAGGAGGCGAGTGGCTTCAGGGTGCTGAGTGATGTCGGAGGAGGACAGTGCTTGTTGCTGTACACTGTCGTCGTTCGCTTCTGGTGGTAGGGCTTTGGCAGGCTTGTACTGCACAAGTGCCCAATACGTGTGCGGCTTCATATGGCCCTCCAACAGCCCGATGTGATAATTCGCCATCCCCATGGAAGATTCGCCGCCACGTACAAGGACGATCTTGTACTCGAAACCCTTGACGTCTTGGTAGTAGTGGTAGTCCTCTTTCCAGTGAGAGATTTTAGCTTGTGGTACTTTCTTGGAAGAAGAATGGATGGGATTGGGGTTCGTTGGGGCTGGCTTCGTAGGAGTGGCAAACATTGGGACGGAAGAGCTTGGAGATCGGTTGGCTGGGCTTGTGGAGTCATCGACAATTTCGATAGGATCATGCTCCTGTCCCTCACGAGCTACAGCATCATCCACCAGTGCAGTTTCCCTTTCTGCCCTCCTACGCAAGAGATCTTCCTTGGCGGAAACAAAAGGAGTGGGCGGGATAGTCGGTGTAGACGTAGAAAAGAAGAAGCTCTTGCTCTTCGTCGGCTTTCTCGTGACAGTAGGAGATTTCTTCGACGTACCTGATCCAGTCAACTCTTTGATCTTCTCGCATCCTTTCCTAAACTTACTGCCATCTGCCGCGGTACCCATTCTCTTCAGTTCTTTCTTTTTTCTCCTCTCTTTCGTCAGCACCTCCCAGGTATATTTCTTAGCGCTCAGCTTCCTCCTCCCTTGCAATGAGTCGTCGAACCAGTCATAGCTGACTACATAGATGTTCAAGTTGGTGGCTTGTTGAACTGCATCGGCAGGCTGCTTGTATGCTTCCTTGCTGGCGATGAGGTGGGTGACGCTCTTGGTGATTTTAGCAGAGTACTTGCCGCCGTTTCGCTCGATCCAGGATCTGATCTGCTTAGCATCGTGAGGATGTGTGCCAACAACGGCGATAGTGAGCTTGTTAAGTACACCCATTGTAGGATTGTAATAGTTGCAGATGGGGAGTGTAAGAGTAAAAGCCTGCGAACCCGCTCGACAACAAGAATGGGGACTTTATGATACCCAGATCGAGGATCCGAAGTTGGCGCGACTCAGGCCGGTCTTACCTTTTGGTGGCACGCGGCAGTCGAAGTGATATAGCGTTTGCTGAGACCGTGCGGCTGCCACTGTGAGGTAAGAGATACCGATTGTAGCACCTCTGCAGACCGCTATTGGTGGGGACACCCATTCTTATCGAAGCATGGAGTTGTCAGGTGGGAAGAATACATAGGAAACGAAACGCGATATCCAACGAGAAATCAAGGAGATTATGAACAGATTGTGTTATATTCCATAGATTTCAGCTTCAGCTTCACTCTTTATAGTTTAGACGACTGTCCTGGTGCAACGCACCTATTGCTGGTTCTTGGCCGCCTTTATAAAGGCGCGTATCTTGTCTAAACTTTGCTGTCCATCTTCTTCCACGCCGCTGCTGACGTCCACGGCGTGAACGCGGTCCCGATACTCATCAAGTCCAGCGAGCATAGAATGTACGTTGTCAGGGTTTAACCCTCCTGCTAATATGACCTTGATACCGTCGTCTTTCGCAAACACTGCTTTGACGTCTGAAAGGTCTAGTTGCTGACCTGAGCCCCCAGAACCTGCGTCTAGAAGTGGTAGGGCATGGTACCCTCTTGAGCCAATGCCATGGTTTTGCGGATTGAATGCGCGAAGAACAGGGACAGGGACCAACTTTGCCCACTCTAATGGCTCTTGGCCATGGAACTGTACGACATCTAGATTGAGCAATCGCTGCTGCTCGAGCACGTACTCTAGTGACTGATGTCGGAACACGCCTACAAGGAGTGCACGACTGTCACTTGATAACAACCGTGATGCGCCGTGCTCAAAGAAGTCAGATGCAACCTTTGAGTCAGCAAGCAACCCCGACTTCGATATAGTGGGCTTCTTGGTTTTGTGCACCGTTTCTGAGATCGCCAGCGCTGTCTCGGCTGTTACTGTTCGCTTGGTTCCTGGCGCCAATATCATGCCGATGAGATCAGCTCCTGCCTCAACTGCAGCTTTTGCGGCCTCTGCACTGCGAGTCCCGCAAATCTTTACCATTGGGCTTGAGGCTGTTTGTGTCTTCTTTGTGGATGAGCCACCTAGGAGCTCCGCGATGAATTGAGCAGTGTCAGATGCGCGCATCAACGCTTCACCCACCAAGACTGCACCAACTCCACTCTTGATGTATGGTTCGACATCCTTGGGTCCAGCGATACCGCTTAGCGCACACAAGATGGTCTCTTTCGGAACCATGTTGATTAGACGGTTGGTAGTCTCCATGTCGACCTCGAAGTTGACAAGGTTGCGGTTGTTCACGCCAATGACTTGAGCACCCAACTTGACCGCGATCTCCGTTTCTTCCGCGTTTTGGACCTCTACCAGGGGCTCCATTCCGAGTGATCGGGAGTAGTCGTAGAGCTTTTTCAACACTGCTTCATCAAGCATCTTGACAATGAGTAACACGGTATCGGCACCTGCGAGCCTGGCTTCCAAGATTTGGTATTCCTCGAAGATGAATTCCTTGCGCAAAACAGCAGGTCGGTTTGGCATGCCTTCCAAACTTTGTCGAACAGCTTTGAGATCGTCGATGCTTCCTTTGAACCATTCTGGCTCAGTGAGTACGGAGATGGTGCTTGCACCGGCCTTTGCATATAGTCTTGCTTGAGCAGGAGCGCACGCGGACAGAGAAATTATGCCTTTGGAGGGCGATGCGCGCTTAATCTCAGCCATGAGCGACAATCGGAACGGCGATTGCCTCAGACGCTCTGGAAAGTTAATCTGAGGAGGCGCTAGATTAAGGTCATACGAGGCCTGTAGGTCGCCTGGTCGCTGGGACGGAATCTTCTTCTGTTCCGCAACAGACGCCCTACGATGATCGTAGATCTTCTCGAGTATAGATGTCTGCTTGTCCTTCTTTGTGTCAGTTGCACCCTTGGTAGCAGCTCCGACCGCTTGCGCATGTGCCTCCTTCTGTAGTCGTTCATTTTCGGTCCAGGTGCCACCTTGCATCTTGAGGAAGTTCCTGACCATGAGGCGCCCATCCTCAGTCAAGATACTCTCTGGGTGAAACTGCACACCTTCCATAACATATTCCTTGTGTCGCACGCCCATAATGACTTCCTTCACTTCGGCATCTTCGTTCGCGGGGATGGTAGCAGTTACCTCGAGGCAGTCTGGGAGTGTTCCGTGGGTACCAGCGAGTGAGTGGTAGCGCGTGACGGGGACATTCTGCGAAATGCCTGCGAAGACGCCTTTGCCGTCATGTTTGAGAGGCGAAGTCTTTCCGTGCAGGACCTGACCTGTGACGTCTACAGTACCGCCGTAGCTATAGAAGATGCACTGTCTGTATCGTGTCAGCACTGCCCCGCATGTTGTATGCGCTCGTCGACCTTGAATCCGCGCACTAAGAAAGGCTGCGACAGTTCCTCCACCAATGTACAGTACGATGCAAGTAACCAGGGCGACTCACTCTCCCATGCACACGCCGAAGATCGGGATCTTGCCGCTATAGTGCTTGATGGCGGCATTGCTAATGCCTGCATCGCGCTCTGGGTGTCCTGGGCCCGGGCTGATCACCAGTTGTGTAGGGTTCTTCGCGATCAGATCTTCGAGGGTAATCTCATCGTTTCGGTATACAGTCACGGTCGCGCCTTCGAAGACAAGGTATTGATACACATTCCAGGTGAAGGAATCGTAGTTGTCAATGAGTATAACGTTGGAAGCGCTCGGTATCGGCGGAGATGGCGTAGGATTGCTGGGCGAATGGTCAATCAACGCGAGGGAGGGCATTTTGGGTGGTATGCTGCGCCAATGCCTGCCGTCTTGGAAGCGTGGTGGCTGTTATATAGCCTCTTCCGAGTACCTACGCGGCGGTAAAATGACAGGAAGATTGCCGGCCCTTTCACGGCGAGGCAGTTAAAAATATATTAGGTTCCTATTGACAGAGCTCACGCCGAGAAACGTGTTGGAGCTGGGTGAGAGGAAGGTGGAAAAGAGCGGATGTCTACTTGGGTAGCGGGGTGACTCAATGATGCACTATTCAGATATTGAGGATGCGGAGTTAACACGGAGGTGGCATGAATCGGGGCTTAGTGCTGCGACAGACAGTACGCTGGCATTGGTGCAGCAATGTATTTTGTCGTACAAACCTATCCCAATAACAAGCCCGAAAGGTATGTCTAGGCTCATGGTTAAAGAGGGACGTTTTTCTCTATATACGCAGCTATTGGTAGCATATTGTCGCTGCATACGGCCACACGAGGTACTTCAACACCAGATAAATACCACGGCCATATGTCTCTCAAAGAATGAGAATGGTATTGCTATGATATTATTACTCACATCTGGTCTGTAACCCAGAAGCATGCAATGTGCAGTGTTCTGAGGTGTCCACAAAGAACGAGCCCTTGTGATGATCCCTGCACGTACTAGCTTGACTTTCGCGTGAGCTTTGGCTTTCGCGACTTTCGTAGACATTAACTCCAAACATTCGGCAACACCACCCCCACGCCTCTACAGCACCTTCATGGCCTTTGGTTAGCTGATTTCCAATCCGCGCACCGCAGCGCAACCATGGCCCCCATCCAATCTCCCGAGTTCGACCTTGGCAAGTGCCTCAAAGGCGAGCAGCAGCTTGTGTATGTTTACCTTGATTGGGCGCAAGACAGTACCTAACACTATCAGAACCTGGGATATCGCATATCGCGCCCTTTGCGACCCCGAAACCGCGTCCAAAAGCGAAGCCCTACGCGCCTTCCTCACCTCCAACGAGAACAGAGATATCCTAAGCCATCCATGGAAGCCCTTCCCCGACCCATCGTCGCAAGAGAAGAGCAAGTTCGAAACCAACACAGCGCCTATCAAGGTTACACCTGCTCAGAGCGAACACTATGATGTAGCAGAAATAAAGGAAGACAGCCTGTGGTTGTCTAAAGAGGCGCAAATATCAGAATATGCAGCGTTGCAGTTGGTTGTCCAAGAGTGGCAGGGCAGGCCGACCGCACAGCTACTGAGTGGGCTGACTGAAGAGGAGGCCCTCAGCGTACAGGAAGCCGCTGGTATGGCGAATTTAGGAGCCTCGACTTTCGTCCCAAACTCGTCCATCCTGGCTTCACCGCTCGCTTCCAGGACCGCGCATCTCGATGCAAAGGATCAACGCCGCCTCCATATCCTCGACGTCTACCATTCGACATGCGCTTCCATCATACGAATTAGCCAGCTTCTCGTTTCATGGGGCTGCGCATCCAACTTGCGCAGCCAGACCATCTACGGCAACGATTACCTGAGCATCGGCGCCGGTTGGATTGAAGAGCTTGGACAGACCATCGCAGCCGCACAAGACGGACCCACAGGTGGAAAGGCACTGGATGAGTGCTTAAAGGCATTCTCCAAGAGGTGCGATTCCTTGGACGCTGGTTATGGCTGGAACGTCGACGATTCGATACTGGAAGCTGCGTCGGAGAAATGGGTTGTTGCACAAACCACAGAGATGCTGCACATTCTGCATCTAGCCCTGGTGCACGCAGACTTGGTTGTCAAGGACTTCCTTCCCGCGGCTACCATCGAGGACTGGCTCAAAGCCTTCAGTTTCCGCGGCTTCTTCCGCGAGTTCCCTGCAGTCACAGCTCGCCAGGAGCCTCTTATTCCGGTTATACAACTGCTGACCTCCCTCATGTCTCTGACTATCTTGAAGGTAGACAAGATCATGGACGATCTCGAATCCGGCGACTGCAATACTTGGGCCTCCTCATCGTACATTCTCAACACCACTGTTGTAGAGAGCATTACCACTATTTTTGGAGAAGCCAAGTTGTTGGGTGCTAGCCCGGCTACACCCCCTACGTTCGCCTGGGCTATCCTTACCTGGAAGCTTACAAGTCGTGCGAGCTACGAGGAACAAGAACGCGACCGTCTCATTGAATCGTCAAACAATCCAGAAAATCAAGAACCTCAAATTTCGCCACTTGAGGAGGCTGCTTTGGTCGTTGCTAGACTTGAAACACATGAGCTCTTCGACGGTAAGATGCCTTATGAGGAGCTCGCCAACATCAGTTCAGCAGTAGGTGTGCTAGCTATCATCAACCAGCTAGTCGAGACTAGTCTGCCTGCATTCGGAACCCCCATCGATCAAATATCACAGGATAGGATTCGTCTGCTGTTCCTCCAGCTCATCCGCGCTGCTGTCGGCAGTGACATTGTCGCATATAGTCCAGACTTGATAGTAACGACATACACTATTCTGACTGGCGACAACTCTTTCCGGAAATGGGAAAATGGGGACATATCTCGCCATGCCGATCCGATCGTGGCGTATTTCTTGGAAGATGAATACGTCCTGCGACCACTGCTGCTCAATGAAGCTCGCCTACGCTACCCCTACGAGATGACACCTTTCCTGAAGTTCTGTAGCGCATTAACCCGTGGCGACAAGACGATGCAGAACGGCTTGCCTACATTCATTGAAAAGCTTGGGAACCACAACCGGCTCATGCAACAATTACCGGAAGGATTCAGGGACTACGCCTTGACGCGCGAGGAGGAGAACGCCAACTGGGTCGAACTTACAGGCAACCTTCCGCTCTTCTCGTCTGGAGTATCTTCGAGCTTCCGCGGACAACGTCGATTGTTGACCTCCGGCACATCGACACAGTCTGACGGGCTATCTGGAATACCGGCTGGCACCGAAGGAATTATCGTTGATGACAATGCGCAGCCATACGTGGCGGTATGGCATCATCAACACTCTACATTGTCATACCTAGTTGAACTTCTCTCAACCTACCCTGTGGGGAGCAGCAAGGTCGAGACCGCCACGCAGCAGCCCGCACCTCGCGAAAGTGTCATCGAAATCATCGGGCTCTTCGCTGATCTGATGCATTCTTCCTTACATGCATCTGAGGGCATCTGTTCAACCGAGCTCTTGGAGGCGATTGGTATCGGTGCCGAAGGCAGCCAGGATACCGTCAACCTTGTGCTCGCCATCTTCGAAGAAGAGCTGCTGCACCTCTGTCAAGAGCCAAGCAACGAGGCGTCCTTGGAGCTATTGGTCAACTGCACTCATTTCTTGGAGGCTTTGATCATTGTTTCTCCACACAGGGTATGGCCTTGGCTCGCTAGGAGTAGACTGCTTGAAGGCGACGGAAATGGCAGCTTAGCGACTATCCTCATTGGCACTGAAATGGTTCTTGGACGATATGATTTCCTCATAGGATGTATCCGACTCTACAAGGGGCTCGTCAAAGATGCCGTCGAGCGATCAGTATCCCGCAAAGTCCCAACGAAAGCCCTCAGTCGCTTCAACGCTGCTGCGCCTTTAGAAAGCGGAACGTCAGATAAGATCATGAGTACAATCCTCTTCACCTTCGGTCGAACCCTTGCCAGCATATATGAGAGCTCGCTGAACTGGAAGTATTCTCACCCCAACCATCGTCCCGAGATCAACATCGCTATCTGCGAAGTTTTCACGACGATACTACACCTTGCGTACAGCGTGGACGACGAACCGAAGCTATCCGCTAAGCTCGCCAAATCCATCGCACCCATCGCCGAGTACATCACCCAGCTTTACCTCACGCGATCAGGCGCAGATCTTCCGACGAATCCGCTGATGACCTCTCTGATCACTGGCGTCAGACCCAGTGACATCACGTTGCTCACGACTTCGAGTGCGTTGTGGATGCAGCAGACGCGGACTACTCTGGCTTTCGCTGACGTACTCGTTCGGGTTGCCGTACTATTGAACAAACCCTGGACGCACTTGGAGCAGCAGCTTTTCAAGGCTACCCCATTACTAGCACGGCTGTACGCAACTAGTGACAAATGGAAGTCGCAAGTCGTACAACTGTTGGAAGCTCTTGTTCGTGGCGCTGTCCGTATCGCCGGACAAGAAGACTCAGCAATGGCGGACGGAGACCCAAAACAGTCTGTCCGAAAACAGATTGAGCAGCAAGAACCTCCTTCACTACTCGGTCACCTCGGACCACGAACTGCGAAGAACTTCCTGAGTGTACTTTCGCAACTCGATGAGCCGTTACGAATAGTCGACATTCAGACTAACGCCTGGAACTTGCTTTCAGCTGTAGTGACATGCAAACAGCAGTGGTTCTCCTTGTATCTGCTCACCGGTAGCACGCCTCGCGAGTCTATTCGTTCCAAGAAAGATGCTACTCACGACTCACGTAATAAAGCGCTACTTACGCGAGCGCTCGATGCGCTTTCCAACACGGCTCTACCAGACCAAGATACGACTGGCCTCTCATGGCCTCTATACATCGCCATGCTTGAGTTTGTTTCGTCAGCGCAAAACAACTGGTCATGGGCAATGGGTGACCTACGGCAACGCAAAGACTTGATCCAGAAGTTGCTCGCCTTCATGAAGTGGATGGTCAAGCAGCCCAAACAACCAAGAATGAGCAACAACAGCGAAACACTCGAACGCTCATTCCAAAACAGGTTTGCATCATTGGCCTGTGAAGTCATCGCCATGTATCTCCACAGCTCGCGACAAGTGGGCGACATCACCGTGCTCAAGGATGTTGTACCAAGTCTAACGTACCTTGAAGACACTGCTTTGGATCTACCATCCTACAGTACGTCTTTGCATGGCTATCTCAAGCAGAACCTAGAGAAACAGTACCCTGGCGTCACTTTAGGGAACGTCAAGCGAACCACACTGTACCCGGAGACCTTTGGGCGGGCGTTCTTCTACGACATCGACCTTGCCCAGCGGCTCTTAGGCTTCAACAGCAAGTGGGCCGGCCCTAGAGAAGGTACGGGCTTCGCAACTGAGGTTGAGAAGGCCAATTACAACCTTGGACTGGTTGAGTCTCAAGTCCTGCTGCTTCAAGGTTGGAAGCTGCTGGCTCTGGAATTGAGCCAAGTCGTAGCAAAGGATGAGCGAATAGTCAAGGTACTGGTTGGGGTCATCCAGAAGTGCATGGTCGCCAATGAACAGTCGAATCTCCCGGAAGCGTTGTTTGGCCAGCTCATGGTTTTGCGGGCAGATCTAGCATTTGCACTGCTGAAGAAGCTGGTTGAGGCAAAGGTACGAACGACCGAGGCACGCCAGCTGCTCGCCCCAGTGTGGAACGCTATCCGCACCTCCACGCCGGACTTCGAGAATGTTTTTTCGACCGACGCTGTGCACTACTACCGGTCCTTGCTACGAATCCTCTACCTTGCCCTTCACTTCCACCTCATCGACGACACGGATACATCGAACGAAGCAACTCTCCGCTCCTCCTTCCGCGGCACAATGCCCACAAGCCATAACACGTACGCCGAACCCATCTCTACCCAACTTCTCGAGATTCTTTCCGATACGGTTGCAAAGGGCTTCCGCAGCCTCGCTACACAGCTTCACGCTGAACCTGCATCCGTCTCGCCATCAGATTTCGCCCTCCTCACTGCGCTCCTCCAGCGCATCATTGCGATACCAGAGATGTCAAAGTGGCAACAACAAGCCGCTCTCCTCTTCGCCAACAGCAACACCGTGCGCTACGCTACTAGCCTCTTCTCATGGGCTGACCGCCTGACGATATCCCACAACGGCATCGACGACCCCATCTACGGCGAGCTCAGCGTACTATTCCTGCTCTCCTTGTCAAGCATTCAGGCCCTGGCGGAAACCATGGCCGTGGAAGGTATACTCAGCCAACTCAACACTGCAAACATCATGAACTACTACCGCCGCGTCAACGGCATGGGTCCGTTCGACAACCCAGCACGCATGTACAGTATCTGGACAAAAGGCATCCTGCCACTTTGCCTCAACCTCCTGCTTTCAGTCGGCCCGCCTATCGCAGCGGAGATCTCATCCTTCTTGAACCAATTCCCAGAACAGCTTGCTCGTTCGGCTCTGAGCATAAATTCGAACCCTTCGTCCCGTACTTCGGCTACGAAGATTACGCTTACCGCCGCCTCGGAAGTACATTCTTTGGCGCTCATCTCTAGTATCCTGGAGAATGTCCGCAAGCAAGGTCCCAAACTGGGTATCCAGGCCAATGATGTCGCACTCCTAGACTGGGATAAGGAGAACATCAAAGAGGACGTGGAGAGCTGGTTGGGTCGTAAGAGCGCGTTGCGTGAGCGCATTGTAGCAGTCGATGAGCGGGAGTTGGAGATGCTGAGTAGCAGAAAAGGACAGGGCGAGGATGCACTGAGTGAGCTTGAGAAGAGGGTTTTGAGTGAGTTGGAAGATGCGGGACGATGTCTGGGTGTGGGCAATGGGAATGGAAATGGAAATGGAAATGGGAAGAAATAGACGAATGCGGGGTGGTGATGGGTGCTAGGATGATATTTGAAAAGCGCTGGAGTTTAGGAGCGTTTTTGGCTTAGTTGCGAGTTGTTATGTTCCTTCGATGCATGGACGTTAGATCTTGTGGGTGGTAGTGTACTTCTAATGCTACTTTCTTGACTTATGTTTACTTGGTAGTATGATTCACGGGTTTGTTAGGACTGGAGTGTCGGCATAGTGTTATTTCCATCTCCATTTCATCCCATCTCCCATTCTTTGCCCCGTAGATATATCAATACTGTCCCAATCAGGCAAGTTGTCCCAAAAGATGTAGATGACCGCAGTCTTCACAATCCTCCTACTATTCACGTCGTCTGGACTTATCATGGATCTTGCAAGCTGGTTGCTATGTTGTCTCGGATAGGTAGATTTAAAAAGAAGGTGTACATTGCAGCAACTTTTACAAACCATCCAACGCGCTGTAGAAGTGAAGAGTGACATTTGCAGGCTTCATAGTCACAGAATTGGGCAAGCGTACAGTTGACCATATATGTCGATTTAAGACTAGTAGTAAATACCACGGTGGTTCATAATTCATCCCGCTGGTACGCCGGAGATAGTATGCCCTTCTACACACACCATGCTCATACCAAACATACCACGCTGAACAGATTTTGCTAATATGCTTAACCGCATCCGGGTTCTTTAGCCTACATGCTGTGACACTGCGGGCAAACCGCATACCTATGGTATTCCTACGCATCCACCGTAGACCAGCCGGATCCCACGTCGGTAAGTTGAGGGGTAACGCCGCCAGCTAAGTCGACAAAACCGTTGTCTTCGTTGTCAGGCTCAGTGTCAGACTCAGTATCGATATCACTGTGGATGTCAGAGTCGACATGGTATTCAACGATCTGCTGCGCATTGTGCCTCTCGCAGAGCGCCTTGGTGTAAGTTTTGATATCCTCTTGAAGCGAGTTGGCTGGAGAGACCAGGCGGTGGTGCTGTTTGGTTGATTGAAGGTGCTGATAGTGGCCTGATGAGGAAGGATCTGTTTCCATGTCTGTGGGTGAGTCCTCCGTAGTTTTGTGTTCAGGATTCTCTACTTGCGTATGAGTTTCGTCGAGAGTCTTCGGGTCGATCTCCCACCCTCGCACGATGAGGTAGAGCTCCTTGATCAGCTCATAGGCATGAACTACGTTTAGAGGCTTTGAGATGCGCACGATGAAGAATTGGACCAGCATGCTGACACCTAAGAGCAGCATAGCGAGGCCAAAAGGACTGTCGTAAGGGAGAGCCCTTGGGTATACCATGAACAGGTAACGTAGCAGGCCCATGACAAGGGAGGTGATTGCGGACGTGAATGCGTACATGTGCTCCTTTCCCCACTTGCTGTGAGCTCCAGGGCTCCTCATACCAGCCTTGGTGGGTGTCGCGTGGGCGACGGCGGAGAGCATCATGAGAAGGCCCACGCAAATCAGAAGGCTTAGGAGGTACCGCGTCGCTGATAGAACTTTGTTGATGTTGGCGTAAAAGGCATGAAGTTCTTCAGACTGAAGTTTCAGTTTTGCGAGGGCTTCTGGTGAGATGCTGGCTTTGTCTGAAGGTACAGAAGTGAACGGGTAGAAAAGGCGACATGGCTGTGAGGATTCACAGCGTAGGGCGAAGCCAAAAGGCACTTTCGGGAGGAGTCGACGATAATAGCGTGGTTCCATAGTATCAGAGCTACCAGGAGCGTCCTCAGTGGGAGCAAAAGCGTTTGCAGTAGAAACAGCGCCCAAGAAACGAGCCCAAATCCGACCGGTCTGCTGTCGCATAAAGCCTAATGCTTTCTCGAGTGTACGACGAGAGCGATGACTGAAATCCGCCCAATACGTCAGCACTGCTTGTTGTGGAGTTGGGTCCTTAACCACCACCTGCGGAGTGTGCTGAAGCCTTCCGCAGTTTTCGAACGTCCAGTCCATGACCTGCATGCGTATGTTGGGGTACTGAAACCCAAGCCCAAGAAGCTCATAATCAGCCTTTTCAAGACCACGAACGAGACAGTTCTCGTGAGTATCCAGGAATCCACGGCCTAGCTGGCTAGAAAGGAGTTTATCCAAACGATCGTGTAGTATTTGTTCTGTATAGAGGGTGGTTGACTGCGCTCTGAACTCGTCTACCGCCCGGTCATATCGAACGTATATAAAGTTCGAGATGTTTATAAGTCCGATGCTTACAACTATGATAGCCGTACTGAGGTAAAAGACACAAGTCGCGAGGAGTAGAAGGCACGGACAGACGGTTCCGAGCTGAATAGGGTATGACGTCTTTGTCTTTATGAGCTTGGATCTGATGGATCGATTCTTCTGTTGTGACTGATCTCGAGCAGGCGTAATGCTGCACTCTGGTTGAGATGTCGTGCCGTCGAGAAGCACCGTGGTGGACGGCATCATAGCGTGCGCTGATTCTTGAGCGCCTTCGTAGGTAACTTCCATGTTGCAGGTACTGTAAATGTTGTGGTAATGCGGCTACGAGCCGAAGTCGCAGAATTTTGTCTCGAAGGTGTGTGATTGAGGGCTTGGCTGGGCCAATCGTGGGTTCCAGAGTAAGCGTGTGTGTGAAGAGGGTATTGGGGTACCACAGTTGAGGTCGTAAGGCACCAGGGACAGCACGTGCTCGATCAGGCGGCACCGGACTAAATCACGGTGAACCGCACGCAGATGATGGTGTGAAAGACGAGCCGTCAGTATTGATTTCAGGTCACTCGTAGTGAACAAATGTAGGAAATAGTGATGAAAGCTCGGTCATGTTCTCCTGCCTGGTGAAGACTGGAAGGTGCAATGTATTCCGCATGACGAAGGGCCCACTCACTGCACTGGAGCGGTCATAGCAAATTGACGCGACAAAACGTGACAACGTGTTCGGTGTATGTATGCTTTTGATTCAACAGGTCAGATAGCATGGCTTCAAGAGCTGACGACGGTAGACACGCATTGTGACTACTCACTACCTCTTCCTTTGTGTCCTTCTGCGTGGTGCTTGCCCAATGTCCTCCATGTCTATCGCACCTTCTACGTCTTCAGCTTTGATCTCACCAGCATCGGTAACCGCAGTCTCCGCCTTTACTATTTCCTCTTCGTCACCACCAGGTGCTTCTACTTTGACGACAGCTTCTTCTTTCTTGACTTTCGTCTTTTTGGCCACAACAGCTGATGGACACAAGCCTCTATCCGCCAGTTTACAATCACCACACTTCCTACCCACAGGTAAGCATATGGTTTGCCCAAAGCCCACAAGCAGATTGTTAATGTCATGCCACTTGTCTCTTGGTAGCCACGACTCCAGTGCTGCACGCGTCTGTTCTGGTTGCTGCGTCTTGTGCCAGCCCCATAGGTTGGTAATACGGTGGACGTGAACATCGACTCCGATGCCCTCAGTCTTGCCCCAAGCTGCGCTCAAGGTGAGGTAGCCCATCTTAGGTCCGACACCAGGTAGCGACACCAGTCCTTCAATGGTATCTGGTATGTCCGAGTTCCACTTGTCTCTCAATATCTCTGCGGTTTGCTTGATGTACTTGGTCTTGAGGTTGTGGAAACCCACTTTGTTGATGAAAGCGTTCAGTGCAGGGGGTTCTAGTGCGAGGACAGATTCGAGATTGAAACCCTAGATCATGTTAGCTATGAATAGACATAAGCCTTGGGATCAACGTACTCCAGGCATCTTCTCCTGCATGCCTCGCATGACAGGTGCTGTGACGGTGTCTTTCGTCTGACTGCTCAGCATCAAGGCTATGAGTGTCTGAAACCGTCGGTCTCGAGGTGACCTGTTTTTCTCCGCCAGACTCTCGCATCCCATAGTATCTACGGGTGCAATGTTCTCATTCCTCATCTCTCTTGTCAGAGTGTATATCTCCTCCCAATTCGCAGGCGGCTCAACCTTCACAGTTCCATCGCTGCCCTTCGTCTTCTTCGCAGGTGCACGACGCGCTTTCTTGACCTTTTCGACTTTCTTCGGCGATGCGATTGCGGCGATTGTTGTCTCCTCTGTCTCTTGCTTTACGACGATCGGCTTTTCCTGGCCCCTTTTCCTCTTCAAGGGCATCTGTCGCGCCTCTCCATCTGAAGCTGAATCCGCCGGTGCCGAACTCAGCTCTGAACTTGACCCAGCGTTCTCTTCGTCATCTGTCTCTCGTCTGGTCGGGTTTGGCGCATTGGTCGCGCTTCGTGTCTGGCGTAACGCTCGTTGTGTGCGACTCGCGGCGACGATACGGGACGTGTCGCGGGACACTCGTGAAGTCCGCATTGGAACGTTAATTGAACGATAGGAAATAGTATAGAACAAGTGAGTGACGTTTGGGAAACGCTCGCGCACAGAAGGGCGACGCACAATGATGACGACGACGAAGACGCGACGCAGCAAGCAGCCAATGAGCACGCATTGATTTCAGGGGTCTGACGCGACGGCACGTGAACCACAGCTCTCACAATGACGTCAGAAAGGTCGGGATCAGAATTTCGATTGAAAATACAGTTGCTGCAATCCACGCCTTCGCAACTTACCTGATTAGGAAATTCGTCATCTGAAGTAACGTGAGACACCTGGTGAGAATGACAACTCCACTTTCTCCTGAGTCAGACCATGCGTATTGCAGTGATGGCCGTCATTTCCACGATACTGTCTGCCCATGGTCAACTTCAACCACGATGCTAGGTTAGACCAAAATTATCGATTATCGCTCTCTAGTGAAGTACTCGCTTTCGTTTAACACCCCACGATGTTCTTGCAGCCCCAAAGATTTGGAGTAGCTAGGATTTCATCTAATCAAAAAACCGTCTACATGTCAGTTAAGATGCATAAGCAATGGGTTGCGCCGAACGGATGGCTCGTGCGGAATGCAAGCTAATTTGGTTCGTGCGGAGACGTCACGACTTCTTAGAGCTACACCAGCCGCGGTTTACACCTACTGTCACCCGTGAATTGAACCTCTGCCCAATACAAATTTTTACACGATAGGCCATCTGAATACATTACGCGCTTACGACCAATACTCGCCCACACCACACTGCTGAAAATGCTACGCGAGCAAATGAAAGAGGTGGACCTTCTTATTCTGGGCGCTGGCTGGACGTCCACTTTCTTGATCCCCCAATTGGAGGATACCAACATAACCTATGCGGCAACCACGACCAGTGGGAGAGATGGCACGATACCGTTCAAGTTCGACCCCGATTCTGGCGATGCGGAGCCATACAAGCGTCTCCCTGCGGCGCAAACCGTACTGATCACGTTCCCGCTGGTTGGACACACGCAGTCAAAGACCATTGTCGGCCTTTACCGCTCAGTGCATGGGGCGAAGAACAACTGGGTGCAGCTAGGCTCAACAGGTATCTTCAACAAGGTACCTGATGACTGGAGTACTGATGATGCGCCGTACGATAAGGAAGACAAGCGTGCTATTGCGGAAGACGAACTACTCTCGCTTCACGGCTGTGTGCTGAATCTATCGGGTCTATACGGAGGCGAGCGCGTGCCTGCTAGATGGCTCCCCCGCATCGTTCAATCGAAAGATGATGTGCGGAAGCGAGGTGCTGTACATTTCATCCACGGAGAAGATGTCGCAAGAGCCATAATCGCAACTCATCAGAAGTTTACTCCGGGCAAACGATGGATCATTGCTGACTTGCGTGTCTACGACTGGTACGATCTCATCATGAGCTTTAGCGCTACGACGGAGTCGTCCATGACTAAAGAAGAGCTGGAGACTCGTCAGGAGTTCGCCAAGTGGGTGGGGGAGCTCATGGAGGAGAACGGAATCCGTGCTTTGCCGCGGGATATGGGTGCCTTAGGCCGAAAGCTAGACTCTAGGGGGTTCTGGTACCATCATGGGCTCTGGCCTCGACACAAGCGGCTAGCATAGTGAGTCGAGTTCCCAAGAAAATAAACGTTAGAGTCATATATCCGCGATGCTCATCAGATCGCGAATTTTTCGATTGGTTTGACATCGCAGTCACGTTATTCGGAGAGGCTCAACTCTGGTACAGCCGACAATGTACCAGAGTTCGTTGGATAGCCTCAGTGCTCTCCATGGGTATCAGCACAATCGTATGGCGAAGGGAAGTCTCCTTGGCCCATACATAGCATCATCCGTAAAACGTCGCCCCGAATGAACCAGAGTTACAGTATATCCAAATTCCCCGTCTTTTCATCTCTCTGCTACAAAAGGTTCTCTATTCTTTTCTTCTCAGTTCAGATCACACCCCGTTCACCATCCCCAGTCTTGCAGGTATCTTCAACAGCCCAGTTTCCATCCCAGACATACCATCTCAACACCATTCACCCACACAACACCAACTCCCCTCTATTCCACCAACATGTTCTCTTCCACCATCCCCACAAGCCAGGGCGGCATGCGCCAACGCATCAATATCACTGGCCTAAGGCACAGCTCCTACCAAAAACAAGCGAGCATACCACAACTCCCTTCTCGTCAGTTCATGGGCGTATCACAGTCGCCCATCCAAACTAGCTTCGGAGCTTATGGTGGGTTTCCTTCTCCGGGTGTATCGCAACCATTCTGCCCTTCTCCTTATCCCGGCGTCGCTGCTAGTACTCGCTTTTCTACTGGTAACGTCCCATACCAGCAACAATTTTTCCCTCAAACTCAACCCTATAGGGGTCAGTATAGCCTGGATGCCTTCACGCCACCAGTGCAGAGCCATTTTATGGCTAAAAATGCTGTGAGTACTTTCGCGCCGCCTCGTCGGCAGGTACAACAGCAGCAGGTACAGCAACAACAGCAACAACAACAACAGCAGCAGCAACAACAACAAAGAGATCTCGTTGTTACTGCATGCAGCGGTGAGTATGTCGATCTCATTGGAGATGACGAAGAAGAGGTGCAAACAACACTACCAGTAGCCCCAAACGTCCCCGTCTCCGCCGCCCAAAAATCGGCTCTCTCTACCCCTGATTGCATTTCCTCCCCTGAGGCAGTCAAACACCTCAGCGAACGGGTCAGTCACTTAAAGCTAACCATCCACGAGCGCTTCTACCCTTGCGCTTTCCGCCTGCTCCGCAGTTTCAATTACCTGGACATAAAGCGGCGACGTAAGTACTGCGCTTTATTCTGGCCTTCGAACGAAGCCGCTCGTGAAGATATGCTCGAGATGGCCAAACTCTCTCCGGAGTTTTCAGTCATATATACCTACCGGATGGCATGGCACTCGAGGGAGACGAAATCCAAAAAGGACGAGGACCCTGAATTCGTGAAGAAGAGAATCTCGGATGAGCGCGCTGAGCTCCAAAGAACCTGCAAGCTAGCCTTGCAAGATAGGATAAGTGAGGAGGGATTGAGCCAACTCCACCAAACGCTCACCACTACCAAGGGAAAGAAGAGAGGGGCTGCCTTGGCAGCACAAAAAGAAGAGTATAGAGAGGAAAATGAAAGAGTACAGGGAGAGAAGCGAGAGAGATGGGCAAAGTTAGACGCCAAGCTGAAACCAAAGCAAACCTCAAATGCGCTTGCTGGAGACAAGAGAAAGAGGATTGACGAGGAGCCCGGCCCTGCTTCTGCCCCCAAGAAAAGAGGAAGACCCAAGAAGGTTAGGCCTGTAGAGGAAGAAGGGGTTGTGAAGGAGAAGAAGAAGAAGAAGCGTGGGAGGCCTCGGAAGGTGGTTCAGGTTCAGGAACCGATTCCTGACTACACCGATGAGGCGGGGGATGATGGGTCGTTGGCAGCAGCGCTTGTTGCTGGCTTGTCTGGGGATGCCGTTGAGTTGGATGAGGCTGATGCGGCGTTGGCAGCACAACTCATGGCTAGCTATGCCGCCGACGACGACGATGTCATCAATGCGGCAGCTACTGTGGAGCTCTCATGCCAACTACAAGGGCAAGAGAAGGAGAGCGGCGTTGCCGCAGCCATCGCTGACGACCTCCCGGCTGCCTGTTCGGAAGAGGCCCCAGCGACTGAGAATGCTGCAAGGGTAGACAGCCTGTTTCCAGAGCAAGCACAAGAGGGAGAGGGCTGTGCTGATCCAGCCGCCGATATCTACGACTTGGACTCCCTCTTTGGGGATGATCCTGTGGCTGCGCATGTGGAGGAGGGTTGTGTTGATGAAGCCATGGAGGATGGCGACGACAAGGACTCGTTACTCGACGACATTGATTCCACTGATAATGTGGAGATAGACAGGCTTCCTCAAGAGCAAGCCAATGAGGAGGCCACCGACCTCAGTGATCCACTGGCTGAGATTGTGGCGTTTGCTCTCACGGATGACGGTTCTTGGAGGGATGACAGTTTCCTTTTTGGGGATACTGGGAATGATATTGGTGAGAAGCTAGACAGCATACCTGACTTCTAGTCATGCATATGAAATATATAGTCTTAGAGAAGCAATGCATCTAATGCACCAATCCTTGAACTCCACGCTATGCGAATGTACTTGGAAAATGCCATGGAGGCGAAAAAAAGGTAATAAGAAATAACACCAACCCCGCCTCCTCATACTTCATGCTACTACACTCTAAACCTCAATGTTCTCGAAAGGATCCCGGTCTGGTGGCAGTCCCCTGTAGATGACGCTGCCGCCTGCGTCCAACCTTGCATTCACACTGGTGATCCACACGCGCTTGGTAAATGCACTAGTCCTCTGAATTTCGTCCTTAGCGACACCCAGATCATCGTGCGGGATCCAAACAGCTGGCTGAATAGCACGTGTCGCCGGATGCTGGAACGAACGCTTAATGAGCTTTTGACGCGCCTCAGGCTCAATATCAGCGAGCTCATCGTCGACTTCATCGAAAAGATTTCCAGCGGGCAGAACCTGCGCCTCGACGTCGCGGATGGGTCGCGCAACGTCGTCGAGACCTTTCTTGAGCGTGTTCGTAATCATGTCGAGAGGGTCTTTACGCTTGTGGTGCTGCTTGTGGTGAGACTGCGAGCGCGAGTTGGAGCTGCGGCGGGAGCGGTCCGCCCAACTAGTGTTGCGGCCGCGGTTGCCGGGTCGTGGCGACTGCCCCAAGCTAGTAGATTGTATGTTACCATCCAGGTTGCTTAGCTCATATGACCCTGGTCCATAAGATGATTCGTGTTGTTTTCTCTCCTCAAGGCGGTTTTGCTCGTCCAGATGGGCTTGTTCACGCTCCTCGGCCGTCTCCTGTGGAACTTGCTGAATCGTGAGAGGTTGATGCTCATCGTTATTCTGTTCCCACTTGCTGGCCTGCGCTCGCTGCCACTCCTCGTCTCGCAGAACCGCCTCATCTTCGAATGTGATTGGCAGGTAGGTGAAGAGAGGACCAAACGCTCTGTTTAGTACGACCTGGAAGAGTACGGTAAAGATGCCCATGACGATCATGACGATACCCTGAGGAAAACAGGATTGTCTTCCTCGCTCATCTTCTTGTAGGAAGAACAAGCCGACCATGCAGAGTTCGAGAAAATAGAGTCCGGTGAACAGCTGGTTGACAGCTTTGGGGAAGATAAGACCGTTAGTTTCGGCCTTAGCGTAACTAACGTAAATCATTTGGTAGCGGTAGGTAAACCAGAAGAGGCAGAATGTGATCAACATCATGATTAGGATCAACGGTGCGACGACGGAATAGATGAGACCTGCACATTGTTAGATTATGTGAATAACATCTCAACGCTCAAACTTACCAATGGCAGCAAAGTTGGTGTACACCGGGATCATAGTACCCCAGTTGATACCAGGTCTTTGCAACACCCTTGAGACCTTCTCTCGTGGTGTTGTGTCGAGGAAGCGGAGGAAGATGATAACGACGACAGCACCGATCTGTAGCAAGGTACCAGAACTAATACTGAGTGCTTGCAGAATCATGTAGGAGAAGAAGTAGTTCGCAGCCTTTGGTAGGTTTTGCGCCAACGTCTGCGGCACACTAAGCGGATCATTGACCAGGTCGTCGATGGTCGAGGTGATACCTGTCGAGATTGACACCACAAGGAACAATTGAACAAAGACGAAGGCGAAGTAGAAGTTCTGCACAAGCAACTCGCGTTCACCCGATGTAGTCGTACCGGTAAGGCCAGCAAGGAAGCGCAGAAGTAGAGGCAGGACAGCAAAGAGAATGGCCAAGAATGCTGGTGGCAGCACACCTTGTACCAGACTTACTACCCAGTCAGGAAGCTTGTTGATGAAGCCTAGCCATGGCAACGTTTCAGTCAGGGTGTCGACTTGGGACAGAGCTCCTGTGAAACTGACGGGGATACCCCAGAAGATGATAAGTCCGACGATGAGCAGAATGACTCCAAACATGCGCAGGTAACGCTCCCACCACTTCATGGTCAAGTTGTCCCAGAGTACGTAGTTGGGGTTGACCTCCACGGTTCGTGGATTCATTTGTCTTGGAATATGGTGACTTAATGACTGACAGGCCATGTGTGCCGCAACTTGATGGTTAAATTGGATAAAGGCCGAGTTCATCAGTGGAAAGCGTTCTGGGTGAGCTTGGTCGTCCGCAATCTCAGCGTTGAGGCGAGCGAGTTCCCTGCGGCAATGGTAGATTGTGTCCACCTTCTTGCCGATCAGCGGCAGGGACGGCCACCACGACCAACTGAATATTGGTAGGCGCATCGTTTCTCTGTCCTTTGGCTTTATATACTTTCTCCAGAGAGCATCCTCGCCATCTTCTTTCATAGACTCGTCATACAATCCTGACAAATCATACTTGATCTGACTAGAATCTTTGACCTCTAGTGGTAGCTCTTCTCCCGGTTTCTCGAATGGCTTTGGGCTTATGAAGTCACCCTGACCAACGTAGACGGCCTTGAGCTTGTTGAAAGGGTGCTTCCATGCAGGCGTGATAGGTCTCTTCTCCTTAGGTTCCGTCTTGGCTGCGGGCGCTTTCAGATCTGTCTGTGGTGAATTGGGCTCGGTGATGGTGCCGTCGGAGGCATACGTTTCCTTGCTGGCCAAAGGAGTATGGGTGTCAGTACTAGCCCCCCTGTGGTGGAAATCAGCAGAGGTGGGCGATGATACTGGCACCTCTTCAGCACCGTCGAGGATTGTCTGTGCTTGCTCTTGTGGTCGCGCTTGGCCAGCTTGACGGGGCTTTCCGCCAAAAACACCGCGCACTCCGCCGTAGACTTTTTTGTTGAAACGATCTACACCATGACCGACATCACGGAAGCCTTCACCAACAGCGTGCATGCCCTCTCCCAAGAACTGTATGGGCATCATACCGCGCTTACGATCTGGTGAGGTCGATCGCGAGGACGATGAAGACGACGAGGCGGACTCTTCAAGGACCTTTTGGAGTTGTTGCTCGATTTCGTGAGGGTTACCAGCATCCACACCATGGTCGTGAGTCTCCTGGTTGATTGCGTGGTTTTCCATGGCCTCGTCGTGCTTCTTTTCTTTTCTCGACCTCGTCTTTCCTGCTTCCTTCGCTGCCTTCTCCTCCATCTTCTTGTGCTTCTTGGTGCATGTAATGATGAGATTTGTTTCGGCAGATTCGAGGGTCCTCGCGATCTTGGTTCGTTCGTTAACTTTGTCCATTAGATCGTCGTAGTTGCGATTTATCCAAATATCCTTGATACCTCCAGGGAAAACATCGTACAGGGCGTCGAGGGCCGGAGCTGTTAGCCATTTCTCAGGAATGCTTTGCACGAGAATGGTAGTGGCAGATGCTAGGATGCGATGTTCTGGTCGGGTGAGGACGGTCTGCCTGAGGCGCACGAATTGCCTCAGCGCCAAATAGAAATTGAAACACGCCCAGCACACGACGAGTACGGCGACGATACAATGCGCCCACAGGCGGTGTCTCTTGTTCGGGAAGGCTACGTTCGGCCAAGCGAACGAGTCCAAACCAGAAACGCCGGGCTCGTCACCCTTGCGATTTATGGGTAGGAGAATAGGCAGGATAACGATTGTCATAGGTATGAAGATGCGGAGCAGGAGCTGCAGGTATTGTAGGAAGAGGTAGCCATCGACACCGGCGATGCGAATGAGCTCGTTGTCGCTGATTGTGAAGACATTCCTAAAAGACTCGATGGCGGTCGTGGGGGCTGCAATGCGCTTGGCGACGGGGACGAAGGCGGTCTTGTAGTAGCTGTCGCTTGTTAGTGCATGCCTGGCTGGAAGAGGTACCCTAAAGGTATACACTTGTAACATCCTGCAAGCATTGCAACACAAAGTACAGCGAATGCCTTTAGGGTACCTTTTCCCGAATTACATACTAGATCTTGTGGAACAAACTCTGTCGCGTAGCCGCCTTGTCGCCCTGGTCGCCTTCAACAGGCTTCTTGGCTCTTCCCTTGTGCAGCTTCCAGTTGCCACTGAGGATCAGGAAAACACCAATCTGTATGCCGAAGATGATTGCTGCAGTCGACAGTGACGCGGCGAAGTTCTCGATACTTTGATTTTGTTTTCGCGCAGCGGAGCCCGCGCCACTAGTCGCCGTGGGATCTGGGGTCGACATGGCTCAAGGTGGTGCAGGTCGTGTATGTGGTGAAGTCGTGAATCGGAACCCCTGTGTTATTCTCTGGTTGCCATGGAAGAAAGGTAGCGAGAAGCAGCCGCTACGGTGCGCGGTTGCAATGAGAGGGAAATAATATTAGTAGGGTAGTAGGTTTGCAAAAAAGGTAGTGTATGAAGACAACGAAGAGAAGGCGCGAAGTGCATTCATTATTGATTCATGGGTGACTAGGGTAGTTGACGTGTTTCAAGCCTTGCATTCCCTGATGCGCGGGCAGTCGGGGGCTTGGCGGCGTCACTGGCGTCGACTGGTGCGCTATCTCATGTGCTAACCGCCAGCCGTTTGAGCCAAACAACCGCTGGCTTTGTGGTCGGTCTGAAACTACGGGTAGCCGTTTTGTGAGTGGTCGCTTTCTTCTTCCAAGCTGGTACACACCAGAATTGTTGCGCATAGCAGCACAAGAGACCTTTCAACATGAGCTTTATTACTGAGACCCGTCGTTGTGGGTAAGGGGACAAGGAACATTAAGATTGTGGCACCGTGGCACCGACGTGGATCCGATCTGAGCATTCAACCCCGTACTATGACGTTCCTACTACCAGGAAATCGCTCCGTATTGCCGTATTAGCTACACGCACGTGCCCGCCCGCTCCCACCTTTCAGGAAGAGCTACGCCACAGCCAAGCCTCACGACAATTAACAGCCCGAGTCAATTGGCCGAACTTCAAAATCTCAACCGCCATGGCGAATCCTTCTCAACCTTGACTCTCACACCTCATGTCTCTCCGCAGCCCTCTGTCGCTTCTTCTTCAACATTACGACGAGCGTCAAACAAGCAACAACACCGTCAATCTTGCTGCCGTCTACCACCAATGTGCCACCAGTGACAAAACTACCCCACCACTTCTGTGCATACTTGCCCACCTCAACCTTCTTCTGCTGCTCACCACTCCCTGTCACGCGATACAGCGTCATGTTCATGGAGTGCCATAAGCTGTCCATTTGCCAAATGTATGGCTGCGAATTGTGAACAAATGACTCGGTTCGCAGTCCCCAGCGCGTGTTGCTCAAACTGATAGGATGCAATGAATGAGGTGAGTCGTCCGGAAATGTGAGGACTGCTTCGCCCACCGACGACCAAGGATGCGACCAATGTGCAACATGAGCGTTCTGGTCGTCGGTAATTTCGTACTTGAGACCGAGCCAGGTACGACGGTGGCAGGTAAGTACCGGCGCGAAGGAATGATCCTTCAGAGTCTTTTTGATCGCGGCTTTGTATTCAACTGTCAAGCCTGAATATGGCATGTCCATGTCCTTGGTCAAGTCAATGATCGTAATTTTCTTGCTGAGCAAGCCATGAGGAGCGATCCAATACACTGCCGTAGGATTGAAGGAGCGAGAGTCAAGTGGCAGACCGGAAGATCCCACATCATGAGGAGTGCCCAGCCATGGGTCGTCAACTTCAGAAGACGAGTGGGACTCAATATGTGTTCGGGAGGATTTTCGGCGGCGCAGGGTGTTAACGTCTGCATTTGAGATGCTCATATTCTGGAGAGCAACGGAGGTAGACATCTTCTTGGGTAATAGTAAGGACAAGCTTGAAAGCCGAACAATGGAACACTTCTTGAGAACTGGGATACACTGAGAATGACAAGAGCCATGTGGAAAAAGGTGACCTTTTGAATACTCTCATCGTAGGTCCCATACCCTCATTTCGGGTTGCCATTCGCATCAGAGTTCGACTTGTTGTTGCCGAGAAGGCAGACCTGGACTACTTGAGGCTCTACAGCCCTGCTCGAACATACGCTCATTGGACAGAGGTTTTGAAATTCAGCCCCGCAGGACGGTCTCTCGCATTGCTCGCATTGAGGTTTCCATGCCGAGCTGCACAGCCACAACATCCCTAAATTGACAATATGACCCGGGTTATTCAAGGTACAGCGAACGATGTATTCCCGACAAGCGTTGTCAGCTTTCGTTGTTTAAAAGCCAAGAACAGCAGGTTTCTTTGGATGTCGATTGCTGTAGGGAGCACGGTGACACTCTCGGCTGCGCGCTGTCTCAATTAGGTATAGTCTGGATCCAACTCGTCGCGCTAGTCCCCGCGATTCGATGCACATGTTCCCAGCAATACTCGTCACCAAACGCACTCAACAACCTCAACAATGGATCGACGCGTGCCAACCGCAAGGTCGAAACAAGGTACCGTCGTTGAGCAAAAGCAAAGATTTCTCCAGACAAGAAAACATATCCTGTCGCGTGGAATACCGCCGTCAGAACGTCTGCGTACACTTGCGAATGATGGTGGAATTGAGCTCAGTGTTATGAAGGGAGTGTTGGATAAAGGTATACAGCCACTTCACTCATCATGTACTTTTCGGCTTTGTCCTAATGCTCTATAGTTAATCGTGACCTCAAACAGCACTCGCGAAAAGTCTACAGCCGTCAAATGATCGAGCACGTCGTCGAGCAGATAGACATACTATACTGGGAATCTGGCGCGCAACACGTCGACGACGATGAAGAAATAAACCCTCCGTCCGATACCCACGAAGATGATGCGCACACATTATACCAGAACAACGACCTAACACTCGACGAGAACATTGCGAAGCTACCTACGACATGGCCCGACCGCGACACCGAAATCACACAAGACGAATACCTTTCCTCCGTCTCCCGCCTCCAAGAGCTCTCTGCCCGCCGTCAAACGCTCCAAAACAGTCTTGACACATATCGCACGCTACTATCGCTACTAGAACCTTATCGCAACCCCAAGGAGAATATACAACCGAATCTGGTGTGGAAAGATGCGCCGCTTGCGCCGGAGCTGGCAAAGACACGCACATTGGCGATACGCGTTGCCGCACGTGTGGAAGAGAAGTTTGGGAATGTCCAGGTACCTTCTACCGCGGAGGATGACGAGGATGTGGACATGGAGGCACTGGAGAACGAAGGAAGGCGGAAGGTGGATAAGGTGTTGGAGAGCTGGTATTATTGAACACCTTGGCTGAGTTCGGTCCACGAATTGTGTTTTGGCGTTCGGATATGATACCCCAGGTTTTGGAGCATTTACAATGAATACAGTTACACTGGATAGAGATACTACGGAATCACTATAGTCATCAAGATTCCTCGATCCATTACTAGCTACCCGTTAAAGCAAGTCCTCTCAGCACCACTAAACACTCGCACCACCCATCCTCCCCACCAAACTCTCAACCTCCATCTCAAACTTCTTCCCCCCAACCTCAACACCAAGCCTAACCCTAACCTTGTACGCCCGTGTAATTGCAAAGCTTCGAAAACTAGGCACCGTTTCACTCGGAATCCTCGCTATAAACCATTGTTCACAGCTACTCTTCGCTTGTTCCTCCGCAATCCCGCCGTGTTTCTCTCCTGACCCAGCTCCAGCCACAATAGTGTAGCCAGGTAGTCCAGTAGTAAGTTCTAATGTCACAGCTTCGGGTAAAGCATTGAGAGGCGTTTTTCTCTCTGTAAACTCTTCATGCTCATGCATGCCCTTGACGTAGAGCTGGTCCGGTGGCGGCCAACTTTCATATTTGTTACTCAAGTGTCCACCTTCTTCCGTGCTACTCGCGTCTCTGTCACTGGCCGCGCGGTAGAAGGTGAAGTCTAGTAAGGATAACTTCAGGACGGTTAGCGTCACGGATGGTGGTATGTGTAGCGCGTTCGAGGTTTTCGATAGTGTCACAACAGAAGCACGGAAGCGGAATTCGGCGCCGCTGGTGAAGTACTCTGGGATTTCTACCGCAACTTCGAAGTCGAGTTTAGGTGTTGAAGACGAGAAGCGATCGCGGATGCTTTGCCGGATGCCAATTTGGCTTGCGGGTTTTCCGGATAGTATGGAGGATTGAAGGGTGAATGACTTTGGGTAGCGGTTTAGTGCGGTGTGTGGGCCAAAGGGTAGTATAGGGCTTGTAGGTTGGAAGGAAATGATTGATGCAGTTGTCAGATCTACTAGAGTTTTGCCTTGGACGACACCAATGCCAGGGCATATCAGTCTGGCTCGTATACCGTATTCGATTTCGCAAAGTCTGCATCTATGCCGACGTCCTTTGTCTTGCCACGGTTGGTCAGGAGGAAGGTGGGAGGTAGGTCATGTGGTCCAATGTCGTATTTCTTATCGGAATCGTTCTTGTACTGGCCATATCGTGTGTTGCCAGTCTCACTAGGGAACGTGAATTTGAAGGGAAACGTATACGTTTGACCGGCCTCGAATCGCGAATTCACTTGCTGCTTTCCCTTCTTCCCGTCGTTAGACATAGCGGTTACTGCGTGTAGAATATCCTGTGTTTCCTTGAATAGCGGTGCGTTGTCTCGCCAATGACTGTAACTGGTGCTACCACTTGAACCGTCATTATTCCTTGAGGTGCTACTCGTACGATACCATATTAGTGATTGTCCGAACAGGGAGACTTCAAGGGCTTCGGGCTCAATAAATGCGACAGGCTTCAATACAATCTGCCCACTGACAACGTCGTCTGGTCTGTAGACTTTGTCTGCTGCATCATGGATATGTACTGCTAGGTCAGGAAGTGGCGGTTGAGGAATCTTTTTGGAGTTGAAAAGGCCCATAACGGTGGAGGAGTCGTGATGTTGCAACGAAGAAGAGTAGGCTAGGCGTCTTTAGATTGAACTGATGTCTGGTTCTTGGGGCTATGGTGTTCTAGATGGTGCTCTACATCGACTTTGCGGGGACTCAGAAGAATGCGAATACCTTCGGGCGATGGTTTGGCTGTGCCATCGAACCGTTCCTCCTTGATGATATAGATGGCGTGCCTACCGACCAACACAGCCACATCTTACTGTCAGGCCGGCCAACCCCATGGCAATAAGTCTGACACGTCCGCAGTCAACGCCAATGGTTGCTTGTTAACAAGATACCTAAGTATAGCTTGGCTTGACCTCAAGTGTGAGTACAACGCGTCGTTGAGTCGTCACATTCAAAATCGCTACACTGCGGGCACGCGATGTATGTGTTCTAGGAATCGCTACACTGCGGCAGCCAATCAAACCATGCCTATGTAGGTGACAACGCCTAGGAACATTACCAGTGCGAGAACCTGGAAAGAAAACCAACAACTTTGTACTCTGCAGTCGCCACAAAAGCCGCGAAGTACCTAGGTAGAGATTTTGAGGCTTTTCGGGCAATATCATAGTTAAGAGTTGCTGGCTTTACCCTTCTCTTCCACAGTCTTTGCCATCTCAGCTCCGACGTCTGATCCCATAGCCTTGAAACCATCTATAACACCTTGCTGATCACCGGCAGACATCTCTTGGCTCATTTTGTACTTCCCACCAAGATCTGTTATCTCAATCTGAATTCCGATGATCGCTTTCTTTAATATCTCGACGTACGAAGTAGGCGCGTCCTCCACCTGCCACGGCTTCTCGTAACCCATAATGTCTCTTTCAGACTGGAAGGATAGGTCTCTAATCTGTTTATCGAGGAATTTGCTCGTCATAGCGGCCTTGGTATCGTAAAACACGGAGGCGCGGCCGTATACCTGCACTGCCGAGTAGTTCCATGTAGGAACCACCTTCCCACTCACTGGTTTGGTCTCTTTGTAGAACTTAGGTGTGACATAGTGGTGCGCAGGACCATTGAAGAGAATCATAACATCGCGTGAGATAGTCTGAACTGTGTCGGTACTCTCATCCTTGGTTTCGGACTGGAGGTGTTCGATCAAAGCCTTAGCTTGAGGATTGGCTCGAGCGAGATGGCCACGGAGAACACCAAGATGGACCTCGTCGGTTGCGTTCTCGGTATCCAAGACGAATGGAATATGACTCGATTGGAGGAAAGGAAAAGACTTGGAATCAATGGCTGTTGTGAAGATGCCCAGTGGGTTGGCGCGGATGAATTGCTGCAGTCTAGCAATGTCTTTCTCAGCATGGACGGCGCGAAGGTACATCGTGGGCAGGATGGAGGTTGCTGGAATCAGATCAGAAGGTGTTTACTGGATGTTTAAGGCCAACATAAAAGCATTGATACATCAAGTGCTCTCTCTACATGTTGACATGATTGCTATGTTGTAGGGCGCGACGGAGGAATATCAGTCATGGCGTGTACAGCGTGTATCCAAAGTACCCAATCAAAGATTTCGTGATGATAAGGGGTCATGAGAGCTAGAGCGTGGAGACCTCGGGACCAGCAAATGAAGACGCCTCGAGCGTGTCTATCCGCCCCTGGCCGATCTGGTTCCACACTACTTGCTCGGGAATACTGAAATATTTACTAGCGGAGGCTGTGTTGTACGAAGTACGCTTGAAGCTCGAACAAGGGTCTAGTTCTGACGAGCTCCGATCTGGAAATGCGACTCGCTCTGCGTCAAGTGCCTGGAACTTTCGCATGACCAATCGCACAGCTAGGCCGGCTCAACTAGTGGAGCTACTGGACGGTAAATTCATGCATATCGGGAACGATTTCTACTCTGAGAATTGATGGCACGTTCCGATTAGCCAAATTTTTGAGCAGAGCGCACATGTTGTGTGATGAATGCCAAGGACGTAGATCCGCTCTGCAAAATGTTGCAAGTAATTGTACTGTGTATCTTTGCAGTTGTCTTCTTGGTCTGGCGAAGTAAGCATATGAGATTGATGTCAGTGATAGAGATAAAATGATAGCAATTTTATGAACGGCGTTAAACATGGTTATTGCTGAGATATAGGATGATGCGATGCAATCCTGAGTAGGACAAACTGCCACCCTCGGATCGTCGGGCCCTGAGCTGGGCTAGAACATGCCACCTAAGTTTAAAGTGTAATATTGTAAAACTGATGGCTTTATTAGTCCGCTTGTTCAGGGAAAGCTGTTTCCATCGTGTATTGTGTCAATGAGCGTTATACCGAGCGATGTGTTCGGGGAGGGGCTCGCATATCTAGTGGGGTAGATTCCGATTGCGGTCGGTACAAGTGATCAACCCCCACCCACATACGGTATACCATCGTCATCATCCTTTGACCCGGCGCAAGCACCAAAGACAGGACCTGATCCTTCAACTCGCTACTACTCACTAACCTACACATACCCTGGATTAGACTTTTGTCGTTGATTGCCTCAGCCAGCTTGCGCACGACAACAATGTCTTCTAATTGGGAGCAACTTGCCGCAGACAAACGAGCTCGCATTGCCAGCACGATACCTTCAGAATGGTTAATTCGAGACCTTCCAAGCGATGGCAATGTATTCGGATTTCCAAAGGCATCGGGACTACTTTCTGCGCGAGAGATTGAGCTGACCGAATCCTCGGCGACTGAACTCGTTGCACAAATGGCCGAGGGGAAGCTGAAGTCGGTCGATGTTACACTTGCCTTCTGCAAAAGAGCTGCTCTAGCACAGCAATTGGTGAGATTGATGATGTGCTAGTCGCTGATCTACCGATTAACAAGTGACTGCAGACGAACTGTGTACACGAGTTCTTCCCCGAGGAGGCACTCTCGCAAGCTCGAGGTCTAGACGACTATTACGCCGAGCACAAAACGACCGTTGGACCTCTACATGGTCTTCCCATCTCTTTGAAAGACCAACTACGAGTCAAGGTATGCTATAATTCTCCTATTTTCGACTTATTCAACTCTTCGCAAGCACACCACGAGCTACAGCCCTGACAAGGCTGTATTAGGGCAAAGAAACATCCATGGGCTACGTTTCATGGCTGGGAAAGTATGACGACAAAGACTCTGTTCTTACAGAACTTCTTCGCAAGGCCGGTGCTGTCTTTTACGTTAAAACAAGTGTTCCTCAGACTTTGATGGTCTGCGAAACTGTCAACAACATCATCGGAAGGACCACGAATCCGCGCAATAAGAACTGGTCATGTGGTGGAAGTTCGGGTGGAGAGGGGGCTATGATAGGCCTTCGTGGAGGAATCATCGGTGTTGGAACCGATATTGGCGGCTCTATCAGAATTCCATCCGCCTTCAACTTTTTATACGGCATTCGTCCCAGTCATGGTCGGATGCCCTACGCCGATATGGCAAACAGCATGGAAGGACAGGAGACTATCCACAGTGTCGTTGGACCTATCGCTCACTCTGCATCTGGTAAGTGAACGAACCGCACGTCTCTGTTCTTCCACTAAGAGGCTGATCGTTAAGACTTGAGGCTCTTCCTCAAGTCAGTACTCCACGAAGAGCCCTGGAATTACGATTCTAAAGTTATCCCGTTGCCTTGGAGATACAATTTAGAAGACGCTCTCAAAACAAAGCTGAACTCGACTGGTCTTACCATCGGATACTATACATGCGACGGCAACGTGAGTCTCTGCTCGAAGCGCAGTCAGATTAGTTTCGCTAAAAGCGCAGGTTCTCCCACACCCTCCAATTCTACGTGGAATTGAACGCGTGATGGACGTCTTGGAACGAAACCAGCACAAGGTTCTACCCTGGACTCCATACAAGCATGAATTTGCTGTTGATCTTGCTAACAAGATATATGCCGCGGACGGCTCCACGGTAAGGAATTTCCCATCTTTTGATCCTACGTAGCTCTGTGTAGGAATCCCAAACCAGCTGACAGTTATAAAGGATGTGATGAAGAGCATTAACGCCTCTGGAGAACCAGCGATCCCAAACATCAAAAATCTCCTCAGCCCAGATATGCCAAAGGCTGACTTGAATGACGTATGGGATATCCATCTGCAAAAATGGGATTACCAGATGCAGTATCTATCCAGATGGCGAGAGGTCGAGGCCGAGCTTGGTTGTGAGCTTGACTGCATAATTGCTCCTATCAGTCCAACGGCTGCTATCCGACACAACCAGTTCAAGTATTATGGATATGCGTCTGCCATCAATCTACTTGACTTCACAAGCGTCGTCGTCCCGGTCACCTTTGCTGACAGCAAAATTGATGGTAAGCGTGCAGACTACACGCCCTTGAACGATATGGACGCAGCCGTCCAAGCAGAATACGACCCCCAAGCATATCACGGTGCTCCGGTTGCTATCCAAGTCATCGGAAAACGACTCAGCGAGGAGAAGACATTGGCGATTGCTGAGGAAATAGGAAGATTACTGGGAAATTCCGTAACACCTTGAACCATGGTCGGAGATGAGTTTTGATGTTCCATAACTAGTCAGTCAGTATCAAATGAGAGCATAATAAGCACTTGCCTTCTCGTCACTGCAGGCAAAACTGGGAGAAGGCAAAGACGAAGGTGCGCATAAGTGGAGCGCCTGGTCTTTAAGACATATGGCACGTTCGTTAACACCGGAAATAACTCGCAAGTATGCACGAACGATGCGAACAGTACTATAAAGTAGGGAGAGTTATGGGTCTGTTTAGCATCGCTGAATGTTGGTTCCACACCTAGGTGGGTGGCGTGAAGCGGACCCGGAAATTCCGCCCCTAGCATGCGCAGGGATCTACTCTACCTAATAGGAGCTTGTCACAGGCTTAACCCGTCCCATCTCCCATCACACCAGCAATGTTTCTCCTAATAATTGTCCTGCTGATCGTCGCACCTGCACTGACTTATTATGTCTCCACAACGCTGTTCTACCAAAACGCCAAGAGCACCACGTTGGGGAAAAGACCGCCAACGATCCCATATCTAGTCCCGGGAGCTTTCCATGCTTTCAGTTTAGCCTACGACGGACCGCAGAAGTACTTCGGGAGGTTACTGTACGCTCCTCGATATAACCACTACTTTGTGAGTGCTAACAGCTGTCAGCAAGGACTATGGCAGCTTCGCACCGTTCGCCGTCAAGGCGGGTTTGCAGCCATTCATTGTTCTTCGAGACCCTGAACAGATGAAGAAAGCTATCCAGGCATATGAGCAACGGAATCCAGTCACCACCGGAAAGAACATGCACGAGATCATCTTGGGTTCCCCTCAAGCTGTTGCAAACCTGTATGCCAACGCGGCCATTGACAAAGGTGCCATCCAGCGTGCGCGCATAGCATCAACACGAAAGCACCTAGAAGGCGACTCGTTGACAACTGTGATCGACCTCTATGCTGCAACCCTTTCGCGCAATTTGAATGACAAGATGTTTCAGGTCGGCAGCTGGACCCAGATAGAAGATGTTTGGTCGTTTTTCCAGCAAGTTCTCACAAGGTGTTCGATGGAGACCCTCTTCGGTTCGGCAATCTTTAAGCAGTATCCTGCGCTCATCAAGGATTACTGGAAGTTTGAAGATACTATTGAGGGCTTCGTACCGGGAATGCCATGGTTTACGAATTCCACGGCATATAAGGAGCCGCGCGATCGGCTATACAAAGGCGTTGAGAAGTGGTTGAAAGCTAATCACAGCGGTACCGAATTTGCAAAGATTGGTGGTGACGACGCAGATTGGGATGAACACAAGGGTTTGAAATTCATTCAAGAACGGGATGACTTACTTGCGAAAGCCCCGTTACCTCTCGAAGCTAGGGCAGCGGAGATGTTGGACATTATGCACTGGTACGCATCATCTGGAAAAGCGTTATCCGCATAGTATCAAAAAGTTCTGACATGCTTACAGCTCAAACGTGGACATGGTCCCTTCCGCCGTGTGGACAATAATAGAAATCTTACGCAAACCATATTTGGTGGAACGCATCACTGCCATCGTCTCTGAGCGGCGATCATCAGAAGCGACCGCGTATGATGTCAATGGTGTTGCAGCCTCACCCCTCGTTCAATCTCTACAAGCGGAAGTCAGCCGCCTCCGCGTCGCACAGTACATGACATGTGCCAACGAGTTTGCCGAAGTTTCCGTCAGCAGCCAGTGGAAACTACCCAAAGCATGCAACACAATTTCTTTCTCGCATGATATCGCGTTGGACACCAAAGCGTGGGCGAACGCGCGGCCACGTACTGTTGAGAGACCATTGGGTGAGTTCTGGCCTGAACGCTTCTTGATCCCTGACGACAATGGTCCCAAAGCGCGAGGCCAACGGAAGAGTGGAAATGGCGTCGAGAGTGGGAGGTTTGATGCGCAGAATCTCGAGCTGCTGGCTCCAGTCTTTTACGACCGGCAGAGTTTTGGACTTGCTAGCGACTATACCAAGACTATGCAAGCAGCAACACTAGCTGTCCTAATGAGCGAGTTTGAAATACAATTATGCGATCCAGAGGCGACCGATGCCGCGATGCCTGCGTTGCAAGAGTCGGCTTTTGGGCAGCTACGACCGCGGGAGAGAATAGCCGTGCGCATACGCAAACGCAGAGTTGGGAAGGGACAATGAATCACCCCACCTTTGTAGCAAGTGACACGACTTGCCAGCAAGGTTTTCCGTGTAGACAATGCAAGCGATTAACTAAACTTACTTCACGTTCATCACTCCAGTCATTCAGAATCTTTTGCATACACATAGCCACCTTTGATCCGTTACTGCAACAACGACGACTAATAAACCATATCGGAAATGGAGGTGGATAAGCTCACTATAACTGTGGGCTTTGCCGCCGTCATCTCGACTTACTGGCTCAGCAAGACGATTTACAACCTCTTCTTCCATCCTTTGGCTGGCTTCCCTGGTCCGCGCTGGGCAGCTGGATCGTACCTTCCTGAATTCTATTACGACATCCTACAAGGCGGGCGATATTACAAGAAGGTCATCCAGATGCACAAGAAGTATGGTGAGTATGCGCGATTACGCGGAATCCGCTGTACAAGCATGTGCTCATGACAGGCAGGCCCACTTGTACGAGTCAATCCCGATGAGCTCTCATTCAACGACCCCCTCTTCTACGACAAGGTCTACTCAGGTGGCGGACAGAAGCGCAACAAAAACCCAGGTCTCACAACTACGGCGCCCACATCAGTAATCTCGACAAACGACCATGATCTACACCGGCAACGTCGAGGTTATATTACCAACCTGTTCTCAAAGAGATCTATCTTGGACCTGGAATCGGCCATTCAGTCCAAAGTCGATAAGTTAGTCATGCATATGAAGGAAGCCTATCGTACTGGAGAGACGCTCATTGGACCTCTCATGTTTGGCAGCCTAGCGGTGGACGTCATCTCACACTATGCGTACGGTGAGAGTTTTGGAGATCTCGACAAGCCTGGGTTCCCTTGCGAACTCGAGCGAGACGTCAAAGGCGTAGTATTGACTGCGCATGTGCGCCGATTCTTTCCCGCTATTGACGCGCTCATGATACGTCTTCCAACCTGGCTAATCGCCCGTATAAGCCCTTCCATCGTTAGCTATCTGGATTTCGAGAACCGGATCACGAAATACTCCAAAGAAGCCCTCAAGAAAAGCCAAGAAGGAAGATATTCAACCAAACCTAGGACACTGTTCGACGCACTAATCGGCCCCAAGGTTCCTGTGCCCGAGAAGACGCTCCAACGATTGAAAGATGAAGGTACGCTCATCTTGTTCGCCGGTGTAGATACCACGGCCCGATTCTTGACATGTACCATGTGCTACTTGATCATGTATCCTAATATACTGGCGAAACTGCGTGCAGAGCTACGATCCTATCCCACCTCGACCTGCACTCAGCTTGAAGCTCTGCCATATCTGGTAAGCCATTTGCTGCATCTGTCCATATACCCTAACATGAACTAGACTGCGGTCATCAATGAGTCACTCCGATATGAATGTTCCTTTACAAGTCGCTTTCCACGCTTACTCGTCGAGCCGCTTGCTTACAAGGATAGGCTCATACCTTCGGGTGTAAGTACAGAAGCTGCTTGAGTGCTTGAGCTATCTAACAGTACCCCAGACTACCATCGGTGCAATGCCATATCTACTGAACAGCCACCCCGAAGTATTCCCTGATCCTCACGTCTTCAGACCCGAGCGATGGATCGAAGCCAAAACCCGCGGAGAACATCTCGAGAAGTATCTCGTCACCTTCACGAAGGGTAGTAGAGCGTGTCTTGGTATCAAGTAGGTCATTCACGTCCTGTGTACAATGGAACAATACTAACATGATCTAGCCTTGCATACGCCGAATTGTACCTCACAGTCGCAGCAATGGTTCAGAACTTCGACCTGAAGCTCGTAGACTCCTCTATCGAGAACATCACTCCAGACCGAGACTTTGGTCTGGCTTTCGATAAGGACTACAACTTCGGTGTCAACTTCAGAGTTACCAAGGTACTGCGAGAGTGAAGAACGCATGATCTCGGTTTGTAGTGGCTGGCATTTGCACTGTTCTGGGGCATGTGCCGGATCTCTACACACGAAGTGGGTACTACGAGATTGTGCTGTGTTGGAATGGATAGGTTTAAGGTATCTCGTGATGGAACACTAAATATGACTTGTCATGATAACCATCTCTGCAACCCTTTGATCGTTGTGGAAAGTGACAGCTGATTCAGTCAAATTTTTAATCTCAGACCCAGTCCATCATCCCTCACTATCAGCCAGCCCAGTCTCCGCCACATTCGAGCGCGCAATCATCTTTACACCATGCATCCTGTTTAATAACATCGCGCCTGCATATCTAATTGCATCCAGTAACGTCGTTGCGGCATCGCTACATTCATATCAGCCTCTTTACCTCTTTGCTCCGTTCCGTATCTCAATAGCTGGCTTGATTTGCACTTCTCCAAGTGCTAAGCTAAATACCAACAGACTCACCCTAGTATACTTGCATCGGACGCACTTATTCGCCTCTATCCTCCGATTGTCGCGCTGGTCGTGCGAATCGCGTCTGGCAATAGACAAGACGGGTGGTTTGTGGTATAAGAGAGAGAAAAGTGGAGGGTTGGGAATAGGTTGGTCGAGGGGAGGTGTTGCTGCGAGTGTGTGCGTGGCGAGGAATGCGAATATGACGAGGAGAAGAGTCGGCAAGGCTGCGCATAAAGACCCGCGAGTCATGATGGAGACGATAGTACTTGGTGACCAAGGTCAAACAGTAAAGATGAAGGGAGACGGTTGTTTTCCAGAACGTGGTATGACTTATAGGCAAGGATATGGAGGAGACAAATAAACGACCCGTCAACCTGAGTCCAATATTTTATCATCACTATCACATCATCCCCCCGTCTCTCCAAGAATGCGTAGCGTCCGCTACTAACAAACTGTATCAACCAAACATTGTGAAGAACTGTGCTTGTCACATACCTAGCCCATCCCGTTGAAAACTAAACCAATGTACGCGTGTTACCTCCCCGTACCACAGCAAACACTCAAACCAACCCATCACACCTTCCTATCCTTATCAAGCCTACCCGTACTACCCGCACACAGCGCCATCACTCACATCGCCCTGGTGATTTCTATCATCCGTAAGGGAGACTTTGACATCGTTGATGGCATTGGTGACGCGGTGATTGTGACTAGCTCATCGTCTATGGGCTGTCTCCAGGGCAATTATATCCACAAGCGGTCTCGCACAAGATGTTACTCCTAGCGGTCCGGCAGGCACACTTATTGTTGCAGGCTCTCCCCTTGATTCCCTTGGCGCAGGACTATTTGTTGTTTCGGATTAGTCCATTGTACGATTGATTATGGGGCTTGGATATGGTCTTTTGAGTGGAGGAAGGGGGGGAAAGGAAGGCGTTGATTCAAAAAGGAAGAAGAAGAAAGGGGAAAGATACATTTATCATTGTGCATGAAAGAATCATTACTCGACACGTGTTGCAGACCCTAGTGGGGTTGTCGGTGATGATACCTTGTCTGCGCTCGAGGGGAGTGGCGGGGGTAGCACTAGTTAGAGCGATGAGGGTGGTAAGGAGGATTGCTGTGAATTTCATGGTGTTGATTGTTTTGCTTTTACGGATAGTTGGTAGGAGGGCGTGGCTCGTTTGTGGTGTTGGTTGGCTGTGCTGGACGAAGTATAGACATAGGGACGGTGTTTCCAGTACTTATAAACGTAGAGTAAGAGGGAGGGTTACGTCTGGGTTTCCTGTACTGGTTAATAGTGGGTTCTTTCATGTTCAATATGCGGCCGTGTGGTGTGGTGTTTCTTTATCGTCCCTTGCATGCTGTCCAATGTGTGTGCGGCGAGGCAAATATAGAGCCAACACGACGATGGAAGTTGCGCATACGAGTAAACATCCAATCTAGAATGGCGATGGTGCGCCCTGCTGTTAGCCAATTCGTCACACAAATAAGGCTTCGTGGTGAGATCGCGGGACTTGACGATAGTTCCTTTGCATAATGTTATATCACCGACCGGATAGGCCCGTAGATCCTAGGTAATGTAGCATGCCTTCGTCGCTACTCCGATCCTCCAATATTGCTTCTTTGTATGCACCTACATGCGCTTAAGCACCCCGTCCACCTCTCTCGTCCTGCATGCCAATGGCTGGGTCTGGTGCCTCGGGGAACTCCTTCTTCGCCGTCTCCTTTCCGCCAGCCGAGTCCTTGCCTTCAGTCGCATGGCCACCGGTGCCCTCCTTCTGTGAACTGCCGGAAAGTATTAGCTGTATGCTGCGAGAAGCCACCCTTGTTTCCTTCACACCCCCTGCACAGGCAGTGTGTATAACGCTGGAAATGACTTACTCTAAGGCGTCCTTTGCATTGCTCTCATGAATGTTGTGTGTATCGCCTTGTTGGACCTTATCTTGTACCGCGTGGGGGCTGTCGCTGTCGTATTTGTCCGTCTTGGTCTTTGAGTTGGTGCTCAGGTCGTTTGGGTATTGCTTGACCCTTGTTGAGGCAGAGAGGGAGAAAGGACGTGCGGATGGGGCGCTGAAGCGAAGGGTTCGTGTCGACCGGATCATAGTGTTGCGGAACATGGTCGTTCAATTGGTGGAGCTTCGGGCTATGGATTAGGTAGGTGAAGACAGCTGGAGTTGAAATCGTGTATGTATCAATTGAACGTTTGATGTTAAGGTGGATGAGTGCAAGGAAGTAAAACTTCGGCAGAGACCGAGGTATGCAACAGCGAATGACGCATGACGCGTTTGTATATTTCAGCTAACAAATGATGATGTATGACGCTCTCGAATTGTACCTGGCCTGGGTCGCGGGTCATAGCTTCCCTTGTGGCGCCTTACCGCATGGAGATGTCATGCTACCCCTCCCCCACATTCTGCGATTTGAGCCTCATCGCGAAGATCAGGCTAGTATTCGAGCGCAAGATACAACATCGTCCATATTGAGCAAGGGTCGGTCATCTATTCACATACATAGGGAGTTTCACAACTTTATACCTATCTCCAGCATTATACACCTTGCAGAAGAATTCAGCACTACGAGCGCGCATCGACAACATGGCGGACCAAAAGGACTGGAAGCCAGAAGACTTTCCCTGTACACTGTACTTATACCCCGACTCCGATTCTCATCAGCCTTACTAACACATACCCAGCACCCTCAATATACCCTTCCCCTCCGCCCACCTAGCCACCACCGCCCAGCGCGCTCTCTCCGTCGACGCCGAACTCTCACCCCTCGTCCGCCGTGCCTTCTCCCTCACCACGCCGTCAGAATCTTCAGAACAGAGCGTCCTCCAAGTAGACTATGCAGCAACCACGAACCGCATGCTACGTGTCGCGGTAAACGGATTCATCGAGAGCATAGGCGTGGTAATAGGAGCCATGAAAGAATTGGATACGGATATTGTATACGAGCCCACCAAGGAAGGACTAGAAGGGGTGCAGGGGTTGGATGCGGCGAAAGTAGGTTGAAGAAGGGACCCGCGAAACAACAATCAATGATTAAGTCTACGATAGAGGACGCCGAGCTTGCAGACGAACGGGAAAGAGAAGGAAGTCAAGCGTAGAAGGGTCTATTAGGATGACAAGACAAACAAGCCTACTGTCTGCGGGAGACCGTAAGGCGCATCAGGATGTAAGCAAGCCGCAGATGGGTGAAAGCCGGTTCTGCGGTGTTCGGAGGATAGTCTCTGGGGAAGGTATATGCTGAGGAAGCCACCATGTATACCAAGTCAGAATGCGCCTCGAGGTGCCATGATACAGGCCGAACATAAATCTCATTTCAAGACAGCCAAACGCCTAACGCTATGCTGCAATGAGCGTGTCCATACTATATTGCCATACCATGAACCCTTGCTTCTGGTCCATACATTACATTTTCCAGCTTGGACAGCCTCTACTATTGCTTCTTCGCTGGAAATTCTTCGTCATCACCCTCCTCCTCATCGCCATCGTTCTCAAACTTCCTCTTGGGTGCTGGATTTCCTTCAAGAACCGCCATCTTCGCTTCTGGAACCATCGACGGCGCGGTCGGAACCTGCTCTGGCGGTTTCTCCGTAGGCATAGGCGGATACACACCGTCCTCTCTAATCTGCCATCCATCAATCTTCAGAAGCCTCCACCTCTCCTTGATCTTGCATCTAACCAGCTCGCCTGTAGTTCGCGCATCTTCGTAGCTGTCGTGGCCAGCGGCACCTCCTTGCTGGATTTGCTCACCAAGATAATCTGAAGCTAGCTTGCGTAGACCAAAACGAAAGGGTAGGCCACTGGGGTTCGGGTAGAGGAGCACCGTGTCGATGATGGTTGGGTGGATGAGACGGATAGTGTTGAGGTCGTTTTCGAGAGCATGGCCAAGAACCGGGGTGGTGGGAGAGACGTGAGAAAGAAATAGGTCTCTTGCTGCATGGGGTGAGTCAACAATGCGAAGATCTTTGCGAACAGGCTTTGGGTTTGCCGGATCGTACGGTTTCGCGTTTAGGAACTGATCTGCGGTTATGCCAGAGAAACGGGTGTTGAAGTCCAGCACGTGTCCAAGGGGCCGCACCAGCACGTCAACAAGAGGCTTGTGTTGTGGCCACGTTATGACTGTGAGACGAAGCATCTCAAGGCCGTTAGTGGTATAGCCCATTTCGCAGTCGAAGCACACAGCGGTATCCTTCGGGACTTTGTCGTTCTCCGGTGTTTCGATAAATGGCATTATGAGCGACAGACGGTTTGGATCCTTGACGTTGTACACATGCGTTTTGTGTGTAGTGCAGCCCTCCGATCCTACCTCTCCATTGCAACAACTGAACTTTGTAGGTTCTGCTGCGACGCCTCTTGATTTCCTAGCAAAGATTCGCCTGCCCCAATGATGTTTGCACTGTCCTCCTGTGGTAAGTACTCCATCTTCTTCCCGCCGCTCTGGAAAGACTTGGAAACGAGTATTGCAGCGGTCACATTGTTCCCAGCCGCCAGCTGCTTCAAGCGCCAACCTCGTCTCGTTGAGGTCGGCGTCAGTAGGTAACTTAGTGACATAGCCATGCTTATCCAATCCATCCTGAGGGCACACAAGTCTAGGGAGGAACGTGACTTCTTCTTTCGGTGTAAGGCCGGTATCGACCTTCTTGGGTGGTGCTTTCTTTGGTAGCTCTCCACTCTCCTTGGCTATAGCTTCGCGTCGTTCCTTAACCCATTCTTCCGCTGGCATGGTCTTCAGCTTGACCAGCCGTTGTTTAAGTATGTTCTCATACACTGAGCCATTTGATGTAGCGATTCTTTCCTACTAAGCTGTTAGCACGAAGAGCACTTTGTTGCATACATTAGCTTAGGCAGGAGAATTCAGCAACATCGTCGAACACTCTGCTGCATATATAGGCAGTTCTGAGACAATGTTCAACACTCTCCTGCCTGCTCAGGTTGCAAAGAGAAAACGTACTATTACAAAGTCAGCTACATGTCTCAACAGTTTGTAGTGGGAGCTTAACCCTCTTCATCAACCGCCAGTTTGTTGAGTTGATTTGGCGATAGGTGCAGTGCTTTGACCTCAGGTTTGACTGCTTTGAGAAGCTTGTCGTTTTGCGGCTTCATGTAGGCGTGCAGCGCTTTGAGCAAAGTAACCCTCTTGGTGAAGGTCGCCGGTTCCTTGTTAAGTTTTCGTGGCATCAACGCAACAGGAACATCTGGCTTGGCGACAACCTTGGGTGCAGCGGCAGCCAGCGGTGGCGATACTGGTCGCGTGGCAGATACTGGAAGGGGAGCGGGTGCTTTAGGTGGTGCGGTATTTGTAGCTTTGGGCACAATTTTCGTCGTCGGTGCCTTGGTCTTGAGTGTGTCTGAGTTGGCAACGACGTCGACATTGGTCTGAGCTTGTGCTGGAGCGACCTGCACAGTGGGTGCCTTGGTGCTGTCGTCGAGCTTCAGCCTCTTCGCGATCGGCTCTGAATCATGTGTTGCTGCAACTGGCACTGGAGACCGCCGCGCTGTAGATGGCTGTGGTGTGTTGTGACTAAAGATGCAATGAGGTAACTCGCATTTCTCACCACAAGGACATGCTATATTGGCAAAGCTCCTGGAAGCTGGTACAGAAGGCCACATGTTTGTTTCGGTTGTGGCGTGTTCTTCCCTGTAAGTAGATATAATGACAAGCTTGATACGCTCGTAACCTACCAGGTTAGAACAGTTGAGCAGCTATGGGCCGATGAACACGATTGTATCGGGCCTGATACTGTATTCGGCACGTGCGACGCAATTGACTGCACGGTTTTGCAATGGTATGAGCGAATGACGGCTAAGCAATCATCATCTCAGTGGCAGAAAATAAGATTGACGTAGATGCAAAGGTGGCCGGCGATATGGCCTGCGCGTCAATGTTCGCCTTGAAGCTTCATCAAGAGCAGTATGGCAAGAATGGGCTGTGATCAAGGTTACCAGCAAGCTCCAGTACGAGCTCCAGCTTTCCCAAAGAAGCTAGAGTGGGCCAGATGGTGAAGGTGAGTGATGAGGTGAGATGCGCGTCTCAGCCCTGTAGATTCTTTAGCGCAAAATGCAGGGTCCACAGGCCACGGTCCACGGACGCGGGCGAACTCGCGCGACGGTGGCGATCTTATCGTTAATTCCGTCATGACGCGGTGATACGACTTGTACGCACTTGTCGAGGATAGCTTTCTTTCATTAGTCTTTCACCAGTCAGACGCCGGTAATCTATGCGCAAGCGTGTCTGAAGTAAATCTACACATCTATACACCAATCCCATACGATCGTGCTACTCTATCGCGACACAAGTGGTGTCCTTGTTGCAGGGGACTTGCTTTTGAGGCTGCGCGCGTCTCGGTCAGACCTGCGCCTCTCACGGACGACTTCTGGACGCCGGGGCGATATACATATACTGCGCCTTTCATCCTAAGCCTCGGGCCAGCCAAACTTCAAATCTCTCGCCATGTCTACCTCTATCGAAACCTCTGACAAAGCTGACCACCTTTGTGTCCTCGTCCATGGGTACGTTTCTGTCGAACGCCTTATCGCCTCCTAGCACGTCAAGAAGAAGCACTTCCGCTGACCACAACCAGCCTATGGGGAAACCCTGAGCATCTGAAATATGTCAGTACTACTTTGGGTGAAAGATTCCCAGAGGACAAACTGCACATCCTCGTAGCCAAGCGCAATGCGGGTAGCTTCACGTACGATGGTGTCGATACTGGTGGCGAACGTGTCGCAGAAGAGGTAGAAGGAAAGTTGGAGGAGTTGGCCAAGGCTGGACACGACATAACCAAGATCAGTGTGGTTGGCTACTCTCTGGGGGGCTTAATAGCACGCTATGCCATCGGCCTGCTTTTCCACAGAGGCATCTTCGACAAGATACAGCCAGTTGTATGTATCTTCACGACTCTCCGGCACCTTGTACTGACCTTTCCAGAACTTCACGACATTTGCGACACCACATCTTGGCGTACGAACACCCCTCAAAGGCTACCACAGCCACATATGGAACGTCTTGGGAGCGCGAACGCTTTCCATGAGCGGGAGACAATTGTTTGGCGTCGACAAGTTTAGGGGTACGGGCCGATCACTTCTGGCTGTACTCGCAGACCCTGAGAGCATCTTCATCCAAGGCCTCGCGCAATTCAAGCACCGAAGTCTGTATGCGAATGTTGTAAACGACCGAACAGTCACGTACTACACCGCCGGCATCTCCCAGACCGACCCCTTCGTCGACCCAGACGACATCAAGATAAACTATATACCGGACTATGAGGATGTTATTGTGGACGGCAAGCATCCAGTCTCGTCAAAGGAACCCGAAGAACCCCCAGCCTTCACACAGCGGCTGGCACAGGGCACAAAGACAATACTAGGACGGGCCACTATTGTCGCCGTCTTGACGGTCTTTGTGCCATTTGGTGTGTCAGCCTTCCTCATCAACTCAGCAGTTCAATCGATTCGTAGCCAACAGCGTATAAGACTACACGAGGAAGGTAGATCAGGCATCGACTATGCCCGCTACCGCATACCGCTCATGATCAACGCTGTACGACGGGAGGCTGAGGGCATGTACGGAAACGCAAATCATGCTCAGGATCAAGAGTATTTGAGCGAAGGCTTCGAACATATGGCTTCTCTCACTCAACCCACGTCACCACGGTTGACGCGCAAAGACAATTCCGATGTCGACTCGATACAAGAGGAGAAGGACAGTGCGAAGCTCAACTTCCCGACGTTGGCCCTCACAGACGATCAATTCAAGATGATCGAAGGGCTGGACAACGTGGGCTTCACTAAACACCCAGTCTATATTCACAACCATCGACATTCCCATGCGGCCATTGTCGTACGCATGAACAAGCCCTCTTTCAACGAGGGCAGAGTGGTTATCAAACACTGGCTGGACAACTTTGATCTGTAAATAAGCTTCTGGCATGTTTTCTGTTTGCATTTACAGCGCGGCGCATGGCGTATCCTCGGGATGGAATATCTCGAGCTATAGAATCTGCTTTTTCACCAGGCGGGTTATACCTTTGTCACTTCATTTATGCAGGTACTTCTCATTTATGAATGCTTAATACGTTACTATACTATAACTGCCACAGTTTCATTGCACAGTGCATAAAGATTTTGTTGTACAACAAGAACCCTCAGTCCAGCTCATGCTCCTCTCCCGCAAAACGAAATGTACACCCTTTCACAACACGCCCTCCGCTATCACCATGCAGCCCAATATCTACCCTCACCACCTCATACTTGGCAGTCTCATACATGCACAAGGCATCTTCCTGCTCCTGCGAAACGACCTCGTACGCCCATCCATCGACCCGCGATCCCAGGCTATTATCAATGAGCGCATTGTACTTCCTACCCCAGGTCCTAAGCTTCCCGCCATATATCACAGCCGGTAACAGCATTGGCGCTTCCCTAGATGAGCCAAACAGCTCGGCCAGAAAGGAACTATCTGCCAGCGTTCCGTAGAAGAAGTACCACACTGGATACTGGTCTTGTATTGGCAGATATTCAAAGCATGCGCTGCTTTTAGGACGATGATGAGGTAGTGTGGTATCGTATCCAAGAGTTGGGTACGCGGAGATGGGCGAAAGGGCCTTGCGCGCCTTGTTGATGGGCGCAAAGACTGGGCGAACGGTGGGGTAGGTTTTGACCAGCCATTCTTTAATCTTCGGAATATCAAGCTCGCTGATTTGGCAGAATTCCGCGATGCCGTCTTCGCCTTCTCCCTCAATGATTCGGGGTTGTGAGGGACGGACAGCGGCGGAGGCGAGGATTCTAGGGGTGATGGGGTCGCTCATCTTGAAGAGGTAGTCCATGTTGCCTGACTTGCTCTTTGATTCCTGGGCAGAAGCCTGTTGTTGCTTGGTTGAGAGAAGGAGATCTTCCAACTCGGGAGATAGTTTGGGTGCGGAGGTCTGGTCAAATGGCGCGATGTCATCGTTCAGTTCACTGAAAGCATTCATCGCGTCTTGGTCTAGGTCGTCAAAGTAGTCCATCTTGTTCGTAATAGTGGATTACATGTGCAATGTATGTAAGTGTCGGATCTGGCGTTGTGTCGTACTTGGGAGAAGAGAGGAGGACATAGACTACTTTGACTCAAACTTGAACATTATCACTGTAAACATGCCTTTTTGATGAGCCATAGCGATGAAGCCAACCAAACTTCCTACATATCTAATGATGTCCAAACCTTGGAACGGAAAACTACCTACGCAGCTCTCAAATCAGAGATGACACAATTGTGTGAACAATGGCAACTGTGTCACTTCAAGCTGATGTATATGTTTGAAACATGGTTCCTTGGTACCGAAACTGTGCGGGAACCAAATCGGTGTTGGTGATGCAGATTAGAATGGCCATTGATGTGTCGCCCTCACGCTAAAGGGTCGAGCAGCGGCGGACCCACCAAAACATACCCGAGTAGTAATCTTGTCATGTCAACTCCCGACACACCGATACACTGCACTCGCACTAATCACATACTCGCATGCCACTCCGATGACCATCTTAGTTACGAAAGCCTTGCATTCATTTAAGCCATAGCGACATCCAGAAGAGAAATTACACCACCACTAGGTCTGTCCTCGTTGCCTTGTGAAGACAATAGTACTACCTAGAAAGACCTATCACTATAATGTCTTCTCCGAAACCGTCACCCCTGGGAGAGACTCCAAATCCGACTGCTTCGATGTCATTATCTTCACCAGCGCGTGCTCGCTTGATACAATCTTTAAACAAGCATCAATTATCGGAGATTTGTATATCGACCGACCAAGTCTTTCGCCCGTGCCACATGTTCTTCTATGGCTCAATCATGGACCCATAAGTTATTCAAGCAATTCTAAACCTCCCGGAACTCCCGAGTACAAGATCTGCCACAATTTCTGGTTTCCAAGTCAAGATGTGGAGCATATACCCAACGCTTATACCTGGCCATGGGAAGGTGTCAGGCGTGGTTTGGGAGATGGAAGAGGAGGATCATTTGAAACGCTTACAGGCTTACGAGACTGCTGCTTACAGGTGGACTTGGTGCGAGGCGGTTCCGGAAGATGAGAAGACGGTAATTGACAAGTGTCGGACGTTCTGCTGGGCTGGGGAGCCTGATAGTAAAGAGCTTGAGGAGGGCAGTTTCGATTTAGCATGGTACCAGAAGGTCCTCAAACCTTCCGTTGTTAAACGGCGGTCTCCAGGGTCTTGAATACGGTTAAGGTTTGCCTTTAAAGGTTTGAAAATTTGAGAGAGAACGGCATATAAATACCATTGGGCCTGAAGAACTGCAGGCTATCACGGTAATGCGTGAGCTCCTTCCGCCTTCTCATACCATCTTTCTCGATATCTCCTCGACCCATATACTGCTTGCTTTTGTCATATTCGAGGTCAGATAGTGCCTTCTTCCTACAGCGTCCACGATTCCCACTACAATAGCTAGGATAAGTATTCGCTTTGGCGCTCACATGGTCCTCATGTAGTGAATGCGGAGCACAACTACGCGCGACAACCGTCTTAACACATCAAGATTGATCGTAATTTCAGCCGCGCATCTAGACAACGAAGCGTGCAAAGATGAACTTTTGATGCAAACACTCCGTGCCGGACTATGGTCTTGCAGCTATACACGATCAGTTAACTTCATCTACATTCCTACGAGAATATGATATCCTACCTCTTGAGTCATGATGAAATGCAGTCGCCAGGTCTTCCAACATGACAGTCGTATGTAAAGACCAAGTATGACAACGCTGGTGGTGATGGAGAATGTTCTGTCTTGACGTCGACATGCTTGGATACGATGTATGCGTTGGGAGGAGAGTGTTCGTTTCTGCCACGATCTTAGGTCTCCGGACCAGTACTATGTGAAGAGACCGGCACGTACCATGGCTGTGTCGAGGTTGGCATTTTATGCAGAGTTTGTATAGGAGCCACATCGTCGATGGGCATGTAACTAGGAGGGCGATGATAGCTATGATACTTTGTGTATCGAGTGCCATGTTTATCTTGTTCTATGCTTGGATTTACGGAATGCTTTTAGGATGAAGGCGGATTGAGGTATGAAGTGGGCGATAAGTATTGTGACAATCTTGGTGCTTGTAGAAGGCTGGCCGGAACTAGAGCGTCTACTGGCCTCGCAATTCGGTCACGTTGTCTGGTTGGGAGACAGGAATTGAGCCGGTGAGTCGGGTTAGTAAGCAAGTTGTTTTGTAGTGTCCGTGTGAGTGCGAACATTGATAGCAGTGAGCGGCGAATATATGGGTATGTACTCTGGCAACACCAGAATACTCATGCAGATAGTTGACCAGAGGCAGAGAGCGAAAGGAGACAGGGTATCGCTAGCCCCGCCCTGGTCATATCGGAAACCGGAGGTTTCGCAATATGGTCGAAGGTCTGCTCCAATCGGTGTGCCACAAGCTTATGTCCGTTTCCAGTATCCGGAACGAGCTTTGACAGCAGGGAGGATTATGGCAGCAGCAGCCAATCAATGATGTCAAGAGACGCTCTGATTACCAATTTCATTGGTGGGCTGGGCTGTGGTGTAGACGCAGCCTTGTAATCTGGTGTCACGCCGCGTGTATAGCCGGTTTGTTTGATGAAGAGAAAGCTTCCCCAGCCCAGCCCTGGCCCACCCTCAGAGGTTGCTTTCGCATTCGCAACGGCATGCTCACACAGAGCCCGTCTAAATGGCAAGCGGGAATGGTGCTGTGGACTACACTAGCCATAGCTTAGGTTCATGCATCGCCGCGGTCATATGTGGGATGAGCTGATAGGTTGCCGCCGAAACCTTCATTATGCAGGTTCTACTTTGGTGGCGCAGCATGCACACAAAGCCGGAGTGTGTAGAAGTAATGGAGCATGGTTGTGTAATCAGTGACATGTGGTGGCGGGTCAGGGGCAGTGTAGACCTTTGAGCTGCAGCGTAGAAGTCTGAGCTGCAATTTTCAAAAGGCGCTATGATGGCGCCCGTCTCCAAGTTTACAGTTGGGTCGATGATTGTGGAAACGGCCAATGAATTGAGCCGATGGTTTTGGAAGCAACCACCCACCTTCCCACTTCGAGAACACGCCCCTGCCTTCTTCCTTTCGACATCAGACCCAACGTCGTCTGAATCTACGTCAGCTTTTCTCCAAAATGCGATATTGTTATCCCCCGGTACCCCGGGGATTTCCGGTGAATCTGCTCAAGTTGTGAGCTTCTGTTGCCTTGCGGCACCCGGCTGTGTTCAGTGCCGAGGGCAGTCCCACAATCTTACCCTCCACAACGATACATTCAAAGATGCCCAAGAGATCGGAAGAAGATGAGTCCGAATGGGCGATGCGCAAAGACGACATCCTCAAATTATACGTCGAGCAGAATAAGCCGCTGTCAGAAGTCATACGTGCTATGGCTAAGCAAGGCTTCACAGGAACGTAAGGGATATACGACACTCAGAAGTGTTTTACCAACTGATAGAAAGAAAAACTCAATACGAAAGATCGTTGAAGAGATGGTGCGTGTCTAAGAATGTGCGAAAAGGGGAGTGGGAGTTCATCCTTGGCCGCCTGGACGAACGTAAGCGCCCGACCAGCGTGACCGTCCGTGGTGTCACGATCTCGCAATCGAGGCTAGAGAAGCGAAAAGCGAGGGTACGTGAGACAAATTTCATTCGTTGCATGTCGCGCAAGTTGGACGTTCCAGTAGTGATGATGACTCACTGACAATATTAATCAGAACTGCATCCGCCTCCTCGTCCTCGAACCCCGGAAGGCATCGAAGTATCTTCACCATTGCCAGTATTTGATGACGAATAGCTACGACCAAGTGAATCAAAAGAGCACCACGTGGGAGCTCGCAAGCCAAATCTGGAACCGAGCGACGCCTACGTCAAAAGCCCCCTGGCACTTGAACGTTACTCTCTGCTTCTACCATTGCATAATGCTTTGCCGTCAACCATTACTTCCTCTGCAATGACAATTTCCAATCCCCGACCCACAAATTTTGCTATAGCTGAGATAAGGAAACTTGCTTCTGTCCAATATAGTACGGTAGGATCTTTCTCCTCGGGGCCACTCTACGATTGCATATGCCATTTTGTCTTTGAAAGGAACAACGACTATATCCTCTCCGCTACGGACAGGCAATTCCTACTCCGGTCCTACCAGCCCTTCACGAGAGACGATTTCATCCGTGCGAACCATCCTGTTCTCAAAATGTTTGTTAGATATACGATACCGGGGAGCGAACTAGAAGATATCGCGACGAGCACGAAAGACAAGGACGAGCTGCTTCTCCTTCAGACCTTGCTTATTGCTGGCCAATTCGACCCGAAATGGCATTCCTTTGGATCAGATCTACTACGTGCTGCAGTGATACATGAAAACCTAGCTCTGCTAGACACGGTCATCGAAAGTGGAGTAGACATCGACAAAAAGCTGGTGTTCCCAGATTCGTCCGGCCTTCGGAAACATGATCTTGGTCCAGTCGTAGCACACATACTGACCTCTCTACAGTTTGCCGTTCGCAATCGTCGTGAGGATCTAATTGAGATCCTAAATGAACGTGGTGCTACCATATTGCCCATGAACCCGGATTACAACGGTGTCAGTGGAGTATTTCTCCGGGATGCAGTCAGCGATGGACTGATAGACTTGGTGCAACCACTCCTTGCGAAGTTGGCAGCTTCGCGGGGTTGTATAGCTCGACGTGGAACCAAATTCTTTGATCAAGCCATGCGACATGCAGACCGAACAATGATTGATGTCCTCCTTCAAGCTGGCCTCAGTCCTTACGACTCTTGTATAGACCGAACCATCGACTATTCGCGTATAGTCAGCTTCGAACGTGTTCATTGGACAATCAACACTCCTTTCATGGCCGCCTTAGACATGTACCTGGAAGAGTGTACCCGTCTCAGTGCAGAGCCTATACTAAACTTGCGGAAGCTCATAACAAAGAAGCTCATCGGCTTCCCTACCGACAATCTCGACAAAGAGCAGCAGTTGTCATGACACAACCAAGTCGCTTTGGCGTCTTTTCTCTTAGTGCTCGCTGGGAAGTATGAGCTTAGAGAAGTACTCCAGGAAAAATCTGGACTGGATCCAGACGATACAGCGAAAATTATTCGCGAACGCTGGAGGAGAAGCAAGCTGGACTTTTGAAGGATGAAGTGCAATAGCTTGAAGGAAAGGACAACATCCCATGGCAAACTAAATGGACCAGTGGAAGAAGTGAACAGGACTGCGATAGGATCTTATCTTGTGTTCCATGGCGCCAGAAGGACTGGAAGAATTTACCCATACCATTACATCACTCCCGCATTTGCACACGCACAAACAATCATGCACTGTCGTGGTTGAACGTACGCAACCACCCAGCTTAATTCCACAACTCTACTCCCCATGTCCAGTCACCCGAAAGCGTCAACGCGTGAACACACCCTCCTGTCATTTCCCCTCTCCTCCTCCTTGACCCGAGAACGTAGCATCGGCCCGAAACGAAAACCAAAAAGCTTGTTTCATCTCATCCACCAAGGTGCAGGGTAGTTGCAAGTCAAGATCGACATGGGGGATCCTCGGTGCTGGGATTGTGCTTGCTTGAGCGGCTTTTGAAACCGAAATGTGCGGATCGTCAGGAACGCGAGAAATGTATGGGGAAGATGGATTTCTTTTTTCTTAGAGCCGAGATTTTGAGTTGCGTGATTTTCTCGACGACGGCATGGTTTACTGTATTTGGTGTCTTAAGCTCCTTCTCAATCGAGCGTTTGGTGTTGATGAGTACCGTTCGCCTTGAAGTTTCGCCGTGACGTCGGTGATTGCGCGGTGTTGACTACAGCCCCACCCACCCAACAGGTAGGATTGAAAGTGGAGAAGTATGGCATTACGATCGTATACTCATGTTGCCGCGTACCGAGAGACCAAGACTTCATGTGCTGGTCTGTGTGTTGTAGCTTGAGAAATCAAGTCGTGCATCTTATGTAAAATTATTCTAGAAGAAGAAGAAGAAGAAGCATGAAAAATGGCAACGTAGATTGGCTTCATAAGAACGCTGAAAGCTATGCTGAATCTGTCATAAAGTGGGAAAAAAGGTGGTCTCCAAACCATGCCCTCGCATACATACGCCATGATCGCTGAAATCGCCGTTATGGTATATCATCCCAAAAAAGTTGTCAAATAAAATCGATGTGCGCCCTTGAACTGGGCCCCCATTTCACCCATGAAATCCTATTTCGTACTCCTACAAAACGCCCGTAAACCCCGTGGTGTGCAAAAGCCGGGTATTTCACTAAGATGTTGCTCGGCGTGAAATCTAATATGTACATGGAAGTTGTCATGTTGTAGTAGTGGTGTCGAGGTGCTCTCATATAGAATCTACAGCTGTTTGAGGCGCGTGTGTGCTGTCATCTTGCTGTTTGCGTTCTTTGAGACATATGCCTTGCCTTCCAACTTTTTCTTGTAGGTAATGGAGCCGGTCGGTATCGTTCTCGTCGAATGCAAAGGCGCCGCTCCAGAATCCGCAGTCGATGTTTGTGGTCTCGTTTCGAGATACGACCTGGGCTTGAGCTGCGAGATCTACAGGTGGTATGCCATGTTCTTCGCCAGTTTTCGCGCCGACCGCATCAATCAGGCTGTTACCTGGCATGTGGTGGAAAAGCTCGGAGTTCAGTGTCCAACAGCGGAGTCCAGGACTCGGATATTTGCTTCGATTTGAGGGGGTTTTGTTCTGCCACTCTGGCGTAGGAGATTTTGTGCCTTCTCCCTTGTTGCATGCGTGAAGAAGTGCAACATCGAATGCACGAGGTCCCGACTTCCTCAGCTTCGGTGGAGCGAGGTCGTTGAGAAGACGTTCGGCGGTGCGGCGGGTGACGGCGTAGCCAAAGGAGCAGAGAGGGAATTTGGAGCGGTGTATGACACGCGATCCCTCAGGCATGCCCAGCAGACGGAACAATGCCTGTGTGAATGGATGTAGGTTGTACCATGCGGGAAGGGTAGGGTCCTGGTATTTGATGTGTGGCATAGCGGTCAGGTTAAAGGATTGGCGGTCGGTCTTGGGTCCGTCGGCGGTAACGACATCGAAGTAGTCACCGCAGTGGCCGAGATAGAGCAAGTCCCAGGCATCTTGGTCGCCCCAGTACTGTGTGTGGTTGCTGTCGGCGTTGACATGGGCATGCTGGGAGCGTGGCGGAGGAAGGAGCTGTCGGGCAGCGGCTGCCGCAAGTGGAACCTGAACGCTACGCAAACGGATGTCCCAGTCGACGTCGTCCTCGAGAATGAGAGCGGTCTCGAGGCCGGAATCCAGAAACCTTGATAAGCGAATTAGCAGCAGCTCTATAACGACGGATGCATGCCAAGACGGGTGCCGGGCAACGATAGATGACTTACCACTTGAGCGCGTTGTGGTGGCCTAACCACGCTAGTATGGACCCTTTCTGCGCCTTCTCTTGTCCATTGATGAAGCGCTGAATGTCGCCTTCGGTCCATTCTGGCTGTGGCGGGATGGTGAGATCGATGTCAGTTACATTGGCAGCCTGGATGAGCGGCTGGCGGCGCGAGGAGCCTTCCTTGGAGACGACAACGACGGCGCCGAAGCCTAATGTTCTGTTTGAGGGTAGTTTTGCAGGTTGCGACTCCATGGACGACATCCATTTCAGATATACGCGGTCAGAGTCCCTGCTGTGGTACCATACTCCGATAAGGACGAGAACGAAGAGCAGCAGCAGCGGCGTGGGCCGCTTCCTGGATGCAAGCATGCCGGGCTAAGGAAATGGGCCAAAAGTTGTTGTTAGAGGAATGTTGTCAGACATGTCCGCGAAGTCGAGTAGGTGGGGGGACGCTATCGCAATAAACAAGTACGACGATGGCGCGCTCGGTAGGCGTTAAGCAGGTTAGGACAATGGCTGGCAGGACCAAAGTAGATCTGGCTGGGCGACGGCTATCTCTAAATGTCGCAGGTCGCGGCGGGAGCAATACGGGTGCATACCGGGGTGTGGCACCGACATTGCGTCTTGTAACCACTGTATCAGGCTACCCTAGATTATCGCGCATGCAACCGGGATTGTCATCATTTTACCACTGGCCAAGTGGACAAAGCTGCTCAGGTGGGCGCAGCGGTTGCAGGCTGATTGTGCGACTTGTCAGCTGAAACTGGCCACCAACATCCAGAGCACATTGAAGCTGCCATCCGTTGACATCAGCTTACCGCTCACTCTACCACTAGTGCTAGTCGCTTTGTGTCTTAAATATGTATCCAAAATTATGGTTCCCCAACAACGGCCTCCGGGTCACGTGCACGGCGTGGTTTCCACGGGTCGATCATAGGTAAGCCGGGCCAGGTGCACCTCAGGGACACGCTACCCATCATGCGCCTCATTCGACGACGACTACGACAACGACACTGCCGCGAACGAATTGCGCATCCACAACATAGCGACGACGGGCGGTGGCTATTGTGCAACTTTGTTTCTATAGCCTCACCTATCCTATTACACTGTTTCCCGCGCTTTACTTGCTAGTTTGTGACATGCTGTGCGCCGCTGCACCCTGAAACTAGTCGTGCACCGGCTTCTTGTCCTCCGCATCCTCCCTTCTCCAGCCCGCCCATCCTCGATCCGCGCCATACACGGGGGACGCAAGGCAGAAACATCTATTCGCTACTCGACCGCACCACATGCCCGTCCACTCGCTGCGCCCATAGTTATGGCCACGTTGGGCTCGCCCTCATCCCCGACATCCCCCTCGAGAACCATGCGCCGCCGCAGCTGGGCCAGAAAGGTCGAGCGGTACTGCTGCACCGCCGTCACATACTTCCCGCTGGTCTTCGTCTATGGCCTGACGTCGTGGGCCGTATGGGTTCAGGCAGGCATCGGCTTCGTGCCTTCGAAGAATGTCTGGACGGGTGCGTCTCCTTTCTATATATATATGCCCTACAATCCAAATTTATCCCACGTTCAATGAGACCACGTTATATCAGCATGAGAAACGCGATTACTAACACGTTGGACAGGAAAGTTCTCATCCGCGCTCGGCGTCTTCCTCTATCTCATGCTCAACTGGAGCTATACCACCGCCGTCTTCACCGACCCCGGATCGCCGCTTAATATCAAAAATGGCTACAGTCACCTGCCGTCACAAGAAGGGGGAGAGATGCAGTACACGTCCTTCACAGTCAAGGCATCCACGGGAGAACTGCGCTTCTGCAACAAATGCCAGTCCAAGAAGCCCGATCGCTCCCACCACTGCTCTACGTGCAAGCGATGCGTACTGAAAATGGATCACCACTGCCCATGGCTTGCGACTTGCGTTGGTCTCCGCAACTACAAGGCCTTTGTGCTCTTCCTGCTATATCTCTCCTTTTTCTGCTGGACATGTTTTGCGACATCCGCTACTTGGGTATGGAGCGAGATACTCAGCGATGGTCAATACACTGAGTCGTTCATGCCCGTCAACTATGTTCTACTAGCCGTACTATCCGGTATCATCGGTATTGTCATAACAGGCTTTACTGCGTGGCATCTGTGGCTTACGGTCAGGGGTCAGACTACAATAGAAAGCCTAGAGAAGACGCGCTACCTCTCACCACTTCGGAATACAATGAAGCACCAGCTTAACGACCGAAACTACGTCGACGCGCAAGCAAACGGGCGCTTAAGTGTTGGCGACCAGTTGCGTGAGATTCACGCGAACGCTCTTCCGGGAGTGACTAGGCCAGAGGAGGGCGAGCCGCCTTCGCGGTCTACGTCACGCTCTCCTGTACCGGGCCATGCAAATGGCTACTCGCACCCGCACTACCAATCCTACGAGTACCGAGAACGCCAGCAGAACCAGGACCGCTACGACAGCTATCTCGACGAGCGCGACAACGAACAGCTACCCAATGCATTCGATTTGGGCTGGAAACGCAATATCGCACATGTTTTCGGGCCTTCGCCGTTGAAGTGGTTCGTGCCGCTTGTAACCACAACGGGAGACGGATGGTCCTGGGAACCGAGCCCGAAGTGGCTGGCAGCACGGGAGCGGATAAAACGTGAAAGAGAAAGAGAAGAACAAATACAGAAGCAGCGTGAGCGTGCTGCTGGTTGGGGTGTTGATACTCCTACTGAAGCAGAGTTTCGGGGCCCCACCCGCGCTCCGAATGGATGGATGCCCGGCCAATACAGCCAGCCTCCACCACGAGCTACAAGACGTCCGGAATGGCAGGCACCCCTTGGTCGCGGCGAGCAAACCCAATACCTCACCACCTCCAACGGCATCGCAAAAGGCCCACTCGACGGACGAAGAAGTCCGAATAAAGCCGACCAAATACTAGGAAGGGAACGCGGCATGTATGCCGATGGCGATGTACAACTCCAAACAATCGATAGGAGGAAGTTTGACCAATACAACTACATATCCGAGGACGAAGATGACGATTACGAAGCGTCTAGCGACGAGCAAGCGGTAGACCAGCGGAAATCGCAAAAAGCACAGACCGTGACTGCACCACCAAAAGGAACGCATAACTGGAATGATATACCAGATGGCTTCTTAGATCCCGCACCGAAAGGGAAGAAGAGCACGAGTCGGGAACGGTCACGGAAAAATGGCGAATGGGATGACTGGGGTACATAACACGTTGAATGTAATGGATACGAAGGCATGTTGGTATGTTGATATGTACATCCGGTGTTGCATAGCACGGCGTGGGTATGGCGTTTTCGTATTGCATAGGATGGAGTTGCTTGCTCGGTACAGTCTTCTGACGAATGAAGATATTCTTACCCACGATTTCTCATTTCCACATGTGCGATGCCAATCTTGAGAGTCGGTCGCGTGGGTGACCTTGAAGACCAGTCACGCATGCCGTAGAGTGATTGACGAATCATTTTTAGCCAAGCATTGGCCCTGAGTTCGGTACATGTATCGATACGATGCGCCACCAACACTCATTTCCCGACGTGTTCCGCACCTCCCTAGATGCGCATGGCCAGATGCATGTACACTGCCTTGGCGCTCTTGATTTCTAATTCTAGACCCTGTCCACCTACAGGAGTCCCTAATCTGGCCTATACCGAGAGCACGCAAACTTATCTCTTAAATCTAACTTTCTTGTCCGCCTTCGTATCAATCTTAGCTTTGGCCTCCCTTGGTAACATCCAATCTCCCAATTTCCCTTGAACCCCAGCACGCGTCTGCGCAGCCCTCGTCTCCAACCTGTCCACCATCCTCATCATCGCCTCTTGACCAGTCCAGTCTTTACGCGGCTCAGTCTGGGAAAACATTCGCGCCTTCTCGGGTGCTTTGGTGTCGTCGTCGAATCCTATTACTGCGCAGCGGTAGGGTTCGATGACACTGCAGGGTTGGTAGTGTTTGATGACAACCTCATGCGAGTGGTTTGCTAAGATGGACGATGCGAGTTCTGCTCTGTGTTAGTAAATCAATGGAAGGAAAAGGGAAATGGTCTTTTCGGGTAGCTGAAAGTTGCTTCATCAGTAAGGGTCACTGCGTGTGGGTAAATAGGTTGGGACATGTTGCTCATATCTCGATGATCATTCTCCGTGGTGCAGAAATACGTGGTGAAAGTGATGTGTGTAGGTTGAGTGGTATATCATATCCCAACATAGTTGCGCTGCTGTCGTGAGACTGGTTGCGAGTAGGTCAAGCGACAGCATGTCTCATGACAGATCAAACGAGCAAACTTACACTTTTCCACATATAACCTCGTGCAATCGCGTGCACACCTCATTGAACTCACACCGTGATCATTTCTAAGAAAGCCGGCTCGGAACCACGAAGTCGAAATCAGCACACATGCCCGTTACGAACCCCGAGTTTCAGACGTTCTATGTCATAGCCAAGCTTATCGATTCCCTGTTCCCCAATGGCAAACTCTACATTGCTCGTTGGTGGGACGATGGTGATGAAGTTCTCTGTTATCACGCTGCCGTAGTGGAGTTGAGCATGATAGAATCTGACGTGGTTAAGAGGCGAGTACTTATGGGCACTGGGTTACATGGCAAACGAATCGACGCTTTAGATACGCTCTTAACGCATTTAGAGAATGTTGCGGACAAAAGACTTGATGAATACGGTCCTGAGGAAGAAACGATTCAAGGATGACAGATGGTGCAGAGGAACGAGAATTCCCGGGAATACTGTCAACGAGGAAATCTGCTGCAAAGGATTAGGTGTTAAAGACAGAACAGCCCACAAGTAATTTGTAAGAGGAAGTAAGCAGCAGCATGGCGACTAAGGAGTTGAATGGCGATATTCTTCCTCGCACTCTGTTCGTCTGGGGATATGGGGAAAGGAAGAGGGGAGAAGTAGGTGTCGTGATCCTTAATAGATGGAATGAATAAGTATCTGCTAATTGAGAAGTCAGGGTTCTAAATTAGCGTTACGCGCTAATCAGAGTGAGAGAGAACCCACGTTGACAACTCCTTCCATTACATCTTATACCCAGAACGGCCGTCACTGATGCCACTGACTGCTAACTGAACTCAACCTACTTCATCCAAACATGCTACCACCTGAGCGTTCTTTGCCCTTCGCAATCACACTATTGATGAACATTGCTGGTCCCGGGGTGTTAGTGAGCTCCTGACTGACTTTTATGTAGTGCTCTGCAAACAATCTCCATAGTTTCTTGTCATTTTTGTCGGTGGCGTTAGGACGGGGGTAGTAGGGATCGTTGAACCAGAATCCCTCAACTAGTTTCTTCACGCCAGCTGAATCATGATCGAAGAGCTTGCACTGGTTGAAGTCCAAGAGCCATATAGATATTGTCCGGTGCTCGAAGTCGGTAGAGAACATCTCCCCTGCTGTATCCTTGTTGGCGATCAACAAATCTTCTTTGGTCGGTTTTCCAGTGATTTGAGGAGTACTTCCCAGAACAAATTCTACGTCGTTGCCATCTACACCAGCCTTCCAGTGAAGGAAAGCTAGAGCTTTTGCTATGGTCATAGCAAAGGAGCTCGTGTCGAGACCGAGGCGCTCCATCTCATCAACGTGGAGGGGGAAATTGCGAAGCCGAACGTTTCTTGCCTCCATCTTGCGCGAATCGTTACGTCTGCCAAGATATAATCGAACTAGGCAATTCTTGTTCTCGATTCGATTGAGGAATTCGCTCTTAGTGTCCTTGATTGCTTCTGGACAAAGTGCATCCACGATGGCTTCGCGCACTGGAAGGGGGAGGGGATAAATGCGTTCGGATACGAGACCGTAGTTAGGTGTCCTCACATTCTGAGGGAAAAGAGCGGCTTTTGTATCCCAGAAATGTGTACTCTTGGGGCCAACCCACACGCCCACACGAGGTACATGGATGTCTTCGTGGATGGACGCGAAAGCGGAGAATGCCTCCCACACCACCTTATGCATTTGGAAGTCGACAAAGAGTTCATCCTCCTTGTTCGAAGGATTAGGCAGTTTGATGACCATAGTAGTGCCTTTCAGTCCGAACACTGTACCACACTGACCTTGGCCGATGTTGGTGAAGTTCTGCTGAGTCGCATCATCGCGTGCACGTTGGTTTGCTTCAGCGAGAGATGAACTTGTTGATATAGCTGATCTTGTGGAAAGCATGCGTCGTAAGATGACCTCCGGAGATGTTTTGTGTAGTTCCTCATCGGTGAAAACGAACAAGTCCCTTGTTGCGTTCACGGTGCTAAGGATCAGACTCTTGAGTGAATCTGATATTGATAACTCGGAATTTGTCGATTCATCCATAAAGTTGTTTCTGCGACGGTCGGACATGATTCAACAGGGTATCCAGGTGGGTGTGATAAGTGTGTAAGTAAAGCGGGATGGTTTTGAATGAAAGCTTCTGGACAAAAGACGCTGATTGTAGCAAGCACAGTATGATTCTAGTATCTCTGAACCATGGCTCACGCTGGCCTCGACCCCACATTCGTAATCTTGACCTTCACGTTCACCGCCAATCAGGCCAGCCTATTTGAATTCGTTCGCTCTGCAAACACAGGTACTACGATTTAAAGCCATATGGATCGCTTATAAGTGGCCGAAGACAGAGATTGGGCGTTTGCGCATGCGCATGCCTCATATGCTGCAAGGACGAGGCATACTCCGTGTTGGGTACCTGTACAACTCCAATATGTTATGGCAGAGCGACAAGCCTTGTTCTGACCTTGCTTCTAAGCATGGGCCCTCTTGATATTATATGACGCTGCAGCGTGAATTAAAACCTTCTCCGTTCTTTCGGTTTCCTCAGGGCTTCCATCGTGGCTAGAATTTTGTAGACTATTCTTTGCGTCAGTGGTTGCTGCTATGGCAAACAAGACATTAGGTCTTTCCCACTTCATAATGAACCTACTCTGTACCCCACTGTCCGACTCATCAAGATCTTCGTCCAAGATGAGCGTAAATTCCACAAACAGAGCCGAACACGTCACCGAAACTGACCGCCGCACTCTTAGCTACGCGAACATGCTCGCCAACAATATCTTTGGTGTCGAATACAACGCACCCATCTTGGTGTGCCGGAGTTATTTCGATCCCGATGATTATCTGGCCACACTCGTTGCTTGTTCGAACACAGATGATTCGAAATCCATGAATCTTGGACTGCATGAGGGGAAGACGAGAGAGGAGGCATTGCGGGGACTATTGCATGAGCTGGAGGGTTTGGCGGCTGAGAAGAGTCAGAAAAATACGATGGATTACTGGGAAAGGGGGCATAAGGCAGCAATAATCAGACAAGAAAAGGAGGAGCAAGCTGCATGAGCAGCAACGACTGCGGAGGGGATTGGTAGTGAATATGATTAAGAAAAAGGCCCATGGTAGAACAAGTGGACCGACCTGATGCTCAAATAAGGGAAAGGGATCGTAACCGTGGAGTTACAACAACCGAGAAGCTGTGCTTGAATAATGACGTTGCACGATAGTGGTACATTTTCTTCTTTTGCAGTGATTCTAATCAGTACTCTCATAGTCTTGCGCTGATCGCACTTGTGATGAAGTCCTACAGCTTAACACCCGGGAGTCATTTCCGGAAGCTCTCTCACACATCTTCGTGTCGCAAAGCGAACAGATTCATTGGCATTGGATTGCTTCCAGTCGTTGCACAAAGTTAGTTCCCTCGAATGATCCCATTTCCTTGCCTTTCCCGCCTCACTGTACGACCAAACAAACATACTCTCGTACAACACAGATTGCGGCAGATGACACAGATCCTTCACCGGTTTTCCGGCATATAGGAACTCCTTGACTGCTCTGTCACAGTATATCCTGGTGATAGATTCCATAGATGGATTCTCTGGCAGCGAATATGCCTGAGCGCCTAGGTCGATTTCGCGAGCCGCTTCCAAATCTCCGAGGTGAAGACGAGACAGAGATTCGACATCTTATCGATCTGATTGAGAGTAAGTAGCATACCAACCATATCTTCATCCTTCTTGCTCACTCACTGACTTCCACTAACGCAATCATGGATTCTGTCACCCCTCAAATCACCTTCCTGTATCCTCGGACGCCATCCACTACCCAAAGACACAAACGCTTCTAAACAGAAAGCCATTGATCCCTCTCTCAATTTCTGCGCCTCGCTCTACAGCATCGGCCAGGGCGGAATAAGAAGCTTGGAAGTGGGTCCTGAAATGGGTAGGAGCAGGAAAGAAGCATTGGAACGGTTGCTGGAAGTTGTGGAAACGGAAATTGGACGCATGATGTTGAATGATGATTATCATGCGCGTAGAGCGGCGAAAGATAGTAGCAATTCTATTGGGAGCGGAAGCGTTAGCAGGAGTGAGAGAGGATGAATGTTCTTTGAATATGGACTAGTCCCAATGTTCTCAAAAATGCCGATATCTCCATAACGGATTTGATCGGAAGAAACTGAGTTCCTCTCTCTCTGTATCGCAAAGTCAAAGGCGACTCACCCACCTCTTTCGCGTCGCTGTCGTCATCTGAGCTCCACATCGCTTCTTCCTCGGTGGATCCACTAAAACTCTCCATCATCATGGTCTTCAGTTTTGGCTGCTTAGCTTCCTCATTTATCGTCGCTCCTTGATTCGCATCTTTTTCCTCCTCTCTCTTCTTCTCTTCCATCTCTCGAAGTTTCCCATCGATATCCTGGAACTGTGCCTCATTAAACCACTCCACTCTCTCTAACAGCTTCAACAACACTCCACTACGCGAACTTGCTACTTGCATCTTAGGAGAGGACGCATATTCACGCTGTCATTCCTGATATCGGCCACGAGCATGGCACGGTATTCGACATCGTCTTGTTCGTTGAAGCGACGGCCCGGATGAACAGTGGCAGAAGTGAGGCGGGGAAGAGGGCGATTACGAGGGTGTTGAGGAAGGTGAATGTATTGATGTCTTCTGCTAGTACAGGATGGCCGGTCTTAGCTAGAGTGAGAAGTAGAGGTAGGTAGATGCATCGAGTGTGTCTTGTACCGACAAGAGAGCCTCATGTATTTGTACACATGAAGATTACTTTTATAATTGCTAGACTGATCAGTAATAACAACATGTGTGACTTTGCTATAACCAGATCATCCGGGTGATGCTTGCGGTTTTGAAGAGCAAGCGATTCGGTCGACATATAACCCCGTTGGATAGCTCCCCAACCGAAGCACTACAGATCATCATCATCATCATCATCATGGCTTTCATGGCGCATGAATCAGCTAATGAAACTCGCCCCCATATGCCAGTAACCAGCGTTGCCGTCAGCCCTTTCCACAATCGCGATGACGTTACCTTCAACTATCTGACCAGGACGGTACACCTTCTCACCAAACCTTAATCTCATACTGACCCTGTAACAGAGCTTGTCATCTCTACGTACCGCCCAGTAGTAGAACCCGTAGTTCTTATGGGTAGGTACGAAAGTAGAGGGGAAGGTGTTGAGAAGTTCCGCACAAGCGTCGTTGGCTGGGACTTTTCGAAAGAGCCTAGCGTAGAGAAGTTCCTTGTTCCGCCTCAGGAGGGAACCGATCGTCAAAGTGCACTGATGGCTGTGGTTAGATTGGTAGAGGATAAGGCGCATAAGAGAATAGCGGACTTAGAAGGTGAGCACGCAGGATTCATTTGATGTAGCCAGAAAACGTATGGCGGAGATGATATGTTTTGGGGGTTTCGCAAGGGAGTAGGAAGACGGAGACACATGTCGGTGCGTCGGTGATCACGATTATATGCAAGTCAACCTCTATAGCTTAGCTTTGTCGTCCAGCAACGGCATGCCGACCGCTTCTTCCAACTCTTTTACAGCATCCTTCGTCTTGCCCAAGTTCACCTTGATGGTCCTTAGCCCGGTCTTCTTCGCGAACTTCAAATTTATGCCTATATCGTCCAAAAAGAGCGTATCACCTTCCGTGACTTGTCCCATTCCCTTCTGCCTCGCAATCTTGTCCATCTCCCGTACCGCCAGCTTATACGCCTCTGGATCAGGCTTTCTGACGCCAACCGCTGCCGAACCGAGGAAGATGTCGAAGCATTTAGTGATGTCCGGGGAATCGTTCGCGTAGGGGCTTGGAGCAGGGGGGAAGACGAGCTCCTTGGTGAAGAGCTTCCCTTCGTCGTCGAGGATGCCCGTGGGGAACGTAACATTGTTGCTGAATGCGCCCAAAACGAACTTCCCGCTCTGGCCTAGCTTTCGCAGCGCAGGATACATGTACGGATCAGGCGCCCTACTAATCTTCATCATGCGCCAGAACAGCTTCTTTGCATCGATTTCTGGTACTTGTGGCTTCCCGCCCTCAATAGCCTGCCCACCACCGACGCTCTCCTGTTGCGCAAGCTTTTGGAGAAATTGTGACCATACTTCTGGTCGCATGAGCTGTTGCTTGAAGGATGCGAACCAGTCGTCGTTAAGTTCGACTTCGCCGCGTTCGATGAGTTGCCATGCGCCTGTATCGTGTGGCCCTTTCTGGATCGCGAAATTTATGTAGCCGTTAGGAATCTTGTTCTCAATCTCATAATCAAGAATCGCTTGGAAGGGGCTTATAACCTGTAGCGAGGAATGTTAGCTATCTTGGTCTCGTCGCGTGTGATGATGATGGATAGTGTGGACGATGTTGAGAAGGTACGTACGACTACGCCCCCGATATCGAACAGGATAGCTTTCGGTGGCTTCGTCGAGGAGGTCATGATGTGTGAAGATTGACGAAGTTGTCAAGCATTGCTATGAGGGTATCATGGTGGTCTGTATGGCGTCGTCATGGTCGGCATTGGAAGAGTCGTGAAATGTGAAGGAACCTCGGCAATGGATAAGCTCTATCGACTGCGCTAGTCCCCGCATATTGATTGGCCTCACAATATTTTGCAGATCGCTCATCATCCCAAGTTCTATCATGTGTTTAGTAACATGCAAGATATGCAACGTGAGCTTTCAGAGACGCAGGCTGGGTGCATGTTTCTGCTATATGTAATCATACATTTCGTCAAACAAAGCATAGCACCCCGAGTACCCCAACTATGGACGGCATCTTATATTTCATCGAAGCTGCAATCCCTATTAGTCCAAAAATGACTTCCATATCTGACATTCCTATCTTTTGGTGTAGATATGTGGATGGCATCGCTCGTCTCCTTTGTTGCAAGAGTACGGGTAGGAATCTGAGCTGAAGGCGCAGGTTCTTTAGGCTGAAGCTTCACAACAATCTCATGCCTCTGCATTTTGCTGATCAGCGAGTCAGAACTGCACTTGTTTTCCGCCCACATATAGACATGCTCGACCCTCGTGTTTGTCTCCGGAACCAGTAGGTTGTGCGTTGGGCTCACTCGCCGCGTGTCGTTTTGCGGCAGCCGGACCTTGGGATGCTTCCGATCCGTTAGCCCTGGGCCGTTATGCAGCCGCGAACGAGAAAAGTCGCCAATCGTCTCACAATGCTGGACACTACGAATTATAGTATCAGTCTTCCCGAAACTCTTGACCCGCTTTTGGCGGTCAACATGCTCTACGTGCTGGCGGCGCTTGCGTTCAAGCTCGATACGGGCCTTTGCTGTTTCGTACAGGTGATTTCGATCGTCGCCAACAGCAAGGAGATGTATGAGCATGTGCTCAAGGTCAGGCCACGGAATGAGCCCGTATGCGTTGAAGTAGCCGATATTCACGACTAGCTGATCCATGATCACGGGGCTCTCGATGAGTGCAGGGACAAGAGCGTCGAGATCAGCAAGCGTAACCGGATTCCAAAAGAGGTGTTCTAGGAGAGGACGTTCGCCAGTTACAGGTAGAGCACTTACCATTCGTTCAACAAGTACGGAACGTGGGAGCGGGACGTCTACTTCGACTCTGTCTATCGAATCAGCTTCATTATTTGCCCTGTCATCTAATGTGTAATCAAAGTTAGATGCTTCAGAAGTTGGAGAAGAACAACTGGAAGACTCCGATGATGCTAGATCGATATGACACTGCCATCCAACATGACCGCCGAGGCTTAAGGATGCCAACCGCGACGCAAGCGTGGACATTTCCATGAGATTATCTATCTGGGGCTGCATGAGAATTAAGATGAGGCTGGAGTACTGACAACGATCTGCTTCGCAATTTGTGATTCAGATCGCGATGATTGGAATGCTAATGATGATCTACGTTAGAAGTAATCTGTTTGAGGCCATGTTAAACGAAGCATGACAATGTTTGGGACATTGTGTTGATACATCAGCATATTCGATGGAATGCAAAGCTATCCGTGACAAAAGTGAGTACAATACGCGTTGTAAAACCAAGCTCCATGTATAGATCGTACAGTGTATGGTAGAAGACGAATACTGTAATGAGGTACGTACACAATATCTCATAAATAGATAATGTCCCCGGAAGATATGACATGATACCTAGGCAAGAGGTAGTAAGAATGACCGACGTCCCCCGCACATCCCGCGGGATACCCCAACTTGACATAGCCAATCTCGTACACATGATTATCATGCATCTTTGTAAGCAGGGAAAGCAGCTGCGCTCGCATGGAAAAATCCTTGGCTTGCTCCACGCCAGCGCGACCAATACTCTTGATGGTCCGCCGGAAGCGCGCTACTTACGGAGCGTTTGCTGCCTCCCGACGCGTTGTTTGTGTTGCTGATACATGGCGACTATTTGCTCAGCATCATTGTCACTTAATTGCAACATCTCAGTGTCGAAGAAATCGATGTATCCGCCAGTAGGCTGTGTGTTCACGATATCGAGTTTAACAATGTTGTACAGAATCGCATCAAACCAGCGAGGTCAACTGAGGGTCAACCAGATTGCTTGAACGCCGACTTCTGTGACTAGCTCGATGCATAAGCGAGAGTGGATATGTGAATACAGTGCATCGCCTCTGGAATTTGCTGTCGCCTCAGATCACGATAAGTCTCAACGTCTTCGCTGACAGTCTGCTGCAATGATGCTTTCTGAGATGACTGAACACTATAACGTGTACTCCGCTATGCGAGCGACTTATCAACTTGCTCGCTGTTACTGTTGCTATGAGAACTAGGTCTCAAGCCTCCCAGCTCAGCTCATATCCGAAAACGGTCCGGCGAAGAAGCTCATCCTACATCTGGTCAGCGACGCCTCGAAACACATCATGTCGAAAGCCTCACCCCTGGATCTTCCTCGAACATGACCTTCTCCATAACCTTTTCGAAAGTCTTAGTGACGGTAAAACCCGCATCTTTAGCCAGATCGAAGAATGCCAAGTCTTTTTTGTACAACCATGGGCGATATGGTGTAAAGAAGACGTATGCTCGGGATGTCGGTAATTTCTTAAGGGTCAGCTGCACAGTCTTGATGAGTTTGGCATGCTCCGAGTGATTGAACAGAAGGTCAGCCAAAATCAGTACATCGAAGCCCGAATCATCTGGCAGATACTTCATCAAGTCTTCGGTAGGCGCTCCCCAGAGATATCCCTGTGCGCACGTTAGTGACGACCGCCAATGCTGAGTACAGTCACAAACCTCCGCCACTATCCTTGGTGGTTTAGACAGTAGTTCACAATGGTCGACGTTGTACCGTAGATTTTCGACCAGCTCAGCGTCGGGATAGTCCGTGACAACCGTTTGAGTGGCACCGTTGAGAGCACAGACAAGGCTTGGAAGTCCCGCTCCAGCGCCAAGTTCAAGTACTGTTCGATCCTTTACAAGTTTATCTGCATGCTCCTCTAGGTAATCGGATATGGTTCGCCCTGCGTTCCATAGAAAGTGGCCCTGAGTACGTCAGTGAACGTGCTGGGATAGTGCAAGACCGTCAGAAGTCAGAGAAGTGCCGAGTCGCTTCTACCGACCTTCTGGAAAACTTCCAGAAGGTCGGAAACTAATATTGACAAAATTTGGAAGTTCCGTATTCTGCTTCGGCATGTCGGTGACCAAGTGCATAACTTACCCACAAAGGGTTGTGACCGACCAATCGAACAGTGAGCTCTTTGCGGGAAAGCAGCTGATGAGACGCGAACGTTGCCTGCTTTTCTGGTTCATAGAAATCAGTAGGTTCTTGGAACAGGTCTAAGCTCTCTTCATCGGCCTCTGAAGACATGGTGAATGGCAAGTTGTGACGAAGTGATAGTCTTGGCGAGGATTGTATTTTGGGTGTTTCGAAGAGCGGAGCCACCACAGATGGCACGTGCCCGTTCAACCAGCCACCGCTATGCCTGTCTAAGTCGCGTTCCAGATAAACTCTATCTTCGAAACAGCGGACCATAGTCATCAACGAAGTCAGAGTGCATACCAAATACGATGTTCTGTAATATTAACAGGGTCTACGGCTCGTTCGTTGGCTGTGGCAGCGAGCGTTGCACCAGCCCTATGGCGTGGAAGTGCCTCAGGTGGCTGCAGAACAAGGCAATTCAAAGATACTCGGAAAACCAATCGCGCTCACACTGATTGGAATTATCGCGGTACTCACATGCCCGAAGCGAGGCCCAAGTAAGGGTCCAGCCGGCGCAAGATTCCCCACGCCCCAATGATATACCCGGCGGCCGCAGCATCGTTTCGACGGTTCCTCTGACCACAAAATACGCAGGTGCAGGTGCAGCTCTTCGTAGGTCACGTTCGCTTTATTCACACCTCGCATACTCTTTATATCACGACACTACCTCCACTTATCTACTTCACTGAGGAGATAATCATCGATATCCAATTCTCGAATACCGCCTTTCTACTTGTGCCGGTTTGAAGCGACTAAACCCGCTTAGTAAGAAACTTGCTCAACGCTAAGACACTAAGCCTAATCCAACCCTCCGCCAAACGTCGCACCCATTCAGTTCACGACAAACCTTTGAGCGCCGACCAGCAGATCCCACGCCTTGACGCCTTAAGCCCCGAGTCATCCATCCGTCTGGCGGGGAGGTGTGACAGCTGTGTTTTCTCGCGGAGTTGAAGTGGACTTGTGCGTCCCACCAACCGCTGAGCCCTGTCAGGTCATCATTTCTCCAGACCGCATCCTGGGAGATAATTCAGTGAAACCAGCGCTCTGATTCCGCTGGCTCTCGACTGAAGTCCCTGGTGCTTTAACTGTGTGCATGTCCGACGTTCCCCCGGGCATACGATCCACCCTTCATCCGTTCCGAGCTCAAGGTCGCTACTGCATCAATCAACGCCTGTGCTGATACAGTATTATCACCGATACTGCGGGAAGCCGGCGCCAACTCTCAGGGTTATCAACGCTCCAGCCGCCCGGAGCTGGACCCTTCAGAGGTCACTAAGGACTGGCCGGGTACCGAGTTTACCTTCTTCTTTGGACACCCACGTTGGATCACAATCGAGCCTGTTGGCCACTTTCCCATGCGGCGAGGATCATACATCTAGCCTAGAATATTGCCACTCCATTTTCCGCGCCGCACGCCACTGCACCCCTCTGCATTACTTTCACGTGCGCGGTGTACAGTAAGCTTGGACATCAGCTCTTTCTCATCAACAGTCTTACTTCGTCCCCGATACACGGCGCACCTGGTGGTTACATGCCCTGGATTGAGCAAGTTATTTCGACCTCATAATAGCCCCGCATCATGTGGGCCGAAGTCAACGGAGAGCGCAAGAAGGTCGCCTGGTAGGTTCTCCCGTTTGTTTGTCTCACCCCTCATGCTATCTTATCCTACTATCTCGTCTTTGCGATTTGTTACGCGCACAATGCATCTATCCGGAAAATTCTTTAGCGACTGCGACTTGCATCGCACGGTCCAGGGTGTCCATTCGCCATGTACTTTGACTGACATTGGATAGCGGTCCGTGCATCCGCGGTCATCGCTCGTCGAAATGCGATCACAGAGATCGAGTGTTGGTTGAGGTGCGGAAGCCTGGTCGGCCGTTGAGTAGCTGTCCACATCCGACTGGGTCTTGCAGTTGCGAGCGTGTCGTCATCAATTACACGATTCCCAAAACATCAGAATGTGCTTGTCCCTCGGAACGAGCTCCGCCCACGGCTACCGTTGCAGGAAACAGCCGAATTACAAAAAGTAGGCGTAAATCTGCAGTACCCACACCATACAACCTTGAGAAGGCCATCCAAGCTGGCTTTGACGCCAAGACCGAGTCATCATCAATCACGTACACACCCTCCGAAACAAGCAATAGCAACGGCGCATCACTTCCGTCAAGTGCGAGCTCAACACCACGTTTACTCCCTGCGCAAAACGAACCCTTGTCGAGTTGCTGCAAGCCAAAGCCGGTTCTGTCACCGGTTCAAGAAGGAGGGTGCTGTGGCAGCAAACCAAAGCCAGTTGTAGAGTTGCCAATACAAAAGAAGTCTTGTTGCTCATCACGCAAACAAGAAGATGCACCCATCAACGGACAGTCACATGGTTATCAACATGTAGGGCATCAATTCCAGTTTCCAGCCCAAGCGGTGATCCCACAGTACCAGAACTTCCATCCTCAAATGCCGTCAGCTGCATCGAACCCCTTCGGTCTTGGCACACCTATCTACAATCATGCGGCAGCAGCCTATCATCGGCAGAACTCTATATCTATGAGCCCAGTCACGAACGACTCCATGTCTCCGTCTGTTGCCAGTCCTCAAATCGGGCAACACGTCCCTGAACACAATTGTCATTGTGGAGAATCATGTAGCTGCTTTGGATGCGCCGCCCACCCGAACAATGCTACTATGATGGAGTATGTCAGGATCATGGCCCATTTCCAATACAACGGCGGGTTCGGAGGCATGGCTCCACCTCTTTACGATATGCCGACATATCCTCATCAACCCGGGTACGGAGCGGAAGCCGGTATGACCTTCAACTCAATGCAACAAGGCTTAGCAACGCCCACACCGACCCAAATGAGCTTTCAACAGAGCATGGATATGCCAAACATGGTGCAGGTACCAATGGCGCTGCCCGGGAATTGGCCACAACAACCAACTCCTTTGCCAAGCCAGCCGCAGGCCCAGTTTTCGAATTCGAACAGCCTTAGTTACAACACGCCATCCATGCCAGGGCCAAGCGACACACTGCGGAAACCTGGTGATACCATAGACTCCCCTGCAGCCAGTAGCCCCAGCGACACCAAAGATGAGGATACAGTGACTCTGTCGCCATCATCTTATTTCTGGAATGAGATGACGTTGCCAAGCTGTTCAGACGCCTCTGGTACGTGTCAATGTGGAGATGGCTGCGCATGCGTTGGTTGTCTGACACATGGCGGCCACACCGGTGAACCTCTTGAAGATACGGCGACGACCGCTGAACGTGACCCTTTTCTCAGTTTCGATACGAGTCTTGCGCTCAACATGAACGATCCAACGGACTTTCTCACCTTCAATCCGGATCCAAGTTGAAGTGGTTACCCTACGATCGTCTTACTTTCCACGAACGCGAAGCGCAGTTGCGCTAAGATTACAGATATGGACTACCAAATATACACCAGCATCATACTCAGTCTGTATTCTCCAAGGAGCGATATGGACAACAGGTATTCAGTCCTCCCTCCGGCAGCGCCGCCTGGATAACCCACCGTCCACTGGCACAGCGAATGACCAGCTTCATCTCCTCTATACGCTGCATCCTCTTCCATCTTCGTTTTGTATGTTTTGAGTGTCGCAGAGGACGCGACGAATGGGCGAACTATCTTTCCATAAAAATGGGAGGATATGAACGTGTTTTAGCATGGTAAGAGGGGACAGTCTGACATACGAGGAATGCAGTCATTTGCGTTCGATTTTTTGTTTCAATTGATGTATTGGTACGATACCCCGGCATCGGGCGGATAGATGACCTCATTGTGGCGCTTGATAGCATTATGAATCGAGACTCAGTCTCTATGCAACGTATATGTTCGCTCATGTGCCATTCATGTTGTTGTTCTTACAATCGCACTGGAAAATATCGTATCGTACGATTACCATTCACGAACCATAGTGACTGAACTAAGGGGAGACCATTCAAGGGCTTGAAACGGAAAAGACCATCCACCACCAATCATTTCATAGAACAACACTCGTAAAGATCTCCATAACATTACTGGTAGAAGAGAAAACCATCTACACATGCGAAGAAAGGTAGTTGTTAGTTGGTTCAAGAAATCCGAAACCTCCTCCAAAAGCTCCGTCGAGATCGCTGCCGCAGTCCGCCCGGCCTTCGCCATTGTGAAAGTACGGACCAGGAATACATGAGCCTGCTGGGATAGACTGATGTGGAAGCAGAAAATATTAGGAACAGGTCCGAGAGTGCTGAAGATCGAGTAGCAACACAGCAAACGAAATATAGGACAGCGGGGTACGTAGGTCTGACGCTGAGCAAAGGGCGTGTGTGCTAGCCGTCCGATAGTACAACCAAGAGGTCACCCCGCTTGATAGCAGCCTGTTCGTATTAGCAGGTATCTTGCTTTGTGACGATGTAGTAGGGTAACATACAGTGCAGCCGCGATCCGGGTCTTCCCAGCAGGTGTCACCTTCACACCACTGGTTTGTAGCGCTCTTGTATCTGCAAGGAGAGATGACGCCATCACCAAGAAAAGTGATATCGTATCCGAGTCGCTCTTTCTTGCACAGTTCGTTCTGCTTTATACTGGAGAAACCTTCCTGCATTGGACCATCGTCGAAGGATGTTCCGAAAACTGCTGGTGCCCAGTTGCCCTTGCCTCCCATCTCTGTACCCCAAGTACAAGCCTCATTTTCTGGTATGCCTTGCTTGTTGACGTAGTACTGGGCTGATGTCTTCTTGCCTTGCCAGAAGAAGTACTTTTGTTGGTCGGGGTTAGCTAGGAAGCCAGTTTCACCAGGGCCAACGGTGACCGGGAAAGTCATGGACTCAGTGCCTACTGCGTGTAAGCGATTGCATCGATTCTGTCAACAAACTGCATACCCGGATAGTCTGTGCGGCAGAAAGAGACAGATTTTGACAGCTTGTTCTGTACCTTCACGCCCATGTGCTTTGAGCCCTGTACGCAAAGCGTATCCGCAATCTTGCCGTCGGCCATCTCTAGGAACCCGTCTTTGTTGCAGTACAAACCTCCAACGCTCTGACCTGTTCTGCCTTGGATCGAGGGAAACGAAGCCTTGAGATAGGGATTGGGGCAGCCATAGGAACAGAAGCTACCAGTTGTGCAGCAAGTGCCGTCTGAACACGACCCTTTGACGACGGTCGTAATGTCATCAAAGCCGTCTGCTCCGACGTATTGAGGATCTTGAATACCTGACCAACCTCCCAGCCCTTCTTGAGTGGTAGGTAAGGCGCCGTAGCCGTACGGAAATTCAGTGCAAGGTATCTTGCCGTTCGGGAATTTCCTGTCGCACTCTGCACAATGACCGTCCTTATCGATCATATCTGCCCAGGGCCGTGAAGAAGTGCCTGATTGCTGTACGGGCTGCGCATTCTGGGAGGGACTCAGTAAAGGGTCGCTCGCTGGTGTCTCAGGCGCGACAGGCTTAGGCACTTCTACAGGCTTCTCGGGAGTAGGCCTTGGTGTTAGCTCGGCGACTTGTATCTGATGCTTGGAAACTGGAGGCGGAGTAGGCAATGCGACAGGACTACTAGTCGATGTCGATAGGACACCATCGTTGTCCCACATTAAGGTGCCATTGGCGATACCTTGGCTTACCTCTTCTTCTGAGATCGCGTGATCATCGAGCCAGTACACGATCTCAGTCTCAACTGCCGCAGGTGCGAAGATGGTGCCACGCTTAAGTGAACCGTGGGTATGAGCGCGACGGTGCAAGTGATGAGGCTTAGCTGCAGTGACCGCAGCAAGCGCAGTGGCGGTAATGATGTACTGAATCCTCATGATAGGCTAAAGCTTTGCGCAACACTTTTGTATGAAGTCGCTAAATACTTCTCCCATTATCAGTCAGAGCGGCAGTGAGGAGTGCGACACGGTAGAGCGACTGACCTGTTATCTCTGTACAAACAAGTATTTCCTCGAAGCTCTTGACAAACGATCGAGTATCACGGTGCTTCTTTCGCTTTTGTTGGCCTTTGTTGCGCTGCAAGGTGCACAAGGAAGTGGCGGAGAAGTATACTAGCAGTACCTAAAGAGTGAAATGGAGATAGAACTCCGAGTGGAGGCACGAAAGAATGACCGGTGAAGCGTGAAGGCGACTGAGTCGATTTTGGATTGCAGGGTCGTAGCGAAGGTAGTACAAAGATACAAACAAGAGCGAGCGTGAGAGGAGTGTTGTTTGTGCTGTGACGCCAAGACAGGGTCTCGCTAGCGTAGCTCCTCTGTTTGCGCAGGAAGGAGCAATGAATGGGAGTGTGCACCTACTATGTTCTGGACCTTCTGAGCCAATAGGCGAGGATGGATTGCTCGAAGAGGAAAGGGCGTTGCGTATGACAAAAGAGCGCATACACGGCACAGGGATGTCTTCGAGGAGTGTCAGTGTGAAAGCGAGTGATTGTAAAAGACGACAATCGAACCAACGACATGAAGGGGAAAAGTAACAACCAACGAGAGAAATTACCAATTTCGAAGGAGGCGCAGTGATATGGCCATTCTGGTTGAAAGCAATTGCGTGGCAAAGATACCTACCTAGGTAGGTACCTTCCAAGCAGACTATCAGCCTGTACCACGTAGGTACGTGTACAAAAGAGACCACAGTGCACCTTCTACGCCCACCTACTACAGGTCCAAAAGTGAACGAGGTTGAAACCAGACACGAAGGACGTTTCATCCATAGCAGCATGGCGTTGATCGCCTGCGGGACACTAGGTTCCTGATAATGCTCTGGTATGCACATGGCCTTGGTTCCTGCGCGGATCGATTCCTCCTGTCAACATGTCGTGCAACGTCGATCTTCGGCTAGATTACAAACAGCCATACGCGCCGGTATTTCACGAACGGATTCGTCGCGGAAAGAACATGGGGGAGTGCGTGAAAGCCAAGATGTTTCCAAATGGCTTTTCCAGTACACTAAGGTCAGCCTAAGCAAGCTCTTGACCGCAGTGCTTGCCCCGATGTGAGTGTTCAACGGCTCGCCCTAATATCTTAACATGTAGTACCGTTGCTCCGATGTTACCGTCGTATTATAGCTTGAGGTACACAGAATATGCGTATGCTCACGATTAGTCGCAACCTGGTCAAACGATGATTGACCTCGAGATGTTGGGCGTCTGTGTGTGATCAAGCTGATAAACCACTGTATCTGCGCAGCGGCGTTCGTAACAGAGACTTCCTTCTCTTTCAAACCTCGCAAAATTTGGTTACTATTGCTGATTCTAGTACTTCCGGTTCATAGGACCATATAACAACCATCTTGCAAACGACGTGGTAGCGCGCAGGTTACCCGGAGCTCGTGCTCTATGCAGCCCTGTTGTCAGGTGTTACAGGTGCAGGCGCAGCAATCCGGATCAGGTACAATACGATCATGAGACCTGCAGCACGACGTGACGTTGATGCATCGATACGCTATGGTGTTGATGAGAGAATGGTAGAGGAGGTGATGTGACGGATGGAAAGGTTGCGCGCTAATCATTGGAACCCCACATGTTTGCCCTAACACACAGGGCTGATGATGTGCCACAACATGACCAGCCATGTTTCGTGACTGCGACAATGTTCTCTACATATACTTCACGGACGTACAGCAATGGCTTTGGTAAGAATGATTGCTTCAGGTATATACAGGTCCTCTAGCGATATGCAGGCGGTCGCTCTGCAGCGCCCCCACGCTGTAGGTACAACAGACTATGTAATCAAAAGGAACTCATTTCTTGAACTGCTGCTAGACAAGTAACCTAGACTTGCTGAACATAGTTGGCGGGTACACTGCGTACTATGCCATCTTTCTCAACGTCTGCCCAGCCATCGCCAGCCTCCATGTTGATCAGAACAAAGCGATCTCCTTCTGACATGGAATGTTCTGCGTCGCTCTGCGCTGTGTAGTCATACAGGGCTTCAACGTACTTCAGCTTCTTCGCGCCACGCTTTGGCGCAACGGCGGGTCCCTTCTTCTTACCGGGAGCGGCAGCCGCATTGAAGTTGGTGGTTGATGCTGACGACGCAGAGTACGTCGAGTCCGGCCTTGTTGATGAAAATGTAGAGGCTGTAATAGGTGGTGTTGCCACCGTCATTTCAACATACGCTGCTGGAACAAGACCTTCTTTAACGCCAGCACGGACTTTCATCCATCCGGAACCATCTATGGCAATGTGTTAGCGAATCAATCAATGACTCCTAAGATGTGGAAGACATCTGATTACATACCATCAGGTTCTACAATAGTAACATCTGTGCCGTCCGCGACAGTCAATTCGCCCTCGCCATTCTCTTGATAAGCGTACAGCATTCTACCCTTCGCTTCTGCAGACTTGGGTGGGGGTGGAGGAAGGTCTTCGTCGTTTTTGACATATTGCGTAGGTGGTGGTGCAACCAGCCGGTTCTTCCTGGCACCCGGTACCGGTGCGGGCGCCTTCTTCTCTGGTGGGGGAGGAGTCTCTTCGACAGTGGGCGACATACCTCCGGATATTGACCGGTGCGCAGTCGCTGAGTAGCCAGAGCTGAGAGTGTTCATGGAATTTACGGTGTCGCTTCTCCCAAGTCGGGGCATATCTGCGTTGGAGCTCGTCGCTGTGCCATTCGTCGCTGTCACTGTGTGTGCAGCCTTCTGTCGCTCTTCCTTTAACTTTTTCTTCTCCACCTTGGACTGTTCACCAGGACAGTCGGCGGGGACCTTCATCTCGCACTTGCTGTGGCACGTATAACCACAGTCTTGACAGTCGTATCCTTTTGCTGATAAACCCCATATTCGATCTCCACACAGATCACAGTTCGTAGGTATTTTGAACGTCTGCGACTTGAAGTTGTGATTCCTTGCGCCAATGCTCAGGTCGCCGACGACTGAAGTGATCGTCGAGACTTCCACCTCCGCGCTCACTTTCTGGCGTTCCACCTCATGCATCTGTTCTTGTATAGCAAAAACAGCGCGAACAATATCCACTTCGTCCCTTTTGTCTTTTCCGTCCCTAATATTCTGTCGTACCGTTTTGGCATTCTCAACTTCCTTACGCTTCTTCTCAAGTTCTCGTTTGTACTCCCCTAACGAATTCTTTGATTTGGTGAGGACATTGCGCAGGAAAATCGTTGCAGACTCGTCGACGGCGATACTACTGTCGTCTAGCCAAACCGGGCTGGGCTCGAATTGGAAGTCGCCAGGCTCCTGGAATGAACCAGCGTTGTGCCGTACGAACATCATGGAGTCGAGCAGAGGGTTGTTGCGTGGAATCTCGCCGGAAAGGTGCTTCAGGTACTCGGTACTTCGTGTGAGTGTCTGGGTCTCAATCTGCGCGGCAAGTGACCATATCGAATTCAGCTTGTTGACTCGTGTTTCCGAAAGATCTTGGAGGCTGTCGAGCAGCTCAGGCACATACTCGTGGTAGTACATCTCCTTTTGCTTGTTGGTTACGTTGATGCTGATGAGATAGGTATTCTACGATAGTCAGCATATGAGAAGTGGGAGTCGGCATGCTGCATACCTTGACGTTACGCATCTCGATTTGCTGCTGTTCAAAGGCATTTCGCGCCTTGCCTTTGCCGTGGTCAAATGCGCCATCAACCTTCTTGCGCCGGCTCTCGACTTCCTGACAGACGCTGTCGTATTTGCCCTTTTGCTTGCGCAACTCGCCATACTGGTTGTCGCGCTCCTTCTCCAGCTTAGCAGCATAGTCGCCGTGCAGTTTGCGCAACTCTTCGGTCCGTGTACCGAGGACCTTCAGGGGGTCAGCGAGCTGGGTAATGAGGGCGCCAGCGAATTGTTCGTGTTCGGCGGCGCGGGACTCGAGGGTGCTTAATTGAACACCCCATGTGGTCATAGAAGCGCTACATGGACGTGTCAGTAACGCTCAACCTTATGCGATGGCAGCCGTACCTCTCGAGCGAGCCTGGAGTAACGGTAGGAGTGTCACCAACACTGAGGCTGCTCTGCTTCTTCGCCTTCTTTTCATAGTACTTTTTCGCAAGCGCACTGAGTTTCGCCGAGTATTCCTTCTCTATGGCGCTTCGTTCCCGGTAGAATGCTTGGATGTCGTCTAGCCAGGAGATACCTCCGGAGACCTGTAATCGCGTGCATCAGTAACATGAAGCGCAATACACGTAGCCAACAGCGCTTGTATCGAGGTCTTCTGGAAAACCATGACACATGTGTATGACGTACCCAAGCGTTGACTGTCTTGAAGCCATCCTGTAATTATCCGTCAGCGCATGCTCGGTGGTGCCGCTCCAACTCCGCATACCTTCAGTTCAGCGCCGAACTGGGGCGCAATGTCGACCTCCATGATTCCTGTAATATGTATGGGTCGAGCGCTTGGAGAGAGGGGACTAGAACCCCAGACATAGAGGGTGAAGGACTTCTGAGGCGAGGGCAGGAAGGGTTACGCGGAGTATACCAGGTGGTCTTGGTTACCGGCTGCCCAATTAGTGGGGCAAGAGGAATGGCAGCGAGGCGGTGCGTGCCGAGGAGGGAAGGCCGGGATCTTGGGCCGGTGACGCTGAATCTTGGTATTCTTTTGCTCCTCTTCTATTATGTGGTGTGGTGAATAGTGGTACCAGAAGACTACAATGGCATGCAGGAACAGGGTCATGGAGCGCTTTCACTCGGTCGCGCCTGCACACATGCTCGGGGCCTGTTCATGCGGCTCGCACGCTAAACCTGGCTAGCGTCTCAGCCCCGCCAAAGTCGACATCTGGAGCTCTCACAATTTCCAACGCGTTCTTGGTACCTGCAACATCACAGCCATTACCTCACCACACACGACACCATTCCGTTCCGAGCGAGCCTCAAGTCTGTATTCGTAGCAAGCCGCTCTACTCAGCAGACCATCGCGACTATCTCCAAGGTCGCACCTTCCCCAACTTCACCGCCCGCAACGCGACCCGCAATCGCCTACCATGTCGACCAGTGAGGAGACACCCGCCAAGCAAGAGCCCGTCGAGGAGACTCCTGCGCAAGAACCCCAGCAAACCCAAGAGGGCTCGCTCGAACAGGCTCAGACCGATGGCAGCGGTCCACCAGGAAATGGCTCTGCCTTGGCTGAACCCGAATTTAAGGTCGAGGTCAAGCTGGCCGACCTGCAGGCAGACCCCAACAACCCGCTATACTCCGTCAAGTCTTTCGAGGAGCTTAAACTGTAAGATATATCCGCTCGTAAGCTGGGCAAGCTAACAACAACAGCTCCGATGAACTCCTCAAGGGCATTCGCAACATGAACTTCAGTAAACCTTCCAAAGTCCAGGAGAAGGCCTTGCCCCTACTTCTGATGGAACCGCCCACCAACATGATCGCGCAGTCGCAGTCAGGAACTGGCAAGACTGCTGCCTTCTCGCTCAACATCCTATCTCGTGTCGACCTATCCAACCCCGAGCCGCAAGCGTTGGCACTCGCGCCTAGCCGAGAACTCGCCCGTCAGATTCTTGGTGTCATCACACATATGGGTCAATTCATGGAAGGTCTTACGACTATGGCTGCCATCCCCGACCCGTCACGAAGGGGACAACAGTTCAACGCCCAGATTCTTGTCGGCACCCCAGGAACTGTTCAGGATATGCTAAGACGGCGTCTTATCAACCCAAAGGGTATCAAAATTTTGGTCTTAGACGAGGCCGACAACATGCTGGACCAGCAGGGTATGGGCGAGCAATGCACTCGTGTCAAATCACTCCTGAACAAGGACATTCAGACAGTCCTCTTCTCCGCTACCTTCCCGCCAAACGTTATCGCATACGCCAAACGCTTCGCACCCAACGCGAATACGCTTACTCTAGCTCATGAAGAGCTGACCATCGAGGGTATCAAGCAGCTGTACATTGATATCGACAAGGACAACGACAAGTACGCGACATTGCTCAAGTTCTATGGTCTGATGACACAAGCATCTTCAATCATTTTCGTCAGGACCCGAAGGACGGCTGAGGAGCTCGAGAAGCGCATGGTTGCCGAAGGCCACAAGGTTGCACAACTGAGTGGTGCACTCGAAGGTCCTGAGCGTGATCGCATTATCGACCAGTTCCGCTCCGGAGAGGCCAAGGTACTCATCACCACCAACGTCCTTGCTCGTGGTATCGACGTGCAGTCTGTCACCATGGTCATCAACTACGTAAGTTACATTCCAGAAAGACATCTATAACATACTAATCGTTCTACCAGGACGTGCCAACCATGGCAAACGGACAAGACGCAGACCCAGAGACATACCTTCACCGCATTGGTCGTACCGGTCGCTTCGGACGTGTCGGTGTCGCTCTCACCTTCGTTCACGACAAGGATAGCTGGCAACAACTGAATTTCATCGCAAACTATTTTAAGACCGACCTACACCCCATCGACACGTCGGACTGGGACGCTGTCGAAGATATGATCCAGAAGATTATCAAGTCGTCACGAGCGGGCAAGACCACAGCGGAGATGACGAAGGAGTTGACCGGATAGGAAGAGTTGCGATCTGGGAGTTCAGGATAACTTCGCAAGAGCACTAATCTTTCGAATGCGTCTAGAAGTTCATTTGTGGATGATCTGTCTAGGGAAATCAGGCTTCTGAAAGATAGCGAGCAGAGGGCAGAGGATAACGCAGAACCGTTGGCCTCGATGAAAAGATAAAAGAATCACGTACGATGGAAATGAATCAAAGATACCCAAGCTTAGCAACAAAGTAAACCAAGTCTTTCTCTTCTTCATCATCATCATCACCATCATCATCATCATCATCATCATCATCGTCATCTTCTTCTTCACGTCTCAAACGCCCCCGGCGCCGTAACCACTATGATGATAAGCGAACTAGCTATCAGCGCGCCCGCTATCGCGCTAACTATGATAATACTCCCTCTAGATGCAGGGAACTTGCCCCGTATAACATAATGCTGTGCTTCAAAATACCGATGGAAACCTATCAGGAGCATCAAGATGGAGATACCGATGAAGGTTGCGCCGAGCGGTTTCCCCAAATGCCGTAGTTTTGCCTGAGGAGAGGCTGTGTTTGATGCGTCTGGAGAGTTTGAGAGAGAGGTGTTTAGACGGAAGAGTTGAGTTATTGCTATGCCGATTGAAGCAAAGGACAGAGATGTGCGGAGCCAGGCTAGGAACGTCCGCTCTGTACATCCCATTAGTATTGGCATCTTCCGGTTTGTGGTGCGGTTCGTCACGTACCCAAAGCCAAATGGTCTCTTGCAACACTCCCCTTGTTGTCTAGTTCCACACTCCCGTACTTTTCCCAGAACCCGCTCCACCATCCTTTCTCCCGTCGCTCTACCGCCGCGGCTTCCCTTTCTGCGCTTCTTGTGCGCTCGGTGGTTGTGTCGCCGTTTAGTCGTCTCTGGTCGGTAGCTGGTTGTAAGGTACCCGCTGTACCTTCTTGCTGTGCACCAGAATCCGTGGCTGCGGGTCCCTGAGGTATGGAAGACACGCCATTTGGATCTTGAGATGGATTCGCGGCTTTAGTGTTGGTGGTAGTAGTGGTTGAGTGTTCGCGCGCACGGATATCAGGGGATATAGAGTTGTAGTCCTGGTTGCGAGATTGCGAACTTGTGACTATGGGCGAGTTCTCGTCGACGCTGAGCGTTCGCGGTGATATGGCGTCGCGGTCGGAGTTGCGTTTACGGGCTCCGCTTACGTCTGCCATTCTTCCTTCCTTTTCTCTAATTCACAATACGCAGATACTGATCGCTCCGTGATACCTCTATTATTCCAGTAAATCCGCATGAGCTGAGACTTGGAATTGTTGCGGAGGGTCAAGTAAACGTCGTAGGAAGCGTCATCCTGCACCGAGGTGGATTCGGGCGAGTATCGGGGCTCTGGCACGCGATGAGCCGTTCCCCGTGGGGGTGATCAAAGTCGTCGGCGTACACTTCGCATGCCGGTGTAATTATGCAATTACCCCCTGGATGCTTGTAGATACCCTAGGTTAGGCATGTCAGAGCTTGAGATGGGCGTAGCGTGATTGTGCTTGGAAGTCACGCAAGACCCGCATCTGCGACTGGCCTATAGAAACGAAGCGTATTCCGCAACCCACATAATTGAAGCTAACATTTGGGAATGGTTTGGACACTTTGCATCATGCTGCGGTATCCTTGCATTGAGGGAAAAAAAACGCAAAGTATCGTAGTACAAACTTTCATATTGCAATTCAAAGATGTTGCTGGTATATCCCTTGCCAGCAAGCCTTCTATACCTCCGATACATGACTATTTCGTACATGCAATGCCCATGATAACAGTGTGGCCGTAGGGTGCCCCCCACAAACGCCGCCCAAAGACCGCCCAAGGAAGCAGCCTGGAAATAAATTGTACATCACCTCCGATCTTCTTACTCATTGTAGTGGTACACCTGAAGTTAAAATTAACAAGTAGTACTTAGCAAGCATGATAGAAAACAACTTACAAGGTAGTTTGGCAGTCCAAAACTTTCCCAGTTCAATCGGTTCGCCATCTTGGCGAAACCCTCCGTCTCGATGAGGTGGTAGAAGGCGAACGGCGGGAACATGGCGCCATCTCGGTGTACTTCTGCCTTGACGAGTAGAGTGGCACCACCTACACCGTCGAGCTTGATCTTCGCCTTGGGATCCGCAGATGTATCGTGCATCTTAGCCATGAGGCTACGGTAGGTAGCCATCTCGGCATAACCTTCCAACAGAATATCGTCCTTGCCCATCTTAGAAGCAAGGTCCTTCGCTGTAGGGCTGTCGATCCAGTTGTTGAAATCGTATTCCCGAATATCCATAGCCTTCTTCTCTTCGTTGTAGTATCGCTGGAAGCAGTTGGGGACAATGATGGGCACGTCGTAGTCGGCCAGGTCTTGGATGAGGGTGGGTGGGGTCTCGACAATGTCCGCATCCATCCACAGAACCCACGAGGTTGTGGGACCCAGGGTTGTGAACAAAAGCGAATTGCGCGCCTTGGCCATAGCCGCCCGTCGTGCCTTCTGGTTCTCCATCTTGTGACGCTCGGCCTCGCTCTGCGACTGAAGTGGTGACTCGGTGTCCTGACGGAGGATGGTAATTGCGGCGAAGCGGTTCTTCTTGGATCCTGTTTGTGTCTTGGTGACTTGTGCCTGCAACGCAGCGTATGCGGCATTGCCTTCCTTTGTTTTTGGTATTATGAAGCCCAGTGAAATGAGATTGTGTGGGTAGCTGAGCTTAAGGAGGTTGTCCCAGTACTCTTGGTAGAACTTTGCCAGTGGTGTGAGGATAAGGACCGTCTCTTCATTTTCAATTGGCGTGCGCGTGTTGGTCACGTTGTTCATGTAGTAATGTACCACGGGCGGCGCGGCCTGTGGAGCGTTCGCTTTCGACTTGCGGAACGGTAGCGATGGTGGGGAGAGCGGGTTCGAGGCTACCTCACCCCCTGCCTTTCTGGCAATTGATGGTACATCGCTACCAGAGAAGAAGAAAACGAAGAAGCCAATGCAGAGGATGCCGGCAAGGATTATGGTAATGGGATTCGAGCGTCGAAACGAGCGTGACATTGTGGGTGGACGACTAGGAAGGAAGGCGAACCGTGGCTGCCAGAATAGGAAGGGCCTATGAATGGCGCATCAGAAGAAGCAAAGGCAGGTGGTGGTGAGGTTGTGGGTGTGGTTCGGCGCAAGGAGGTGTGCGAGACGTGGCCTAGCCGGCGCACCAAAAAGTGTCAGCGGCGTATACGGACGCGAAGGCGGGTCTCGGGCGTCCTTTTGGCTCCTAGGGAGTATAGACACGGCTGGTTGACAGGCTCAATGCTTGGGCTGGCAGGTGACAGGTGTGCTTGCTATGCTACCACGGCCGTTGTCGCGAGATGCGGCTCTCTGCTTACGTACTCATCTCATCTCCAGGGCCTGCAGGCATCTTTGGTAGTGCCATCTGCTAGCTTCCGATAGTGCGTCATGACCATCTGCACATCTTCAACACCACCTCCACCCTTCACTATGGTCAATTGAGCCTCGACAAATGCCTCTACTGGTCACACGACAATGGCCAGTCCTGAGGCGTGCCGCTGCCGCCACTCGCACTCTGCGCTGTTTATCCAGCACATCTGATAGATGGAGAGGGTCCGCCGATCAACTCAGAACTTCCCGCTCTGCATCTCAATTAGTACGGTCTCTTCACTGCGGCATAATCGTACCAAGATCCGTTGAGACTCGCGTAAGAGCATCAGTTCGATTTGCTGATGCATCCTAACAATATCCATAGCCACACGAACTTGTCAAGCATATTCATCCCCCGGAACCAGAAGTAGTCCGACAAAGGACCTTCTGTGTCTTTTTCGTCACGCCGTCTTATGCGCAATACCTACGGGACGATGATGCCTTCCTCCGCAAAGCTCTCTTGCACGCATACGGGAAGGCGAGCCACCATGAAGGTCTCTACATACATGCACTGTGTGCTGTTGTAGACAAGCTTCCCATCCGCAGAGTTCATCGCGTGCCCCAATATCCGGAGCTATCGCCACGCTCCACCAAGCCATCTGTCGCTGAAACTGGGCTTGAGGGAATTGCCTATGCGTTTCTTCTGCCTGACGATTCTGTGTCGTCCCAAGCCCTTTCGCCATCAGACAAGGGTGCTATCGATTTCATATACGCGGAACATGAATTCAAGGACACCGTCTGTCGTGACACATTACGTCTGCCTCTCTCAAATACTGTCTTCCAGACGGGAACGCCATCCACCATGATCCTTTCGACCTGGAAGACTCTGGGCGTGGATCGTGAGTTGACTCCTGTATCCAAGACGAATATTTCTCATCATGGAATTCGTTTAATTGAGCGACAAGACCCTTCACAACTTCGCCCCGTTCTTGACGTGCCGCTAATCCCGCTGACAATGCCTCGCATAGTCCAAGGGTGCATGGGCAACATTATCCGCGGCGTTATCGGGCCTGAGGGTAAAGCTATGCAGGCCTCCTCGGAACTTGAAAATGTCGTTCCTCGATTTTTCAGATCGCGGAGACAACCCGCGCAAGCAACAGTGGCTTGGGCACTGGTGATTCCAGGAGAATTGAAAGCTGTCATTGCCGCTAGAACAGATGAGCTCCTCTCCGGCTTGCCAACAGACAACGAAGGTACGGCCTCTAAACACGAAGATACATGGGAACGTCTATGGCGCAGTGATCCTCCTCTATGGAATACGCTCGTGTCGAAAGCAATTTCTGAAGGAGCACGTCTCCACCGTGTCTTGAGTGGTGGAGGCGGATGGGGAAAGAAAGCTGGTCTGTTGTCGTTGGATCCCGTTCCGACCAATCAAGTTGCGGAATCATCAAAGGACAACGATTTCCTCGGCATGGTCAATGATCCGGAAGATTTTGAATCGACCCTTACGCCAGTGGTGCGAGACGGAGACTCGATACAGTTTTTCATCTCGCCTAAATCAGACCTCGAACAGATGGCTCAGGAATACAACAATGTTAATGGTGTGAAAGCACTTGCAGCAACCGATGGAGGCGAGCCTTGGGGCTGGGAGTTAGGCACTGTTCCTAGCACTATTGACTCAGTTCCTGGAGAGTCCTGGCAACACCGTCCATCTGAATCGACAAACATCTATAGCTTCCATGGCTTTGGTGCGTTGACTGAAGGGCCAATGACACTCACGCAACACTCTCAGGTGGATAAGAGCAAGGCTAGCACTGTCAATACTACTACGATCGACGTTCCCTTCTCTCGTCTCTCGGCGTCTGTACGTCTAGCTAAGCCTCGCCGGGAGAAAGAGGACGTAGGTGAGCCTGATGTGAACTAGCTCCTCCCTTCGATGTATTCTGATAACTCAGGTAGTCAATCCATGAGCCAAATACACTGAATTCTCTGTCGTCCATCAGTGCACAAAGTCCAACTAACAGCCGGCCAACTTTGCAGGCAGCCAGTCTGTCTTCGTTTCAGCAGAAGTGTGGCTTTCGATATGCTTCAATCCCCAAGGCTTCTCACACCGTGCGCGAGTTCTCCAACACTGTTACTACCAAAGAGCCACCACGATCTCCTCCAAAGCTAACAGTATCAGAACTGGTTCGCAAACTCAAGATAGAAGGTCACTCTACCTCTGGTCGGCTCCGAGTTCGAACAGCGAAAGCTATACTGCGCAGACTTGAGAAATTGTTTGACAAACAGAGAATGCAACACAGAGTGGTCATGTCAGCGATTCGTCAATGGGATTGTCGCTCTATGGTTGTGAGGTTTAGGACAATGACGGTCGAAGTAGCGAATCTGGCGGAAGAGCTTGATTCCGTTTTGCACGACATTCATCGTAGGCCTGTTAGGAGAATTCCCTCCGAAGGGAAAGGTAAACTAAAAAGAGAAAAGCTTGAGAGGAGTGCGAAGAGGAGGGAGAAGAAGAAGGCTCAATCGCCATCACGTAAAGAAAGTGCAACCCAGAAAGACAACAAGACTCAGTCAGTGTCACCTACGACTACCGCAGTACCAGTTCGCAAGTTCCTTTCTTATGGAATGTCTATATCCAGCGAGATCAACAAGAAAGTGCAATCTGCGGTCTCCGAAGTCTCCCGTTTGACAGAAGAAGCTAGAGCGATTATGGCCAACATTCAGCAGTATAGACCCAGGATCCGCAAGATGCCTGTGTCTAAATTGGCAACATCGCAAGCTTTGAATCAAACACTGGGCTATGCAGTTCAAGAGGTTCTACATCTGACGGAGGAAGCGAGAACTATAATGGCCACGATCCAACAGCGCAAACGACATAGTTCTTGGCGGTTCATAAGAAGATGGGGCCGCGATACTACAGCTCTTCCCGTTGGCCCTGGGACTTCGCCCACAGATCTATTGACATGGGCACGCAGGAACCTCCGAGCCTGGACACTAGGCATCAAGTACCTGAAGAAGGAAGTAAACCTCGTCGGCACTCTTATCCGCCAGCGTAAACGTTCACGTCGTAAATCCGGCATTAGTGAACCGCGTATCATAAGAGACCAGTGTCTACGGGTAAGACGGGTAAGACACCACACCATCAATGTCGTCCGGCACCCATCACAAAGCTGGGTAGTACGGAAAACGGCGTCTAATCAGGGGTCTGGACTGTCAAGTATGCGGCAGAAGATCACAGAGAAGAAGCGCAAGAGGACTGAACTCGCTCTTACGGTGGAGTCGTGGCTAAAAGGGGGTGGGAGCTATGGTCCAGGCTAAAGCGGTCTTGAGTCCTTTCTTGGGAGGGCAGGGTGGCAAGAGAGTGAACTTGGAAGGGGTGGAAGACGGCGGCGGAAGTGAGGAAGCCATGTGTACAGTAGAAGAAGAATACAGGCGTGGTTTCGCAGGCTGATGAATACGTAATCATGCAGAACAGGAAAGCATGGCGGTAGAGATGTTCAAAGCAGATGCTGCATGTATTCATGATGAACTTACCCGTCCTTGCGCGGCTACAGTAACGAAGCTCCCACGTTCTATCGCATATCCCCTCAGCTCGTTTCGCTGGTGTCAAAGACATATAAGTACTGGCTTTACTCTACCTGATCTTCTCCCTTCTATCTATTATGCTTTTCCCCTCCACTCCGAAAGAAAAAGACTTTGTGCCACATGATGAGCCGCTGGTTGTCGAAAAGGCCACCTGACATATACATGTTTGCCACTCTTCTAGGTGGTCGAACACGAAAAGCATGCTTACATGCTACACGTTGTTCTCAAGTCGAAACTGGCAATGGTACGACTTATGTCGCTACATTGAAACACTCAAAACGAAGACTGGGACACCATATGGCTGAGCAGTCATAAATCGGCATTCGATAACGCCATGGCAAGTTCTGTCGCTCCCGGCCGTATCCAATGTATATATATATATTGAGAATTACGGCCTATGTTTGTTCCTCTAGCTCTTGCGAGACATCTACACCTGTCTTTCCAAGTTTACCTCGTTACAAAGCCATGAGGTTCGAAAAGCCTGTCGTACTACTAACCGGAATGTTCTCCTAAGTCTTCATCCTATCAGGGTCCCTCTCCAAAAGACATGCAGTATCCGTTGGCCTTCTTTGAGCCGTCTAGCAACGAGTCTACAAGTATATTCAGTTGCCGCTAGAATGCATGGTCTTTTACTACATGTGTAACTGGGGTTGGAGCTGTTACATGACAAGACATTGGAAATCGGAAGGTTCCAAAGTTAATCGGGACTTCGACATATGGCCAGTGGAGAGTCTCGCTCGGTGAATTATAAAACATCCCCTTACTCCCTTGGTGCTTCCTCCGTTCTTCATATAACCTCTCAATTTTTGCCCCCAAAAATGAGAAACCACGGGAATATGGCTGTAAATTCATCACTGCTCTTTACCTTCCAAGCATCTCGGCTGTTCCGTTCGGGTAAGAGAGCTAATAGACGTCCAGGATTGAAGTGTATGGACATAGTGGGGACTGGTGCCCTCATATTGTCAGCATGTGGAGAAAGTAGTCAGTAGTTCATAGGCACATCCTCTTTAAAGCCCATAAACGGACTTAGTAATCCATGTACGGCAAAATGGTTGTCAGAGCAGAACAAGAAATGAAACAAGATCAAGAATTAGGTACCCGCATTTCTCTCGCCACGCATAATCCACTACCTATAGTAAGCCTGTAAACCCTCGCCAGCGCCAATCAATTCAAATGATTGCTACGTATGCATAGCCATCCAGCTTTTGCCCTGTAAACTCCGAGGCTCATGAACACACAGGCGAAAAGCAAGCAAAAAACATGGTGGATATATGTATCGTTCAACGTTTGTCCGGGCACGGAGAATTAAGAAACTCCAGGGCATAAAACACACACAATCTTCCTTATGAGGTGGGGCAGCATAATGCTGTCACACTGCTCTAGCACAGATGTGCTGGGAAGGGTTGTGGTACGCGAACGTGATATCGGGTATGGTCGTCGCTCAGGTCGGAATGAATCAACAGAAAGACAGAACACGTCAGACAGTCAAAGCATTCTATAAGTCGACCTTTGATGCCGTAAAGTCCCAGAGCATCTTGACGAGGGAATCGGGTAGGGTGTAGAGATCGACATGGAACTCTCCGTCTGTCAACTGTTAGCATGTTTGCTGTGGCAATGTAACAATAACCAAAACATACTCTCAACGTCGTTCTTAGTGTACGTCTCGCTTGTCTTGTTATCGTGTACCAGGGTGACGACGTGTAGCAGGTCATCCTCGCCCAGCTTCTGCAGTCCATCGGCAAGCTTCTCCATGTCTACATTCTTGTCCCTTCGGTTCTTCTTCTTAGCCGCGTCCTTGTTGCGCATGCCGTTCGCCTCGGCGGGTCCAGACTCTGCGAGGAGGGAGAGGAGCTCAGGCTTGGGGTTGCGGAAAGTCTGCGATGGATGGATTAGGCATGTTTTGGCTGGATGATAGTGTATAGACTTACAACTTGGTGCTTGGCCTCGTAGCGCTCTGCCTGGAAGTTTAGGTCGTGGTCGAGCGTGTGGTCGCCGCCCTTGCCAATAGCGGTCAAGACGATGGTCATGTCGAATTCACCCCAGCCCTTTTCATCGATGCGGAACGGCGGCTTCTTGATGACTGTTGGCTTGTTAGTAAGACTTCCTACAGATGACGCATTATCCAGAGCACTCACCGTGCTTGTTCTTCTCGAATGACGGATGCAGGTTGTAAACAGCCTTCTCGAAGACGTTGGGCATGACCTCATTGCCCTGGTCATCCAGCAGCCAGATCTCTATGCTCCATGATCGCATGGGGTAACCCTCAACGGGCGAAGGCTCCGCGCTGTGGGTGCGTGTTAGCGACTGCCGGCATATAGACGCGTGATTTGGGCAGGCGCATGCGATTGCGCGCGAAGTGTACGTACATGGGCTTCTGGTGAGTGATGAGCTTGACCCATCGCTTGACCTGCGCGAGTATCAGTATTTCCGCGATGAACTTAGGCGTATCTCTAGGGTGCAACTTACGTCAGGCATCTTGTTTGATTTGCGCCGCGAGGACTGCGGAGTACTGCGAATGTACTTTGTTTTGGCCTACTGGAATAATATACGCTTGAGGTATAGAGGATGACTTCAAGTTGGGCGCGGTCTCGTGTGTCTGCTTCTTGCGACAAAGCCTGTGCGCGTGTGGTAAAGGTAAAGGTCTGGGGATGCGCGGTGGCTGGTCTTGGGTCGCGAGCTCTGATTTGGCGAGTTAACTGAGAGAGATGGTCGCGGGGCGGCGGAGACGGAGACTAATTGCTTTGGTCTTGGCGCAAACCATCAAGCTCTTTGAGAGCTGCACGAGCACGGAAGCCTGCCTGACAGGGGACTAGCTTCTGCCACATAGTAGGTGAGAGACGTGATACAGCGTCAATCTAGTCGTCTGCATTACCAGCGAGGGTGCAGGTAATAGACGGCCAGGCTAACTCTACGACAACTGAATGGCATCACTACAGAAACGCATATTCAATCAAATCATGCGTGGGGGGACGCCGTTGACTACAGTAGTCGGGCCATTTAGTTACTATCTAGTTATGTGCAGGGTGTGGGTAATCTCTTCTACCACCATGATATGATACCGTCCCTAACCGTCATCACTGTTCGTGCAATCCGTCTTCTTTTCATATCTCATCCTATCGTCCAACTCACTATTATCCGACAGCATCTACTGCTCCGACTTGCCGAACAGCGCTTCGTTCTCCTGCTGGGCCTTGATGAAAGCCTCCTTGAACTGGTTGGCGTCTGCAAAGTATCGTTAGTATGTCGCCGTGTAGTTGTAGCCACCTTCCAGCACTCACTCTCGCTGTTGGCGAAACGGATAGCCAGGGTCTGAGCCTCGGGCTCGCCCTCGCTGACATCGGCGGCGGCGTTCCAGACCCAGCTGCGGTCGCTGCCTACGTTGGGCGACAGCTTCATGTCAGGGACAACTATGCATTTCTCAGTATTTGCTCCCATATCCGCGTTCCGTGTACCATACCGTAGTGGTTGGCGCAGACCTTGAGTGTCTTGTCTCGTCGCATGACCAGACGGGTCTTGCCGTTCTCCTTGTGCTTCAGTAACCGGACGTCACCAGTGCCTCGCTCCTTCCACTCCCGCGATTCCCTGTCAAACTTGAACAGCTTGGCGCGCATCTTGAACACTTGCTCCTCGAGCTCCTCGTTGGTCTTGGTGTCGACCTTCTCGGTGAGGTGGACGACGGGCTGGAAATCGACATCGGGCTCCTCGTTCTCGGGGTCTTCGTCCTGTCGCTGTGTTAGTATGCCATATGAACCGTCTGGTGGTATTCGTACTTCGCCCTTGGGCTTTGAGGCACCTGATGGCTCATTGACATCGTCCGTCTCCTCCTTCTTGACCTTTGCGGGGCCGCCACCAAACATGGAGAAGACGTTGTCCTTCACTGCGGCTGCCGCCTCTGTCGCCTTCTCGGTGATGGGCTTATCATCCTTGCTCTCTGTGGTAGTGGTAGTCTCAGGCTTGTCGGCAGCCTTGTCTGTCGTGACCTTTGCGGTCTCGTCCTGAACAAGAGTCGCCGCAGGGTTGGCGACCTGCTCGGCGGCGGGGTCGGGCTTGGCTGCTTCAGACATTTTCTGCTATGGATGAGTAATATCTGGGTCTGCGTATGGTAAGAAGAGAGGCGTGTTTGTGGGTGGGATGGGTGTTGTTTGTGGGTTCTTGTGTCAACACCCTGCCTGTAAATTGAGGAAGTGGGATGCCCCTCCAGAATGCGCCTTACCCTGTTTGGCTCAGGGACGTGCGTGATATCCCTGCCCAACGCGCCGTCGCAACTGACACATTGTGCACCGTCCCACGTTTGCTGTCAATAGTCATATCAGCAGCTCACAGAATACAGAAGCATATGTCATGTGCTTGAAGCTGCAATACTAGCGGGGGAGGGGGGTTTTATGCGAGCCTACAAGCTACTGTAAACCCACTGTGGTATACAATGAATTCGACAAGCCCTATAACTCCTAGTCATCCCACCATACATTCCAGTGTCCCAATCCAGTCCCATGGGTATAACTCTGCACCTTCGTGTTTGCACTCCAGTCCTACATACGCCGCATAAACAAAAGAAAACAGTACAGGAAGTGACGTGAAATCCTCCACTGCGTGCCGTCTCTCCTAGGCCCCTCCTCGTACCTTTGCGCAAGCCCAGCTCTGCTTCTCGCTGTCTTCCTTAGCAGACATCCCTGCAGCCATTTCCATCTTGCACCTGACGCGAAGAGCATTCATCCTGGCCCTCCTCATCGCTGAAGACGTCCGCACCGGTGCGGTTACCTTTCGCAATCCCATCCATGTAGCATCTGGGATCTGCCTTGCCCGCCGAGCGTTCATCTCCAGTCGGTTCCTAGTCTCTTGGATTTGCTTTGAGGCGTATTTGTCTAGACCGGCCATGTATACCTGCATAGCTTGGGCGGCTGTAGTCGAGACATTTAGAAGGGCCATCTGTGTATCGAACATGTTCAACTTGGCGGTGTCGAGAAGTTGGTCAAGCGTTGACTTGTTATGTCCCAGCATTACTTCGAACGATTGTCGCAGCAGAGGCTTTGAGTGAGTAGCGATACTGACATTGAACTTGTCAAATCGATATTGCTGTTCCAGATCGACAATGTACTCGCCAGTGATGGTTCGGTTGTAGCGGGCTGGTACCTCTTCCGACTGGTGAGAAACTTGGATTTGAAGCTGGGGCTTTTTCCGACTTGAGCTGAACGCCTTTGAAGGACGAAGAACGAACTGGTGATCCCCGGTGGTCTGGATCTCAAAACCTCCAACCTGGTCGCTCTTCGCCTTTAGCTTTCGGTCGGGCTGCTTCTGCTGAGGGGATACGAGGGTGAGCCCTCCTTGAAGTGCTGCTGGGATTGACGTGGAAAATGACAACGGGGAGTGAGCTGCGCTTGGAGAGACTGCTGCTATGGGTGTAATTGTGGACATGAGGCTCTGCGTCTCAGATACGGCTGGTGATACCGACTGAATCTGTGATACTTTCTGGTAGAGCATAGGGAGGTAGGCTGTACCCTGAAGAAGTGCAGGAACGAGGGCGAATAAGAGGATAGCAGATGCTAGCCACCTAGCCCAGTGCAAATGCGAACCAACCTTCTTCGTGGACGCCTTAGACTTGTCACTGAGCCAAGATGTACGGGCGGTCGGAGCCTTTGTGCCTTGTGCCGTCGCTAGATGAGGGCTGATCAGCGCGAGATGGCGGTTAAGCTGTGATGGCTCGAGTTGGTCGAACTGGTGGATGTCAAGAGGCAGCACTTCCTTCAGCTCATAATCGGTGCTTGGGTTGTCTCGGCCTTCTACACATATCCTCAACGAAGTATTCTCATCAACAGAAGATCCAGCCCCAAATGGATTGGTCTCAGCAAGTTCGATGCATGGGATTGCCTCGTGTTCAAATACTTCCTTAGCAGATGCAAGATCTTGCTTGTCAGCAGTGTGGTCAAGGACGCTTGGATGGCATATGACCACAAGGTCTGGTCGATCTGGAGAGTGAGCAGACATGCCAGAACCGAACTTAAGTTGGCGTCCATCTTCCATGATCGCGAGGACGTGTGACTTCCCACGCGAGTTGCGGACCTCGATCTTGACACAACGGTCAGCGTGCGGGACTGGAGCGTATGGCTCGACCTGGCCGCGAACCATGACCGTCTTCGAGGTGTTCGGGTAGGCAGCGAGTGCCGCGCCGATCTTGGAAGTAATGGTGCCTTCTGCCCACTTTCCACTACCAATGTACAGTATTCGGTACGCGTCTGGGGCGGTGAGGGGTTGTTGAGACAAGGCCGCTTTGACCGACAACCTGATCTCTTTGCAACCATAACGCTCGAACACCAGTGGGAGCTCGTCTGTGTAACCTGCCGAGCTCTTGATGACACTGCTTCCTTGAGTTATGTCGACGTTACCTGTGGCCCGCTCGTGAAGTGTGAAATGCCTTGAGCTCATGCTCCCACTTAGGTATGGCGGCACCTCCGTCAGACTAGAGTCCTCTCCGGACAGTATAGGATGTACTTGGGTTTGGTGCTCGGGGTGCTCGCCGTGCGAAGAGTAGGTGCTATCTTGTAAGCCTCTGCCGCCGGTCTCGTACTCGACGTCGTCATCACTAAAGTCGTCAGACGTGTCATCGGGCGTAGGACCGTCAGTGGACGCGATCGATTCCGTGTGTGCTTCGTCGTCGGACATGTCCATGACGCCATCGCCGAGCAGGTCATAACTGCTGTCGTCGAGAGTGCTGCCCGCATCTTCTGGCAGTCGGCGTTGTGTCGACCTCATCATGAGTGTTTCAAGATCAAGCTTAGTGAGTGAGCGAGCAACTTGAACCGGGGGGAACTTGAGTTCTTGAGACGGATTAGGCTCGCTGGTAGACATGTCAGCTTGTGTTCATGGAATTCTTAGTATGCGCGCAGAGGTCCAGAGAAGGTTGAGTGTGGTGGAAGGAAGGGAGACGGTGGAGCCTGAGTGAGGTGGTTGTGGTGGGCACCAGGTGGACGCTGCCTAACTAGCTGCGGGCGAGGCGCGTATGGGGGCCTTCGGGAGGAGTGGAGACCACGCGGGGCAGATAACAGCACATACCAAGTTGGGCGCTGTCAATAATTCAACGGCTGTTAAGATGTTGTCAGTGAATGCGAGTGAATGATCAAACAAATGCGAGTCGTGGTTACGACAAGGTGCTGATGGACGGTACGGAGAGCTTAGGTGGGATGCTAATGGGGTAACCCCGCATACCATGTAGTAAGCGATAAGATACGGAACATGGTTCACATGCCCATACATTAGAGTGGGCGATCAACAAATGCGGGCGATCACGGAGTCACGTACAATGTAGTGATTGATCCACGGCAGTCAAACCGATGAGAGTGCTTTCAGGTTGTTCGTATTCGTTTTCATATGCTGCGTACGCCAATGCGCAGTGTATAAGCGCTTCTACGACGCCTTCGTAGTCCTGATGCTCTAGTGAAGGTATGCCCAACCCGTATGCAATGCCAACACCTGACGCCTTACTGAAAAGAGGAGTAGATGCTAAAGCTCCCGCAAAATGCTAGCATGAAGCTGATATAATACCATGCGAGAAGAAAAGATCATGGTCCGTTAGGCCCAGGCGACGCCCATCCACCAGCAACTTCCACCCATTCCGCAAAGCAGGACCCTTCTTTGCCTTCTACGTCAACAATGTCTGTGTCGCATTTGCAGCGACAGCCGACGCCGTTTTCTTTGACTGGGTCGTATTGTGCCCAGTACTTGTCTTCTTCCAGTCGTTCCTTCTCGTCGAGTGTCGTCTTCTCTAGATATGGCTCTCGGGCGAGTTGTCGTGCAGGCGCATTGGCAGGGCAATGTTGAATCGTAGTATGTCGATATCCGACATCACGGAAGTAGTGAATATCCTCAGGGCCAAGTAGTGCTCCAACAGCCAGGGAGTGGATAGGCGCATCTCCCCACCTCTCCATCCAGAAGCCGCCGCTGCGGTCCATCAGCTCGAAGAAGTCGTTGTATTCCTTGCTCCGGAACCAGTTGAGATTGGCAATCTCAAAGTTGCTCCAGAAATGGCACATGTTGTATGATTCACCCTCCATGTTCTCGGGATGGATTTCTGGCATGGCCTCTGTGCCGAACTCGGCGTCCATGATGTCCTGTGGGAAGAAAGCCTTCTTCGATTTGGACTCAGCCTTGCGTTTCTCGTCCTCCTCGTCCGGCTTCTCCACAAACATTTCCCACATGCCTTTTGAGGTCAGGTTGTTATTCCGCTTGTACGCTGACGCATATCTCCAGATGTTGGGTACGGTCTCCCGCAGTTCCTTCACCGCAATGGTGAACCCGTATGTCTTCTTATTTCGAATCATGTGGATAAATGGGTCGTATGTGATATCGCAGAAGAATTTGATTTCGGGCTCGAGACGCCAGTACCACTCATACTTGGCGAGTAGCTCATGCTTGTAGAATTGGCTGTAGATGTTAGCAGAAGCCAGAACAAGTTATGCTCGATAACGTACCCTGAGTAGAACCGGCACATGTGATGGTAGCTCTCCATACCACCGTACATGATTGCTCTATCACCCTGCTTGGCGATTCCCTCTTTAACAACATCTGGATCTACCCAGTCGGGGAAGCCCCATTGTTCTGGAGGTATCTTGCCGAACTCCACTGAACCGCTAACATGACTTAAGACAGTCTCTCTGAACGTCTCGTTGAAATCTCCGTCATTGAGAAAGACGTATGGGTAGTGGAACCACCGATTGAAATGTCTCTCGAGTGATTTGACTGACTGTATCACTCCTTCTAGCTCCTTGTTCCTCGCCAGCACTACGATTGCGGCGTTTGCCCGGGGTCCGTTGACCTGTGGCTCGAGGCAGCCCACCGCGAATGGCTTATCGTACTTTTCGCTTATCCGTCTAGGGATTATTAGTCGCTGGCTGCATGCTGTGAGGACGGGACTTCTTGTACCTTATCGATGGAGGACCGCCGGCGGGCATGTTCATGATGCCCTGCGAGTCCGGCGACTTCACAAAAAGAATTATGATTATTATTATAACGAGACATGGAAACAGAAGCACCAGGCCCAGAGGTATCGAAACGGATGAGCTCCCCTTCAGTCGTATCCTACGTCGAAAGAAGGACGATCGTGACGAGGTCTTTTCGTGGCGGCGCGGTAAGTCATCCAGCTTGTCTAGGTTATCTTTCGAAGTCGGTAACCTCCTTGTCATATCTTCCATGAAGCCCATGGTGGTGCCCTAGTGATGGCGTCTGCTGAAATGTTGTTCTCTGCCAATGGCAGTCCCTGTCCTCTTTGAGCCAGTCGCGGGCGGTGCAAAGTGAATTCGGGGCGTTCTGGAGAGTGGCAGATGAGTCCGACGGGTGTGTATGAGGAAAGGGCGACGTGTTCAAGACAGGGAGCTTGATCGATAACGAGCGTGTGGGTCGTGACTCCAGATGAACGTACGACAATTGTGATCGGCTGGTGATTCGCGCGATAGGTTCAAAGTTGTAACCCTGACAGAGTGAAAGGAGGGAAAAGGGTCGTTGAATGTAAATCATTAGCGGCCGACGATTGCGTATGCGTTTCGAGATCTGCTAGTTGACATGTTCCTTGTCGGTGGTGACGTGCCAAGCACTTTAGCACAGACGCCGATAGCAAGTGCAGCGGACCAATACATTCTGGGAGCGAACCTCCACGCACAAGAACAGACCAAAAGGCTTGACGGAGTGAATTTACTCTGGAATAGAGTGTAAATTGAAAGTATAACTGAACCCAAGAATCTCCACAGCCAAGACTTTGGAGGAGCCGCACGGAAAGTTACCGCTAAGCGATCGACACGACATTCAGCCAGGCGCCCAATCTAGACCTTACGTGCATGCCGTGTCAGCATCCCTTGCACTACAACCACCATGAGCTTCAAAGCAAAGGACCTCCATTTTGGTAAGTGCGTTCATCGCAGCGTTATGGTACTCACTGACTAGCCATAGACAACTCAGAGCCAGCGTTTTTGCAGCGCCTGCGTGGGCAGCTCACCAGTGGAGACACAGCTCGTCATGAACATCCAATCGCTAGGAACAAGAGGATGAAGAAAGAGGATGACGAGGACGACGCGCCTACTTATGTCATGGAAGAGACAAATCAGTCACTGAGTAAAGAGGAGTATGATGCGTTTGTCTCAGGCAAAGACAGCAAAGGTGAAGAGGAATCTACTGTGGACGAAGCTGAGAAGAAGAAAGATAGTGACGCTAAATCACAATCCAAAGACAAGATCGCCGAAGTTGGCGCAAACGCAAAGAAGCGCAAGGCGGCAAAGATTATCGGCGACGACCAAGACGAGAGCAACGAGGGAGCAGAGAAAGACGTGAAAAAGCCAGACGCCAAACCTGCAAAAAAACCGAAGAAGGCTAAAGCTGTAAAGCTCACCTTTGGCGAGGATGAGGGTTGAAGACGGCCAAATCGTAATGTTCATCTTTCCACCGCTTTCTAATGGCGGCACGTCGATTCACAAAGCTGTTCCGATCCTCTTTACTCAACACCAACATCAAATCAGTCCAAGTAAGACCATTGGACTTGCCAAGCATGAGCGGACAGCGATTGCTTCACATGGCTAGCGACTCGCTTTCGTGGACATGGAGACTTGTTCTAACGGATAGCGACAATGGTGCAATGCAGATGGCGCGAGAGGGAAGTTAAAGCTCCGGCTACCTCATTTGTAGAATGAGAGCTCACCTAGGGTGGAAGGCCGCGTGAAAGTATGGGATCGCATGCACAATCGCTACGAGTTTTTGTATACTTGTATAAATACTATGGGCCACGCGGAGGCATGACATTGAATCTAGTCAACATCAATCTCAATCGTAATAGTACGAGATCAAACCTCAATAACCTAAATCAAACGTTGATTAGCGTCATGCATCTGTCTACCTCTGGCCTATCACATCGCCCCTTCGTGGTTAAGAGGTATGATCCCAAGGTGTTGGTTCCGGTTCCGATCGGAACCGGGGTCCAAGTGTTCGGCACTCCGCAACTAATGTTTAAGCCTCCTGCATGCATCTTCCCTTGTTCATCTTTATAGTTCCGCCGTACAACATGGCGAAGCTATCGCTCGAGGTAATTCACACAATTACCCATTCAATCACATCTCTCATTCATTCTTCAGGACTTTGACAAACACATCGAGAATCTCCGCGCACAACTCTTGTTTCTCAATGAGACGCTCGATGCGACGGATCACAATGCGCCCGACTGGCTCGCGACGGATCTTATATCGCTGCGAAACAAATCAGGAAGATTGCAGGACGACATGAAGAGATTCAGAGATCAGCTCGAAGACGAAGGCCTTGCGGAAAAGAAGAAGGTTTGCTATGCCATCTGCGCGCGAAATGCCAAAACCTAACACACGACAGGTCAAGACATCAAACAAGCGCCTCAGTATCGAAGGCGCGAAGCGTCCCGCAGAAACACCGACTGCGCAACCTCCAACTCTCAATTCTCAAGCTGTATCTCCTCCCGTAGACCAATCTCCAACACCACGCGCAAAGCGAACAAAGATCGAAGACGCATACGTTGTTCAACATGTCGATGTCACAGAGGAGGTGAACAGGCGCCTACAAGAGAACCGCTTACGGCGTTTGATGCAAACTCCGAGCACTGCGCAGAAGCGAAAGTTCGATTCATACGAGGAGGAGCCCAGGTCAGAAGGACCGGCCGGCACAGACGACGAAGGCTCAAGAGGCGGATATAGTGCCAGTGAGCATGAGAGAACCCCAACCAAGCGACTGAGAAGTAGTGGGACCTTTGAGGGACTAAGCAAGAGGAAAGAGGATGGAGATGTGAAGGGACAAGATCAACGATTCGAAGACAGAGTGGATGTGAAGAGGCGGAAGTTCCAGCGATAACAAAGTGTGGAGGAGGCGTGTATTGCACGGAATTGGTTATGCACGATTATATAGGGCAGGAAAAATGGTGTAATAGACTTGTGAGTTGGACGGTTGCATACCTCTTGTCGCACTTGGACTATATACAGCTCTAACGCGTATTCTTTCTGTGCTGAATACGGTTTGCATTGAATCTCAAGTTCTCCGCAACACCTCCGCTCCGAAGAGGAAGCTGCAGCCGAGGCGGGAGCTAACCGCCGTCTTTGCATCATTGAACTTTTTGACATCGCGACCGCTGAACTACCCTGCCATCACATCCTTCAGCCGTCTACTTGAAATTTAATACGTGCACATAGTACTCGGCTTTCGTTTTGCATCCGATCTCACCTGCGCGACCACACACTCCAAGATGGCGACTCCAACCCCCATACAAAATATGCCCATCCCACCAGAAGAACGCCTAGCCCTAGAACAACAAGCCCGCTACCAACGCATCACACGCAACCTAGCCCTCGGTGGCCTTGTGTTATGTCCAATAATAGCCGCACTCCCACCGCGAAAACTAGACCTTTACACGTTCTCCCTAGGAGTTGGATTCTACCTCTCAGCCGACCACCTAATGACCCTACGCACAGGCCGAGGCCTTGTATCAAACCTCAGCCCGATGCGAACAATGGAGCTACCAACCGAACGCGCAAAGGAAATGCAGAAGATATTGCAGGAGGAGAGGGAGAAGAGTAGGAGGACATTAGAGCGAAAAGAAGGACAAGAGAAGAGTATACTTGGGAAACTATGGATGGGTGATGAGGAGGAGGGTTGGAAAGAGCGGAGGTTGGAGGAAGAGAAGAAGGCGATTGAAGAGGGGAAGAGCTATGGTGATATGATTTTTGAACAGATCTGGGAGGTTTGGAATTGGGATAAGAAGAAGGGAAAGGGCGATGACGGAAAGAAGGAGTGAATACGAATCTGAGTCTCGAGAGCCGGTTCTTATCTGTATATTATGGATGTACGATATCGTGATGGGGAGAGGCTGCTGCTTATTCTGCCACACGACAAGGCGTTCGGATCAGCACGGGCATCGCGTACATGACGCTACGACCTGGATGCTCTAATGAATGCAGAAGAGCGGAGAGTTTGGATACATATGATCTCGATTTGACGAAGGCGTTCGATTGATGGTCTTTGATTTGGGAACTCCAGATGCGCCTCATACTTCCTGCAGCCATGCTGAAAGACAATGCACGTGCAATTTAGCTGACTGACAAAACATAGTGTGGTCGGACGAATGTCTTCAAAAGGTCGCAGCTGATTTCTTCCTAACGCAAGCATAGCAGATAACTTGTCCTCTCACATGATGATGAAAGAGTAGTTGTTTCATCTTGGCACCGGCCTGTATGCATAGCAGCGATGTTTGTCCAGCGACCACGTCCCATGCGCATGTATCCGTCTATTCGCCCACGCCAGCGCCATCATTTATGCTCATCAACCTCTTCACGTCCACCTGTCTCAGCTCAGACCAACGGAAGGATGGAATAGTAATTATATCTGGACATCGTTTACGCAGCCTCCCATCTCTTGTGTAACATCCTTCGTGTACCGGCAGATCTTGTATTGCATCATACGCGCTTTCCTCATCATTGAAACCGACTGGAATCAACCAGGCATAACATAATGTCTCAGCCAAGCACGCCGCTTAATCGCACAGCCGTTCATCCATTCCTTCCATCGATGAATCAGGAGCAACAGCTCTCTCAAGTCGACTTTGAAGAACTATTTGGACCTGGGGGTTCAGGACAGACTATCTTCTCGTCAAACAACAGCGACATACTTGATGAGCTTGGCTTCACATACGAAGGTGGCTCTATTGCGCCTCTTGACTCCTCGAACCGCTCCACGACATCCACGCCCGACTTCTCCAGCCACAACTTCGACCAGGACTCACCGGCGTACCCAACCCCAGAACCAAACTCATCACACCCGTACCCGCTAGAGCTGCAACCGGCTTACCCAACAATAGCCAATCAGCAAGACATCAATTACCGTCCTCGACCTACACGATCTCAAACAAATAATGTCTATCTCTACTCAGCACAGCCGTCGCAAGGCTGTGGTCGCCGTCGATCGTTGAGCACCGGCGATACAGACCGAATCATCGCAGCCAACAGCATCACCAACCCAACTTTCATTCGTCTTCAAGTACCACGCGTGAGATCGACCACACCAGACGACAGAAGAAGGAATAGTCAGCTCTCCCAGCACGGAAGGAGTGCAAGTCGAGGTCTCATGCCGAGAGGTAGGCCACCAAACCCAACAAGTACACCGTACCATGTATACCGCAATTCGTTGGTAGGGGGCCTGTTGCCCACACCCATTGGCACGCCGCTGAACGAGACGATGGACATTCAAGAGATGAGTTATGGCAATGGCTACAACCATGTTGGCACAGTCGGTCTTACATCCTACTCTGAAGATCCAATCTTTCGACAGATGATACGCCCTGACGAACTTGCACGAAGCAGGCACGTCATCGAAATTGGCGCCCTGGCCGTTTCTACTCGCTCTAAGTTGGATCCTAGACTTGAGTCACAAAGCCCAACTACTAGTCGCGCGCGAATCTTGGAGAAGCTGGGCGAGATCGAAGAACATTTGAGGGACAAGGAAGGTGAAGAAGCGCTCCCAGCGTGTATGATGATTCGCTTCACGCTCTCAAAGAAGATGGAAGCTGAGGATGCCGATGTAGCAGACAGCGTAGGAGGAAACCGTATGGAGGGGCCCAGGAAGAAGTATGCGGAATCGCAGTGCGATGTGTATGACGGCCATGATGACAACCAGATCATGGAAATGTTGATGAGAGAGAACGGCGTTGATGGTCAAGAGGCGGAAGAGAGTGGTGACACAGAATAAACACTCACTAGGTTGGCGGATCATGGATATACATGAGGACAGTTTGACCGTGGCATTAGGTTTTCACGGACATGTATAAGTTTGATTTTAGGTTATGTATAGAAATGGATGGATTACCTTGGCGAATACGGAACCCTTGGAGTAACTTTGTACATCAACGAACACAACAAATGCCCAACAGAACTGCTTCACGTCTCAGTCTATTGGAAAAATTTAAGCGATAATGGAATTTCACGTCTTGCGTAAACCTGGAATGTGACGGATGTAGCTCGTATCCCAGACGCGCTAACTCGCGCCTTCACATGATCTAGGATGCCGCCCCACCCGTCTCGGCTTACCACTCAACTCAAACGTGTCAACACACGCAGCACTACTTCAATCCGTTTTTTCATAATACTCGTCATGATATTCCGGATAGCACCTCTAGCCGCAGCTTTCGCAATCATACGATATGTAGCTGCGGAAGTTGCACCGGAGATTACCACCGTTGTCGAAGGCTACAACGTGATTGCCAAGATCCCTTGCATTGGCTGCCCGTTTCTACATCAGGACACATCGCAAGGCAGTGATGCGCCATGGGCTCAGAGGAAAGACGAGAATGCTCTGGTAGATGAGTCCAACTGTCGAGGAGACTTATCGGCATACTAATGTGTTCCAGCTGCTGAACATCTCTCTTCCCTACGACTCAGCGCACTTGAGCATCAACAACGCCCCACTTTTAGCAGACGCGAAGATCCTACCGCGGATATACATTAACCAAGTCCTGTTAGACACTTCGGATGATGATCTGAGCAAGCTTGTTGCTTCCAATCAGCTCGATAACCTTGGAGGTGCCTACTTTGGTGCTTCTTACTCTTACTCCTTGCGTCATGTCAAAGACTCCAACGCACTGGTATTTCACTTCGATGTCATGGAGTTGTGGACTGATCTAACCTCTCCGGCTCTTACCATTGTTATGGACAGGGAAGAGCAGAAAATGTTGGAAGTCGTACTTCTACAACGTCCTTTATTGTCTGCTGGTGACCCAGCGAGCTCATACGAAATTATCCGTGCCTCACTCCTACCTCGCTTAGAGTCAAGCAAAGGTACAAAAGGACCCAGAAAAACGTCGATGTGGTTCCACGATTGGGATGCGAACGGCAAGAAAGGCACGGCGACACATGTTGTCAATTCGGCTTCTTCATCCTTCATCGACTACATCAGTTCTGGTGTCTGGTCTTTGTTCGTTTTCATTCTCGCAGTCATGGCGCTATTTGTTGTTGTGTGTTTGTTGATAATCTTTGGGTGTAGATGGCATAAAGACGACTACGAAAGAGCACAGCATGGCAAACGTAAAAGTGGTAGTGGAAAAGGTACTTGGGGTGGTCATGATATTGAGGCTGTGCGAAGATTCAAGACGCCGGAAGAGCTGGGACTTAGAGGTAGCGGGAGAGTTGTTGGGGTTGGGAAGAGTGATTGATGGACTGGGGTATGAGGAGCCATCAACCCGTCATCTATCTTGTACGAACTACTGACTTGTGCGCTTGGATTTCGTGCACTCGATGCACGCGAACTTTCACTATCGTCGTCTTTCTCTTGACGGTCTTGATAATCCTGCTTCGAAGTTCATCGCGCATCATGTTCCCACCAGCTAGCGCGTCAACATGAACCCACAAGCAAGAAAACCCCTGGGCAGATCATGCCGCCAGCGAACACATCTCCCGCGCTCACATCTCCACCATCATGACACCATCACCATTGCTACGATCCTCGGCGCGCAAGCAAAACAATCTAGATAATAGTTCATACAAAAAAGCACTGAGCTGCGATGCTGGCCTTGCTTCTGCTAATGGACAGATACGTCATTCCGAACTCTCCGCGCCGCTAAACGTCATCAATCCAAGCTCAACGCAACATCGCGACTCGCACCGTACCCATTCATTGCACGATCTACGTGGAGGCTACGGTTAGTCACATGGCTAAGTACCAGGCCAGAAGGTTGTTAGGTTTCGATGCACGTCAATGTTGTTAGAGTCTAACAGGAACCCATCGTCATGGCCTGGGCTTAGGAGGTATGACCGCATGGGTTTGGTTGATGCGATAAAGTCTCGTGTTTGCATCCAGAGATAGAGTATTACTGTAGTAAAAATAATCCTACGGCTTAATTTTGCTCAGGCGCTGTCCTGCGCATCCATCCAGCTTGCACAATGGCCATCACAAACACCACCAGCACCGTCCAGGCGATCTTTTCCCTCCATGTCGTTACAGCAGGGAGTTCCATCATCCTCCTCCTGGCAGCACTCGCGCTGTTCGGTCGTCAACTCGTCGGCGGACCAGGCCGCCCACGTACATTTATGAAGTTTACCAGATCGACTGAGAAGAGGCACAGGTACAACACCCCATCCCGTAATATCCACTATCGTACCTGTTAACATGTGAACCAGCTCCACGGGCACTCATATCTTCCTCATCACCGGCCTCTCCACCCTGATGGTGGCCTATGCCACACAATCGTCCATCGTCGCCCTCCAATCCCGTCTAAACTCTCCCTTCTACATCACCTCTGCCTACGCATATCCCCAATACACCGCCCCCTTTGGCAACAATGACTCAATCCAATACGGGAAAATCATCTCCATTCTCTCCTTCCTCTATCAATGTGCCATAATCATCATGAACGCCTGCATTGTAGGCGCGATTTGGATCCATGCCAACCATGTGCAGAATAACGGTACCGGTATCAAGGAACCTGGTTTCCTGTCTTGGATCTGGAACGGGTTCTGGATCTTGGCTATCCTTGCTCTTGGGTTTGCGAGCTGGGCTGTTGGTCTTACGCGACGTGGTAGCGGCAATTCTGCGCTGGCGTATCCGAGTTTGGTCAGCGATGATTTTATGGTGAGGACGCTGTACGTCACGTATGTGGCTGTTGTCATCGCGGCTTCGACTAGTGCGACTTTGGAAGCGGTGTTGTGCTGGATTGGTATCAAGAAGAACGGGGTTACTGGTGTAAGTTTACTTCCTCCTTGTGTGCATGAGAGTGTGCTGATAGTGTCTAGAACCGTTCCAAGTCCGCTCTTACCCGCTTCGTCATGCTCGTTACACCCCTCGTTTGGGCCCGCAACGCGTTCTCTATTGCGCAGGTCGTACTCATCTACCGCAACGTGAACCGCTACTCGCGCACTACCAATCAGGCCCTCGCTTTCCTCTTCATCATCTTCGGCGAGCTGTGTGATCTTGGTATCCTTGCACTAGTCCTACTCGGCGCTTGGAGCTTCGGCCGCAAGGGTGAACAGAGGCCGGAGGTTGTCAAGGATGGTAGGTACAGCGAGAGCATGAGGGATAGTGCTTACGTTGACAATCGCGGAACCACTTACCTAGATGGACCTGCTGGAACTTCTTTCGAGGAGGGAAGGGGCTCGACCTATGTTCCCCGCGTCAACTAGTGTGGATGAGGAATGATTGTACGACAAGTGTCTAATTTTGGGAGGAAATGATTGTGAAGCGTTACAAGCGTGCAAGTGACTCTACAAGTATATAATGATTAATTTGATGAATTATTGCAAACATATTTTCACTCCTACCAGTTGCGTGGCATAGATATCAGGACATAAGCATTATGATGGTGGGCTGTTTGAGAATATCAAATCACCGAGGAAAGAAGACGATTGATGAGACTATTGAAAAGTTAAAGTCCTCGACATATGTCCTTCGAAATTCTAGCTTTTTCATCATGAGAGTGTCGGTGCACTGGATAATGAATCTCTTCAGGTATCCCTGCTGGCTACGTGTGTACTGCATCCTGCATCCTGCATTCCGCTTCCGCTGTGTATTTGGTAAAGAGATACGGTACGCTTCTTTCCGAGTGCAGCTCACCTCCTAGCCATCAAATATTGTCTTACCAGGCGTCTTGGACAAATGCCCCCCAGCCAGGGCGAAGGAGATCCATAGTATAGTCCGGAGCCCATTCATCTCTCTGTAGATCCATGCATGGGAGGTCGCGTTCTTGAAAGGGTTATGTGGCGAGATCTACAACTAGTCTTCTAGTTGGCGACCCGTTTGCTGTTCTCCGAAAGAATTTTGATCTGTAATATGGCGGAAACGGGCATTCAATACGCAGTAGTTCGCGGGCGCATTGCATGAGGACGTCACTCAGAGCATCCCTAATACCAGTATCGAGTAAGTAGTGAGCGAGACCAGACAACTCTGACAGTGTCAAAATCTCTTCGTATAAGGATTTTAGTGAGTCGTATAGGGGAGAAATGGGACCTGCTGCAGCATCGCCATGACATCTTCGAAAAACAGGACGCGCACAGTTGATCAATAATGCATGCATTCAAATACGCTCGCTCGCTGAACCAAACCATAAACACAAGAAAAGAAGTCGCTTGACAAAGAGAAGCGAGCGCGCCATATCAACGCCCACGCTGGGTATCTTACAAACATCCAAAGTCCATGCCATGCCCGAACGTATCCGGAGGAAAGGAAACCTTGCTGATCATTCCACGTCTCAAGACCGCATCAAGCGATCTAAAAGCCTTAGGCATATCCTCTTACCCTATCCTCACCATGGAAGAACCCACTTCCGCCGAATCCTTCTTCCTTTGGCGTGGCCCATACGTCTGGCGTCGCAACATCATCGTAGCTCGGCTTCCGAGCAAGATCTTCAGAGTAGACGCTTGCGTCATCATTGCCCCATTGCTGGTCCCTGCCATGGCTAGTTTGGCCGTAAATCACATTCCGGTCGTATGTCGGAGCTCGTGGTGTAGAACAGCTTATTCGCGCATCTCCTTCACTCGAGATGATCAACGTGTCGGGTGATGGAGTAGGATAGGAAGGCGAGGTAGCGGTCGCCGAAGCGATGAGTTTGTTGACCAGAGCATGCAGATCCGAGACGTCGTGTTGGAGAGAACGGACGTGTTGTTCCAATGCCTTTCTAGCGCCTCTCTCATGTCTAAGCGCTTCATACACGTTGCGTAACGCCCGCGCATTCTCCTCGTTGCTGCCTGCACTGGGAACTGGAGCTACCGCTAGCGTTGGGGAAGCAGGCGCAGGCTCAGGATCAAAGGTCTCGATACTTGATTGAGGGATTGGCTCTTGATGGATGCTGGGTGCTGCCCTGGAGTGAGATCGCGATGCAGAACCGGATGCGGATGAACTTCGGTTCCTTGATCGCAAATTGCGAGGCGCGTTCTCAAGGATGATGGTTTGCCGATTGTTGCGGGACGACATTCGACGGGTGAGTGTTTCCAGGTTGGAGTACTTGGATTCAAGATCTTGAACGCGGTCCTCAATCGGCAGGCGATGTTGACTCTTCGCTGGTGGCGGCGGTGGTGGGGAGACGTTTCTGACTTGAGGTGACTCTGGGATGGTCTCCTCTTTGGGCCCAAACAGCGCATTCTTCAAGTCACCAAAGTTGAAGGCTGAGACTTGAGGTTGGGCATCACGCTCTTGCTCTCGTTTCGGCTCTTCGGTGATCGGAGTGGGGGTTTGCGAGTCGTCCGCCTGGACGAGCGTCGCACTCATCTCGTTAAAAGACTCATTGTCTGGTTCACGAATCATGGGCTCCTGCATCGGCACGGTGCGAACGGTCTCCACCGTCTTCGCTGTTTGCGGTCTACTGTAGACGCTGCCGGACATGTAGCTCTCCCGCCAGAACTTAATCTCCGCACTTCGTCCTCTCTCCGTCGACGCGCGCTCTTTGGCGAGACTATGAAGAGCATCTGCACTTCTCGATCGCCGTCTGTCGTGTCTGGAGGTCACCGTTTGAGTGGGACTGGACAGGGCGATACCAATACCTGGAGACATTTCATCTTCTTCTACCCGTTCGTCCCAAGCTGCTAGCTTTTCCCGAGGTTCGTCCAGACTATGTCGATGAGTGATAGCGCTTGGAACAGTGGGTAGTGTTGCTCTCCGGCGACCGAGATCGGGCCTATCGTTATCGAAAGTGAGATACTCTTTAGGTGGACTCGCTGGTGGGGCGTTCACATTCATGGGATATGGAAGATGCTGGCCTAGTGGGTGCAATGGCTGTAGCTCTTCTACTGGCAGATCTGATATTCGAGGACCAGAAGGTGGTGTCCTTGGTTCCCTTGGTGGTGTTGATCTCAGCATACCTGGATCCTGTTCAATGTCAGAACTTGTTCGTCACGCTTATCATGATAGACTCACGCTATGGTGGTAGCTATGGCCACGCTGCATCGGCTCTTCCTCGTGATCTTCACGGTCAGGGCTCTTTCGTCCGAACATCTTCCGAAACACATTTCTAAGCCCGCTCTTGCGCTTCTTCTTTTGCGCTGCCTTACTGGCGCTCTCTGGCGTTGAGCGATAGGGCGTGGGAGATGCGACCGAAGTTGATGGCACAACACTTTCGCGCTGTACCTCGTTCAACTGTCGCACCTGTGGTGGGGATCTCGAAGAGATCGGACGCTCAGGAACAGAACCATCGCGTTGCGGCTGCTCTCCGATGGGATTTGATCGCAACGCTGACATGTGCTGTTCAGGCACAGGTGGTGGAGACTGCAGCGGTCTTGGCGGGGTTTGCGGCCGTTCATACTGATCTTCCGGCGCGTCCTGCGGCTGCAACGTTCGGTCCAGCACGCCATTTTCCGCGAACTCTTTCTCTTCCTCTTCATTTAACGGCACATCCTCGGTGATTGGGATCGGCCCACTAATCTTCAAGTTCCCTCTCCTGATGGCCTCAGCCTTCCAGCTAGAGCGCTGCAAAGGCGACGGCGTCGACGCACTCATATCGGCGACGACAAATCCTTCTCGTTGGAGCATATGGATGTAAGGCGACGTTTTTTTATTTCGACTGTTGGCGAATGTGGTTATGCGGACGAGTCCTGGAGATTGCGCCTAGGCGAAAATTACTGGGATGACCCAGCGACTGTGAGGTTCTTGACTACCATCACCGATGTCGCGAAATCAATTGATGAGTAAGAAGAAGCAAAGCAAAGGCGGACCGGAGCGACGAACGTGGCAAACGTTCCTCTCCTAAAATAGATGCAAGCGAAGAATAGGCAATAAAGAATTAACAACGATAGCCCCGAAGAGTCAAAAGAAGCGAACTCGATCAGAAAGAGCGACGAGGTTAAACAATAGAGACGTGCCACAGCCGACGCAACAAGAAGAGCAGCAAAAGAACGGGGGCGAGGCGTTCTTAGGGTCTATGTATCAGACCGAGAGCGTCATGTACCCTTTGGACAAGGGTGCCAATAGAGTGGGGAGGGTCTGTCGGAGGGGTGGCGCGGCGGGAAGGAGGAGGCTATTATTGATGGCGCATTTGCGAATCAAGCAGTATGACCGGCATTACCTTTGACTGCAACACAACGGGGGCGGGGGGCTGCAACATCAAATAAAGGCCTGGTCGCTGCTGCACAAGCGTTGCATGAGAGGCCAACAAGTCGCTTCACGGCGCGAACGAACTAGGTGCATGTTTGTTGGATATGGGGCCGTGGGGTTTTGCGTACAGTACAGCTGCATGTTTTGGCCAAAGCGGTACTGTTGCAATCGATACACGTCCGTTGGATGCACGCACGCGCAGGCGCGCTCGGCCATGACCTTGTTCAGCCCATCTGAAACGTCCTGCTAACACGTCTTTGACCTCAGCTACCCTGTAGACCTCTCAAACCTACCGCTTGTCGAGAGGAACGCCATTCTGGATCCTAGTAAAGCCGTCGCAGAACTAATCCTTCTGCATCTAGAAATAGCGGCTTGCTGCACTGACCGAGGCGTTCCACGAACGCTCCTCAGGTCATGTCAGGTCTGAGCGCCAGCCTGCATGGGGACGCCAGGACGCATGTCATGGACCCTCGGCCATACAGACTAACAACAACCATCCTTGCGCCAGCCTGCATTAACGTGTTTGAGACTGTCCGCGGTCCAACTCCGACTACGGGCTGATTGGGGCACGCCGCTCTAGCCCACACTACACCGTCTATCGCGAATGTTTGGTACTCTACTGCACGCGTTACTGTTGGCGATGTGTGTTGATGTAAACGTGATAAAAAGGGGAGGCTGGTCGGCAGTAGGCGAAGGGTCATGAAAGGCGTTGAGAGGAGCAACGTGGCAAGCACTGGCCGCCCGTTTTGATGAACTTTTCTGTCCACGCTGATTGCACCGATAGTTATTGCGCCATGTATTGATGGTCACGACTCGCCACCACACACTTTATCCTACACGACACCGTTCATGTCAAGAGTTTGAAGAGGAAGGAGCGCATTACTCGCAATCTACGCCTTTGTGCGCCTCAGAGTCTTCTCTTTTCTCTTTTGCGCATGTAGACGCATGCAAGCCTCGCCTCGCCGTCTTACCACCGTAGTTTCCTGCTGCATGCCACTTGTGCGAAAGACATTCGGCGTTGGTGTTTTGCTGTCTCGACTCGCGCTTTGACGCGGAACTACTGCAGCTAGAGTCACGCTGCATATCGCAGCATCGCGCTTCGCTTGCGAACCAAACCATAGCGCTGAGACCATCTTCTCCCCACATCACTCCAATGTAGTAGCGAACCACAACTCCGACACTGCTTGTTTGGGAGCCCGTGGCGACAACGCATTGTTACAGCCTCGCTTACTCACACCCCTCATCCGCTGATTTCTTGGTCCACGTAAACGTCTGCCAAGTTCGGGTACCTAAGATCGGCGTGGTCTTCCAGATGCTGCATCCAGGCCTTAAGGAACTTGGACCCCCTATGGATTGATCTGGTCAGTAACAGCGCAAGCCAATTTTGTATGACAAGCGTATAGAATCCTCCACCGTATAGCACGACGTCGAGGATGTGGTCTGAGTGTAGGTGACGAGGGATTCCCGTGTGACACAGCAGGGGAGCGTGTCACGGCAGTTTCGAGTTACGCGGGTTTCAGATTTGCTTATTCGCTGAGAACATGTCCCGACGCCCACGTTCTCGGGTATGACCGAAATACGCAATGACGACGAGGGGGATCGATTGTGCAACGAACAAGGAAGGCGAGTGTTGCTGGGGGTATGAATTGGGAAGGGAATGTGGACGTACTTGCTTATTGTATCCGAGTCTCCGATCACACAAAGATGTCGCTTTGGGCGTGTCATTGCAACTGCGTCCTTCATTAGCCCATCTGCAGACACTTGCAGCCGCATGTTCATGCGTGGATATTGCGGCGAGTCGTTAAGGTTGACGTTGACGTACCGTTGAGCCGTCTCTTCTCGCCCAAGAAGCCCACCTCATGCTCCGGATTGCTCCGTACCGTACTGACAATGACAGCTTCCTTCTCGCGGCCTTGGAAGCCATCAACGGACCCTAGTTCAATACCAGGATAGGCTTCTTTGAGCATTCCAGCAAGCAATGCAAGCTACCAACGTTAACGTCTATCCGTACAATACACATGGATGTTTGAATTGATGCGTAATGCGCACGGAAGATGAGCAAGGGTGAGAGAGACGCGTACCTGCGCATTGTATGGCGTGACCACCGCAATGTCTTCAGCTTTAACGCCAGCATTGATCAGATTACCGACGTGCATCTTCACCAATGCCGCCTCCGCTTCATTAGATTTGCTATCGCCGAGACTCATGCCTTTCCCGCCCTTGCCTATTACACCCTCGTCTTCGATTTTCTCGGGGAAGTCTCCGCCTTGTGTATCCCAGAAAACTAGCGGCTCTTGCGTATCTTCAGTGTCTTGGACATCATACTTCAAGTCTTTCAGTAAACGATCCTTGACGAAGTCGGCGGCGATAAGTTTTGAATCGTATAACTCGTCGGAAGGGAATCGCATAATCTTCTCATGCATGCGATATTGCGTCGTTAGCATACGCTTGATCGATGGACCATGCAAAGCTAGCAGCCTGTCGAAAAGCGTTGTTTCTAGTGTCATGCCATCAATCGGCTTGCCAGCGGGCTTCTCTGCGTTGTCTACTCCAGCTCGAGTATCCTTACCGTTGCTTTTCTTGGCAACCTTTGATTGCTTCGAGTTAAGAGATTTGATAGTAGGTGGTAATTGTAGATGATCACCAGCCAATACTAGCTTGTTTGCTTTGACCCAGAGCAGAGGCACCCAGCATTGTGCTTCTAAAGCCTGACTGGCTTCATCTACAATGACGACGTCGAATTCCTGGCCCTTCAGGTGGAAGCCTCCCGCGCCATGCAGCGTCGCAAGGACGACTTTGCTGCCAGTCACAAGGTTGTTCACGCATCCTTTCTCTCGCTCTCTATACTCTTGTCGAAGCTCCTTTAGCTCGGTGTAGATCTGACGGCGTTCTTTGGCGTTGCGTGTCTTGCGGATAGACGATTGCTTGTCATCCATTTCTTTGCGGACGTCTTGAACCAAAGCAGCTGCTTCCGACGTTCTTGTGAGGACGTCGAGAGAGTGGTTTAGAACAGATGGCAATAACCGTGCCGGATGCCCTAGTCGCACCATAGGTACTTTATGGGAGGCTAGTCGCTCGACGATATTGTCTACGGATATGTTCGATGGTCCACATACTAGCAGGCGGAGCTTCTGTTTGAGTAATTGTAGAATAAGCTCGATGAGGGTATGTGTCTTGCCTGTTCCGGGAGGACCGTGGATTAGGGCAACTTCTCGCGAAGCCAGCGCAAATCTGACGGCCTCTTTTTGACTGTCATTGAGGGATGGATCATTCCACGCGAGCTTGTGAAGAGGGTTTGAGGGATCATTAAGGTCCGAAGGCAGAGGCGTAGGTGATGCTTGCCCAAAGAGCACGCGCATGAAGGGTGTGTACTCCTGGTCTCCGAGCCTCTGTAACCTGCTCATAGTTTGGTTCATCCTATCACGTATGAGTTCATGTAAATGTGAAAACCATGCATTCAGCAAAGACGTACCTTTTGTAGGTGACGTCGTTCGCCAGTTTGACGCTAGTATACATATCAGCCGTTTTGCACCCAGCATAACCTTCCACGACGCGTAGACTAACATCCATAACTTGCCGCCAGTAGGCACATCTGCATCCTCTTTGTCCAGTACGATTTCCACGGTCTCCCTGCGCACCCTCAACACGACCCCTTCGGCACCCTTTTTCTCCAGCTCTTTCTTCTCTGTCTTCTTTGCGCTCCCGCTAGGCTGATCCTGGACCGCGACTATATCCCCCACACGTATGCCATGTTCTGGAATGTCGGGCTTTTCGCCTTTAGCCACGACTGCCGAATCTAACCCCAGCTCGACTACGGTCTTGCCGCCCAACCCTGTCCGTATAGAAGACACATTAAGGTTCAGGATCGCGAGACCGGCGCGTGAGAGGGCGGTAGGCGTGTGTGAGGAGAGGAGCGCGTTTGTTTCGGAAAGCTCGGCTTGGAGCTCGGCATCGAGGAGCGTGAGCTGTGAGGCGGCAAAAGAGGGAATGTCCGTGGGTTTCGGCATCGTTACTGGGGGCTGAGTACGTAGACGTGGGGTTGCGAGTAGTCAGAGGTGATCAATTGCTAGTCTGAGAGCTCTTCATAGAACGGTGGGATAGTGGGGTCTCGCGATGATTCAATACGAACTCGACATCGCAAAGCCTCTAGCAAGCTGCAAGACAATAGGTTACTAACCAAGCGTACGGTAACAGTTGTTGTACATCTGCAGTGCGCGAACACTTGCGCAACCAACGTGAAGGACCGCTTTGACCCAGGTGCTATTACGTCATGACGCTAGCCCGTTTGATTCGTAACCCAGCAGTCCTTCAAGGTGCAGATGCATTTCTTCAACACAACGTTGGATTTCAGGATGGCAAAGAATCTCTAAGGCTACATACCCCACTAAAAAATGTAGCACAAACAACATCTCATGTTTCATCGAAACCTCCCATGCAATAGCCAGTAAAATTGTGCAACCAGAAATACCGGGGTTCTGTTTCTCGTAAGCTCATTACCGGCAGGGGCAGGCCAGTTGAATTCCGCGTCAGAGGCTCATTTTCTAGATTCCTGTCTGTCGCAAACCCAACCCGCCAACTGTAGACTGGAAATGGTTTTGCACATGCAACTCCTAGTTCAGAGCGCGTACTGGCATATGACCCCGTAGGGGTCTTATTCGTCTCGACGCTTGCAACGACGATGAGAACCATCAGGAGGCCCATGAGAAACAAAGTATAGAGTCTGTACCACGTGCTGGAGATGCAGGGTAAGATCGTGGTTGTGGTTCGACCACGGAAGAAGTAGAAAGTGTATAAGACCAGGGACACGGTGAAAAACAAGAAGTAGAACAAACCGACCAGAAAGTTTGTCGCGGTATACCAGAGACTTCCCAATACTGGAACGGTGGTGAGAAGAGATATCGTCCAAATGCCGCCGAGCAATAGCAAGAAGTAGAGGCGAAAGAAACGGCTTCTCCAAGAATGTGCAGGAGACCTAAGTGCGAGAGTACGAAATTAGCAATGTCTCACATATAGCCCGTACAGGAATTTCACTGACCGGAATCCAGCTGTTTTAAATGAAGTTGCTATTAGCGGGTCTAGCGCTCTAGAGGGGTCGTTGAGTTCTATGTCATTGACATTGGTCATGACTTTCGTTGCAGTCTCTGTTGGCAGGATAGTCCTTAAGCTGTCTGGCTGGTACACGAAGTCCTCTGTGAGCCATATCGCAGCGCTTAGTCGCAGGAGACCCAATATGGCCAAAGGGAAGAAGAGCGTGTCGACACCGAACCCAATAACATCAACGACATATTCGCCGCTGGACATGCTACCGATAAGTACGTAGAGCGCCGACACACCCTGAAGTGTTGTGACAACGGTCTTCAACATCGTCAATGAGGCCACCTCTACGTGGGTGCCCTCAGGAAAGCGCAAGCAATGCGAAGCAGAGGCCATGACCATGTCTTCCTCACCATTCCATCCGTTCGCGGTCCAGAATATCGCATTGGTAGCTGCTAGATCATGACGGCTCCATCTGATAGCACGAACGCGCCGATCGGTAATGGCAGCATATCTCCAGATTATAGATGTCGGATTATAACTGCACAACCAATCATGCCACCTAGGGCGTCGATCGGTAAGATACGATACTGTAGGCGTCCCGGATATGAGATGCTGAGGCGGAACAATCATCAACATCTTGATGCTAAAACAAGTCGACTCAAGAACAACTTACAGCGATCAACGGAGCAAGACACAAAGTAAACAGCGAGATCCATTCGGAGAAACTGATACATTGGCTATTATAATGGATGGGCTCAACCTGGACTCTGGGATAAGACATTGAAAAGGGTGTAACTAACGATTGTGTAGATGAGGAGTTGAAAGAAGATATCCAATTTATCTTCCATGGTCTCAGTAACAGCGGGGTTGATTACGCACATGCAGCCAGCCACACGACACGATCGTAGCTCAACATTGGATGAAAGTAAGAGCTGAAATGCATCTCTTGCCATGAGGTCGTCTTGCTTTCTTTCCCCTTCAGCTCGCTTAGCATATAGTAGTCCTAGGACGTTCTATAAGGTTCGAGATGTACTGGGAAACTAACATAGGAGCGCTATATAGCACTGCTTCGCCACGGCTCTTGCGCCAGTTACTGATGGCGGCGGCGAGCTGGACTACCTTGGGTGACGCAAAGTTAGAGCACTGCGTAGAACAACAGCGCCTCCCGTTCATAGCAAAAGCTTGCATGGCGTCTCTACAGGTAAAAGAATGGAGTGAGACACTGTGCAGGCCAGGAATGTACTTGTTCTCAAGGCTCTCTCTTTACCCCAGCTCTCTGCACCATGCATAGCTGTGATCGATCAGTTTGGAGGCGCAAGTCTCGCCCATAGTCATTCATGGTGTGGTGGCAGCGCGTGACGAACGCGTGCATGTAGCGTCTTGCGGCTGAGTTGGTGTGCCGGGTATAGCGAGCGGAGATGGCGGAGATGAGACTAACATGATCAGATCAACTCCAGGGGCTTTTTGATACTAAGTTGTATACCATGTGCAGCCGAAAGTAGCACCACGACGTTTCGTATCGACTTCCTTTCAAATGTATATCTCGTGCCAAGATTCCGTCAGTTTGTGATTGAGGTCAGAGTTCGAGCGTCCTTCCCTCTTGCATTGATTGTGCTGCTTAGTAATACCGCTCTAGCCTCTAGCCACAACTCGATCTCTTCGCATCTGAGCTTTGGACATCGATCCCACTATCAGCATGATCACTCTTAACTTCGAAAACTGAGAGCATCCTTCTCCATCTTTGTACGCTTCTTCGCTGAGTGTGCGGGATATGCGACGGCGACAAATCACTTGTTCTGACCTTTTCATCCTATCTCGGAGAGCGCACCTCTCTACCAATGCCACGGCAAATCCCGTTGACTTCGATGTGTAAAAGTGTCCAATACGGAGAATACGCTCCACTAGTGCCAAGGACTATTACTGGCTTTCAGGTCTATCGGTCATCGGACTGTGCCTATGTATTTCAAGGTTGACGTAGTGCGCTGAGTCCTCCAAACCACCCATAGCATTCTCACATGTAACCCAATGTTGCGCAATCTTTGCAGCGCACCGAGGCTCTACTTAGGTCAGTAAGGCATCGAAGAGGAATGCATCGGGCGATGGATTGGCCGAAATCGTGGGGAACCCCATCGTGAATACCCCGCATTTTGTCCACGCGGGACTAAGCAGTTACCCCTGAACAGCAGCATCTCCGTCATCAGAATACGAGCCAACTGCTTCCGGCTGGTCTCCCGACAGATCGAGGACGACGGCGATTCAGTCGATACACCATAGACCGGGAAAATGCTTCCGTCTGCATCCCGGCAGTTCATATAGTTCTTGGCATCAAGACCTTACACCAGGCGCCGTTGCAGTAAGTTTGGCAGATGGTGTTTTCAACTCAAACCGCCTACTGTTGAAAGCGCGAAAAAGAAACATTAAGCGAACGGCTTTTGCAACGATTGGTGTGGTTACAAAACTATAAACCATGATTTGTGTCGTGCGACTCGTCCGCTAGATGCGCCGACATCTCATGATCCACCGCCTAGTGGATAGGCGCCGGAAGCCAGCTACCAAGAATCCAAGCCTATTCAGGCTTTTTCCCCTGGCTGACACTTGGAATTGTGTTTTCTGATAGGTCGAGATTGATTAACTCCACACACCACACCAGTCACACAAGGCTGTTGCAGCTCACTCCCACCATAAGGAGTGCGATCTGCGACCCAAAAATCCGGAAAGATGTTATTGGAACATGGATGTATCTGCAGCCACGGCGAACTTCGAGCTCGTGTGCAGTCTTTCCGATTAACTCATCGACCGGACGCAGTCGACGTGGGTACCGTCCGAGGTTCGTCGTGAGAAAATCAGCTCCTGGCTTGTGAAATCTGCTTCACCGAGATGGTTAAGTATCGCGCATTGGACAGCGGTGGTTGAAGCAGTCACAAAGTGCGAAGTCTTCATTTGATTCAACTAGCAGGCATTGAATGTACAATCACTCCACTATGAAGCTCACAGCACTCTTGTCGTTACTTCCTTTGGCTCTTGCAGTCCCAGCGCCCCTGGAAAAGCGTGCAAATCCTACTGTCATTGCTCCATCACCTCAAGCTACGGTCGCCGGCATCAATATCGCGAATGTTGAGTCTTTCAAAGGCATACCATACGCACAGCCTCCGATCGACCAGCTGCGACTAAAACCACCTCAACCCCTGACTTCGTCTCTAGGAAAGGTTGATGGTACAGGCAGTCCGAAAGCATGCCCCCAATTCTTCTTCAGCATAGATGAGAGGAACATCCCCACCAATATCCTAGGAACCATATTGAACCTGCCACTCCTTCAAACGATTACGAATGCCGGAGAAGACTGCCTTACTATCAATGTCCAACGTCCAGCTGGCACGAAAGCTGGCGCCAAACTACCAGTACTATTCTGGATCTTTGGTGGTGGCTTTGAACTCGGATCTACTGCAATGTACGACGGAACCAGCCTTGTAGCCGAATCAGTCGCTCAAGGCAAGCCCATCGTCTTTGTTGCGGTCAATTATCGCGTGGGTGGCTTTGGTTTCATGCCCGGAAAAGAGGTACTAGCAGACGGCTCCGCCAATCTGGGCCTTCTTGATCAGAGGTTGGGCTTGCAGTGGGTTGCTGACAACATCGCTGCATTCGGCGGTGATCCCGAGAAGGTGACGATCTGGGGAGAGAGTGCAGGTGCTATCTCTGTATTAGATCAAATGATGCTTTACGACGGTGACAATAGCTACAACGGCAAGCCACTCTTCAGGGCTGGTATCATGAACTCAGGTTCGATCGTTCCAGCCGACCCCGTGGACTGTCCTAAGGGCCAGGCTATCTACGATAGGGTATGTTATCGAATATAATGCCGATAACACAGCATCGATGCTAACCCATTACAGGTTGTGGAAGCAGCTGGATGCGCCAGCTCAGCCGATACTTTGGCGTGTCTCCGCACAGTTCCATACACGAAGTTCCTCAATGCTGCCAACACCGTCCCTGGTATCTTGGGCTACTTTACCGTCAATCTTTCTTACCTACCACGACCGGATGGAAGAGCCCTCACAGCATCACCCGATGCACTGATCAAGGCTGGAAAGTACGCCAAGGTACCCTTTATCGTTGGCGATCAAGAGGACGAGGGTACCCTCTTCGGCCTTTTCACTTCAAATCTCACCACTACCAGAGAGATTACGACCTACCTCTCAACCATCTTCTTCAACAACGCCTCACCAGCACAAGTCGAGCAACTAGTAGGCAGTTACCAAACTATCACGCAAGACGGCTCGCCCTTCCGCACTGGCCTGCTCAACAACTTTTACCCGCAGTTCAAGCGCGTCTCCGCTCTCCTTGGCGACGTTACCTTCACTCTTACCCGTCGCGTGTTCTTGGAAGTTGCCGCACAAGTCAGCCCAACCGTGCCGTCATGGTCCTACCTTGCGACATACAACTACGGCACGCCCATTCTAGGGACGTTCCATGGCTCGGATATCCTCCAAGTCTTCAACGGCATCTTGCCGAACAACGCTGCCAAGTCCATTAGAGGCTACTACTACTCTTTTATCTACAATATGGATCCTAATGAGGGAAGCGGACTGATGAACTGGCCAAGATGGAGTGAAGGGAAGAAGCTGGTGAACTTTGGAGCAAACAGCAACAGTTACCTCGATGATAACTTCAGGAGTGATACATACGGGTTCTTGAAAGATAATGTTGCGAGCTTGAGAGTTTGATCTGAAAAGTCTGATGTTTTAGCGATACAAACACTTCAAGGGATGGTCATGACAGCAAACGAAGTAAATGAAAGGAAATTAATATGTCATGCATTACTAGTTTTGTTTACTACTGTTGCTCTAGTATCCACCGCCGATAGTTGGCTGTAAGCCATATGGCCCGCTCACGTGGTCCACATCTTTCATGGACAATGAATCGCCCAGTGCTTTCTCGAGCCTTTCGCCAATCTCTTTGTCAACCTTGGCAAACATTTCTGTTTGTCGTTAGCTTACAAATCTTCAAGGTAGTATCTTACAAAGCGACTTACTGATCGACTCCTTCTGCACCTGCGGTAACGCCTTCTTCATATGCCCGCTCAAGTTGTCAATGAAGATTTGGTCGTCGCCCCACTTCTTGTACAACGCCCATAGATTGCGTGGCTGCTCAAAGTCCTCATCCGTGACCTCCGACGTGTATTGGCTCACTTCGCCAACCCACTTGTCGTGTGCAACATCCGGTGGGCCAGACTGGATCTTGCGGAAAGATGACCGGACGTAGTCGGGATCAGCACCGTAGTTTCCATCGAGCCTCATAGGGCCATCACGTTGGTAAGGACTGTAGACTTTCTTTGCCTTGTTGCATGGTAGTTGCTGGTAGTTCGGACCAACGCGGTAACGAGCCGCGTCTGGATAGCTGAACATTCTTGCTTGAAGCATGATGTCTGCTGATGGCCCGATACCAGGAACCATTGTGCTTGGTGAGAAGGCCGCTTGCTCGACATCTTGGTGGTAGTTGGCAGGATTCTTGTTCAACGTGAGTTTGCCAACTGGAATGGCTGGGTAGTCCTCATGCGGCCAGATCCTAGTAGCATCGAATATGTTCCAGCGGTAGTTCTCGGCCTCTTTGGGATCCATAACCTGAAGCATCATGGTCCAAGTGGGGAAGTCACCCTTCTCAATCGCGTTGAACATGTCTTTTACATGGTAGTCTGGCTCTTCGCCTGCCAATCGCACCGCATCTGCTGACTTCATGGTGATGTTGCCAGCATCGGGCTTGAAGTGGATCTTTACGTATTTGAATGACCCGTCCTCCGGTTTACCAAATTTGAAGGTGTGAACACCGTAGCCAGTGATGTTTCGCAGAGACTCTGGCACGCCTCGGTTGCCAAACAATTGCATAAGCGCATGCATTCCCTCCTGAATGTCGTTAGCCTGAGTTGAGAAGATGACGAGACGCATCACAGATGTTGTCCCGATTGACCGAGCACACATACCTGGTTTTGGTTGTGGAAATCCCAGAACATGGTAGAGTCTGGAACATGTGTCTGCGGATGTGCTTGGTGGGAGCGGTTCAGGGACGGAAACTTGACGGGATCACGGATGAAGAAAACGGGCAGGTCATTTCCAACCAAATCCCAGTTTCCCTCGTCGGTGAAGAACTTCAGTGCCCATCCTCGAATGTCGCGTACGGTGTCAGAAGACCCCTTCGCTCCAGCGACGGTGGATAGTCGAGCTAGTACTTTAGTCTTCTTGCCGACTTTGTTTAGGAAGTTGGCGGACGTGATGTGCGAGATATCGTGGGTGACTTCGAATTCTCCCCACGCTCCTGCAGCCTTTGCATGTACAACCCTGCGAACGGTCAAGGTGTGAAGAATGAATGAGGATGCGTGACATTAATATACCTCTCTGGTATCCTTTCGCGTGGAAAATGCGCAAGTGTCTCGATGAGCTGAGTGTCTGAGAGTAGAGCGAGACCACCACCCTTGAGTGGCGAGCCTCGAAGTACAGTCTGGACCGTTGGATCTTGGACAGGACGTCCTGCATGCTTGTGAGCAGCTGACTTAAGAATCACACACGAGGGCTTTACCTTCAGCTAGAGTGTATACTGGCGCATCGGTATTTTGCTATAACGGCTCTATTAGCTACCAGGTAATCAGCATCAAAGCGTACACGTACAGAAGCCATTTTGGTATGTGCAGAAGTGTTATCTATAGTCGTTTGTACTGGAGCTTTCCTGCCGGAAAATGGGCGCCATTTTTATGCAACGATTCCAGACCTGCAATTGTCGTGATGAAGTCATCCTCGACGCGTACTCGTAAATCTGGGATATTTCTTTGGTGCGTCATCCTTCTGTAAGACACAAGTCGAGTACCTATCCCACTACCCGTTGTGGGACTGTACCCTTGTCAACGTTGCGATGCCCTCTTGGCCGTCAGCGTATTGGAGGGAATTTTTTAAGACACCCAGCGCTTAGCTAGATGTAGCAGAGGACTGCGGGTCGTGCTCTTCTCAAGCATACCAGCTGCCAACGGCCACAGAGGACAGAGGCGCGCCGCCATCACAAGGCCGCGCAAATGCGGCTGACAGAAGGATGACGATTGTGCTCGGACTTATTGGCGGAGATACGACGGACTTATTATGGAGATGGTACGGGTTTGTCATGGAGCTAGACTAGAGTCCCGTGCACGCTCCTAGGCCGGGGTCGCAACCGAGCACGCGAAGATCGCAGAGTAGATTCCTAAAACGAACGAGAAGCGAGTGAAACCATCGACCAAGGAACCGAAAGCTACGACTCCAAACCAAAGATGACACAACCTAGCGAGGGTACCGCGCATACAAGCTCATCCAGCAACCTTTTACTGACTACCCGGTGACGGTTTACCAGTCACATCAAACGACTCGATGATGCGCGACAGAGTTATTACCTTCCTTCGAGCAGATCTCAGCTCCGTAGTCCAATCTCTTCGTGTCTTTGCAATTGATTTCAGGCTGCCACCCAAAAAGGCGCCTGATAGGAAAGCCGCGAGCAGTAGTAATTGCATTTCAACGGATTCGAAAAGCTATTGAACATGTGCAAATTTGCTATTTCTTGCTACAACTCAATATCTTAACAAGTGATACCCATGACTCAATGCTCACAGAAGCTATAAGTCTGACCAGACCACCCCCGTTCGGAAACCTGGACGAACGCGCCCCTCTCCTGCATCAGCTTTTTGCGATGCTCATTCGCCTCTTTAGAACTCATGGGTAGCGAGTGCTTCCCATCCTCGAAGTATTTGCGTACGCAATCCATGAGCTCCTCGGGAAGCTGAGCTTCTCTAGCAGCAGGAACACTAGCGAACCCTTTCTCCGCAAGCAGATTGATGAGCTCCGGTGGTAGCTTTGATAATGCTTCTTGGCGTGTCTTGTCATTTGATCCGAGTAGCGAATCGACATACCATTCCATCTGTTGAGGCGGAACGTTTGCCGTCGAGATAATACGTTTCGTAGGGTCGACGAGCCATAGTGCGATGAAGCGACGATGCCCAGGCTTCGTAGGATCGATGAGCTGGAAAGGAGAGACACGGTGTTGACTGCCGCACGCGTTAACCAGTGTCATATCCGAACGAAATCATGGCCAACTTACAAGACATTTGGGAAGGCCAACAGCCTTCCTTGACGCGTCTGAACGTTTCCATAGTTTTGCAAACATGGCGAGTTACCACATCCCAGGTTGGTGCCATAAACCTGCTCCATCCAATGATAAGAGTCTTGTCCAACGCTGTATTCGTCCTCGTCGTTCATGTATGCAGAGGTTTGCATGCGGAAGGAGAGGCTGTTGTCAGTGATATTCTCGCTGTCCAAGTAGTACAGGGCTGTGGCACAAATATTTTCGTTCATTTGCCCCTCGATATGCCATCCACCAACGGGAAACTCAGGCTTCTCGGGTGTGAGTTCAATCGACGCCATTTTGACGATGATTTGGAGTCCCGAGTCGTGATACCTATCAGCAAGACGCTTGCCTGGTTGTGGCTTGTAAGATAAGTCGTTAAAGGGGATTGGCTCCATGCGGGGTTTGCGGGCATTATTCCACTTGGCTTCCAACAAGGCTTCTTCACGCTCTTCCTCCGTGTCGTACTCAAACTCGTACCCATTATCCTCTAGATCACCTTCGCTGACCTCTGCATCAGCACACGCTTCCTTGTGATCGGGAATCCAGTTGTCCTCGTTCGTGTCACTGTGAGAGCAGAACATCAGTACTTGCATAGCTATTGAGAATTCAACTGACTTACTCAGGATTGTTAGGTTTACCGGTGCGAGTATCCATGCGGCCGGCCCCTTCAAACTTATGGTAGTCGACTGCCAGTCTCAAGCACTGGTCCCACATGGGGATCGATGTATCAACTAGCTTCTCGATGGTACGGTATATGTCGGGATACCTCGTAGGGTGAAGGTTATTGATGTAGCTGGTGAACTTGACGCTGCCATCGTTCTGGAAAGCCACGTTGGCTGGCAGCCATTGATATGTATGCGACCAGTATTCCGGCGGGATGTCAGAGCCCCCTACGCCGTAACTGTAGCGGTTTCTATCTGAAGGCTCTATAGGGGGTTCTTGTGGGATGGTCTCGCCCTTGCCAGCCCAGCACTCGATGGCGTCCGCCACACCAACGTGCTCTTCGTGAAAGCCACAGCTACGGCCGTAAACCAATGGGTACATAGATGGATGTACTAGATCTTGCACCATACTATTCGAGTTGGGATGCCAGTCAGGAGAAGCAGCATGGTCCGATTTCAGCTTATCAAATGCTTTGCGCAGACTTGCGTGCAGCTCGCTCGTAACAAGCGTGTCAGATTTGGCCACGGAAGCAAATGCGTCCAGACAAGGAATAATGCCGGACTGTTCGTAGTACTTAGCTTTGCTACGAAGCTCTTGGATACACTATAGGACATTAGTGATAAAGACGAAAAGCGGGCAAGGAGTACCGTACAGTGTCAAAAGTAGCCTCGTCTAATATGTTCTCTAGCTCGCAATCGCACCAGTCGTTATGAAGTTCGAGTCGATTATCGTCGTGGGTCCAATGCTGCCTCTTCGCACCAACGGCAAGTTGCCAAAAGTGATCATCAGGGATAGCCAAAGCCTCCTTGCGCCACTTAGCGATGATATCGTCATCGAACACCTTCTTGTACCAATCGATCTTGTCGGTAAGCTTCTCCATAACGTCCATCATGGCCAGCTCCCGAACGGGTATAATGTCTGATTCGCTTCCATAGCAGTTGTGATGGGAACCAATGGGATAGAAGCCATAGCTTCTCCAATCCCAATTCCGTAGAGGTAGTCCAAGGCCAGGGTATTCATTCTTTGGTTTGACAGAGGTCTCAGCCATCGTTGTCATTGAGTGAGTAAAGAATCGTATTTTTCGATCAGGTCTGCATGAAATGTGTGCTGAAGCAAGAGCTGGATACCATAGCGCTTTATACAAGCTGCGATTGACGACCATATCGTGGAACTGTAAGAGCCGTTAGTGCGCTAGCGCAGGCAACTGCGTGCTGCCTGGGATGTTAAGGTAAAGAATGAGATATTTGGGCGCATTGGAGGCCTAGCCTTTGCCTGTCCGGGTTACGCCACGAATGAGCACTGAACTATGCGCGATGGGATCCGCATCTGTAATCATCGAGGTGTCGCGGTTATGACGTTCGCATAAGTTCGCGAGCAGCATTGAGAACCCTTTGCCTAGCTTGCGACGTAGGAGGTGAGATGGGAAGATGAGAAGATAGTGTCTCCGCGTCGAGCGCAAAGTGTTGAACGCGTAGCGCGTCGGAACGCGTACACTACAGTGCCGGTGCGCGTAATGCACAGGTTCGCGTAACGCCCCACCCACAACACAACAGCTTCATGAGTATTGCAGCTGTAACGCCTCAACAAATCGTGATAATATTGCGCAAAAGTAGTTTTATACTATATACTGGCCTGCGAAGACTTTGCGCTAGTCCAAATCTTTTTTTGGGCGGCGGATTACCCGCGATCTGGTGGTTTGGGGTGGAACTGGCTGTGTAACTACCCGGGCTCCTACAGAAGCTGTACTACCCCTAACACGTTTCTGACGCTTTGTAGCTGGCTTATGAGGTTTTGGAGCTTTGCGTTTACCCTTTTGGGGCAATTGTATAGCTTTTTGAGCGTCGCGGAGGCTCTTTTGGAGGTCTCTTTAGCTTTCTCTGCAGCCTTCCGCTTTCTGTTCTCATCCTAGATCCTCTCCCGCTTAATACGCTTCGCCCTTTGTAGTTGAAGCTTGCAAAGGCGAGCTGCCTTGTTGGCCTCGGCTTGCTCGGCTTTTTGAAGCTTTTTAAGCTCTTGTTGTTGTTGTTGTGATGCCTGACGATCGCGAGCTCGTTGTACACTCCTGGGCGACCAGACTTTTGCTCCCCCATAGTAAACCTCGTCCTCATCAAGCTGGAGGGTGAAGGACTGCTTTGGTCGCCTCTCCTTGATGGCTAGGGACCGCTTAAGGCCCCTGACCTCACCGCGGAGGAGTGTATTTTGAGCTGCAATGTGGTGCAAACTTCGTTGAAGCTTCTTGACGTCCTTGCTGCTCTGATCCTTCACCTCACGGCGTATAATTGACTTAAGCTTGAGCTAATCCTCCCCGGAGAGTACTGACTGGCTGCTGTCAGAATCTGAAGCCTCCTTGGCAAACTTCTTGAGTACAGCGTCTGGGTTGGCTGGGTGTATACCGGTGGCTTCAAAAGACCTCTTAATGAGTGGAGGTTTGAATACAGAGGTCTAGGACCTCCAGAAGAGCGGGAAGAAGTCTCCTTTAGTCAAATTGAGCAACCCCTGACTGTCCTGAAGGTATCCAGCCAACTCAGTTGAGTAAGCGTTCGAGAGGGGTTTAAACATAACAACGTCAAGGGGTTGAAGCGTATGGGTAGCGTGAGGGGGAAATACAAACAAGAGGATCTTGTTGTCGTGGCAATACTCAATAAACTCCATAGTTACATGGGATCCGTGGCCGTTAAGAAGTAGTAATCGATACCCGGTTGAAGCGTGTCGTCTGGTCTCTCTTTCAAACACCCCCTTGAGCCAAGCTAACCCAATATCGTTGTTGCTCCAGCTAGAGGGAGAGGAGGTGACAAATACTGAGTGCTCCCCTGCTTGTATAGCATTAACCCAGCTTGATTGAACAGCTCCGTTGGCCCCCTGGAAGATGAGTGTAGGACTCAGAGGTTTGCCATCAGAACAAATACAAGCTATCACTGTTATCCACTCGCTGGAGCCATCTTCAAGTGCTTGCCTTACCCCTTTCTGCTCCCAGAGTCTCTTGTCAAATATACGCTTTGTTCTGCCAACTCGGCTAAGTTGAAAGCCCTTCTCGTCCATATTAAATATATGGATCGGCTGTATATCGTACTCCTCCATCTTTTCAAGGAGAAGCTTGAAATACAAGTTGTACTTGGCTCCGGAATCAGCTTTAGTCCGTTCCTTGGTTATGCCTTTGCTATAGCGAGAGATGAGATAGTCGGGATGCCGGTGGATGAACCGGGTAACCCAGCTTTTGGAGACCGCTTTGCCAGCTAGCTGACCGGCAAACTGCTGTATCATTGTCCTTGTAGGTGGCAAACGTCGCTCATTAAGTGTTTTGATATATTGTACAAGCTCGGCTTCGTGTTCTGGGTGGAGGACTTGATGCGCAACGTTGCGGGGTCTTGTTAGGCCTTGGTGCCGTCGAACGAGCGTACTGCGCTCAACACCGTACTTGGCAGCAACTTTGTTGTACGAGAAATCATCTCCTGGCTCGCGCGATTCTATTTCTTCAATTGCTTCTTGAATCGGATCCATATCGGTGGAGTTGTGGCGCGTTGAAGTTGTGTTGTTGATGGGGTGGGGTGGGGCGTTACGCGAACCTGTGCATTACGCGCACCGGCACTGTAGTGCCTCCCACATCTGCGTGGAAAGATCATAGCGCCATTCCGAAGTCGCGTCACTGCAACACGCTTACCATAGACTTCTCTATCGAAACACTGCAGTTCAACGTTCATGCGCATTTTCTATCTTGAAGTATCTAGTGCGTCTGCCTCACAGAGCGTCCAGCACTCTTGACACTCTTTCGCACGTTACGAGGATTGGAAGTTATGCATCAGAGACATATACATATCGTACACAACAGGATAAAGTACGTATAACCCGGTTGAATGCGGTGTATGCGCAGACACTACTAGTTACATACAGTTCGACGACGACGGTCAAAATACACCGAATAGGAACACATCGAGAAACAGCTTCCCTGCGTGGTGCTCACTTGCGCTTCGTGTATAATTTGACATACTTCACATGCTCGTTGCCCTCAGCGTCTTCGTAGCGTTCACTGACGATTTTGTACCCACCGATTTTGGGCCAAATCTTTGTCCAGCATGCCCAGTAAAACCCACCCAGAAGCAGAACGCTGACACCAACAACCGGAAACACGTAGTATGGGTAGCCCTCCGCGTTCCAATCACCATCCGGGGGGATGAAGGGGACGATCGCGAGAAAGATGTTTGCGGCCAGGTAAAGAACAGCAATAGGAAGGTACGTATGCCATGGCGACTCCCAGCGCTCGCGCTTGTTGTAGTGCAGGTAGATGAGGCCGGCGGTAACGAAACCGTTGATCCATGCTCCGGGGTAGGTGTATAGATCGGTGATAAAGTTGTACGCAGGACCAGCGGGAGGTGCAACAAGCACGATGACTGTAATTAGCCAATGCAGGAACAAGGCGGTCGCAGGGGCGTTGAATGGTTTGTTCGATGCCCAGAATCGGCTCCTAAAATATCGATTTACGAAGTTAGTGTATGTTTCACACACAGTCTCGTATGTGGGAGTTTTTACCAAGGTAGCAGACCCTCCTTCGCGAACTCCTGGTTGAGGCGCGAGTGGGCGAAGCTGACTGCAAGTACATTGCCCAAATTGCTGAGAGCAACGAAAGCTGGGAGACTGCGCGCTCCAGCGCTATTGCCGAAGACGTTTCGGAAAAAAAGACCAGCGACGATCACTTCGCTCTTCGCGAGGTCGGATTTAGGGATTGCAGCAAAGTAAGCCACATTCGCAAGGACATATAGGATGGTTGTTCCGCCGATTGCTAGAGGTGCTGACCAAGAGAGGGTTTTCTTTGGGTTCCGGATTTCACCCAACACGTAGTTGGCATTCTCCCAACCTTTGTACGAATAGATGATGCGAAGCAGAGCTTGACAGTATCCGTAGGCACCGCCGCCACCATAACCATCACCCACTTCCAGTCTGAATGCGTTGTCGAAGTTGTGCGGCTGTTCGATCTTCAGATGGCCGGCCAGCGCAGCGAAGCCAGAGAAGACGATGAAAAGGAGAATGAAGACTTTGAAGACGCCAAGGACGTTGAAGAGGCGGATACCCCATTTCGGAAACGTGGCGTGAAGGCCGACCGAGAAGGTCACGCATGCGATGGCTATACCACGCGCCGCCCAACCATCGGGCGCTTCTGAGCCAGCAGCGAACAGCACGTAGCGTCCGAACGCCAAGGAGTTGCCGGATGAGAAGCCGAGCAATAGCATCTGTGCTGCAAGAACGCATGTCGCAACGTACTTGGGGTGACGATAGACGCGCTCCAGATAATTCTTTTCGCCGCCTGAACGTGGGATCGCAAGTCCGAATTCCAGAAACACGGATAGTCCACAGAAAGTGAGGATACCGCCGATAATCCAGAGGAAGAGCGATACACCGACTGATCCCGTCACAGCGAAGATACCGGAAGGAGTAGAGAAGACTGTACATAATTAAGCAGAGAACCCAAGCGTATGTGTGTGCAAAATACGTACTGCCGGTACCGATCATCTTATTTAGGATCACGAAGACCGTGGCTGTGTAGCCTAGCTTCTGAGAGTCGTCGTACACATAAGCATTGTCTTCTTGTACACTGCCATCCTCGTAGACCGGTGGAGAGGGTGAGGTCTCATCATTGGCATACCGCGCTACCTTCGCGTCGTCGTCAGCGATCGCGGCCATGCTTGGACTCTGCTAGGAACACCCGTAGCTCGCGTCAATTTCGTGGTCGAAGTATGGCCGATGAGTCCTAGGAAAAGGTTGTGCAGATGATTAACGGCCACTTGGTAACCGGGATCTTCTAGGCTCATATAGCCGCCTGCAATGGCGCGATAACATTGTTGTAGCATGCCACGCGAAATTGATTGCGAATCCACTCCTACCATGTCGCGATCAGCAAACGCTGTAACATTTCGAGGCTTAAGTTGCTTGTGGTGTCCAAAGCTGACCTGTTCCAAGAACCCTGAACAGGAAGGTGAAGCAAATAGATGGTTCGAATGTCTTGGTAGATCCTCTCAACGCTGCGCACAGAGGTCAAGGGCGATGTCGTGATCGCTGGGCATTATTAGCCGACCACCATCGAACTTGGCGCGAACTCGATGCTTTGAACTGCGCTCATATTCGCGACGGGTATAACTTTTTGAAGACGCCGAAAGCATGTCACCGAACGTATATGGCAGAGATAGCGCGCATGATAGTGCGGCTAGATCTCATCGGGGCGTTCGTAGCGCAAGATTGACAGTGTCTGGTAAGTCACGATGAGATGAGGTTTGACGATGTAGTTGTGAGTGGAAGGCTGTCGGCCGGGCCGTTCGCGTGTCTCTTAGTGGCCCGTAATTTCCGTTCTAGCGCCAACCCTTGTTGGACACTAGGCTCACCCTTCTTCAACACCACAGGCGGTCTGCTTACTGATGGATTCTGATCGACTACTCGAGCTCACGATGGCATCGAAGTCCCTACGTCCACTAAAGCGTCTTAAATGTTTTCGATGCAACTTCGATGTCGACAGGAGCCTCCGATAGCGAGAGGCCGGCCCTGTCGAAGGAATAGCTCTCGCATCATCGTGCTTGCGACGCAGCTCAGCATCAACAGTCATTCGGCATACCTATGCACGCTTTCTCTTATGGTAAAACATGCAACTTCCAGATTATGTCACGTTATGTTCATGGAATGGACGCGTCATCGCGTCATCCGAGGACAAGCTTCAACAAGAGCTGCACCGAAGCTTGACCGACGCCACGAAAGCCTCACGGACGGCACAGATATACATAACGGTGTTTGACAACTGTTCGCCGCGCTCACTCTTCACAGCTCGGTTTGTCGGCTGTTTTGACGACATGAGATCATTTCCGAGGCTTGTTGTTGTTCGGGCTAATTGGTGGATAATGTTCCTCCATTTTCCCCACGTTCTCCGGATTTCTCCATGTGGATACTCCCCGCGTTCGGTATACCTGATAATGGTGCTTATTGGAGGCATCGAACGGATAATTGATACTAGAGGCGTACTTGCGGCTGATAATGGTGCTAAGAGCACACCAGCAACCGGGCATTACGGATGTCTCGAGCCACATGGAAGCCCCAGCCCTGGGAGTACTGGATGCACTGGGTTCATATAAAGAGCGGGCCAAGCTTCTGCATGTCTCGGACAATCGCGTTACATCTCGGCTCACCACCATGCATTGGGCGACGCTTCTCCTTGGCCTGTTTGAGGCATGCACTGCCATATCGACAGTAAACCGCAAAGTGTGCCAGTACCCGACCAAGAAGCCACTGGACGGTTGCCCTAAGAACACAATTCTTGTTGGCCCTGGTCGAAACTTCTCTACCATCCAGTCCGCAGTGTTGAGTTTGCCAAACGACACAACACCTCACCACATCCTGATCCTTCCTGGAAACTATACCGAGCAAGTAAATGTCACTCGACCTGGACCCGTTTACCTCTTCGGTCAAACCAAAGCACCAAACGACCAAAGCCAGAACACTGTCAACGTGATATGGCGTAATGCTACCGGAGCAGGCCTATCTACATTAGATAACGCATACACTTCCGTCCTCACGGTCGCGCCGACTTTCAACGCGAGTACGACCGGCTCAGGCCCGACCGGAAATCCCGTACCTGCAGACACACCTTTCGGCAACTCTGACTTTCGTGCGTACAACATAGACTTCAGCAATTTATACGCGCCATACTCAGCCGGCCCGGCCCTGGCAGTCTCCGTGAGCTACGCAAACACCGGCTTCTACTACTGCGGATTCTATTCATACCAAGACACCGTATACGTCGGCAAACTAGGAAACGCATACTTCTACAAGAACGAAATCGCCGGACAAACAGACTTCTTCTACGGTTTCGGCACAGCATGGATCCAGTCCAGTCTCGTCTCACTCCGTAGTTGTGGCGGCGGCATTACAGCCTGGAAGGGCACCAACACGACTTTCGTAAACAAATACGGCGTCTACATCCACGACTCTGACGTAAAGAAAGCCAACTCTTCCCTCTCCATAGCCGGTAAATGCGCGCTTGGTCGCCCCTGGAACTCTCAACATCGCTCCATTTTCGCCAACTGCTACCTTGATGATTCGATTCAGCCGAACGGGTACATTGAGTGGGGTAGCTCAGACAAGAGGGTGAACTTCAATACTACGATGGCGGAGTACAAGGACTACGGGCCAGGATGGAACGAGACTGCACGCTTGGCGAGCAACGTTAGTATTGTTATGGATAAGAAGCAGTACGAGCCGTACTCGACGCTGGAGAAGGTATTCCAGTATCCGTTCTCTGGAGAACTTGGAAATACGGCGTGGATCGATAGGCATCCTGAGAGGTGATGTATGGAGTGAAGTGCTAGGAAATATATGTTTAGAGCATTGAGGCTCTCGCGGAAGATCATATCTTATTGAGAATATGTTTTGTAGCCTGTGTAATACTCTCTACCGGTCTCTGGACATGACTGCACCGCTCACCAGGAAAGTCCGCCTTTCTCCAGATCATCATGGGCTCGCAGTCGCTTTCATCCGAGAATTTTTTTGGAATTTTAATTCGTTTTCGTTCCAGTAGTCGCGACTGGCCCCATCTGTTTGCCATTCCACCTGAAGTCTTTACAAATTCTGCCTATTTGGGTCAGCCAGAAAATGCCAAGAGCTCGATATGGTTACCTACAGCGCATACAATAACAGCCTCCACTCCTTTGTATTCTCACTCTGCAACTAGGACAGGGCCTGGTATATCTTTCGATGGTCCGCAGCGCTTCGTCTTCCTCTTCGACGTGGTTTTTGATGCGCAGTCGGTACGCTTCGCACGATTCGCCTTCATGGTATGGTCGGTTGCAGGGCACGCAAGCTTTTGCGTCGCATTCGTGACACCAGCAAATGTCCGTCACCTTGGGTTCCCCATCAAATTTCAGGCTTCCATCTCCATCTGATGCGCTCTCGTGCACTTTCCCTTCGTTGCAAGACAAAGATGGACACCAGAACCACCCTGGTGTATTATTGCCGATGTGAACCCGCCCGAGTCTTTCGAATTGCGCAGACATCTTCTCGGAAGTGGCAATCTCGATGTTAACAGGCCCTCATGGTCGCTGGATATTCTGGACACTGAATTCCGAACGTCCCGTTACCATCATCACCTATCGTTACGTTCGCGCTCTCGATCTGAGTATCTACGTACTTCTGGAGGCATGCTATACAGGTGTTTATGAGATGTTTGCAGTTGGCGGAAGGGTTGTAGTCAGGGAAATCCTTCTCATCTTTGGAATTAGCACATGTATGGCAGTCGTAACGCACGACTGGTACTCGCTTCTTTTTCTTGGCTGGTACAGCCCAGGGATCACCGCCTCGCTTCCCTTTCGGTATGACGATTCAATGTTGTAGTAAAGTAGTGGTATGAGCGAGTGGGTTGATTGAGATTAACAAGAGGGAATAGTTGTTAGTAGATAAATGTGAAGCCTTGTACAGTTTAGGGATAAAATTCTACACCTGGAGAAGGTTCTTGAAGAGGCGAGGGTGTGGAGAGAAAGACATAGCTCAATCTGGTTGAGTGCGATGAGCTTCTCTAGTTTCCAGAACACACCGTTACAATCAACAGGGAGAGCATACTCCAGTGCCTCTAAAATCATGCCGTTTTCGCAGCATTGTCGTACTCTTTCCAGATAAGCCCCTCAGGCAAGACCTTCCACTGCAACTCCTCGTCCAGCAAACCACCCATCCTGCCCCACTCCTCTCTAACCACCCTCGCCTTCTCCTCATCCCTCGGCACAATACTTGCCAAAAACGGTTTCGGTTGAACCAAAAACCCCTCCGTCAAATCATTAGCATCCGGCAACATAACCTCCCCATCCTCACTTTTCCCCGGTTCAAACTCAAACGCCCAAAGCAGCCTCGAAATAGCTAAGAAGAGCGACCGCTCAGCAATATGCATACCCTGACACAACCGTCGTCCCGCCCCAAAAAGGAAATGATCGCGTTTCGCCGCATCGGAGTTATTCGCTGCTTCGGCTGCAGTTTGCGTGTCGTGAGAGTAGCGCTGGGGGTCGAAGCGGCGGGGATCAGGATGCCGTTTGGGGTCATTGTGGATAGTCCAAACGTTCCACATTACACCTGCGTTCTTGGGGATTTTATAGCCCATGTATTCGTCGTCGCGGATGACTGCGTGGGGGACGCCCAGGATGGCGGTGGGCATCCAGCGCATGCTTTCCTTAACGCAGCCGCGGATGTAGGGCAAATTTGGCAAGTCGTCGAGACTGGGGAAGCGGGTGCCGCAAACGCGGTCGAGTTCTGAGCGGGCGATTTGAGCTACTTCTGGGAAGAGAATCATTGCTTGGACGACTCATGGACAGTTAGCGCAAGTCCTCCAAGTATTGGTTGTAGTTCACTTACAACCAATGAGCGTTGCGGCCGTGGTGTCCGATCCTGCCTCGAGCAAAGAACCGCTCACGTAGCCAGCGAGCGCATCTGAAAAGTTCTCTTCGTCTTGGGCGCGCACCAAATCGAGGCAAAAACATGGTTTCGCAGTTCCGTTCTTGATGGCTTTCTTCACGTTTAGCCAATGGCCAATGTACAGCTCACGCTCCTTCTCGTGGAGTTTCTTCGCATATCTCCGCAGAGGAAGCGCCCAGTCAGGTAATGCTCGGAGTACGGGAAATAGATCGAGAAGGGCTGCCGTTGTCTTGCCCGAGACTTCTGAGAACTTCTCAAATCCCTGAGATGGTGTTAAGAAAAGTAAAAGGCTCTCGAGGATAAACATACCGAGTATAGCTGCTTCAACTTGGGGTCGTCGATGCTTGTAGTCCGGAAACCAAATATCATTTGCGTAGTCAACGAGTTGGTATATCGACGGATATGATCAGTGAAGAGATCTGGAGTCTCCAAGAATCCGACGAGCATGGCCTTGTTCTCCAACTCCTGGTATGGTACGTATGTCCTGGCCGCCTTGATGTTGAGGTTGTTGTGGACAATTTTCCGAATCATGCGCCATGTGTCTCCGTATGGCTATCTGAAATCAGCTCCATGTTCAGGCGAGCATCTCCAAGTGACTTGCCATGAAAAGCATGCGCAATCCACCGCCCCCTTCAGACGCACCACTGGCGATCTGACCAAGATACAGATCCGGACGTGATGAGTAGATACTGCTCCGCTTATCCAGCAGATCCTTTACAGCTTGATCCGACGACAGTACGATCATGACCTTTGTACCGAGGATGAGTGAGTACACTGGTCCATATTCCTCAGCCCACTTCTGGAACTGGAGATGCGGCTTCTCCTTTGGCATCAGATGTAGGTTTCCAATGATTGGCAGTGTAGGTGGCCCTGGGGGGTAGTCTGCTGGCCTTCGACCGACATTACGTAGGCTGTAGGCAGCCACGGCTACCAAGGCGGCCAGTAAAGCATAAAGTGTGAGGGACATGGTGACGGGAGGGAATCTTTGGATTAAAGAATGCCCCAGAACTCCTGATATGGAAAACCACCGCAGAAACTACAGGGCGCGATGAATCTCCAGGCCACGGCTTTATTTCCATGCGAGCTGGGGTGCATGCCGACCTTGAATCCACCTCACCAGCCAAGCAGATATATGCAGATGCTAGCATTCGATAAGTTCTATGCTGCGAGCCGTTCTCGATCAGCTCATCTTAGCCACAAATGAGGCTGCGAGGCTGCGGTCATCAGCATGGTAATATAAAAGGGTAGGGAAACTCCACTATGGAGCCATCTTTGACTGGACCACTGCTGTGCTAACCGAGACTCAACAGTGTAGTGCTTACAGGCTCCATGATCCTGAACGTACTCTTTCGGCAGTTGCCTCCACATCCGTGCGGGGCATGCATGTGCGTTCCCCAGTTAGAACCACTGGTCCCTTCATAAAGGTGGGCTGCTATCCTTGTCGCGATGCAGTACAGTGCCGGTGCGCGTAATGCACAGGTTCGCGTAACGCCCCACCCCACCCCATCAACAACACAACTTCAACGCGCCACAACTCTACCGATATGGATCCGATTTAAGAAGCAATTGAAGAAATAGAATCGCGCGAGCCAGGAGATGATTTCTCGTACAACAAAGTTGCTGCCAAGTACGGTGTTGAGCGCAGTACGCTCGTTCGACGGCACCAAGGCCTAACAAGACCCCGCAACGTTGCGCATCAAGTCCTCCACCCAGAACACGAAGCCGAGCTTGTACAATATATCAAAACACTTAATGAGCGACGTTTGCCACCTACAAGGACAATGATACAGCAGTTTGCCGGTCAGCTGGCTGGCAAAGCGGTCTCCAAAAGCTGGGTTACCTGGTTTATCTACTGGCATCTCGACTATCTTATCTCTCGCTATAGCAAAGGCATGACTAAGGAACGGACTAAAGCTGATTCCGGAGCTAAGTACAACTTGTATTTTAAGCTTCTCCTTGAAAAGATGGAGGAGTACGATATACAGCCGATCTATATATTTAATATGGACGAGAAGGGCTTTCAACTTGGCCGAGTTGGCAGAACAAAGCGTATATTTGACAAGAGACTCTGGGAGCAGAAAGGGGTAAGGCAAGCACTTGAAGATGGCTCTAGCGAGTGGATAACAGTGATGGCTTGTATTTGTTCTGATGGCAAACCTCTGAGTCCTACACTCATCTTCTAGGGGGCTAACGGAGCTGTTTAATTAAGCTGGGTTGATGCTATACAAGCAGGGGAGCACTCAGTATTTGTTACCTCCTCTCCCTCTGGCTGGAGCAACAACGATATTGGGTTAGCTTGGCTTAAGGGGGTGTTTGAAAGAGAGACCAGACGACACGCTTCAACCGGGTATCGATTACTACTTCTTGACGGCTACGGATCCTATGTAACTATGGAGTTTATTGAGTATTGCTACGACAACAAGATCCTCTTGTTTGTATTTCCCCCTCACGCTACCTATACGCTTCAACCCCTTGACGTTGTTATGTTTAAACCCCTCTCGAACGCTTACTCAACTGAGTTGGCTGGATACCTTTAGGACAGTTAGGGGTTGCTTAATTTGACTAAAGGAGACTTCTTCCCGCTCTTCTGGAGGTCCTGGACCTCTGTATTCAAACCTCCACTTATTAAGAGGTCTTTTGAAGCCACCGGTATACACCCAGCTAACTTAGACGCTGTACTCAAGAAGTTTGCTAAGGAGGCTTCAGATTCTGACAGCAGCCAGTTAGTACTCTCCGGGGAGGATTAGCTCAAGCTTAAGTCAATTATACGCCGTGAGGTGAAGGATCAGAGCAGCAAGGACGTCAAGAAGCTTCAACGAAGTTTGCACCACATTGCAGCTCAAAATACACTCCTCCGCGGTGAGGTCAGGGGCCTTAAGCGGTCCCTAGCCATCAAGGAGAGGCGACCAAAGCAGTCCTTCACCCTCCAGCTTGATGAGGACGAGGTTTACTATGGGGGAGCAAAAGTCTGGTCGCCCAGGAGTGTACAACGAGCTCGCGATCGTTAGGCATCACAACAACAACAACAAGAGCTTAAAAAGCTTCAAAAAGCCGAGCAAGCCGAGGCCAACAAGGCAGCTCGCCTTTGCAAGCTTCAACTACAAAGGGCGAAGCGTATTAAGCGGGAGAGGATCTAGGATGAGAACAGAAAGCGGAAGGCTGCAGAGAAAGCTAAAAGAGACCTCCAAAAGAGCCTCCGCGACGCTTAAAAAGCTATACAATTGCCCTAAAAGGGTAAACGCAAAGCTCTAAAACCTTATAAGCTAGCTACAAAGCGTCAGAAACGTGTTGGGGGTGGTACAGCTTCTGTAGGAGCCCGGGTAGTTGCACAGCCAGTTCCACCCCAAACCACTAGATCGCGGGTAATCCGCCGCCCAAAAAAAGATTTGGACTAGCGCAAAGTCTTCGCAGGCCAGTATATAGTATAAAACTACTTTTGCGCAATATTATCACGATTTGTTGAGGCGTTACAGCTGCAATACTCATGAAGCTGTTGTGTTGTGGGTGGGGCGTTACGCGAACCTGTGCATTACGCGCACCGGCACTGTAGTGACGGAAGTGGGTTAGTTCGCCGCCACTACCGCAATGCAAAGAGTACTGCAGAGTAACAATATTGTCGCTCCGTTGTCTTGTGCCGGATCCGAATACTCCTCGATCTCCACACTTACGACCAAAAGTACACGTTCTTCCATATATAAGTACACCATATGTCGACAAGCCGTTAGAAGACTATTATATTTGATATTGTATCGAGCATGTGCAACGATCTAAAAGGAAATAGGATGTGACAGGAAGACAGTGCAGAGTAGAACAGCAAGGGAAAATATATACACTATACACAAGACGATGAGGGAGTAATGCACCCAAGCTCCCGTTTTCCCCAGTACACAAAAACTGCAAGACAAGGTATCGAACTCCAAAAACCAGAACAGATAGGCAAGACGTGAAAAGGGCGTAGCGGACGATGTGATTACAACGCAATCAACCCCATGATAGCGACAATGATAGCGAAGATGGATCCACCCATACGACCCAGACCAGGCTGAACAACGGATCCAGCACCAGTGCTACCAGAGCCACCTTGAACGAACTGGCCTTCAGCGGTAACACCACCACCAACAGAAGAACCAGTCTCGGCAGCGGGGGAGTTTGGTTGTACAACCGATGCCGTCTGTTCGACTTCTCGCCCGGCACCACCTCCAGGGTTACCACCAGGTACCATGGCAATATCCGTAGCCTTTGAGTCGTCTTTGTCCTTGGCTTCACCTGGGTTCTCGCCCGTGCCCATGAGTGAGCCGAGAACCACTACGTCGTCCGTGATGGCAACGGTGTTGTTAGTACCAGCCTCATCCGTGTACTTGTATGTCTTCTTGCCCTTGATTTGTGCGCCCTCTGGTGGGTCGTAGCACTCGACGGTGACTTCCTGGAAGCGGGCGGCGTAGTATCCGTTGGTCATGTAGGGCGAGTTCCAGTCGATTTCTCCGCCAGCCCAGTCGATTGTTCCCTTTTCATTTGTGGGGAGACCGGCGGGCCAGAGAGAAAGCATGATGCGCGCAGGTGTTTGGGGGTAGTCGTAGCGGCCGGATGTCTTGTTCCATGTCGAGTCGCGCTCCAGTGTGCGTTGATTTTTGCCGTTGATAGACCACGTGAGAGTGTCTTCCTTCCAGTCAACGCAGTATTCGTGCATGGTTTCGACAGTATTGGCGTCCGGTACAGTAAGGTTTTCACCGTTCGTATCTAGGTTCGTGTTAGTTATATGAGAGGGACTCGACCGGGTTGTGGAACTACTTACACACTGTCACTCCCTGCGAGTAGAAGTTGGACTGCACGTGGCTTGTGTCTACACCAACCCACTCGAAATCAATCTCGTCCTTGACATCCGACATAAGAATGAAGGCGGTGACTACACCCTTGCCCTGCGCTGTGCTAAGCTTGGAGCAGATCTTGCCGTACCAAACGTAGTAGGTAGATGCCAACAGTGTTCCAACAGTCCCCTGTGCCATAGTCAAGAGAGTCGACTTCTCCTTGGTCTTGGGGTCTGTGTATATGGTGGGCATGCCCTGCGACTGCCAGTTGATCTTGGACGCATCTCCCAAGTACTTGTCGATGGTCTGCACATCGTCCAGACTGTCTAGCGAGTATTTTCCAGATTTGCATACGGGACCGGGAACGCATGAGTCGAACGAGTGTGACATGAGGGGATCGCAGCCACCGAGGCAGAAAGCGCCGACACCGCAGTCGCCATATACTGCGCACCTGTTAGCACTATTCACTGCACAACGCGGCTTGGCAGCGTACGAGAGCAACAGGGAGTATCCTGAGGACAGTGGCTATCTTTTGAACATTTTGCTCCAGCAAGCGCTGTGCCTGCGAATATTGTTGCCGCAAAGGCGGCGGACAGTAGACTTCGTACCATGGCTTCGGACCGTTTGCGGGATCTTCGATGTCGTGTAAGCACTTTATCGTCGGCAAGTGGAGTCGCGGCGCGATCAAGACGACGGTATCACGACGTCTCTCAGTGATGTGCCGCAGGAAGCTCTTTTTGACTTGGTTGGGTGAAACGGCAGGTGTAGGGGTCCGGGCTGTTGTGCGGCGAAGCAAAGGGAGGGTGCACACGTGAAATTCCGTCGATTGTGCTCCCCTGAAATCAGATGACGCGGTTTCGGAAAGCGAGTGTCTGTAGGAAACGAGGAATTAAGCTGTCGGGTTAGTAAAGCGAAGGTGGTCCCGAGGGATAAGAAACATGTACTGGGGAATGAATGAAGGCAGGAGCGAGCGGCGGCGGCACCCTTCTTCAAGAAGGGGTGGCCCCAAGGCGCAGATACGGGGCACTATCCGTCTACGATCACGCTAGGCCGCAAGCCCACGGAAGGGCTAACCGTAATTGTCCTGTGTTAAATGCATCCGCCGGCCAGCGTCACACTCCAACACTACTTTCGCTGTCCTCGTGAGCACATTCACGAGCGGTAAAACTCATGAGACAGTTTTGAAATTTTACCCCTCGAAAAACAACTTTGACAGTTACAATTGCCCTGCATTGGCCTGCCCTGACGATCCTGGTGTTGCGCACTGCTATCGCCACCCTGCGTCTATCGATAACCGCTAGTGACTATTCTTGGCTCACCCTGCAGGACCCTCACGCCCCACGTGCTTTCTTACCCCATGAAAACCCTGGTATCTTGTCGTCACACTTCACTCACGAGCGTTTGTGCTGCAACGTGGTGCTGCTGTTGTACATTGCGCTGTCGTTGGTATCGTGCAACTATGCTGCTGTTTGTTGGATACGTGTTCGTAAGTTTGGGACACACTCCGACTCCGACAGAGCGGCACAACACGAGCAAATTGCAGGTCGCCTGATCGTCAACATCTGCATCGTCATCATACTACATATACAGGCCGACTAAGTATAGCCGGTATCTTTTGAAAATCGCCTGCACAAGAGACTAAGCCATCGACCTAGTAGCAAAGACGAGTATCGTAAATGCCGCTGGGATGATTTCGAGGCTACGCCCACTCACACTGCTACATATCAATGACCTTGTCGCGATGAGCTTCAAGGGCAGCAATAAGTGGTATTATTTCTACACTCATGTGATATGGATTAAATGTAGCATCGGCAAGAGTGGACTGCTTGGACATTCATGCGAATACATTCGACATACAATTGCCAAAGAAGGACGTGGGCGTGCAAAACCGGATGATCTTTGACTACTCCGAGTCCGTTTCCCACCTCGCTTCCTTCTCCCTTAGATCCATAAGCTCCTCAATTCCTATTGCAAGCTCCTCAAGCCCGATTGCAAGGTACTTGGCACAATGATTCACCATCTGTGTAATCACCACAAAGCGTCCCCCTACACCCAAAGGCGTGAGTACAAAGAACTCCTTCAAAAACGCCTTCGCATAAGCCTCCACGATCGGTGACGCAATGCCGTCAAAGTCCTGCCCATCCGGCATTCGAATCGTCGTCATACTGTTGAGCAACTGCCACCAAACACACCGATAACACACTACGAAATGGCTAAAATTTAGATCGGCTTCCTCTGAGACACCCCATAGGGCGTTTTTACCCGACCCATTCTGTGAATGGACTAATTTGAACAACTCCCTCTCGAATATGTAAATGTCATTCCAGAAGTACAGGGCTGCATGCATCAACATTTCCTCGTCGAAGAAATGGCACGTCCAATCGAAGATCCAACGGCCGATTGAAGCCCCATAGAATACCGTGTCGGTGTTCGGCAAGCGGAACGGCGTGCCGTATAGGACTTCTGCCGAGGCGATCAGATTCCAGTCTAGCTCGTCGACGCCCAGCAATTTGCCTGTTGACATATATATGCTCGTTGAACACATAGGCCATAGAAAATCATCGGGTTGGGCCGTTCGAGACTGCACCAAAGACGCTTTCTCAGCTTGCAAAAGAGACTCGTCACTAGACCATACAGTGGTGCCCAAAGCCACCTTCGCCATCAGCACTTGTTGAAATGTAAGAGAAGCAGGATCCAAATGGTAAAATGGCTGGGAGTACGCTTGAAGAATCCCCGCCGCTGGGATGCATCTATATGAGAAGTCGTTCTCTGGCATCAAGAGCCGTCCTGGCTGTGATTGTTGCGGATCCACTTCCATCAGACCATCATTTTCGAGAAGGACAGGTGGTTCTACCACAGCAGGTGTGGGTCGGCGCTTCTCGGCGACGATTTCAGGTGTCTGCTCAGGAAACCACTTCGGGTTTCAAAACTTTTCTTTTTCAGGAGCCACTCGATCAATATCCATCTCTGTATCGTAATTCTCTGGACTATCACTTTGATATGGATGTGTTCCCGGTATCGCTTTCGATAACAAACCGGCCTTTCTCGCCTGCAATAATTCTTCTTTTACAACCTCTACAACGTCCACGGGTTGATCAGTAGAGAGGGGCTTGATGATTTCGGTCTCATCTGTAGATTCTGTACTCGGCATTCGTGAAGATTGCGCTTGCTCTTCTGGATGGAACTTCCAGATTTTGGTAGACAAGTCCAACTTCGCTCCTGACGAGAGATTTGAGAAGGTTTTAAAAATCTGGCTTCCCTTCTTTCTTTTGAAAGCTTGCAATTTTGCGCGTTGTTTTCTTATGATTAAACGTACCCGCTTGAACTCTCTAAAGTCATCCTCTCTATCCACATCAGCTGGCGCTACGTGTTTCTTCCCACGTCTTACTGTATCAGAAACTATTCCTGTGAAACCAGGTTTTCCGAATTCAGATATGGATCGCCACGGCGAGGGAACTGGAACCTGAGGTGAAGGTTCCACATCTTGTACGATGGTGATCCGCCGAAACCACATTCTACATTTCTCACATTGAATTTCGGCGTCGGTAGGGTTAGTGGACGGTGTTCGGCATCCAGGACATGTGACAGCATATATGCTGTCCTCGTTCTCCTGGGTGTCGAAGAGGAAACTCATTTCGATTCGTTGGCCAGGAAGGAATGCTCTCTGCCAAGGTCGACTCTGCTCGATATCTCTTTTAGAGGCCTTGTCTTGTAAGCCATATTGCTTATGCTTGACCTTCTGAAAACCTTGCATCCCTTGGAAGCGAATTTCAAGTACAGCATTAAATGCATCTCAAGAGGTGACGAACTGTAGGTGTACAGGGGCGATCCGACCAATTGCATCCTCTAGGATAAAAGGCTCCTCGATAAGACCTCGTTCAAGTCGGTAGGGCAGAGCCGACTGAATGCTGATTACCGCATGATATGTAGCAATGTTCATTGCTATGATGCGGCGCATATATCCCTTCAGCTCCGTGCCCAGTTGTCGAAACCAATCGAGTCGGAGAGCATCCGCGAGCTTAGCCGTGACCGAACTACCGGATTTGATCAGGCGGTTGGTTTCTTCGAGACGGTCACTGATGGATATCAGGATAGCGTCCTGCTTGTTGAGGTTTAAGTCATTTTGCTGTTTAACAGTAGCCATATGATCTCTTATATTTCTTCCATTAATATCCATTAGATTCCTGTCGTATCTATCAGCTTAGTTGTAAAATAGTTGTAGAGAGAAGCATACACGCTCGCGGTGGCCAACAACATCTGCAAGCTTGCACTGGTTGCGGCAATTTCGGCGCGAAACTTGTCGACAGCATCCTTCCCTTCAATGCACCATCGCACCTTCATAGCTGTGGCTTTGATGAAACTTGGTGTCTCATTTTCTCCAAGGCTATTTTGATATTTCTGTACTCGCGCGGAGAAGGCGCTCACAAGTTCCCGGCAACGGTCTACGGCTGTCTTCGCCGTCTTGCATAACGCTTCCAACTCGGGCGTCGCCCAACCGCCGTGGGTCCTTGCGAGTAGATCGATTTCTAAGAGGCTGCGATCCAGAATCCAGAGTTCTCTAATCAGCGATTGATACTCAGTCTTGGATCCACGCGCCTTGTCGAGGGCATCGACCAGGTCTTTGACTAAGAGACAGACGGAGATAATGTCGCCAACGGCTCCAAAGGTTACTGGCATAATGTTATAAGTGGACTGACTGATAGTATTGTGCAAAAGAGATGAGTTGGGGAAAAGAAGTCAGGCTGAGGTTAAGCCGGGCACCTGTTTGGCAGTGGCATAGCCCCCAACACTGAAACACCAACACGTTCCACATTCTGTAAAACATCTGATTCAACGCAGCAATGTAGAAATAGTGTGTTGGAATACATTGAAGGTCTAGCGGGCAGAGCTGCTGAACTACACGTAGATCAATCAGCTTCAACGAGCGATTAGCAGAAGCAGTAGATCATACCGCGTATACCGTGGGAGAAAAACACTCAATTCTCGGGCAGAAGCATTTGTGATTTATGCCGTAGACGCAAGTATCGTTGGCAGTACTGTGACCTCTTACAGTCCATGTTACAGGAGCTAGCTCGCCAAATGTTGGTGCTGTTGTTAATGCCAGTCGCGTTGACGTCATGTTCGTTCCTACAGTCCAGTTGGATAGCGGTTCGCGACATATATGCTCAATCGAGCTGTAGAGGTACACGGTCTGTAAGAACGAGCATGATGATAGTGGATCAAGGGAGTGGTGTTTGACGCGTCCAATGACCAGGGAAGGCGCGTCGGCCCACGCTAGCGCTCGACGCACGTGGGGCTCTTCCACTTGCACCTACAATCGACAGTACTTTTCACATAACGTCTTGCTGACCTTACGACAGAAAACTCGATGACCTCGGGTTAGGTGAACACATGACGGAGAGATGAGACGCATACAATCGCGTGCGGTAATGAGACTAAGAAGCAGACACTGACTGTAATCATCGTACCTCGGCACTTTCTCCGCCCTCTGTACTATTCGCCGTGAACGTAGCAAGCGCGCACTGCCATTGCACAACCCACCACCTTACCCACCTTCCATCTTTCATTCTTTCGTCTCAAAACTTCCGTTCTCAACCTCTTGGCTGTGACGTATCTATATGTCCTTCCTCATTCACGGCAGCACAGGACACACAGGCATGGGCTGGGTCGACCTCGTTCCCCGCGCAGGGAAACTCTATATCGGCGGCCTCTACGCCTTATATCAAGGCGACTTGATAGACAAAGCAGGAATAACACATGTCCTGTCAGTGATCGACTACGACCCTTTGCTTCAAGACAAATTCAGGCATTTGAAACATTTCCACATCCGCTCAGAAGACCACCCAAATACAAATCTCCTACAATACTTCCCTCAAGCTGTCGCGTACATTGACTCAGCGCTCAACAAAGAAGACGGAGGCGTGTTTGTTCACTGCGCGATGGGTAAATCTCGATCCGCAGCTCTCGTCTGCGCGTACCAGATTTGGAAGCACGATTTGACTCCCGAAACGGCGTTGGAGCAGTTATGTGAAGGACGGCCAGTTTGCGATCCCAATCCGGGGTTCAAGGAACAGCTGGAGGTATGGAGGAGCATGTGCATGGTTGGTGGGGAAGGGGAGGATAATGAGAGGGAGAAGAAGAGAATATATGAGGAGTGGGAGAAGAGCAGATTCACGGGGGAGGTGTGGGAGTGGGAGGCTAGGCTGAAGGAGAAGGAGAAGAAGAGGGAGAAGAAGGAGCAAGTTTTGCAACAACAGTCAAGAGCAGTAAAACCGAAATTATGAAGTCACGTCATTTCATGATATCAGAGATATCTCATCGCAATCGTCGATAATTAGGAGACGAGTCAAGGGCTCAGTGGTTATCAATTGAGTTGTTTCTTATTTGTTCGACGATAACGATGATTTGTCTCTGACAAAGAGACTAACGGCTTCATATATACGGAAGCGTAGAGATAATTCAAGGTCATACGCGTTCCTCTCATCAACAAGAGCCCTCCCCACCCCTGAAGACCCCGACTATGCATTCCAAGGCTTCGAATGCCCCTTCTTCGGTTTATAGCACGGCAACCACGAGCCCAACGCTTTCCTAAATAAGCGCTGGCTGACAGGCCCATCCGCAACCGTAACCCCCGTCGTCCTGAAATCAAAACAATGCTCCGCATCCCTAAGCACCAGTCCAAACAATTCATGCTTACTGGTCTTCTTCCCGCACTTAGGTACGTTTTGAATCACCTGCACACCCTTGGGAGCGAACGGCTCAGCGGAAGCGGGTGACAAAGTGCGCCAGGGATCGAATTCACCGTTTGACCAGTACGTGTTTGAAGGGCGTATGTCCCAACCCCCGAATACTTTGTTGGTGCGCGAGGTGTTTGGCCAGTCTGGGAAGAGGGAGCGGGGAGCAGTGGGGAATTGGCGGTGGCAGATGTCGTGTTGGTGTTGAAGCGAGTTGTACTTTGAAACGAGTTGCTGAGGACCGAGGTTGGCGGATTGGAAGTATCCTAGATGATGTTAACATTGTTGGAGGGAGAGGAAGAGAAAGAAGACATACCCCACTGTGTGCAATACTGCCACGTCCAGCTGATCATCGCCGGATCCGTAAATTTGCGGTCCAAATCACAGTCACCAGTCGTGTTGAGCTTGCCCGAGCACTCCGTCTCAAGATAACTGTTGACATTAGGAAGGAAAGCCGGGAAGCTCGCCCATCGATCCGTCGTCCACTTAGCACCCTTGCTCTTCGCCCAGCCCTCCTTAGGCGCTATAGCATTCGTCTTGGGATCCGTCTCGATGAAATCGCAGAAGCGACGGAGACCCGCCGATCCACCTTCCATACCGTAAGACTGCCACACGTAGAAGATGGTGGTGAGCGCATCGGCAAAAGTGGCATGCGAGTTCTTCGCAGCTCCAAGACCAAGGAATTGCTCCTTCAGCTTTGCAGCTGCACTCTGGTCAGAATCCATAACCTTGTCCATGTAGCGAACGGAAGCCTGGATATCACGAGAGCAGTTTCCAAAACCCTTGGCGTTCATACCTCGCCATACAGGGTCGAAGTAGAAACTCTGGTCAACGGAAGCTTCGACGGGGGCTGAGGAGGCCCAGGACGCGTAGATAGTATCAGGGTACATGTTACGCATAAATGCAGCCCTCATACCAGGGTACGAACCACCCACGAAAACCCACGGTGTCTTATCAGGAGTGAGCGTAGCATTGATACCAGTCCTGCTGAACTGCTTAGCAAAGCGATCAACATCCGCCAACGATTGCTCTGTCGTCAGAAATTCGAATGCCTCAGGTGGCGTGTTAACGTCAACGGGCGTAGGCGTCGAGTTTCCGTAGAAGCGATGCTCCCATACGATTCCGATACCACCAAACTCATCCACAAGCTGCTTGAAGAAACTTGTCTCGTTTTGCAACCTAAACAGAGCGTTTGGCTCTGCGTTCGCCTCACCCACATCGTAGACGAAGACGGGCCCACCAGCCTTGTACCCGCTCGTGGCGACCCAGTATCTGTTGAAGAAAGTGCCCTGGTACGAATAATCCTGGTTCTTCTTTTGCGCAAAGTTGTCAATGGGGAGTTCGACGTATTCCGGAGTGATGGTTTCGGCTTTCGCAGCAGCAACGACCGAGCTGTCTGCAGTAGTCGCAATCTTGAGGGATTTGAGAGCCGTAATATCGATGGTAGGGTTGTCGAGTGTGGCCATGGCTGTGCCATCAGGGTTGAGGCCCATGTCGGCAAGCAAATTGAACTTGCGTTGAATAGCCGCGTTCATGGCATTGGTACCCTGCAGCAGCGCGAGGGCCACCGCCGCAATGGATGTTGAGGACCGCATACTGGCGAGGAAGGACAGGATGGAATATAGACAGGAATTGTCGTATCCGGGTTATCTCGCTGCAGGAGAACCACACGAGAGAGGTATGGGTACAGCGAAAGAGTGACAGTCTCCAACTCACAGCCCAATCGCAACTGCTCAGACGACAACGACAACTCTAAGGAGGAAGCAACACGAACCAACGGTCAATTGATTCCTGGAACCCGGGACATACCATATATACATGCTTCGTGTAAATTACGCTTTCCCCATTTTACCTTTCGTCTTGGCCACGGACCCGAACGATCAGCGAGCGGCCCAACAGCATTCGTCTCATTACCGGTACGGTTCATTGTGCACCTGTTAAGCCGCAGATAACACCGAACGAAGAATGCTTGGTAGATCTTGTGTATTTGTCGGGTACCGCCATTGCCAAAGAAAGAAGGAGGTTTGTGTAGTGACCAAGCGTAGTGGATCGAAGCACAGGAAGCTTATCGGGCCTTGGTTCGCGAATTGGAAGGTCGATAACCGTTGATTGGTGGGGCCTTGCCAAGCGAACAAGCCGGCTTCCTACTTTAGCCTAGGTTTAATGGCTAGATTGAAGCGCGTTGTGCAGGGTCTGGTGAGCACTGTGGCACTGAGCCGACCGGGTAGTCGAGGGGCGGGCAATCTATCTAAACGTGGTCTGGATGATGGGACAGGTAGATCGTGTGGCAAGGGGTTCGGCCGGTGTCCTCGTTCGCAGCAAAAGCAAACTTCTTGAGAATCTGTTTTCTGATGTGCTACAATTACCACAGTCATCGAGCAAAGAGCGTTCACGTTCACGTTGATGTTATGATTATTCTTCATTGTTACGAACTGAAATGGTTCTTTGCTTGCTTCTTAGCAAACTAGCCAGCACACCTTCAAGAACAACACACCTACCACCAGCTAACCGGCATCGACCCGTTGATGGTGTCGTGTCCTCCGAGGAACGGGCCTTGTCATCTCCAAGCGAAGTATCATACACAAAAGAAAAGAAATCCGCCAATTAATATTAGCAAAGCGTGCAGCTCCCAAAAGAGCCGCTTCATATCCGTACATTAACCCCACAAAGTGTTCCAGATGCCGGGTATCGAAGACTGCCATGTCACGACGCCGGACCGTAAAGTGTCAAATACCCATGTATATTACCCGAAGGTACACAGCCTTCCTGTTATATAATGATTGTTCCTACCTCATTGTTGGGCCATGTGGCTGCTGCCAGTAGCGGCATTCGGGAACGAGATCTCTGGCCAATGACTCGGAGCGTGTCCCTGGACTCCAGATGTTTGGACAAGACCTTGGCCATCACTTCCGGTTCCTTGGGATCCAGCATCTCGACCCAGGGTCATGAGAGTAGTCGCTGTATTTAGGTACTCGCCGGGCTGGCCCTGTTGTGGCTGCATGTATGCTCGTGTCCATTGACTCCAGTCCTGAGCAGCGTACCCATTGGCCGTGTACGTGGGCTGGTGACCGTTGTTGGCAATTTGAGAGTTGCTGTAGGCGTACGCGTCGGTGGAAGCCTGTGAAATGCTACCAGAGGCTGCTGCTGCCAACGCTGCTGCATGGCTCGCATGCATGCTGGTCTCATCTCCACTGCTGTATGCTTGTTGTTCGTATGCCCTGCTCGTCGGTTGAGGCATGGACATTTGGGTTCCGAGGTTGTATGAGTGTGTTGTGTTTCCCGAAAGACTGTTGTATGTTGCCGACTGTGAGGTGAGGGTAGGGTCCGTAGGCCCACTGGATGATGTCGTGTATTGTTCCCGATATCCGCTGTTGTCATAGGTGGGGGCAGTGGATGTCGAGCGAGGAGGAGCCTGCATTGCCACACGAGCGAGGGACTCGGTTGCAGTGCGTTTGACAATACTGTCGTTGATGTTACCAAGCGACTGATCGACAATGCTTGCGATAGCAAGTTTGAGCTTATTTCCAGATCCTAGGAAATGGTCACACTCGCCAAGCACATTGACCCAGGCCGCCATGTCGCCTTTAAGTTTTGTCATATCTACAGGCGACATTTGCTCTTGCCTCATAGACGAGATGAAGAGGGTTGTGAATGCTGCAGCAATGTAGACGACCGTGTTGATCCAGGGAATGTCCAAGCTCTTCTTGTTCATCATCTCTGTACAGTTGTGCAACATCTTCTGTGATGCAGTTAAGCATTTGTCTAAGTTGGAGCTGAGGATGGCCGCGTCAATAGACCTACAAACGCCAGGATGATGTAAGAGCAAGTTGAACGCCTGGTACCAATACTCCAGATAGAGTGCGAATATGTGGTCGTCTTCCGACGCATGCGATGGATCGCGCAGCTCGTAGGGAAGGTCCTCCTTCCACTGCTGTATGCCAGCCTCGAGACGTCTTAAGCTCTCCACGTATGCTTTTGGTGAATGTCGCACAGCATATATGGTCTTGTAGAGCTCCATTTCCCAGACGGTGTATTTAGCAATTTGTATGCCCACTTGGAACGAGCATTGATGGAAAGAGTCCAGCTTGGCTTCCTCGCCTGGAAGGCAGTCGTTCATAGGTTCTGGGAATTCGACGTCGATGTCATCCCTGCTAATTGGTATTGGCCGTCCGAGTTTCCCGCTCAAGTTGACGAGTAGTGCATGTAAGGTCCAGTAGACTCGTTTTCTCATCTCAATGTCCAATTTGGTCATTTCTCCTGCGCCGTCTGCCCAGACCTTGACAGATCTGTGTAGGCCGAGTTGCACTGCAAGCAGATAGACGGTTGAAGTCATGATCCACGCCGCGCCGGGCTTGGGGAAGTTTCGGAGATGGTGGCATATCATAGCCAGGGCTTGGACATCTTGCCAGCCGTGATTGCCAAGAATGAGCTCTTTGTAGAAAGTTGACGCATACAAATAATGAGCATGCGAGTCATCCAGCATAGTGCTACCGCTCTGTTGGTTGTTGCGGGTCGCAATCTGGTAAGTGATGGTCGCGAGCATCAAATGTACTGCAACGATTTGGGGCGCAGAAGGGACAAAGTTGGGGTCGTTGCCAAATCTCCAGATCTGTGCACGTTAGTGGGATGGCTTGTGGTAGCAGGAGCGTGTCGTACCAATTCCATAAAGGCAGGCTTGTGCACAAACATGGTGTAGGGGTTCAGCGACCGCAGATACCAAATGGCATACTCTTGCAATTCAGCATATGCCGGTAACGGCGGCTCCTCGACATGTTGTCCGCCAATGGTGACATTGACCAAGGTGGTGTAGGACATGGGTGAACTCTCATACTCTTCCTCGCCCGCCATGAAGTCTGTGATGTCGATTTCGGTTCCAAAGATTGACAGCGAGGTACCCTTGATGTGGCTCAAAAGTGAATCTCCAGGCGCAACGCCGAGGTAGTTGTCGCCAATGGAGCCGTGCTTGAATTGAGGCAGCGACTCGATCTTGACTGGAGTGGCAGCGGGCACATAGCCGGGTAGTGGAGAAGTGCTTGTCCTTCGCGGTCCATCGTTCCAAGCCTGGCCGTCGTTGGAGGATGAAGACCACGGGTGGCTGGGTGGTTGCAAGGCGTTGTAGGCAGGCGGTGCGCGGGGTTCGATGTGATGCTCCTTTAGCTGGGCCTGGAGGTCAGCGATCTGGGCGCGCAGGTACGAGTTCTCCGACTCCATGGCCTCCGCATGGCCGCGTACTGTGGCGCGCCCGGTGATTCGGTCGGTGGTGCGACATGGCGTCCTGTTCTGCTCGCATGGTGTGCATCCTTCGGGTCGGCCGTCGCAGCGAATCTTGCGGACCTGTGCTTGTTAGTGTGTTTACTGGACTCGGCATGCTTGGGGAAGGCGCGTCGCGATGACGTCGCAGGCGCGACGGGATGCTTGTGCGATGCGACATGCCAAATGACCTGGCTGGAAGCACCCATCTCCATTGCAGCGTAGGTAAGACGTACCTTGCACCGATCGCACGCCTGACCCGTCCGCTTGGAGTCGGCGAGCTTCTTCTTGACCGAGCCGGAAAAGTCATTGCTGTTAGGCGGGCGGTGTTGTGGGCTCAGCGGGTCTTGATGCTCGATGCGCTGGATCTTGGAGACGAGATTGGGGTCATCATCCGGGGGTCGCTTCGTGGCCATACTCTTCGTAATGCACGTCGAAACAGGAACGAGACGGGAAATGCCGATGGAGAAGACCGATGCAAGTAAACCCAGCAAAGGTGGTGCGCCTCGGGTGGCTTGCGACTATCACCTGTCAAACGAAAGACACATGACTTCTAACTTGGAGTTTTCTGGCTGCTGGGGCAATTGAGCGTCGCTGCAATCAAGCGCGATCTCTGTAGCAGTTTTCCGGCCGGTTTGCAAAGAGAGGGAAAGAAGAATGGTGAGGTTTGGCTGCGCTGGGAGTGAAAGGGTGCGATTGAAAGCGCGTTTCTCGGCGATGCCTGCAAGGGAACAGGGCACATTGTCCGCAAGCCCTCTAGTTATCGACTCCAGTCCGCCCTTTATTGGCCACATACAGCCGTGAAACCTTGACCTCTAGACGGCTGTGACGGTGCCTGCCCTGACATAGTCGGCGAATTTAGTTTGTTCTTCTAGCGATCGTCATGATGATCCGTCCTGATTCGCCGTAGGTTCTTCATTCTCTGGGACTAACTCGTAGCTTGGCCGTCCCCGCTCCTGCCAAAAGCGGCCATGGAGCTTTAGACTCACCCACGATCTGGTATCCTTGGAGATTGCCAATGCAAATCGGTCTGACGAACCTAGTAGCATCATCCAGAAGACACGACAGTAAACACCAGCAACCGTCATCACCACACCAAAGCCGACGAAACAACCACCAAAATCTAGCCCCTCACTTAGTCCTTCCAATCTCGACTAGGCTTCCAATTCCGACGCGGTGCATATCAACACCCAAACTTACACCAACATCAAAAATCACGCCAACACCCGCGTCACTCAACATGGCGTCCGTGCGAACATTCACGTTACCGCACTACGAGGGCTACCCTGTCCACGTGGCCTTGTTCAAGGATGTCAAGAACGCCTCCTTCTTGAGACGTCAATTACTCGAGGCCAATCCAGATTACGACTATGCCTTCTTGGATGCTTCCATGGTAGGTCATGGTTCACTACCTGTTCATTGCTTTTTCTCGCTGCAAGCATCACTTTTTCTTCAACGATGGTGCTAGCATCCCCCCGCAATGACATGCCAGGGTCGCTGAGTCATCTGCGAAATAAACAAACTTTAATATCGTTTTCATGATAAGATATCACGAAGCGGGTAATGTTTCTCCATCGGATCACCAACGTAGATGCACACACTTGAGCGAAAGCACTGTGGCTTCTGATGAAGCTAGTTGGGCACAGGGAATCAGGCCCACATATACTCCATACTCATCGCGGCCCTATTCTCCTTTCAAGTCATTGAGTGGTTTTTTTCTTCTTCTGCAATTGCGAGAATATATACTATATAGATCACGACTGATAGAGGCCCTCACATACAAGCACTAACCAATTCAAACCCACAACTCATGTTAACCCCTTGTCCATCTAGATACTCTCACCCCATCACCTCCTCTCCGCCACCTTCCTCGCACTCCACGCCCACCTAACCCACCGCGCAAAGACACGGACCCCCCATTCCGAACTAGTCTTCCGCCTCTCACCCAACAACAACATTGGGGAGTCGTACAAGAAATTTGGTATCGCTGACACCACCACTACGCTCATTGCCGTTAAACTACCTTTATCCCCATCATCGTCGTCAACAGGTCAGCAAGCCACTTACGAGAGAGATGAGAGTATTGATTGTTCGAGTGTGGGTGCACACCTGGGAGGTGCTGTCGAGGGTACGAGTGTAGCGTTAGGGGAGACGGGCGAGGAGTTGGGCATGTGGTGTGATGTTGAAAAGGTGAGGAAGGTGTACAAGCTGGGCGGAGGAGATGCTGGGAAGAAGGGGAAAAAAGGTGGTGTTGTCAATGGGGAGGGCGATGTAGAGAGGAGGAAGGCGGAGGAGAAGAAGGAAATTGAAAGTGTTGTTCTGGGTGTTATTGCTTTGAAGGGGTCATGAACAGGGGATAGGGTTCCTTGTGAAATTCAACTCGAGTGTGACGGGTTGCGGAACAAGTGTTTTAGCCCAGTAACAATAAGAGATGAAGGTCAATAGACGGGTAGGTGAATGCACGCATTCAACTCGGGAAGAAACCTCTCCCTCCAACTATGCTACAGGTTTTCGCGACCATATAGATATATCTACACCCCATAATCTACGACAAAATTACCCAAGCTTATACCTCCATGTACTCGGGCTTGAGGAAGTCGGCCATGTTCTTGGGCCTAGGGTATTGGTTCTCGACGTGGTGGTGGTCATGCGAGTGGTCGTCTGCCGGGCCAACGTACTTCATCTCGTAAACGGATCCGCACTCCATGCAGCGGGACTTGGGCTCTTCACGGGTGAGGGTGATCCAGAGAACGTTGTGCGAGTCGGCGGGGTAGCCGGTGCAACCGACGTACTGCTCGTTACCAGCTGAGTTGACGGTGATGGGCTCCTCCATCGTGCCTGTATTTCATCAGCATCACATCACGCCACTAGGAACCCGAACCCGCGCAAGCTTGTAATTTCTTCTCTTTCCTGGGGGTGGTATCACGTACCGAGACGGCTGGCGTCCAATGGCCTCATGTCGAAGATATCGATACCCTGCATCTTTCCGAGAATTTCGAGACGCTCAAGACCGGTCGCCTGCTCGGCATCGGTGGGAACGGTACCGGGCTGCGCACCAGGGGGCAAAAGGTCCGCCTCGGACTTGATCTCTACAGAATGGACCTCGTCAGCAATTGATGGTTTCGGTTTGTCGTAGCCGCGGCGATGCGGATGACGAGGTGCGGGCGCAACATACGGTCGAGCTTCTTGAAGCCGGCAAGAACACTGGGCGAGTCGGCCGAGTGACCAGTCTCCTTCTGCGCAATGTTGCTCTCCTTGGCCTCCTTGCTCTCGGTGGACTCCCCTGTTATGGTGTCAATGGCACATCATACGATAGCTCTTCGTGAGACATACAACGGGCAAAAGTGGTGGTGAAGGTGCGGCGAGTCGCGATGGCGCGGGGGGCCACACGCCTTGCTGCGGCAATAGCAGAGCGCTGGACGAACATGACGGGATCAATTGGGTGGAGTGGAGAGGGTGGGCGTGGTTATCGAGCTGATGATGTTGGTCAATCGTGAATTGACGAGCCGACGGCAGAGGCTTGGCGCTATGATTAGGTAAGGCAAGCCACAGTAGGCAACATTGGATGCCAGGCCTGGGAGTCGTTGATTCATCAACTGCTCGTTCCTGAACAGCTCGCACCGGCACCTGCAGCACATGGACGCAGCATAATGGACTATGCTGCCTTGATCTTAGACGCTGATTACCCTTTATAAGGTCGACGTGTGCACAACTGCTTCACATGTACTACTTGCAAACTTCAGATCTCACTCTCACCCACCACTAGCCAGCTTCCTCCCATTAACACACCTGTTTCTTATCTTCTGACTAGCTAATCAATAATGTCTTTTAAGCCAGCACTCGTCATCGTCGACGTACAGGAAGACTTTTGCCCGCCAGTGAGTAGCCATGTCTAGTAAGAAGACTTTCAAACTGACAAGCTCAGGATGGAGCGCTGGCGGTGACAGGTGGACGCGACATCGTACCAGCCATCAACGAGTTCCTCACATATCCGTTTGCCCTCAAAGTTGCGACCAAAGACTTTCATCCCCAAGACCACATTTCCTTCGCATCGAACCATTCTCCGCCGAACAACAAGCCCTTCGAATCTACCTTCATCATCAAGAACCCCGAGAACCCAGACGAGACGCAAGAAACGCAACTATGGCCCGACCATTGCGTGCAGGGTACAAAAGGCTCTGAGCTGCTGCCAGAGCTAGATATTGGCAAAGTGGACCACATAGTCGAGAAGGGCCAGGACAAGCGCGTGGAGATGTATTCTGCATTTGCGGATCCGTTCAAAAGTCATGTTGCTAAGAGCAATCTTGCAGAAACACTGCGCAAGACTGGCATCACTGATGTCTATGTCGTAGGTCTCGCAGCCGACTACTGCGTGAAGTTTACAGCCATCGATGCACAGAAGGAGGGCTTCAAAACGTGGGTGGTGGGCGATGCGACAAAGGCGGTTGATCCGTCAGCAATGGAAGATGTCTATAGAGACTACGAGAAGGTTGGAGTCACAGTCATAGCCAAGGACGATGCGCAGGTACGGAGGGTCAAGGAGCAAGTGCAGCGGACTCAGGACCAGGACGCGAAAGACGCAGCCAAAGCCGGTGAGAGTGTGCTGGACTGAAATCTGAGACTAGATCAAGCACTTGGTAGAGAAATGGCGAATTTGAAATACCGTGTATCCTGTAGGATAGCATGCGATATGCTCTCATCACAGGCAGCGCCCATGGCAAGACCTCCTGGTTTTTCAGCGTCGGCACCCTCGGAATGCAGATGCGTACGTAAACCGGGCACTTCATCCACATCCAAGAAACAGCCGGCCCGGACCCCACTGTACCTCATGCCACTGTTCCTGGAACCGCAGGTAGAGATTGTTCGGAGACAAAGACGTGCTCCGAGCCGTGCCGCATGCGCGTGTCGCGTACTTGGTATGGTGCACTGGCATGTGCCGACTGCGGGGCAGCAGACGTGCAGAACACAGCCTGACGATCCCTATATTAGTGCCAGTCAGCTGGATGCGCAAAAGACTGTATGCAATGTCGCTTTGCTTTCCAGACTCTCATTGCATGCTCTGCCACGATTGAGCGTTGTTGGTGTTTACACTTTGCTACTAAACAAGTTCAACGCGCGGGGTCGCTAGTTTTTGTGAAGCCCCCATCGTCATTGCTGAGACTAGAGCTCACCCTCGCCGGCACCCGAAGCACCCAAACAACCTCTGCCGGTACCTTGCTGCCTGGTCCTAGCCATCCCACCTCCAAGACTTGTTCTTCCTTCTTCTCCTTCTCTCTTCCTTTTGCGGCCAACGACCACGATGCCGCACCTACCTATAGTATCCAAACACCGCAGGTCGTCGGTCAACAGTGCGTCATATCCCATGTTCCTGTCGTACCGAGTCTCCCGACCTTCTTCCAACACGAACTAAGGCTGATATCTGTCCGGGTTTCTAGGTAGCCGCGGATCCTCCATAGACGAGACACGACGACACGATGGCGGCGACGAGACGACCAAGGAGGACGAGACAGTCATGGACTCGGAGCAGGGGAACATGCTCTCTCACATCATATCGCAACTGCGACCAGGCGCCGACTTGAGCCGCGTGACGCTCCCCACCTTCATTCTCGAACCACGATCGATGCTGGAGCGCATAACAAAGTGTGTAGCAACATGTTACACGCAACAAGCGGCGCATATGCTGACTGATGGGTAGCTTCATGGCACATCCGGAGACACTTCTTCCTATTACCAAGGTTGACGACCCAGTGAAGCGATTCGTAGCAGTGACAAAGTTCTACCTGAGTGGTTGGCACATCAAGCCCCCGTATGCATATCCACTGTGTTCCCGCGCCCATAAGCAACAACTGATGTGAGGCAGGGGAGTCAAAAAGCCGCTCAACCCCATCCTGGGTGAAATCTTCACAGGTTACTGGGATTACCCAGACGGTACCAAGGGCTACTACATCTCTGAACAAACATCGCACCACCCGCCCAAGTCAAGCTACTTCTTCATGGCACCCGAACACAACATCCGCATAGACGGTACCCTCAAGCCTCGAAGCAAGTTCCTTGGCAACTCTGCCGCGAGTATGATGGAGGGCATCGCAGTCTTACGACTACTAAACACTGGCGAAAGATTGTAAGTCGAGCAGATGAATGTCCTGTCTTGAAGCTCACTGCAATCAGTTTTGTTACGCAACCCAACATGTACGCGCGCGGAATCCTCTTCGGAACGATGAAGTATGAGCTCGGCGACCACGCATACATCCGGTGCCCCGAGACAGGCCTCACTGCTGATCTCGAATTCAAGACCAAGGGTTACTTCAGTGGAACATATAATGCTATCGGCGGCTATATCAAAGATCCCAGCGGCAAGAACTTGTACGAGCTCTCGGGTCAGTGGAATGAGGAGATGTACATTAAGGATTTGACGGTAGATTCTGATCACTCCACGGTTGGAGCAAGTACTAATTCTTTCTAGACTGGCAAGAAGGAGCTATTGTTCGACGCGGCACATACCAAACATACTCCGCCATCGGCTCGACCTATCGAAGAACAAAACGACCGAGAATCGCAAAAGCTCTGGTATGACGTGTGCGAGGCTGTAAAACGGAGGGATCAGGATGTGGCAACCGATGCCAAGGCTAAGATCGAAGACATGCAAAGGCAGGAAGCTGCGAAACGAAACAGCGAGGGTGTAGACTGGCACCCACAACTTTTCAGACGTGTAAAGGGTGGCCACGGCGGACCTGAGGAGGGTGAAGAAGACCTCGACTGGATCATCAACGCCAAAATGTCAGTATTCATTGACCTTCGACATGCGATTTATGCTGACAGAATGTAGTGATGGCAAGACCCCCGACGAGGTTGTCAAACAGATTCTGCAGATATACGCTATCTTGCCAGGTCAAAAGCCAGATAGGCAATTCAACATCCCCTCGCGGGCAAACGATGCGCCGTCAACGCAGCCACAAGAGGCAGCACAGCCAGCAGAACAAGTGCCAGTCGCACAATCAGTACAGCCTACAGAAACTTTGCAGCCTGTACCGTTTGAGCCTACAAGCGTGCAATCACAGCCAGCAGTCATGCCAGGACACCAAGAGCAGAGCGTAGGTCTTCCCAGCAACTTCGACGGAACAACGACTCATGTCCAGGTTTCCAAAAACAGCAGCATCCCCAGCGATCCTAGCAACCCACCTACGATACCTTTGCAAAAGCCTATGGCGCAACCCAGTGTCATCTCACCCGAGAACCGGGAGGTAATCTCGAGAGAACTGCCGCCTAGCAAACTTCTCAATTCAAACCCCGAGCCAGAACCACGGAAGGACGACCTTTTACGGAGGACAGATAGTGAGACGCAGCAGGAGGATGAATTCCATGATGCGCAATCGTGAGTTCTCTTCTTCGGGCGGTGTCTGGGTCCGTTGTCGCTGGCTGCTCTACCACTACTATAATCTGGTGTCTTGTTCTGTTTTTTGTTCCCAGGGGTCAAGACTCACGATCCTATCTATAGAGCTGTCGAATCGAAAGAATCCAAGAATCACTGCGGCGGTGGATGCTTTTCAACCTGCATCCCGTCCTGAAGCTATCTTTGTCGCGCACTCCGATTCATCCTCTTCTCCGGCTCATAATGCTAGGTGGCTGTTGATGGCCGCGGACGTCGAACATTTTGCCGTGTGATGCCTAAATCATGTCTGGGATTGCAAGGCTGCAGCCACGCTTGCGGATATAGTGGAGATAGTGACAGCGCGCTAACGGTGCCTGCCTAACGAAACCCCTAATGATCCTCATCTAAACAACTTCCATTTCCAAATCATTAAGTTTAAAAGTCAACCGCCCTGGCTTGTGTATTGAAATCCACCTGTTTTATTCACCGTGCCTGATCACTCATCATGGGTGACTTCGATTGTTACTGCATTCTATGCGCTGTCACCTTAAACCTCTGGTCTATCGGGATTGGATCGAGGAAGGGAAAGGATTTGCGCAAGAGGGAGCGTAAGGTAGACAGAGAAAAGAGGAGCCTTGCTAGAAGGCGTGTTGGAGAGAACCGGTACTCGCCGGAAGTCGAGAGCGAAGATGGTGACAGTGGAGCGGAAGATGCGCCTGACGACGAAGCCATCAAGAAGCGACTCATTGAGCTGCAAGAGCAAGCCGAAGATGATGCAGACTCTGACTTTGAAGACGAAGACAAATCCCATTCTTCAAACTCATCTGAAGACACAGAGTCCATCGACAGCAACGACTCCGACTTGCCGACAGGATCATTTGAGATTAACGACGTGGCTATGCGACCTCTCACCCCCGAACCAGAGCCCGAGCCTATGGAAGAAGTAGACAGTGATAGTTGGTCACAAGCTTCCGAGTTATCTCTTGAGGATGAATGGATCCCCCATAACAGAACCGATCGCCATGACGAGGAAGACAGCTTCGATCCTAGACTACTCCGACTAGAAGACTTGGTGTGGCTCAATCGAAGCCGAGCACTGGCACTCAATCATGAGTCTTCTTCAGACTACCCAAAAGCCTATTTCTCTGGCAGAGGTCGATACGAGGGCCTCGGCGGGTTTGAGGTTAAGAAACCTGGACAAGATCCGAACGATCCTGGTGAATCCTCGCTGAACGTCACGGCATACGATAGCGAGGAGAACATGGCTTTTCCGTTCCACGAGGCTTGTTTTAATATTCTCGCGAACAGCGTAGGGCTTGAGAGGGGAAGGGAAGTTAACAAGGATGTAATGTGGGAGGCCATGAGAGCCCAATTGACGGATGAAAGACCTGTTTTGAATGTCGATTATAAGCTTGACATGTGCCAAGAACAATATTGGCACAATACTCCAGGTGAGGAGTATTCGGTGTGCGATCCTTCTCCGCGACCCTCTCTCAGAGAAAGGATTCCAGATATATTACCCGCCTGTATCCTGGGTAGAGCCTCGGAGGTTGTGGACTTGTCGGACAAAGTGCGTAGCGATCCAACCCACGTCCTTCCATACGACATTCTCCTCGAAATCATTGGATACATGGACACGGAGGACATGTTATCATTTATGAAAGCATCCTACCACGTCAACAGCTACACTCGTGAAGCTGCCTTCTGGAAACACATGCTACGCATTCGAATCTTGCCTTGGTTTGACGAACTCTGTTACTTCGTCGAGACTACCAGTACTGATGCAATCGACTATAAAGGCCTCTTTCTCTGGATCGATGCATTAACTCGTCCCGAAATTGGCAACCAGGGGCCGCTTATGCACATAGCGAACCGACGCAGGATCTGGGAGTGCTGTCAGCCACTAGCCACGCTTTACAAGGAAAAGGTTGGCCCGGTCAAACCTGCTGAACTGGAAAATTCAGAGGAAGCCAAGGCGATACTAGAGAGTTCGTTATGCTTGCACATGCCAATGACAATGTATCCGGCACCCGAGGATCCGGAAATCATTTCTGCACAATTCATCCACGCATGGAATGAGATTGGTCATCGCTCATGCGTCCTTGACACGTACTGGAATGATCACGGTTCACGGCAGGATGCGTTCTTAGTTGGCATATCCATTACGTTGGGTGGGCAACGACGATTACTTGGTAGTGCGGAGGGGAAATCGGGACGTCCATTGCATATTGAAAGTGGAGAATGGATCAAGCAGATCATATGCAAAATCGATGAGATCGATATGTTAAACAACAATGAAGACAGGAGCGCGTACCGCGGACCTGAGGATGCGAAGCCATCCAGGACTGTTTACATCAGAAATCTTCAGGTAAGCTTTACACTATACTTACATGGGAGCAGTGATACTAACAGAAGATAGATATTGATGACTACTGGAAAAGTAAAGACCGTGACAAATTACCACCGCACCAACACTATGAAGCCGCTCTTAGTATTGGATGGTATGCATCTAGTGGGTTTGACAGGCCAGATTGCTCCAGTAAGTTACCAGATGCCATGGTCCTTCCTCCTCTTATTTGCAAGCTGTTACTGACAGCAGTACCAGAATGGCGCCATCTCACGCCTCGGTCTCCTTCAAGCTCCCAAACCAGACCCAGCATCAACCCCCCGGCTGCAATACGACCCTGCTCAGCAGCTAACATGGACGCCTCATGCAATGTATCTTCCCTGCAAGCAGAGCATGACTAATTCGAACCATTGTCCGATATGGTCACATCCTTCATACCATTACGATCTCTTTCCTGCATCTACTCACATTTCGCCGCTCGATCCACCTGAAGAAATGATGATGCACGATATCTTCCTGTGGGATACGACCTCCATTGAAGTCTTTCAGCCTGTTGGAGCGACTATTCGCGACCTACCCAATCGGATATTAGATGGACAATCAACGAAAGACTCGGCCCCATCGACTAATGCAGCAACCACTTCCCGCTCTATCCCCGGCTCCTTCCCTGGAACAGAAACTTCGTCCACCAACATGGCATCCCCCTCTTACCAATTCCAATCCGGCCCCGACATCGTTGGTATCCGTCCCGCTCCCCACAACCGCTACGGCGGTCGCGGCCGCGGCGTCGGCTGTGAAGGACCTGTCCCAGCCCAACACCCTCGTTGGACGCTCGGCATGAAGCCTCTCCAAGAAACAATATTGGCAATGTGGAGGGAGCTCCACGAAAATAACGTTCGTCGATGGGGCCAGCATCAAAACCAAGAGACTGGCGCTTTTGAGTCCCCCGATCACAAAGACACCATTGTGTTTCCCCTGAACGAAGAATCCATTACTGAAGTCCACGTCGAGCAACAGTACCGCGCTTTCAAACTCGTTACGCAGTCTGGTCGTGTTGGCTATTTCGGGGTGCCGGGGTGCAAAGATTGGTGGGTTAGGAAGGTGGTGAAGGGAGAGCGTTTCGTGGGAATTGGTACGTGTTTTGGGAGTTTGGGCGGGTGGAGTGAGACAGCGATGATATGGAGCCACTGGAAGTTGAGTCGTGTGGGTGTGGTTTTTGAGAGGGTTACTGCGGATGGGAGGGTGATCAGTAAGGGGGTTGATGAAGAGGATATGAGGAACAGGGGTGAGGTTTTTGAGGAGGGGAAATTCGAGGTTGTTACGAGTGAGGAATGAGATTGTGCTCATGCGGTGGCAGAAGTTCATCGCGTTATAGAAAGTCGGCATGTTGATTAGTGTGGGCATCTTATCAGATATTTCGTTTCTTTCCTGATATGGAAATTCACCTCTAAATAGACTCCAATTAATAGTTCTGATATGTCTTTCGACTATGCCATGTTTCAAACGTGGCTATCGCGTCGCCGGTAAGGGCCATGGTGGTTTGAGTAGATGTGCGCACGAATGGGTCGTACCATACGCACCGGTATGGTACGTCCATACAAAGATAGAAGAATTTGGAGAGGATGGAGAAAATCAAGAATTACTGATGAAAGATACATTCTTATGAAGATTGGGTATAGACACGACTATGTCCAAACGCGGCCAACTAAGCCGACGTCCCGAGGTCGTTGAGTAGCTCAAAGTCCAACTTAAAGTTTATTGCCATCATTAGTCACAAATCGGGCGCGTAGACATAAGAAAATACAAAACATACGCACGATCATGAGATGTAGTAAACATGCCCAGGTGCTAGGGATGGACCTCCATGCACAGCGAATCCGGTATCTTATCGCAACATCTCCGGACCGCTGCGGAAGCATCACCACGTGTTGACAGAACAACGTGCAACCTGACAACCACTTACCTGTCAAAAATGATGGCCAATCGAGAACGCCGCGGACCTGAGGATCGACGAGAGCGATGCGGTAGCGTAGCGTCCATGTCGATGCGTCGCGTCCGACGCGGGATTCGTCGTTGTCAGCTCGGTGACATCATTCCCCACGATTTTGCCTGGACAGCGCAGCAACACAGCCTACTTACTACAAGGTTCCGCTATCTTACCACGTTCCGAATTCCGGTACTTTTTTAGTGAAAGTCTTGGATAAATACCGCAAAGTATATACTTTGCGACGGAAGCCGTTTATGAGCTCGCCGTGGTTGCGGCTCGACGACAACGACGAGATGCACGACTCGATTGAGGAACTGCGCAATCCGCGGCAGGTCAAGAATGACTTTTTGAAGTATCTAAAAGAGGAGGTGTTGAAGCTGAACTTCTATCGTGCGCATATGCTGTACTTTATCGTCGTTATCGCGATCTCGTCGGTTATTGTTTATGGGCAGGGTCTTGCCAGTGGACCGAAAGAGCTTGGAGGAGAGCACCTGACCTACACCGATGCGCTGTTCTTGTGCTGCAGTGCTATGACAACTACGGGTAAGTGGTTTCGTCGACCTTTAGAGGAAACTACAGGCTAATTGATGCAGGGCTCAATTCGGTTGACCTGGGAGATCTCTCCGGCTTTCAGCAGGCTACATTTGCTGTTCTCCTGATGATTGGCAATATACCATTCGTCTCTACGGCTGTGGTACTCATCAGAAGAGCACTATTCCGCAAGAAGATGGCAGACGTCGTCAAGCATTCGCATACGATGCAAAGACTCGTGCGAGATATTGAGAACAGCAATTCGGATCAAAACGAAAGTAGCAGCAGTACCGCGAGTGTGCGGCAGCGACCCAAGGCAAAGTCAAACCAAGCAACAAAGAGTACACAGCAACGAGATTATGTGTCGCCACAAGTAGAGATAAAGCCTGTGTCTAGAAGAAGAACCTATCACTACGAAACCGGATTTGGTTTTATACCAACGCCTTGGGAGATCAAGTCCGCTCGTAACTTCTTCAGCCGCATGTTGGACCGCTTCTCTACAGAGCTGAAACCCGAGAGACATGACTACGTCTCCTTCAAACCGCATCTCGATGCTAAGGGACGATTTCGAGAGCTCAGCGAGCAGGATCGCATGGAACTCGGAGGTGTGGAGTATCGTGCACTCCAGACTCTACTGCTCATCCTGATCGGCTATCAAGTGTTCTGGTACCTGCTTGGTATTACTTTCTTGCTACCGTATGCATATAGAGATGATACCAAGAGCATATTGTATGGAGAACAACCAGGTGGCATCAACCCAGGATGGTGGGGCTTCTTTGCTACGGTGACCGAGTTTTCCAATGGTGGACTCAATGTGCTCAATGCCAATTTCGTCCCCTTCAGCGGAAATTGGTATGTCCTACTAGTCGCTGCATGTTTAGCATTCGCCGGTCAAACGCAGTTCCCGATCCTACTCCGCATCACTATATGGATCTTGAAGAAATTGTTGCCAAAAGAGTCTCGTATGAGGAACACGATGCAATTCCTCCTACAACATCCACGACGTTGTTTCATATACCTTTTCCCTAAACGCGAAACAGTGTATCTCTTTGTTGTCCAACTTGGCATCGACATCACAGCCTGGCTTTGCTTTGAGATTTTGAATATCGGCATGCCAGACGTTGAAGGTCTCTCCGCTGGCACTCGCGTTGTGGACGGACTCTTCATGGCCAGTGGACTACGTACCAGCGGTGCATACATTATCAACATGAGTTCTCTCGCACCGGCATGCTTAGTGGCATACCTCGTCATCATGTACGTTTCGATATACCCCATGACGATGGTACTGCGCAAAACGAACACGTATGAAGAAAAGTCGATTGGGCTAGAGCAGGAAGACAACAGTGCTGCTGGTATTGCATCACATCTGCAAAAACAGCTTTCCTACGACATCTGGTTTCAGTTCTTTGTCTTCTTCCTTATATGCTGCATCGAGCGAGGACATATTGTCAAGGCAGATCCGGGATTCAGCGTCTTCTCGATATTGTTCGAAGTCACATCAGCATATGGCACTGTGGGCTTAAGCCTTGGTGTACCGGGCAAGAACTATAGTCTGTGCGGCGATTTTGCGAGCTTGAGTAAAGTCGTCTTGATGGCTGCGATGCTGCGTGGCAGGCATCGTGGCCTACCTCTAGCAATCGATCGAAGCATCCTTTTACCTGGCGAAGAGCTCATGCATCGTATGGATCAAGAGTACAGCGCGAAGGGTACAGAAGACCCACAAGAAGAAGCAGAGCTTAGGAGTGACATTGAGAGAAGTGGTGAGCATCAGCAGAAGCCTCGAAAGGGTGAGCAAGACCCAGAGGACAGGAGAGGATCGCAACCGAACAATGAGAATGGTCAGGAAGAGGGGCATGAGACAGTCGCACAATCTAACCCCTGATGAGAAGGGCCGCAAGTATTGCGCAGCTCACATGTTTTCGGGAGCACTATCGGCCAAACATGATCCCAGATAGTCACAACGATTACGTTGTGTAAAATTCATGAGAGTCGACTAACCCAACGACTACACGGTCCGAAAACCATCCTTCCGGAGAAGCACGTTACCTACGTGTTCGGCGACTAACCCGACCCAAATATTCCTACCGCCTTATGCATACCTGTGACCTTCAGTCACACTTCCAGAACCCCTCACTCATGCATGTACGCACACACATTGCGGATATCACCGAACTTACGACTTCCACCAACGACGTCATCTTCCCCTCAGACTTGCATGCAGCAAAAATTCTATCAGCCCTACAAGGCTTCCGTTCCATCGCGCCCATCCATCGCTCGCACGCCACACTTATGCGCCTCGAAACTAAGGCGCTCACAGATCCCCACCAGGTCTCAAACCCAGTTCGCATGAATATCGCCAAACGTACCCTGAAGTGCTCCACAGAGGCGGGCCCAACTGCGCATCCACGACAGCCACTTACCGGGGCGTGATCTGCATTAGGACTCGGCATATGAGTGGACCAGGGACATGGAAATTGACTCAGCTGGGGCCCTAGGCTAGTTGGTGGGGAATGTGATGGGACGAAAGGATCTTTGGTCGATAACATGGCGTGTTTTGCAGGGGAGGGTGGGTAAGGCAACAAGGCATAAATTTCCCTGAGAGTTGGGAAATTAGCAAAACGCATTGGCAAGAATGCTAGTGTGTGTAAGCTTGACGGGCGAACAGGCTGTGGCGTTTTTTTATTCTCCCTAGGATCGGTGGGAGCGAGTCAAATGACGTTCGCGGGATGAGCGGGAGATGTGCAAGGCTGACATGGGTCGAATGTCAGTCCGTGTGGACAAGAATAGGAACACGGTATTCCCGACTTTCCTTTGTAAATCATGACTTTCCTTAGTAAGACGAGTAATTTGGAATCTTGCACTGATGTATGCTATGACCAACTGACGAGTTTGTCGACATGCAGGACGCACGAAGGGCGACGCGTATGTTTGCACCTTGACCCATGCGCGTGCCAACTACCACAAATGCATCACACTTGGCCGTCTCTGGCCATTCATACTGCCACAGATTCAATTACCATTGTTAAAGCAAACTTGATGTTTGTTTGTACCATACAATTTTGACATGTCAGCTGACTACATTACCCGTAGCACGTTACCAAACCGTTGCGAAAAGCACCTAGTGCGGTGGGAAACGTTTCAACTGCCAAACGCGCACCATGACGAGTCAGGTCACCGCAACGGCAACGGTAGCGGCAACAAGCAACGAAGCGGCAATCTCAACGGCCAACCAGTTGAAAAGAAAAGGAAGGTCTAGATGCGAGCTTCGCTTCTTAAAACGAACGGAATATTCCGTTGTTGTTTCGCGAACGGACGGCAGTCGAGTGCGTCAAGGTTGCGGTACCGTTTGCTGTCATATACGGCCTGGGTCGCAAGACTGCCGCTGTCAAGATCGGATGATGAACGGTCAAGTATGTAAGATCAATGGCAGTTGCCGTATCGTGCTTAAGAGCTGCTGTATTGGTTTTATGCCAAATGTTCGGGGTGCTTGAAGGAATATTTTGATGGCCTTGGTGTAAATGGTATGCCAACGATTGGAACCTTTTAACGTAGTGTGGATATTCTGTTGCTGTGAATAGAAAGTATGCAAATGTACGGGAGGTGAGGTGGTCGGTCGTGTTTGATATGCTTCGCTTAACGACCCTTATCAGGAAGGCCAGTACCGCAAGCGAGATATCAGGACTAGAGACGCGCAAGGGTAATGCTCGTTGGAAGTCCACATCACGATGAGTTGTCTAGAGCTATGTGGACTTTGGAAATGTGGATATTCTTTTATCCATTCACTACCGCCATCATCTATCGCGAAGGACGAATGACGAACTATCGTGAGGAAATGAAGCTTGTAGATGTAAGTTGCCCAAGTGCGCCAAGACCAAAATGACAAATGCCAGCAAACTCCTGCCTGAGAAAATCCGAAACACGCAGTGTGTCATGACCATGCATACCCATACCAGTTTTGACGTATATCACCGAAGACGTTAAGAAGATGATAGAAAAAAAGGGTTGATTGAATAGCGAATTAACGAAAGTAGAGAAGTGGAAATAGTCAATTGCTCATGCCATACCGTTCCCATAAACCAGAAAAAAAAAGACCCAACAAATACAGGAAGATAAGACCAATGAATATCTATTTCCTATCATCATTGAGAAGGCTAGCAATGGGCATGTTGTCTCTCGGCGCCGAGCTCCAAGTACCAGCCCTTGGTCGGCCTGAGGAAGGGACAGGCATAGGCAACACATACGGCATGCGCTCTGGAGCCGAAACAGCGCTAATGTTCATTGGGTTCATGGGGCTGTAGTGCCTGACTGGTTCGCTCTGGGCCGGCGAGATGTACGTCGGGAAGGGGTTGGGCTTGAACATGGGGTTGTGCATGATGCTGCCATCGGGCGAGGCATCGGGGGTAGGAGGGCGGACAGCGTTGGATCCGTTGCGCCAAATCTCCTCGAGCTGGGCGGGAGAGACATCCGCACCGTAGTCGGCAGCGACAGTAGCCCAGAATTGCTGGCGGCGGGCCTCGTAGATGGAGCGGAGGCGGTCGGTGTCGACGACCTTGGGCTGATGAGCTACTTCGGTGTTGATGCGGAGACCGTTGTAAGGCTCCGGAGATCCACGGGGCGTAAGGGTACGGGGCTTGGGGAGAAGGATCTTGTGCTGAGATCGGCCTGGAGAGGCGGTGATGGAGTTGGCACGAACATGAGGACTGCCAGAGTAGCTCATGGGCGAGCTGTGGCGAGAGCCCTGAGAGTATCCGTCCTGGTCGACAGCCATAGAGTAGACTGGTGCAGTGCCAGAAGAGCTGCAAGAAGTGTTGGATGAGACGGAGTTGTTACGCTTGCGGCGATGGCTACCATGCGAGAGCTGGTGGTAGTGTAGGCGGCATGCAAGCTCGGTCTTCTTGAGGTGTGCTGCAATATGCTTGTAGGGCATCTTTTGCATGCGAGTCTGAAGAAGGTAGTTCTCCTAGCCAGTGTTAGCCTGTGTTTGGTGAACGTAAGACGATCGACATACCTCTTCTTCGGACCAAGACCTGTTACCACCGGCTGACATCTTGCGAGCACGAAGGCTGGAAGGGTCAGGGGATTGCGAGTTCATCTCAGGGAGAGGAGAGAGAATCTGGGGCTGATGGTGAAGCATAATGGATAGTGTTGCTGAGTTGATAGTATGTTGTTGTTGCTGTTGATGCTGATTGGAGTACTTGGCGTAGAAGAAATCGTTGAATCGTGTCCACTAGGGATGGCTGTTTGTCGTAATCGAGGCTGGCTCTGAAAAGAAAGTATTACACGGTGTGTCGGTAAAGAAGTAATTGCTCAGCAATGTTGATTAAGTGAATGTAGTGCAGCCCAAACCAGTGGGAAGTGAAAGAGAGTATTACAAGGCTGCTAAAAAACAAAAGACAGATGCCGATTGAACAGATGCGGTTGAGGCCTCGAAACTTGGGGCAGCGGAGCAATTATAGAGTTTGGACAGTGGTCAAGAAACGGGTCGGTCAGTAACCACAGACCAGGTCGATTAGCAGTGGCAGTTTCTGAGATTGGCAACGTTTTCAAACCGTCGCTTCTGCAACTCGATTGCTGATCGGCGTCATGGGGCAAAGACGGCGTTCGCAGCCAAAATGTTTAGAAGAACCTTGACACGAGACATGTTAAGCCGGAAGTGGAACGGATATGAAGTCGCATACGAAATCGTTGCCTGGGGCCATGAAGATCTAGAGCGGGATGCATAAGGTCCTCAGCCTCATCGGGGCCCACGGGGGCAGTTTCAAAACCGCGCGCGTCGGACTTGGAGCAGTTTTGACGGAGCGCGAGGTTTGACAATGTTTGGAAAGCTGGAAACAAGCAGCGACCAGTGCCGAAGCGACGGCGGGCGCTAACTCAGAAAGTGTTGTGACAGGCTGCTGGGAGGACTGTGCGCCGGCTTCCTCCCATTGTAGCAGATAAACAATATTGGCAGCGAGCTTTGGAGCATTTTCAACGACGATTCCTTTCACACTTTGTTGAGAATGCGCTCCTTGTGAGAAGGACCGAGTAGGCAGTGAGTGGAGATGATTCGCAACACACAAGAGTGCAGATGACGACGCTGTGAGACAGGCGAAACGATTACGTTCGGATGGGTCGTGTTCCGCCTACAGCATCAACAGGTAAGGCACTTCGTAAGGCCGAAGCGCTTGGCAGGCCATGTGTGCTGCTATAGGTCGTCAGTGGTAAGGCTGTGGCAGCGCGGTTCTCTCAAACGCCTGTGGCTTGTAGTGATACTGGCGCTGCGTCAGGCGGCTGGAGAAGGAGCTTGGCTAGCATGCGGAGCGGAGCCTGGTTGAAAAGGCATCCAGGCCCATGACGAACTGATAGCTTTGGTCCAGCATCAGCATGTCGATTACCTTTGTCTTCCCCGCGCCCAGCAGTGGTGATAGGCGTAAGAGCTGCTGCAATGGTCGTGTGGAGAAGACAGGGATGGCTCGCCCTAGGCGACCACTGAAGTCGGGCTAGATAGCAGCATGATATGTGCAGTGATGAGAAGGCGCCATCGGCTGTCGAGCATCAGGTTGCGAGATAGATGGATTGAAGAAGGGCGGAGACGTCTGACGTGGTCGTGTTTGTGCGACTCTCGCCATGACGACTGCGACTCTCCGTTGTGTGGTTGACCGATGAGGTTGGAAGGCACGAGCGACTGTTGGAGGAAAGAGCGCTCGGTCAATGCACGCTGCCCCGCTCCGTCTGCCAGCAACTCCGTCACCACTACGGCACTCTACATGCTTTGGTAGCGACTCCAGGGTGACATGATCGTGGGTCACTCCACTGACTCCGCATGGGAATGGTCATGACACTCATGACAGCATGCACTCGTCTTGCCTACTGCTCCGCCGGCGCTTTTGACTGTCTTGTATA